CAATCAGGATAAACTATTCGACTTAGAAGTAGTTTGGCTAGACAGAGCTGTGCGAAGAATTCTTCCATTAGAGATGAAGAATCAAATAGATGATAATGATAATGATGAGATACACTTGAAAAATGATCTGTTTAACATTCAGGTATACTCATTCATGTCTTCATCATCAAACATCAGACTCAATTCTCAGAAGAACTCATCATTATGTTCGATTGTTAAGAAAGACATCTGAATTTTATATAATATCTTTCGCATGGCAGTGTTATCGTAGTCATTTTTTTTCGATCTCATTTCTCTCACACGATATACTTGTCAAGAAAAGTGATTGTTTTCTTGCGAATATTGAACAATAAATGATGTTCGTACTCTACAATTATCCATGTCTTCCTACTCGATACGCCCTGTTTAAATATCTAGACAAAATGATAGATACAATAGTTGATAAATTTCCTCGAAGTATTCTGATTGAATTTGAAAGACAACACAAATCAAACGATGATAACGAATTTCTTTACAATAGAAAAGAGAAAGTACAGGTCAACTATGTGTGTTCTTATTCACTTTTTATTACTATCATATGGCATGTGAGAATGAGCACAAGGAGAATGAGAGAAAAGATGAAAATCTGTTAAAAGAAACGCCAGGAGAAACAGCTTATCGATCGAATATATCTCTTATGCAACGCACATACACACACACACACATGCAGACAGAAAAATGAATAAATGAATGAATGAATACGCGCATGTATACCATATGATAGAATCGATACGTTTTTTTTAATACATACATGTAATGGATGCACTATTATAGGTTCTGGTGTGAGTATATGTGTACTTGTTGAAATTTATTCGTAAGAAGTCATCAGGACTTGACCTCGACTGATCGGCTATTTAGTTTTAATCATCGAATAACAGAAGATAAACACACCTACCAAGGCTAATGGTATGATTCGAGAGAGGAGTAGAGAAATGACCTAGCTGATATGGATTTGATTTTAGGTACAGCAAATGAAATGAACGAAAGCCATGAAATTTACTCCAATGACATATAATATCAACAACAAATCAATCTCATCAATTGATATTCGTGGTATGTTAGTAAAAAGAAAGAAAAAACCGATTATATTCGAGTACAATCTCAATTTCTACCTTGATCTTTACCCTTCGCAATATATTATTCTAGCAGATAATCATCGAATTCGCTGAAATTAAAGTCTTTTTTTAATGGTAAGATTCGTTCTTCCATTTATCTTGATAATAAATACATATATATATATATATGGATATTCGATTAAGAAAGAAAACTAACCTTTAACGGTAAATTAAAACTTGACGTTGATCAAATTTCATGGTTCATGAACCCTAAAGTTTTCTTTTTCTAACTAACAGCAACATCCCCATGCAAAATGTTCAAACTTTCAAAACTAATTTCTCTCATTATAGGCGCTCGCGAACATATTTCTATTCGCATTATTGAAAATCTTTTTTCCATGGGCACATTATGTAGCTCATTCAAAACAGCAGAACATACTTCTCCGATAGATCTCTCACAGAGACAATTGACGAAGTTGAACGAACTAACGAATATACCTGAAAATGATATCTTAATCTACTATCGCCAATTCATGACTATCAGTCCGAATGGACGAATGACCCAAGCACAATTTGATGATCAATTGAAAATGCTCAGGGCATCGACCGACCGAAGTCAAGCAATATTTCGAATGATCGATAAGGATAACTCCGGTCAAATTTCATTTCAAGAATATCTTCAATCAATCGCGACATTCTCTCAGCAATCTCAGCCAGAACAACAATTAGGCACAGTATTTGATACTTATCAGGCTTTATCGCGACAAAGTTTAAAACCAACATCAGATGAGTTACAAATCGAAGGAATGACTAGAAATGATATTGAACATATGTTAAAACGAATGCATCCTAGAATTTCGCAAGCTGAAATTGATAATCTATGCAATCGATATATGGATAATGATCAGAACAAAAACGGATATATAAGTAAACAAGAATTCATTGCAGCATGTATGAAAAACGCCAAACTCATGGAACAATTAGGACATCAAGATGCGGTGGCTAAAATTGAAACAAGTGAAAAATAATGTTTAATATAGTGAATTCATATTTTTTATGAACAAAAGACGTTCATCCGGAAAATGTCTTCTTGTTGAAGTTATTTTCTACTCATTCAGAAAGCTTGAAAAAACTTGACCTTGACACCAAGAGAGAGAATTTCATTTGTTTTCTCATCTGAAAAATTTCTCCAACGTTTATTTTGTCAAGAACACAAGCAATATTCCGTTAAATTATTTTGGTTTTCCAGAAAAGTATATCATCACCCCAATAATAATGGCAAGGACAATAATAATGAAAAAGAATAAACTGCAAAGAATTCTCTTTCGACGTATTGCAGACTAAATCAAATCGCGTGTTTTCCTTTCTTATTCATGAACAATATACCTGTGATTCCTTAGTCTTCACTAAGTTGATCGCTCCAGCAACTACATGATCTTCAGTCTTGACGATCATAGTTTCAATATTATCTAGAAAATAGACATAAGAAGTTTCAGGCGAGATTTCATTCGATACCAATCAGATTTTGATGACCACCGACAAGTTCGGCAAAGTCACCATGTATTCTGTGCAGTTGAACAATTTGATTCTGAGAACAGAAAAGAAAATCATCACAGATTTATATACGAATCAGACTTACTTCTAAATGTTGGATTTGACCATGTCGTTGTTCAACGTTTTGTATTTGATTTCCATATTTTGTTTCCATTTGAATTGAACCGTCAAATGTTGTATCATTGTTCTGTTGTGAATCAAACATTTCTCTTTCTGTTTTCGAAGTAATGAAAACAAAAGAAGAAGTCTCATACAGATAACAGGTGATAATTTTACGAATTAAATAGAGATATGACACTTCGAAAGAGTCATACTTCTGCATACAATGACTATCGATAGATTCAACAATGTTTTCTTCTTTTTTCTTTATTAAAGCGTTTTATTTTCATACAACAATGTTGGTACTAGATTTGCTAAAGTTGCACAGATAAAATTGTTTCGAATGATTGGAAAAAGAGAAAGTTTTAAGCATCAACGGATTTCAAAGTTGCTGTCGTTGTTGCTAACGGATTTTCCTTATAATCAATTGCTGGACATCCATAAATGAGATTTGCTAACTCATATTCAAGTTCCGTATCGGATATTGAGACCACACGTGTCGAGAAAGGTTGGTTAAGTATTGTATTGATTTCATCTTGTTCCTTAATGATAACATTGACTTCTGAATCAATTTCGTTATCGTCAATTATCGTCAATCGAATATCGTCACCGTTATTGAAAACAAATTCATCTGCGACCTTAAATTTCTAGGCGAAAATGTCACTTATAGAAAAACTATCAAAAAGCCTCTCCTACTTTCGATGAAGATGGTGAAGGTTGACTGGCGGAATGATCATCTAAAACAAAACTCGATTTTCTATTGCAAATATTTTTGATGACTAACCTTGAATTTGAATTTGTGGTACTTGAGGTATATCTGAGGTAAACTGATTGTCTTTGACATGTTTTGAGCTTTTTTTTCCAATACAAGCACCCATTGCAAACAAACAAAAAAATACTTTGTTCAATTAACCGTTTATATGCTTTTAGTGAGTTGCTTATATGTGCATGTCGTTTTTTTCTTCTGTCTGCCTTTTTTTACATGTTTTTTTTTCGTTCTGCTGTTGACTCATGTCTTATTAAATTGCAGTAAAAAAAGAAAGAAAAAAAAACTGACATAAGTATGTTTCATTCTGTAATGATATACGAAGAAAATGAGAAAAAAGAAACTAGTTAACACATTTATATTCGGACGAGAAGAACGAAAGGATTTGGATGCTAGAAGAGAATGTAAGCGATACTTAACCAGGCGAATAATATCGTACGCACGACAATGCGAATTGAATAAAAAGAAATTTGAAAATTTTCGTTCGAATTATAATTGTTGTTCGTCACTAATCGGTAACATGTGTAGAGGAAATCGTTCGATGTAATCTTCGATTCTTACGCTTGTCAGAGTAGAATGTAACTGAATTATCGTCTGATAGTATAAAACACGATCCAAATGACTGATCTTGATTCGATTAGAGAGAAAATGAAATCAATATAATTTCGAATTAGAGTGATAATTTTCTCATCAAATCTCTCGGTGAAGACAAGAGCAAGTCTTCTTCTTCTCGTGCCTTGGCAAAATACACATTCGTATAATTAATACTGTCAAGATCAAAGTAACCAGAGGAATGATAAGAATTACGTGTTATCTTCTATCACAGTATCTGTCATCAACTATCACAGGTCATAACAACAGCGAGCAAGGCAAAAGTGAAAATGTCTGAAGAAACAAATGTTGATCAAATGAAAATAGTCGAAAAGACCGAAGCAGTTTTAATCTGTTATTCGACTCGATTAAGTGGAAGAGTGATCGAACGAGCACTCGGTTTGTATTCCTATTCATTTGATGATTTATAGTGTGCAAAGATTTCTCTCGTGTTTAGATATGATATACGAAGAATCAAATCATATGGATCCACAGATTCTCCATTGGCGACATTCACTTGATAAGATAAATCTCTCAAACAATTAAATTCACTCCATTGTCTTCATGTTCGCAACTTTTTATAAGCATAAATAAAAATCGTGTTTTTCTTCCAATAACCATGTCATGTTGTTTTTCTAGAGGTAATCTCCTCTGAAGAATACAACGGCAAGAAAAGAACTTCTTTTATCAACAAAGACATGCGATGTCTTACACTTGTTTTTATCAAAGGTTTCTCCTTTACTCATACCTTTCTCTGTTGACATATCGATGCTACAAAAACTTCAAAATAGTGATTCACAACTGTTATAAAGTGGGCGAGAAGTCGCGAATTAAGAATGAATGTCCATCATCATCTACGCCTATCGAAATTGATATTAACAACTGCAACAAGAAATCTTGAAATATTCTCAAACGCTTGACTTGATGCTTACATGAATAGTTCTGCAGAAAATTTCTAGGATGAAATAGTTGATCTTATTTGATAATGCCCACGTGAAATGAAAGATGTTGTGCAAAACCACATATGATATTAGTTCGAATCTTTTGTTTACGTGTTAATTAAAGTGAATTTTGGATTAGATAAAATTTTACGAGATTTATCATTAACTGAAACTAATTTTGATAATATAAAAGATCATAGAGCATAGAGTATTCGTCGGGAGTAACAAAATTGTTTGTATAATTATAGAATTTTGATGGTTAACATGTAGCATATTTTTATATACTTTGTTTTGTTAGCAAAACACTCTGTTTCCTTCGTGTCGCTACTGGTGAGCGAGTCTCAGAGCACTTAGCGTGACGCTGAAATGTTTTCAAAGAACAATCAGCGTGTAAAACTGATTTTCTACTTCAATGAAACGGTATTCGCTTTTTTCATAATATTGAAGGAAATGCTGGAGAACAAAGAACTTAGGAAGTGATTTTTACGCGTGCTTTATTATTGGAAATCAGTGCATGACCGTGCAAAGCTTCATTCTGAACGCTTCATGTAAATTCGATTGGAGATAACATTCTCAACAATTTTATCTCATACGAAGCAAATAATAAGAGAAATAATGTTTCAGCTGATCACAATAGATCGTATTTAGTTTTATAAAGATTATTACTGTGAAACAAATTTGTTCTTGCTACTCGATGACGAGTTACCAAACGCAGATGGTCTACTTCTGCATAGTACAATTGTCTATCACACATTGATATTGAAGTTTTTGTGCAGCTTCGCATCTTGATTTCAAGTAAAGATCATGCTCGCCATGAAAATTTTTTACATAGTTAATATTAAACAAATAACTGACTACTTGCAAGGTTTACATAAATTCTACGGATAACAATAACTCGAAAATTCGGTTCAGATTTACTTCGAGTACATCCAAATAGCACTATGCACCGACTACTACATCGAATGCGTACAATTGGTGAAGAGTGTAAATAGGGTCGAACGGTTCCATGACGTAAGTGAATTTGAAGATGAACTATTCCATGTGAACCATCGCTCAATGACTAATTGATTATTGCACATTCGATACAACTTAGATGCTCGATATAAAATCAAAATCATCTATTTTAAACAAATCTGATTATTATGTAAATACGAATTTCTGTTTAATTATACACATCCTTGCCAACCATTTCTCTGCTTGCATGGCATCAGGTGCACTTTATACGGCAATGCGTGGGCAAATATTTTTATTCTGACTCAAATTAAACCTCATGCTAGTACATGAGTCATGACTAATAGATGTATCTTCTTATCTTTGTGGTTATTTTTATAACACGTTTACAACTGAGTAATATTTAGTCATTAACAGGCAGATACCGTATGATCACATCGTCGCTGGTACAGACAAACTAATTTTCCTACGAACAAATCTTTTGCCATATGAAGAGTAATGTTAAAAAGAGAAATTCATGACATAATCTTCTCGAGCACAAAAAGGAGTACGTCTTTTTTTATTTTAAATTAGATACATTTGTAAATTGTTAGAGAAGATAAATGCGAGATTGAATTTAATTACATTTCGATTTTTATTGTGTTGTATATTTCACAATCGGCTAGTTTTTAAAAATAAACGAATAACCAGATGAGGTGTCCTATCTTTCCCTTTTCTTTTTCATATAACTGATACATATCTATGTACAAACAATTTTTGTTGTCCTTGCATAGTTAATATCGACCCTGTTCAAGATATTTTCATGAGTCTTTCACCTGTCAGTATTTTCCATTCATTCTGCTTGTGAGTTTACTCGTTAACTTCATTTCTATTTTTAGTAGTAGTTGTGTGATATCTACTCGTTTATCTAACCAAGCCGAATGGGTATGAAAAAGCTAGACCGAACACTTTCTATGAGTCTATTCGTACAGACATGGCGAGATTTTTTCAAGTTTCACGAGTTGTCCATATTTTGTTTTGAGAATATGCTTGTGAAATAACGGCATTTGCACTCAATATTATGTAAACCGAAACTAATCGAGCGTAGAACATGTTCGAAGTATTGTCAGGACCTTTCAATCGCTAGGAAAATATTGTCATATCGACTCATTCATAAAATCGTCAGGTTTTTTTATCGTTTTGACGTCACAAAAAACGTTCTCTATATTGAATAATAGTCAAGCAATAACGTCAGCGTATACATCACTGTCTGTTAGTCTTTCAGCCAATGTAAGACGCAAATTCTTCGTTTATTCGATTACGAATGACTCATTGCACTAACATACGTCATTGTGAATCATCCACGTGTGTAAACAAATTCTGATAGAACATCATCAGCTGTGTTAATATATATGTTGCTAGACAGCTCTTCTTTTCGGCATCTGTTCGCTTTTCGATAAGAATTAGATGGAATATATCTATAGTTACATACGAGACTGATGTTTCGAATGAACGCATAAGATTATATAGGCCGGATAGTCGCAGATAGAGTTCGATGGTTTAGACTCTTCTGAAATTGATCCATGCGCTGCTTTTAACGATGGTATTGCGAATGTATTCAATCCGATAACAATTTGTCATAGCAAGTAAGTCAAACAACAAAGTGTTCATTATTACGGGGAGGAATTTCTATTTCTTATTGAAAAAGAAAACAAAAGAACAAAACCGCCGAAACATAATGGTTTTTCTCTCGTGTCAAACAAGCCTATCGTCTTCACCTTTTTTCTTTTCATTCTCTCATTCAGGTATACACAAAAGAAAAATAAGGTAAAACACACAGCATGATGTTGCCAAGCGTTGCACATATATTTATCTGTATGTATACACGAGAGCAAATAAACTATTGAAAACTGGACTCGTTTATATGAAAATATCTCCAAAAACAATCTCTTTTTTTTCTCTTTCAAAACATATTTTTATTCCTTACATATTCTTTTTAGAGAAAATACATTTTTCTATACGTACATATTTTGCATATTTATTTCTTGCCATTATTTGATGGCAACAAAATCAACAACTTCATCGCGAAAATCATCGAGTAAACGACTTGGTGAGTAGATTGATATGTCAAACACACAAATCATACCATTTTCACAGGAAATTATGTAATGAAACATTTTAGGGAATTTTACAATCATATGTCCTGATTTAACTGAAGAGAAAAACGAAGCGAGTACTTACGCGTGAGTATGACGGGCTTTCAAAGATTATTTTTCAATAAATAGTTGTTTTTGGTATTTAGTTTGGAAGTACCTTCGTCGTCGACTACCTTGAATTATCATGAAAGAATCCTTGAAGTTAATACTCAACAATTCGATACACTTCGTACATTAGGACGTGGTTGTTTTGGATATGTACTCGCTGTACGAATTGAAGGCTATTCCGATGTCCAAATGGCAGTCAAAGTATTTCGAATCCAAGTGATCATGATGTGATACTCATGTGAATTATTTATACATTTGTAGAGAATTGCACTGGAGACTCAACTTGATCGTCAAACATCCACTTATACAGATTTAACAACTATTCAGAATGTTGGTTCAAAAAACTATCCGTATATTATTTCCTATTATGGAGCTGTGATTGATAAGGTAAACGATCTGTGATATTTCATCATCGAGTTGAAATTCAAATTGAATATTCGAAGGAAGCAGGTGAACTATTAATCTGTGTGGAATTGATGGACGCTTCGATGGAACGATTTTATCAAACGATGCATGCACTTAGTAATATTACCTATAAAGATCTCGATCATGTTCTATGTCGGTTAACTCATAATGTAATATATACTCTCGTGTAGTGAATTGATGTGAATAGTCTTATTTAATAGATAACATCGGCGCTGCATTTCCTTAAAACATGTCGGATTTTACATCGTGACGTAAAACCTCAAAATATGCTTGTTAATAAACACTCTATCTTTAAACTATGCGATTTCGGCATTAGTCGTCAAATGCGCATTTCACAATCCATAGGCGTTGGAGCTGTCCAAGGCACTGAAGCCTATCTACCAGTATGTAAAAAAACGAGATATATTTAATGAAACTTCTGTTATTTCACAATAGCCGGAATTGATCGGTGGTGATTCGAGTCAAACATATGGTATCCGTGCTGACATGTGGGCATTGGGATTAAGTTTATTCGAAATTGTTGTTGGAAAGAATCCATTCGCACAAATGGGCTCGTTTCAAACGATAACCACCATTCGTTCATGGAGTCCAACTATACCAACGAGCCCGAAAATTTCTGATGATATGAAACAATTAATTTTACATTTGTACGTGAAAATGTTTTTTTTACCTTTCGCATGATTCATTGGTTTCGTTGATTTATTTCTAGATTGAAACGAAATCTTGAAGAACGGCCAAGAACATACCTTGAAATACTCGATGTACCCTCTATAAAAGATGTCAGTGAAAATCCGTCGGATGAAGAAAAAGCATTTGTAACCTATGTATTGGATAATATACCTCCAGTAAATGAATAAACAATTCATGAACGATTTTTTCTTATCGAATTAACCAAATTTACGTGATCTTAGAAAATCATATATAGCAAAATCTTGCAAAAAATTTATCATGACAATTATCATGGGGTATAAGACAATAAACATATATAAATCAGAACTGTTCTATAATGGTTGATTCTTTATCTAATCGAATGGCTATAATCATTAAACGTGATGTATGCAAAATGTGTATTGGTTAATTATAGCTAAGAGGCAAAATGCACTTACTATTTAAAAGTCACTTGTCTCAAAAACGAACACAGATAAGAGCTCACCATTTCTAATGTTACAAATACTCACGATCAGCTGACGCTTTTTTTTGCTTTCTGCTTAGTTGAAATGAGAAAGTTGCCTAAATATCTTTGATTCTGCAACAAAACAAACAGATGAACTTGTATGTCTGTAATATCCATACTCACAGCACAGATTACAGTACCATACAATATATTTTATTCTGATCACAGAAGCAAACAAGATGTACAAAAAACATTGAACAAATCAGTTTTTTGTTCGTTTTGATTGTTTCATAACAGTGTGTTGCACTATTTCTCTTTCCGATTCTTCTAAGTTTCGTTCTTCAATATCAAATGAACTGTTTGTGTTCGGCAAAGCGTGGTGAAAAGCAAATGAGCCGTCCTCATTTTGAGAAAACCGTGATTTAAACTGAAATGTTGTTGAATCTTTGTAAATATTAAAATACCATTGTTCCAATTGAGCATGCTGTGTATTACTATCTGATTTACAATTGTAACACTGTTTGCAAATGAGGAGAATAATATTTTTCATCTGCGGATCATTCGGATACAAAACTAAACCGATTTTCGATCGCTTACATGAACAATTGTGAATTGAACAATCAAATGCCTTCGATATTGATGCTGTTCGCGTTGAATTTGTAAGCGCCTGCATGTTATGATCACTGATTGGATGGAATATTGTTTGGTACATCTACGAACACGAAGCCATGAGTGATAGGATGAATGCAATCGCTATCACTTGGATTTATACATACGACTATCGACTTGTTGATTCGAAATTATGACGACAGCAAATACGATGAATAAACAGCAGTGTTTATATAAAACTAAAACCAAACATTTTCCCACTTATTGCTGACAGAACGTAATAGTAATAGACGACATTTGAAAAAAAAATCGTGTAAAGCAAATAATGATTTGATCGGTTCGTTAGAGTATGTTTATTCGATACTTTATTTACGGGTTTTATTTCAGGTAAGGTGAATTCTGTTGACAGAAACAGTCAGAAGTGAATAATTCTAACACGAATTAGTGCTTCATAGATTTTTTTCAACGTAAAAGAACATTTTCATCGTAGCAAGAACGACTTTATTTTTAGAATAACATAACCTTTGAGAACAATTTTCAATACACAATATTAGATAATATATTACATAAACTTCTTTCTCATCAATCGTTCCTTCTTCCTCTCAAATACAAAGCACTACACACAATGAAATGTACATACAAAAAGAAAACATTGATAAACAATTTACATGACCAGAGTCTTCGTACTAAAATTAGTTATAGAAGAATCTGATGTGAATCCGTATGTAGTTGGTATTGAAATCGGTGCTGGCGATTCTTGTTTGATTTCCAAGACAAGATTTTCGGTATGCGTTCTTAGATGATCACCAAATTTTTTCAAAGGAACCCATTTCATACAATGTTTCCATAGGCATCGTTGAATCTTCAAATAGAAACTTCGAAAAACAACGGCGCATATCGAACGATTTATACATACGGTAGATGAGTGTTGAACATGGAAAAGTCGAGCGTGAATGAAAACATCTTCACGGCGAGAGAAAGGTTGTCGACAAGAAGCATACTATGCGAAAAGGAAGAACCATTGAATTGAGGATATCGGAATGATGAATGAAAATTTACTTCACATCGATACACCTGATTGATATCACATTGAAGAACCTCAATTGTTCCACTTTCCATTCCGCAATAAACCTACGGAGAAAAAATACTCAAATAGATAATGATCGACGATGTTTTAGACTTCGTACGAGATTATTTTTATAGATCATCGAAATGATCGACTGACTCGTTGAAGTTGTGAGTTGCTGAATTAGTTCGTGTGTTTGAGTATTGAATATTTTAATCAAACCGTCAAGTGATGAAGCAATTAACAGGTGTTGCTGTTGATTCATAGCGATATTTGTTACCGCTTTTTCAAATTCATTGTATTCATAGATAATTGTACCATTCAGAAAATTGTGCACAACAATTTTCTTATCTGCTGAACAACTGTAGAGTAAGTGATGTGTAGAATCAACGATCAATTGCCGAGGAGATTTTGTATGACCTTAATTCAATGAAGTTTCTTTCGTCTGAAGTGCTTTTGTTAGGATACCTGATAATGTCAATCGTCGTTGTTCATTCAGTAAGGAAATAACTACAATCGATCCATCAAACGATGATGCTATCAATAAATGCCGTCCATCGGGGTCGCGTGTTGCTGCTACAGCTGAAACAACGTATGGTGAGCACTTGATTGTATGAATGACACACATCTATTGAGCATATTTACAGACATATTTTGTCGAGAGAAAAAATCTTAATCCGCGAACCTTTTTCAAGGAAATAAATGCCACTTCACCTGAACCTAAACCAACCATCAATATATGAAACTTCACAGCTGTACAATGTACGGGTGCTGCAAGCATAATTTCTCCTTTCGGCTCATGTGATGGATGATCTCGATATAATCTGACTGTTTGATCAAAACCAGCAACGCACAATATTGTTCCCCCAAATCGTTTACAATGTGCTACTTGTAACGTTTGTGTACCACCATTTGGTGTGAATATCGGTTGATGGCGAGGATGTTCGGTCAAAGTTTGTATTTGATAAAATCTTACTTGACCATTGAGAGAACACGAATAGAGTATACCACGATACATTCGTAAACAAACAATGGGACTTTGATGATTCGTTGTCATAATACCTGGACGTGGTTGTTGGTACTTCGTACGTTGATGAGTTTTGCCCAAACGTCGACGATGCATTATACGCCAAACTTTATAATAATTCACTGGAGGATAGTATTGAATAGATGTGACTTTTGGCGCCAGAAATGAATGAGTACCAACACGACGTCGTTTAAGGACGTTACCAAGAATTTCTGCACCAACAGTTGATCGAGCTGTCGTACGAAATAATCCAGAACACGTACCTAGGAGAAAATCGATCAATTGTTGACCAGAAATGGTAATTAAATCGCATGACTGATCGTCGTCAACTTTCTAATTGAAATAAGAGAGAAAGATCGAGAAATTGTTTTATATCCAACGAAGGTGAAGTGTTGAAGTACCTGTTTATTGGATATTCGTTCAAGTTGATCTCGTACATAGAAAACTTTCATTTCGAAGGGTTGTGATTGATCATATGGCGACTGTTGTTGCTGTAGGTTAACTAACCGAGAATGATTAACCATTTTTTTCATAGATTTATTAAAAAATTGTCGATTGATGTTATCCATGTCTTTTCGCTCAACGAAATGATGTCGAAGATTTGATCGTTGAGCAATTTGTAAGCATAATTGAGAGAGAATATCTCGACCACGACGAGATGACAAAGAACCAAGAAATGTACAACTAACAGATGATGGTAAAGAGGAAGTGACTATGTTCTGTTGAACAGAGCTGTTTGTAGGCTCTGTCTTAGACATGCTTTTCTTCGAGTAAGTTTAAATTGAACAAAATTTATGAGTAGAAGTTGCTATATGGATGTAGAACATAAGATAGATGATCGGTCAAACACAAAAAAGTTAAGTCAGAACTATATTGCAATTCGCAACAGGAATCGATTTTAATCTGCCAATTGGATGACTGTCGTACGCCTCGACAACATCAAACAGCTCATAATTCAGTACAAATGAACTTGGATACCGTCATACTTATGTTTGTAGGTCATTTTTTGGAATAATTATGTATATTTTATAATTATACAATCCTGATGAAGATCGTGGCAAAGTTACAAGGCTTTCAAATCGATAGATGGCGCTGTTATTTACCAAATATCACAACTGTCACGAAGCTGATGTAACAGAATGCAATATAGTTATAAGTGAAGGTACATTTGCTAATTTTGGTAATCATGTGAATCTGACCAGATGGCTACACATACCGTCTGTAAATCTTTGGCCTCAATCAATCTATTCTCGGTTGTCAAAGGGCACAAGTATTTGCCTACAAGATTAAGGTGCGAATACGTACGAGTTCACAGCTGTGTTTTGTTCGCACAGGATAGATAATGCATGGTAACTTTAGACAAAATAGGATATAAAAGAATATTTGTCGTTTAATATCATTAAAAATCAGTAATATCACAATGCGGACCATCTTTGTCCTTCTTTTCACGGTTCAACTGTTTATTCTTACAAATCAACAAGGTTTGTATTGTTGAAACTCACACATTTTCCTATTTTTATCGGTACGTGAATTTCTTATAGAAATCCTATCTCTATATAGGCGGAAGGTATTTGGTAGCTTTTGGAGATTCGTTTACAGCTGGCGGTGATTCAAAATCGTATCCACATATAGCAGCAGGTTTATTAAATTGGCAAGTCCGTAATTTTGCCGTCGGCGGAGCTAAAACACACAATATATTTGCACAATTAATCAACGGTGGCACTGTGTTACCATTAGCCACTCACGTAGTTCTAACCATCAGTGGTAATGATGTAGATGGTATTGGAAAATTGGTAAATATCGCTCGAGTTAATGTCACAGCATTCGAAGAGCAATGTACTAAGTTGAAACCAACACTTGTCTCTACTTATAAGCAAATCAAAGGTGCAGTTCGTGCTGAAACAAAAATCTATGCTCTGCCGTACGTCGATTTCATTAGCGTTGGAAATAGAGTTCCTTATGAGTATGAGTCTCACAAAATACTTCAAATATTGAATAAGCTTGTTGAAGACGCAGCTGCTGAAGCGAATATCTACTATGTGGCAACTGTCGTTTCGGCCTTTCTCGGTCATGAAATGTATTCTTCAGATCCTTATATAGATGATTTTCAGCATCCAACAAATGCAGTTCATCCTAATTTGAAAGGTTATGCTAAAATCGGTGAAGTCCTTGCTGCTTATCTACAAGTTAATTCATGATGAAAAGAATCTATTATTTGTAACATCGTTTCATGTGCGAATAAAGACAACGCACTTGGCTTTGATCTTCAAGATTTTCTTGAATCAAAATATCTACAATTTTCAATTACTCTATTGTATGAATATGATATAAATGAATGTTTGTTCAATACAGTTCTTCAACATAAATTATGTATATTAATAGACAAGAAACAAGAAGAGAAAACATTGAGTAAAAAAAGCATCTGGGGATATTCATCACTATTACGATTCAGTACTATTGCATTGCGCAGCAACTTCAGTATACGATTTGCCTGAGCACAGCCAACACCCCGAAAGTATTGGTTGATCGAGCAATTTCAAAAGATGATCGTGGTTACTATTCACGTTGTCACTTTGTTTTGCATTCAGCATTGCTATGAGAGATTTTCGTAATTGGTTTAATTCTAATTGTTGATTCTTGACTTGCTCTATAATTGTATTAATTTCGTTTGTTTCATAATCATCCGTCATCGTGCCAATTGTTGCTGTCTTCTTTAATGTAACAGTCGATTGTGGAAGTCTCTTCATATCTGAATTCTTATATTCAACAACCCATTCGGAAGGTGATTCGTGGTGAGCAGTAGTGTTGTTATTTGCAGTTGTTTTGATTCGATTTTGATCACTTTGTGATTCGCATACTGTACCTTTTGATTGTTTAACAAGTTTGATTTGTTTTCTTAATCTTTGGTAAAATTCTTTTCGTCGGTGGAGTATTTTTTCTTGTTCGGCATCACCAGCATTAAACTCGCTCATTAATGAACCACATTGCTCATTCTCGTTACTATCATCAAACGATTGCACTACTTTTGTGGCTATTGAACAATCTGATAGAGGAAACTGCGGCGGAGATGAACGTTTAGGAGGTTCTTCTTCATCACAGTTATCAATGAGAAATGCAGAAAAAGGAGTTTTCTCATTATTTGTTTGTACATTTGCTTTATCAGTATTAATCTGACAATGAATAAACAACATAGAAACAATCGGTAAAAAACTTTGATATACTTACAGTTGGAGATAACGATGGTGATTGCTGATCATGGATGGACAAAACTTGATCTATTGCACAGATATCATCATCACCGACGACGTTGTTAACTAAATGCAGTGAACTATTTCGAAGATTCACACTGTTTCCGTGCGGTTCAGTCGTTGAAACAGATTGATGATTAGCAAAACGTATCTGATGCACCGTTGATGAATTAATAAAAGATCTTTGCTGCTGCTGTGGTATGCGAGGTATTGTTTCTAGATATTGCGTTCTTTGGCCGATACTTTCATTTGCCATTGTCACCTTCACTGAACAAACTCGTATTTGACGTTCATGTGGTACTATTGGACGTAGCATTGATGAAGGAATGATTCTTGTAATTGTTGCTGGTCGCGGTGGAATAGGACGACACGAATGGATTTCGTTTGAATGTGACTGATCTTGGTGGTTCATCGTATCTATTAGATGAAAAATATTCATTTATTTTTCGTTGTCAAAGTTCAAGCTCTGACATGTGACCTTTATTTCTTTAACATAAATTTAAAGAGTATACAAAAAGGGTAGGTGCATATGTATGTATACCACAAAACAAAAACCAGGAGAGTTCTTTCATATTTACATTTGTAAAGAACGAGAGCAAAAAAAAATAGAAAAACTGTACATATGTATAGAATTCATTCGATGATGTTTTCGTGAGATCATCAAACAGAGTGAACAAAAAATGACGAAAAGTGTTCGACCAACTAAAAAGAATAGGCAAGAAAACAACGATTGTCTTATTGATAAGGAAGAATAATGCACCATTCAGAAAATCATTCGTGTAGGGTTCATAGAAGTGAATTTTCATGCTTCTGTGACTGTGCTATAGATCATTGATTGATACGTATCGTAAACGTTTGTGTAATGCTGGTGAATGTTCGTCAATGATATAAGAAAAACGAAATTGGTCAGCATTCGCGGAATCAGAGTCACGTTCGTAACGAACGAATGGAAGATCGTCTATTGAATTTATCGAAGGTTTCTCGGCAGGCTTCGATAGTTTTGGGAGAACAATTGTTGAAGAATTCGTGAGGGTTAATGGTACTGGTTTCGCAGCTGAGGGAACAACAATAAGTGTGGGCTTTGCTACTGATTGTTGACTGGACGGAGAATCTTTCGAAGATGGTATTGATTGTGCACGAATTGTTAATGGTGATGGTTGACGAATCGTGTCAAATGATGGTAATGGGTCTGATGATTTTACAACTAGCAATGGACGCGAAATAACCGGAGACGCCGAAGGTAAAGATGGAAGATTTGAATGATTAACTGTTGATGGTTGTGGTTGATGGTGAATTACATAAGATGAATAGGGTGTTGCTGAAGTTGGTAGTCGAGAATTTATGACTAAAGCAAACAGACCGATTTTTCGAGCTTTTTTTAGAATACTATTAAGTGTGTGCTGATAAATCTACTAATAAACACCGATTGATCACTTACCTGCGGAGTTGTTATTCAAAGATAAACATGTCGTATTAGATACTTGTTGCCCATTGACACGAACAGTTTGTGGTGCTGGTAAATAATAGGTTTGTTGAGATTGACTCGATGATAATGAAGAATTGTAACTTCCATTCGCTAATGCAGCAAGTACAGCTGCATTAGTATTCGAAGATGGATTCTCACAGAAAGAATTTTTCGTTGATATTGATCCATTTGTCGACATAGATGTCTGACTATTTGATTGTATGAGATTTCTATTTGTTTGAAAAGAAACACGTTGCATTGGTTGATCATGCGTGAGTATATTTTCATTTGTTTGCTGATTTGTATTGTGTAAAATAGACATTGTTTGTGTTGTCAATGCTTCAGTATTAAAAATCAGACTTGGCGGTGATGCAGATACAGGTGGATGAGGATGTTTCGATATCATCTGACCCGAAGGAATCTTGCCACCGTATGGTTTTAGTCTTTCTTCTGACAATTCCGAGAATGGCGTGTTACTAATTCTTATAACTGTTTTCTGCGAGACATCGTCTGTATCTTTGATTTTGATATCGGGAAAAGTGATCTCAGCTTCGTTTAGCGAATGTAATGATCCATTTACAAAATCTCGTAGTTTCCTTAAACCAACATAGAACGGTAATTTGTCCTCAGCACGAGGTAATTGGGAGCAACGAGCACTTGAAGATGGCATAACAAAAACATGCTAGAGAAAGAAAAACGCCAACGAATTCACTGTATGTTTTACATTTGTTTCTTTAATCAAATATTTACAGTATCTGTTCCAAGAAATAATTCTGGCTGTTTTCCATAATGAAAATGTTTATTTCCTGCATAAACCTCATAGATACCTAGAATTACCGAAGAACTTCTCCATCAGACATTTTCACTACACAATTCTTACCCCGTCCATTAAATGCAACAATTTTCGGCCGATACGTTTTAATTTTCTGCATTAAAATCTCCGCACCAGCTGTAATCTCATTCCTAAACAGAAACATTCACTAAAATAACAAGTAAAACACACTTTCATACTTTGTTATATCCGACCCTGCTTTCGATGGTCTTTGTACAATATTTGTAAAACCAATTCCATACTGTAGCATACGATAGTCATCATTTGCATTCAACACATCTGGTATTAAACCAGACATATGTAATAATTTCCAAAAATGATTTCCTGGTCCACCATAATGATGTCCCTTGTGCACAGCATAAAGACTTGGATTGACTCCGACCTAAATTTTGAAAAAGTTCGAAATTAAGTAAGGTTATTCAAGATAATTTACAAAGACAATATCAAGATTCGGCTGGAGAATATCCTGAAGAACACGTTGAGATAGTTCCTCCTCGGTTGTCCCATCGAAACGATTTGGATTTGTCAATGTGGTGGAAGACTTTCGTTTATTGTTCGTTGGCGTGGTTTGTGGTGATGACGGAGAAGCCGTTTTATTCATTATGGGTGACACCATAGTATTCGAAGGTGAAGATACTGTTGAACTTTGAGATAAACCATTATCGACTTCCATATGCGTACTAAAAAAAGAAAAACGTTCCGAAAATTGCCATAGAAAAACAGATGTTTACTCTTGAGTCTTCGATTCGTTTTCATGATCACGTTTAAGTGATTGTTTTAATTTTGCAAGAAAAACTTCAGCAACTTCATCCGAACCTAATGTGTTTTTCAAAGCACTAAAATACCCAAAATGAAGATTATTGAAAAGAAACTCCGTCTGACATACATCAGATCACCACCGGATTCGAGATTTTTTTTGAATGTTTGCATTAAAACATTCTTCACACTATCCAATGCTTCATCCAAAAGTTCTTGTGTATGACTAAAAAGACAAATAAAGATATTCATTATACTATCGAGTCGAACAAATCAAAGATGGATTTTACGTTTCATTCGCTTGACTCAATGAAGATGTCGTTTGTTGAGAATTCGACGTTGACGTCAAGGAACTATAGTGGCCATTTGCCGATGTAGTTTCATGTGTTGTCGAACAATCTTGTTGTTCATTGACGAGATATTCCGTTGACATGGAAAATTATATCCTCATTGACAAATTTTCTTGTTCATAAGAAAAAAAACTCTAAACAAATACAGACAATAAAGCGAACGCTAAGTGGAGATACACATGTATTGAACTATATATATTATAGCCAATTGTGTTCGATGACAAGAGGAAAGAAAATAAACGAAAGAGAATAAGAAGAAAAAAAAAGAAAGAAAGAAAGAAAGAAAGGAAACCGTACATTCCAACTCAAACAAGCAGGATATGTCTATTTGTCTAAGTATATATGAATACGCATATAGAAAAAGGAGAAAAAACATGTATACAAGGCCTTTCTTAAAAGATGAAAATATCGAATAACGTAACAGATGAACCAATCAGTGAAATGATCTGTTTGGTCATTTATAACAGATTTTGTCTGATAAATGTGCACAATAAAGTACGAGATCTCAAAGTGATACACAGATCATCAATGGGAGCTACATTTAATCACTTACGTCATCGGGATTATTCAGCGGATGGTACGATCTTAAGTAATGAATCAGAAAGAAGAAAAGTTTACTAATGTCCATGCAGGAATATTCAAGGCAGCAATCATTCTCATTCAATTGTATTTCGATCGAACAAGTCCTCAATCGGTACGTGCAAATTTACAAGCATCGTGTAAATCTATTGATTTTTAGGCATGCGATTCCCTATTCAACGTATCTGTTTCATATTTTCTTATATTATGTTTTTTCAAGAACATCAGTTGACAATTTGGATTTTTATTCGTTCTCATTCACGTTTGAGGTGAATAAACAAGATCTGAACTGATCAATATTGTGCATAGAGAAGAAAAAAAAACAATAAAATCGATCTGTACATAATGGTGTATTGTCAAAGAGTAAAAATATACTGATTCCTTTCGTGAATTTCTTAACCAATATACCTCCTCGCCACGACATCTATATAAGTACTTGAAAGAGTGTCGAACTTTTTGGTACCATGGATTATATACAAGTAAAAATACGCAGCATTACTAATTCTTTTAAAAGCTATTGCCATATTTATTGCTCATATCCTTAAGAAAGAGGATTTTCCTAGGAAATAAACATGAATATATGTATGATTTCTAGATGCAATATACATTCCGCAACGATATATTCCCCATAGATTATTAAGGTCGTCTTGACAAATTGTAAACGACACATTTTCACATAAATATAGAAAAAAGTAATCGTGACAACACCTGATCTTGAACTTTAAGCTATACTAAACAAGCGCAGTGTTATAAATATTCATACTGCTGGTTTTTCGTTAGATTAATTTTTATTTCAAAGAATAAAGAAATAATGAGAAGTGATGCGTAAAAGCGCAAAGGAACGTCTAACAGTTTTCCCTAAAGAAAATATCTGTCTAGTCCGAACAGTTTTACTAATAAATATCAGGTACAAGAAAATATGGGTGTATGACTATATTAATGACAAATTCAATGCACACATTTTGTCGAAAACTAGATTCTATAATACATCTTCAATAATCATCTTCTTCTCTTTCATCAATATCGTCAAAAGAAATTTTTTGCTAACTAGTGACAATGGTATAATTAGTCTCGAAGATCGCTTAGTCAACTGACATGAATAATGCTGTTCTAAAGGCATGCTTTGATATTTAACATTTGAGAAATTTAATAGACAGGATATGAAATTACTAAATTACGTTCATACCTTCGGCTAAAAGGTAAAAATAAGATTATGAATCATACTTCTATTAACCATGATATTGCTAGTAATATGTATATAAACTTTAACTATTCACTGACTACATTAGTGCTTCTCTGAATACAAATGATATACTATAGATGAAATCAAATGAAAATATTCGTAACAAAACTATGTGTGCGATTCTGTTCGAGATGCTAATACATTCAAATATGACTAATTCTTTATTCGAATCGTTCGATCATTGCCAGTATTGAAATCTTTACATATTGCTAATAACGAATCGCAATTATTATACGACATGAAGGCATATACAATTAACAATAATCAATCATATTCAAGGAGAGAAATAATGTCGAATGAATTTTAGGTGAAAGAAACTGAGTATCGTAGATTCCAAGTTATAGATTGTAATGGAGTGTTTTACAAGAGATGACACACGGTACGATTCTTTTTGTTAGGTTTATCGGAACGTACAGAAACCCTTTTTCCTCATTAAAGATATGATATAATCTTCTTGTTTTTCCTTATTCAAATGCAACAAAACTTATAAGCTACAGTAAAACTCCTGCTAGTAAATGTTTATCTAATATGGTCAGTCTATCTCGTTGAACCCTTGCCGGTTGTACCATGTGAGTTTTGATCCTTTTCTACATGAACTGCTACTTAATGTGAACGTTTTCGGTTGATCCCATCGGTGTTCACATTGAAAAAGTTAAATCTCTATTTCCGTTTGTGTTTTGTATACCAATTTCAGCTGCTGATTACACTTTTCTCATTTATATAGTGATTCTCAATGTCTTCAACTCGATCCCAAATGTGTTTTCCGAAATCTAACTCAGTGATCATTTCAATCTTAAGAAGCAAAGTATCAAAAAGATTGGACGAAATATTTTATTACTTTTTCAATTGATTATGTTATGGTCGGATCTTTTTCTATTATGCATGTCATGGTTTGATTCTATGACTAAAGGGCTTTTTCTTTTTACCCGACATATGTCATGTCACATTAACAACCATATCCAATCATTACTGAACTCTATAAGAATTCAATGATAGATGGAGCTTGAAAAGGTAAAAGATGACTTTTTTTTAAAATAAAACATCATTTGCAAAAGAAAAACAAAAAAATAAATAATTTTTTTCTTTGTTTACTTATAATGAAAATTCCTACATAGAACATGATTACTGGGTAGTTTTTTTCTCGAAAGATGAAGGTAAAAGTCTTATCTGATTCATAGTCATATCGTTCTCTTCTTTCCATAGTCGATAGACGTATCCGTATATCCACGTGAAATAACGGAGGCCATTTTCTTCATAATTCACGTTCGTATATATATATATGTATGTTTCGTTTCAGATGTTTTTTGTTATTTATCTTTGTTAACAAATATGAAAATTGATCGATCGAAATTGAAAAAATATCTGCCGGAACCCGTAAGAGATTTTTTGAAAAAAAATCTTTTTTGTTTATTTTGTTTATTTATTTATTTTTTTTAAATTTTTCTCAGCCGGCTGATTGTAAATTATTCATTGATAAATTAAAAAGTTGTGATCGAAAAGAACTTCATGAACTATTAAAACCCATAACCATATGGCATATCGGAAAAGTGAGTTCACACACATGAATGATCGAATAAAATATTCGTTCGAAAACTGAAATTTCACTTTGTTCTAGTTTAAGAAAGTTAGTCTTGAAATTTCGTTGTTCTTTTGCAATTATTTGTTGAATTGCGATATATTTCTCATTGAGTCTGACACCGAATCTTTCTATTTAGTGTGAACTTTATCATTGGATCGACGCATTGGATCTATTCGATTCAATTCTAGAAGAAGCTTGTGTAAAGACTGGAACATGGATGCTTAATTGTGATAAACCAGAAAATGCGGAAGTAATGCTAAACATTTTCGAGTGTCGACTCGATCATAATTTCATTTTTGGTTGATTCTAGTTAAAGATCTTAGTACTTGATATTCTCCATTTTACTGCATTGCTAATTGAACATTCGTATTCGCGTCATTTATATAACTCTATTGAATATTTAATCATGTTATTACAATCATCTGATGTACATATTGTACTTGGTGTTCTTTCACTTCTCTATGTATTCAGTAAACGTTCGAATTTTATCACAAGACTTCAACATGATAAAAAACAAGCATTGATTGGTCGGCTTATATTCCTAGCCGAAGTAAGAGAGATGATCTTTGTTCGAAAGAGAATCATTTTTCGTTTTCATTTACTTTTTAGACTTGGGGTGGGCGAGAGAATGGTTTCGATTTAGCTCGCTGTTGTAGCTTTCGTAATCCTGCAGTAAGTACTGTCTCTCCTACTCTTCTATCTAGTTTTCTGTGAAATTCATAGGATTTTCCTGAACACGCCACGAATCTGCATTTTGCATATACAGTCTCATCGGAAGCATCATCAACGAACGGTCCAACAATGGTGAGCATAAGAAGAAATTCGTTATTCATTAATGAACAAAATATTTCTTCTTCTAGCAAATTCCTAGACAAATTGATATTCCAAATGTTCATCTAGCTGGACCTAATGCTGCTGCTGTGATGGAACTCGCACTTGCTGAGCATACTTTACCAGAAGACAAGCAAATCAAACTATTTACTCATCTTCGTTTAGCGTATTCATTTCCATCATTCGAACAACGCTTACTGTGTATCCAAGCACGCTTACAAGCCTTATCCATACTTGGTAAGATACGAAAATATGATGAAGAATGTTTTGATACACTGGATTTTCTCTTGCAGTGTATTCTGCAGCCATACAAGAAGCAAGTAATGTTCTCTATGATGGACTTATTGAGGAATTGGTTGAAGTATTGAACGTTCGCGATCCGACATTGACAGTATGTTGAAAACTTCACTTGTACTCGAAAGAATGATTCGTTTTTTAAAGGATATAAAAGCATCGGCTTTGAAGACATTAACATCAATAATTCATCTCGAGCGGACGACAAAGTAAGTCGTATTACAGTCAATCTTTCGATTTTATGCATTGTTCTGTGTAGACATCCACCACGTTTACAAGAAATCATCGAAGCAACACAAGCAAATTCTTATCATGGATTTCTCCCAGTTCTCGTTCGACAATGTATCGACAAATTAACTGGTAAATCTCGTTTCTTTTCCTCGTTTGGGACTTTTCAGCTGAACATTATTCTTCGTTATTAGACGATAGTAATGAAAAATTTCCACAGTCGTTGTCAACAGCATTATTTTCATTTCTCTATCATCTGGCATCGTACGAAACAGGTGGCGACGCACTAGTAAACTGTGGTATCATGCAGTCGTTGGTTAAAGTCGTGAACTACTACGATGAATCTCAAGATTTTATTATGGTAACAAAAAAGATTTGGTTGACCGTTGAAATCAACTGTTGAAACTTTTCATTTCAGTTTGTCACACGTGCTGTTCGAGTGATTGATTTAATTACATCACTAGATATGACATCATTTCAAACTAACAATGGTTTACAAGCATTTATTAATCGTTTAGAAGTAAGTTTATTTAATTGATTGGTTCTAGTCAGTGTCAAGCATGAGGTCGTATGTACAAGCTCCTATCGAAGCATTTCTATGATCATCTGTGAGTAGAAGTGTCAATGTGAGAGCAAGAGTAAAACCTAACAAGAACGGTCGCAATTTATATCTCATCTTCATATATAAATAGCATTACCAACTTGTTAAACAAACAGATCTTTTGTTTTTGTTTCCGTTCATATTCGATTTTAAAAACATTCATTGTATTTTCAGCATGAAATAACTCAATGTCGTAAAGAACAACCATTTACCATTCGCATACCTAAACGTAATCAGGGCACACCGACTGCACATCTGGATAGTCATCCACCCTTATCTCCAGGTGCTCAATCGGATATATCAGGCGAACATCCGTCGGTAACAACAGCAAATACAACGGCGAATTCAACTATACACTTAGGTAAAGATATGGATACAAGTGAATTTTTCGAAGAACATCAAGAATCAATTCCTCAAAGTCCAATACCAGGTTTAACGTGTTACCATCAACGCGCTGCACTACTTAAATCGATCTTAAATTATTTGAAAAAAGCCATTACAGAACCAACAATGGCAGACACAACACGTCATATTATGGATGGTTCGTTACCGAATTCTCTTAAGCACATCATCAGCAATGCAGAATATTACGGACCATCGTTATTTCATTTGGCAACTGATGTTGTCACCTTATTCATCTTTCAAGAACCTTCTCAACTATCATCTCTGCAAGACAATGGTCTAACAGATGTTCTAATGCACGCCTTGTTGAAAAAAGATGTACCAGCTGCTCGCGATGTGCTCTCATCGTTACCGACCATTTTCAGCTCTTTATGCTTGAATACACGTGGTCTAGAGAATTTCATGGAATATAAACCATTCGATAAGTTATTCCGTGTTCTTCTCTCACCAGAATATTTACCGGCCATGAGACGACGACGTGGCACAGATACAGTCTATGGTACAGCATCAAATCTTGGCAATGCAGTCGATGAATTAATGAGACATCAAGTTAGTTTACGTACAGAAGCAATGAAATCGATTATCACTTTACTTGAACAATTGGTTGAAATTGGAAATAATCCGAAATACTGTTGTCAAAAACCACATTCGTCGTCCTCCTCATCAACAGCAAGTAAGCTAACTGATACAATACGCACACAACATCGAACAGTGCGAACAACGAATACAACAAATGCGAACACGGCAGGAAACGATCGAAATTCGTCCGATGATGAATACGATGATGACGAAGCAACGAATGACGAAGCACCTCTAGCTAATCGATCAGCACCACCAACAACAGCAGCCACAACACCACGCGGAAGCATAATCACAACAACGGCTACGACTCCAACTGCGGCTGCGGCAGCAACGACTACATCTGGAGTGTCAACCTCACCGGAAGCAACAGCAAACATTCCTATTGTTCTTAATCAAACGCTATTAAGTGAAAATAAATCTGAAGATGAATCAGTACCTATCGCCGTTCCATTATTAGATTATATTACGAATGTAATGCGTTTCGTTGAAGGTGTTATCAGTAATAATACAACCGATGATCATGGAAAAGAATTCGTTAAACTAGGCGGTTTAAAACCGTTATTAGACATTCTACAAATGAGAAATTTACCAATCGATTTTCCATCAAGTCAAGCATGTCAATGTGTTGCAGCATTGTGTAAATCAACATTGACACTTCTTGTCAAAGATAACAAACTAATCGAAATGGTTATAACAAATCTTGACAATATACTTAATTCATTAACAGAATTTTATTCCGCTCGTACGTACGACGGTTCGCTATTGATCGAAGAATTAGCTCGTGCGGTTTCATCATCAACACCAATTGATCCTATTGATGCAATTAATCAATCGTTACTAACGCCTACGCTTCATCGACTATCCATAGTTCATTCTCATATCTCGTTATTAATATCTTTATGCAAAATAAGTCAAACGGATGTTCGTGGAATTTTAATTAGTTTCTGGGGTACGGAAACTGGCTTGCGGGTGCTGAGAAACTTAAATAAACTATGTTTGACATTGATATGGGAAAGTTCGATATTATTATCATTGTGTTCTTCGGAAACGAATCTTATTGATCAACAATTCAACAAAAATGATTTATTGAAATTATTTCCATTGATTAATGATTTAACAAATACGATTTCACCGTTGCATAACGTCTCAAATCAATTGAACGACTTGACAACTAACGAAACTACTCGAACATTCGATGTTGATGAAATTATTTCGATGGATACAAGTGATTTCACCAAATTGAAACTAAAGTTGTCATCTAACATTCAGCAACGAATCAAAACTATCAAACCACTACTATGTGTTTCATCGAAACTTGGCCGAGCATTGGGCGAACTTTACAATTTACTTGTTCGACAATGTTCAACGTCACAAATGCGACATGCGAGACGTTTTAATCAACAGCCAACTGCTTACACACCAACCGCATCAGCGAAATATGTCACATCGACGTTAACCGAAGTTTTACGCGACGGATTTTCGTTTCATTTGCCAGCAAATAACAATTTATCTGAAAGTCAAATCGAAAAATTTCGTTTAACATTCTTCGTATGTACAATAGGTTTTGCCACTCCAATGCTATTCGATGAACGTCGTCGTCCATACATGTTAATGTTACAACAGTTTGAATCGTCCAAAGCTCAAGAAGCTTTATTTTCGGCGCTCGAATGGACGCTGAATTTAATCAATCGTCAATCTCAATCAACTGATGATCAACAACTCTCCCAATTAAACAACAGCTACGATGCATCACCCACAGAATTTCTTAATTCAGCGCTGATGCTTATCTTACGTTTGGTCAATGTGAAATCGATTTTGGAATCTCCGTACTCGATTGCGAAAAAGTCGCAATTAGAAGGAACACATTATACACCGTTCAATCCGTTACATTACTTAGCAGCAACACATAAATCTGCATTTCATATTCTAACAAATTCATATTCAGTTCTATGGGACAAGCCGTATCTACTGAAAGATCATGCCACAAAAATTATCGACAGCATACTCTCAATATTTTGTCATATTTTACGTGGTGAATCACAAATTCAAAAGAAGCTCCAAGACGAAGAACAACTACAACAACAGCAACAACCACAACCACAACAGCCGAATGCAGTTTTGTCATCCACAGGTTCATCCAACGATGTCAATCAACAGCAGCCATCATCGGTAGACGCAGATCTTGCTGGTTCATCGGGCTTACATGGAAACAATGCCGCGTCATTGAATGAGGACTATATTCAGTCGATTACATCTATGGGCTTTTCACGCGAACATGCCATCGAAGGCCTCATGCAAACCAATAATAATCTCGAATTAGCTGTGGATTATTGCGTTAGTCATCCTCCAACAATCGTGGCACCGCAACCACAAAGTAATGTTCCTGATATGGATGCTGATATGGCATGTGCTTTACTTTTATCACTAGGTCAAGAGGTAGATGGAGCAGCTTTGGCCAATCCAGTCGCAGCATTAGCTGCTCTATCTAGAGATAATAATAATACTGCCAGCAGCGAAGCAAACGCAACATCAACAACAGAATCAGCACCGACGGGAACAGCAACAGCGGAGAATACGAATCAACAAAAAGCCGCTGGCCAAATTGAACCATTATCGAAAGACTCTGTTGATCGATTTACTGATTCAATCAGATTAAAAATTCTCGATATACTACCCGATACTGTATATAAAATGTGTGAGCTTGTTGTAACAACCATGCACAGAAATGGTATTGCATGGCGTGATCATTTCTTAGAAATCATTGCCAATGACATTAAAACAAGTTACTTATCGTTGATAGAACTGTTGGATAAGAATCCATCGGATGAAAACCAACAGTCAACAGCTGTATTTCTCAATGAACATCAGAATTCTGTTCTATTCAGTCGAATATTATTAATGTCGTTATTATTCGAAGAAATGCCGTTTCCATGTGCACGGGTCGTCGAAAGATTTTCATTAGTCAATTATTTTTGCATATTAATTCATCGTACAACAGACTATTTAACGAAATTAAACGAAAAGAAGACACCAGCATGGTTAGCATCTGCATTTATATTTCTCGATTTATATGAAAAAGTCTCCTTGGCATCGAAACGTCGTGCTATTATCAATGAAAACTACCGAGATTGTACACGCGTATGGCAATGGTTCGACGAACGAACTGTCCGATGGACTAATTATCCGATCGCGCAGAACAAACAAATTGATGATGCTTACGCTAATGGTGAACCATCGTGTAAAATTCTCATTCAACGTCGAAATTATCTCATACAATTTAGTACGATGTTACAAACGAATGAAGAAACGCATAATAAGCGACCAATTATGTTAACCTTTGTAAAACCATCGACGAAAACAAATGCAGATGGATCAACACAAGTTCCCTTGGCACCACCAAAGCTATCATCTGTCCTGTCAACTTCAGATACAAGTGACGACGATGACGATGATGATGATCACGACGATGATGATGATCATCATGAACAGCCTGGACAAGGAGTTGCAATCACATCGAATGAAAGCAAAAAAGTCGAATCTATGGATACCGAACAGCAAATGGATACAAATGTATCGGTCATCGAATCATTAGCTGATGAACATGCATTGATATTAACCAGTGATTGTGTATACTTAATTCGCATGCCAGTAGATCCCGATGCTATTCATGCATTATTACGTCTGATATTACGTTTAACACGTGATTATAAATACGCTCGACAATTTGCTCAGTCAGGCGGCATCCAAGCAATATTAAGTTTAACTCAAACATCTGCTTTTCAGGGCTGTGCATCGTTAATTACACTGATTTTTCGTCACATCATGGAAGACGATAGTAATTTGCGTTTAGCAATGGAAAAAGCTATCCGACAAGCACTAACTGGTAATCATGGTGGATCCATTGGCGTTCAACCTGGCTGTCCTGGTTCCCATGAATTAAATGTTATTTTGCGCATACTCGGTCCTGCTATGACGCGTTCACCAGATATTTTTCTAGATGTTGCATCCAATGTTTTACAATTGTTACCACCATCAGCCGGTCGTCTGCCAGGCTCGATCAGTCGATACACGAATCCATTCAGCACGGAAGATGATCATTACTCCCATGGAAGTCTACACAAAGGACAATTGATACTACAAGCACGACCAGCTACCAGTCAAACTACAGCAACCACTGCTACTGCTACTGCTACTAACACTACCATTGGCAATACTACATCGACAACAGAGCATAGTTCTCAACATCGTGTCACTCGACCTAATCCAACAACAGCAACGCACGACTCAGCCGGAGGACTAGCTGAACGTCTACTAGTAGATTTACTTGATTTCTTATTAACAAATGATGATGCTACCCCGAAACGTTTATTATCGAAATCAACTGTTTTACGTATACTTGCTGAATTGATCCGTTCTTATGCTAACGTGGCCAAACTTGTTTCGACCAAAACATTTACACTGTCCGATAATCAATCATGTTCAGCATTGTCATTCATTCTTGATCATTTGTTACCTGGCACAAACAATCAACAGATCGATTACGATAAAGACATTCCAGCGCTATGTCGTCTATTTCTCGTTGCAATGGCTGCTTGCAACCATTGCTTAGAATCACAAATGAATTTAGTCAACGAAGTCAAAATGTCATTGAATAAGATCTTGGTTTTACCTGAATGCGATGAAAAACATCTGAGATTACAAGCATTAGCAAATATTATCAATACAATGATTGAATCGTGTCCAGCACCGAATACATCCGCACCACAACAAGGACAACATCGTTTGTCGCAATCCATCATCAACAACATGGTTAAAATTATGTACAAACGCGGTCTCATCAATGATCTAGCAAAAATGATACATAGTATAGAGTTATCAAGTCCAAAATTAGCCGATACGGTTAACGCAGTTCTTAAACCGATGGAAACATTATCACGAAACATCAATCTTGCGACATCGTTACATGTTCCAGCCTCTGCTCGTCCACATGCAACGCGACACCCAGCAGCGACGTCTACAAATCAAACGGATACTTCAACTGTTCCACCAGCAACAGCAGCAGCAGCAACAACAACAACAACAACAACAGCCGATGCTGCATCAACCTCAACACCAAATCAGACAACGGCTGCAAATTCAAATCAAGCAATAAGAGCGACGACAGATGCATCACAATTGCCTGAACAGCAGACAGAACATAATTCAGGTCTTACTTCGTCTCACAATGAAAACCGATCTTCATTGGATAATGCAAATCCAAACAATAATAACACTTCATTGAATTCTGCCAATCAAGTTTTATTGAGTATTAGCCAAGAAGAACTCATGAATGCAACTGATATGGAACCAGTGGCCGGTTTACCACAAGATGTTGATATCTTCGAGCGAAATATTCGCGGAGCCGCACCCTCATCGACCGATGAAGATGAATGTGATGGAGACGATGATGATGATGACGACGATGGGGAGAGTATTGAGGATGAAGACGACGACGATGATGAAGCTGTCGGTACAATTAACGTGGAATTCGATGTTGCACATCCACTTGATGATACTCATGAGCACGGTATGATTTGTGTAGAGAAAACGAAGAAGATTCACTTTGCTTTCTTCTTAATCTTTTCAGAAACAACTTCGAGCTCGACAGCAACTAGTGATGGTCAAGATGATGAAGACGATGCCGAAGAAACCGATAGTCCAGACGAAGATATTGATATGGACAGTGCCAATGGTAATGATCGTGATCCACAACATCGGTAAGTTATCCTTCGATCATGACATCAAATACTTGACTACTGTTTGATTTTTCTTACAGTTACAGTGACGATGATGAAGATATTACTAGTGAAGAGGAAGGAGATGTTCGTTTGACTGGTAAGTTAGAATAAAATTACGATAAGAACTTCGTTGATTGTTCCTGCTCAGGTCCAATAGCAGCCGGCGAACCACATGACGATGAGCTCGATGATGAAAGTGACAATAGTGATAGTGATGAAACACATACGGGAGACGAACTAGACGAAACTGAAGGGCCAACTATTGATATACATATTGAAACAGCATCGAGCCAATCAACCGATGAACATTTAGCTGGTGACAATGAAAGAAATGATCAAACAAATGAGGCAGGTGGTCATGCCAATGCTGAAACAGCGAATAACAATGACAATAATCAAGAAGAAGAAGATGATGACGATGACGATGAAGACGAGGACGAAGAAGAAGATGACGAAGAACAAGATGATGACGAAGATGATTTTGCTGGTGATGATGATGCCAATGCTGCCGATATTGAAGAAATGATTGCCAAGTAATAACGTTTTTCAATGATACAAACTGAGGATCTAAATCAATATCTTCTTTATTTTTTCTAGTGATATGGATGCCGCTAACGCTTGGCAGGATGAAGAAGAAGAGGATGAGGACGAAGATGATGAAGATGAAAGTACCGAATTCGAAGATGAAGATGGTGACATAGCAGATTACGTTCATGAAATGGAATTCGACGAAGAAGTTCTGTCTGAAATTCGTAATAATCTTATGTCACCAACTGATATTGATCCCATTTTAATCTCTAATCTTCAAGGTGTACGAATTCGTGCAACTGGTTTCCCATCGTTACATGGCATCAATGATACTAGTTAGTTTTCTCTTTGCCAATGGCAATAAACCATACAACATAATCTAATGTTTCCTTTTAGCTGATCCTGCTCTTCCTCCACCACCAATGAGTGTTCCAGCGTTACATCCATTACTTGTTCATCATGCCGACAATCAATTGAGTTCAGGTGCTTTTTCACGATTTCGTCAATTAGGTGCAACTGCGACGACAACAACTACTGCGCCGAATCCAGCAGTAAGCTTGAATGTTTTACCAACACACGGCGCTCAAGCTACAACATTAACGTTTGGTCAACAAAATGGACCCACAGCAACAATTCTTACAGGACCAGCAGCTGTTGCGGCACACCAACAACTCGCTCATCAAACACAACGTAATCGTATGTTTCATAGCACGTCGATTGAAAAGCTAAATTAGTTTTTCGCGTGTTTTCAGGTACAACACGAACATTGTTTATCCCAGGGGGTACAACAGCATTCGGTCGCACAGCCGTCGCCGCCGGTGGCTTTTCTGATTATCTCAATCAAGTGAATCAGCTGGACGTTGATCCGTTAAGTGGCTCAGCAGTGAACAATGGTAATATACAGGGTACAACAACAGCGCGTATCCTTGTTGGCAATGGTGCTGATCCTGATGCATGGCGATTTCTACATGATCAAATTCTAATGGATATTGCTCCACAAGCAAACGAAGGCAATGAAAACATCGATGGAACAAAAATCTACATGATACGTACACCATTAGCACGTTGGATGGAAGAGAGTGTAGTATTAGATGGACCATATGTACACGATACTGTCTTAGCATTGAAATCGAAAATCACTGAACCATTAGAGAAACAATATGAATCCGAATTACAAGTTGTGCTAGCGAAAAAAGCTAAAGATGACGAAGAACGTAAAAAACGTTCCGAAGAAAAAGCTCGACAAGATGCTGAACGCACACAAGCCGCCGTTGCCGCTGCTGCCGCTGCCGCAGCATCAACAACAACAACAGCCGAAACGTCAACTACGACTGCTGATCAAGCGCAAACTACAGCAACAGAACCAATTATCACTGTGCCATCAGCAGGTGATGAAATACAACATGTCAATGATATTGTAATGACTTCTCCTGAGCAATACCGTCTAACACAAATATCATCCTTTACTGACACAGTCCAAGATATCAGTTCAAGTCTGGCACGACCAGCTAGCGAAGAATCAACAGCAACGACCCTGCCACCTACAGGAGCAGTTACTAGTCCATTACCAACCGACAACATGTCAACAGGCGGTCAATCACCTGCTCAGTTAGCTACGTCACCTACAACGTCTATGGAAATAAATCATCCGTCACCACCTAAAGATGCATCCAACGAACAAGACCAGCAACATGAAGAACAATCAACTACGAATGCTGAAACAACGTTGACAGCATCGACAACTACGGAAGAAGTTCCTTCTACGACAAATACAATAGCTGAACAGCCAGGTGCAACTGTTACTGCTGCGTCAGCTACAACAACAGCACCACCACCTGAACCTGAAGTTGAATGGACTGTCTTAGTTATCGATGGCCGTGAATTTCGCGTTCCGAAAGCATTAGAAATCGATCCATCATTTTTAGCTGCCTTACCCGAAGAATTACGTCAAGAAATTCTAACTGACCAAGTTCGAAATTTTGAACGCGAAGAAAGTCAAAGGCGTGCTCAACGCGCTGCTGCATATGCTGCTGCTAATCCGACAGCCAGTTCAAATACACAATCAACAGAGAATGCAACTAGTGACAATTTTTCAATGAGAACCAATCAAGCAACAACAGAGGCTGTTATTGGTGAAATGCTCGGTGAAATTAATCCGGAATTTATTTCTGCTCTACCACAAGAGATTCGCGAAGAATTATTAGCTGAACGTCGTCGCACTGCGGCAGCTATGGCTGCGATGAGTGGTGTTAATCTACCTGATAGTGGTCCAGCCGAGTTTTTACGCACTTTACAACCACATCTCCGAGAACAAGTTCTTGCCGATATGGATGAGAGTCAAATCGGTGCTTTGCCTGAAGATATAGCAAATGAAGCTCGAGCATTACGCGCAGCAATGGAAACTCAACAACAGCAATATCTACGTGATCGTATGGTACGAACTCATCACGATATGATGAACATGTTAACTAATAATACACATCATAGTACACGTCCTATTCGTATGTATAATTTACGTGCTTTGCAAGAAGCACGAAATAATCGTGCCGATCGACAATCGACTAATTGGTATTCACTACGCGCTGGAGCCAATGCTAACGATTTGAATAGTAATACATCAACACTAGGAACGCGTGGTCGACAGCTATTGGATTATGAATCGGTCTGCTGTTTGTTAGTCTTGCTATTCATCGACGATCCACGTCTAAATCTTCCACGTTTACAAAAAGTTCTTCGATACCTATGTCATCATAATCAAACACGCCAATGGATCATCAAAGCACTCTTATCGATCATCAACAAAAGCACAGGAAGTACAGAGTACGAAGCACCAACATCAACACCAGGTGCACCAACATTAGTACTCAAAAATCCGCCTACAACCAATCAATCGCAGTCCTCTACTAACACGGCTGTTACTACTAGCAATAACAATGAAACACAGCAAGTGAAAATCATTAATCCATCATGGTTAACAATCAATTTCGAAAGTGCATTCGGTGCACGCACCAATGTTTTCAGAATTCTACGTTTGGGCAATACAAAACGTCACGGTTCAGTGCAAATCTCTGTTCATGCTCAAGCATGTCCTATTGTTTGTCGACAAGTGCTTGACTCGTTGATTATATTGGCAAAGAATTTTCCCGAACAATTCCTTCCATTACCGAACGCTTACACGACTTCGACAGAATCACAACCAGCAATATTATCAACGAATGAACCAACAAATAAAGTAAATTCACCTGATAAACAACTAGTCGCTACACCCTCGAAAGCATCAACAAATACTCGTGAATTATCATTCTGGGAATTACTTCTCAAACTAGATCAATCATTTAGCAATCGTACCAATCGTTCATCATCGAATTCCTCTCAAAATATCGCATCGATTGTTATTTCTAATCCAAACGCAGGTAACAGTCAACGAACGACATCGACATTAAATATCAACAATAATAACAATGAAATCGATTTCGAATCGTCACCATTAGCAGCACTATTACTCATGCTCAATCACCCGATTCTCAACAAAAATAGTCAACTAATGGATAAACTATTCAAACTACTTTCGTTGATTTCTCAAAGTTTTTCGCGACATATTATCACAAAGAAAGATATAACACCATCACCACTAGCTGCCTCGACACCGACGGCAGCTGATCCATCCACCCAAACAGTGAATCCTCTTCAACAACAGCAAAACCTACCACCATTGCCATTACCGGTCAGCCAGTCGAATACAACGAATAAACTAGTTGTTTCGGACGATCAAGTCATTTTGGGTTCTCAACTGGACTTAGTTATCAATGCATTAATCTTGAAATCATGTGCGGAAGATGGTCTCGAGTGTGCGACGAAACTCTTACTTGATGTTTCGAAAATCAATCAAGCAACACGAGACAAAGTTTTGCACTTATTACTCGACGGTATTCGTAAATTAGGAGAAAAAGTTAGCAGAGAAATCAAGTAAGTGTTGTTGCGAATGAAAATGTATTCGAAAACAAAAATTCGATCTTTAACTTTTAGACAATTACTTCTGGAAGTGCAAGATTATCTTTCCAAGAACAAATCGCTCCTTCCTACAACCAATGACGATGACGCATCCAATGCTGCATCTGATGAATCGTTGAAATTGTTTGATTCGTACAGAAGTATTCGTTCGAATACACTGACATCAATAAATAATGATCCCAATGCTAAACAACAAGATCTACAATTACCAGCTATGGTTATGTTGACATCCAAGACCGCAAACCAGCAATTTTTATTACGTATCCTTCGAGTTATTATCGAATTACGTAACACAACGAAGAAAGAACAATTGGATGCACAAACCCATTTTGAAACTGAACTTCATGCTTGGACACGTCGTCTTGATACCTTACGTCAGTCGTTACGTTCGCAATTTCCATCGGACGCAGCAAATCAACAAAATGAGACTCTTCAACCTATCGATGAATTAGCTAATCGCTTAGAACAAATGCGTACACGCTTGCAAACGGTATTAAATTCGAATACACTTGAACAACGTCAACAACTCTTTTCCCAACAAGAAACTATCAATGATATTCAAGATATTTATCGATTAATTCAGCAATTAGAAGTTCTAATTGAGAGTTTTCATGAACCAACTCTGCCAGCGGCAATGACAACACGTATTAATGATGTTCTACAAACAATTCCACCGCTGCTTCCACAAATCAGTGAACCAATGGATGTTGGCGCATTTTTACCAGCATCTCAAACGAAATTAAGCGATCTGTTAAATATCAATCAATTATGGAATTCTTTGAGTGATTGCTTATCATCATTAGCACGATTACCTGATCCACATGCTGTATTAGTTCTTCAACCGGCTGTCGAAGCATTCTTCATCGTTCATGCTGCTGATTTAGACAATGAAAGCGACAAACAAAATAAGAAGAAAAAGGATCGAGAAACCCGCGAAGCTTTGTCACACCTTGAATGCTTCGGACCAGCACCAACGACAACATCTGCCGATCGTGGTGCACCCGATGAACCTGTTATTGCTCCTTCGAATACAGCAACGTCAACAACGGACATAACATCACCTACACTTGTTCTTCGAACCGGAATGTCGCAAACAATCTCAACCAACGAATTGCCGCTAGATGCTCAAAAATTCGTTGAATTTGCGCGCACACATCGCACTGTGTTAAATCAAATCTTACGTCAAAGTACCCAACATTTAAGTGAAGGGCCATTTCATATATTAACTGATTACACAGCTATACTCGATTTCGACGTGAAAAGAAAATACTTCCGTTATGAACTCGATCGTTTGAAAGATAATAATCGCGGTGAAGATTTAGCTGTACATGTACGACGTCAGAATGTCTTCGAAGATTCCTATCGAGAACTAAGCCGGCGTCAATCAGTCGACTGGAAACATCGTTTTTACATTGTCTTTGATGGTGAAGAAGGTCAAGATGCCGGTGGACTTCTTCGTGAATGGTATTCGATTATCGCACGTTCAATGTTCGATTCCAACTATGCGCTCTTCATGATCAATCCAGGTGATCGTGTTACATATATGCCCAATCCATCATCACACATCAACACCAATCATTCGCAATACTTCAAATTCATCGGGCGTGTCATAGCTAAAGCTATCTTTGATAACAAATTTATGGATTGTTACTTTACACGTTCATTCTACAAACACATACTCGGCATTCCGATTCGCTATACTGACATGGAATCAGTTGACTTACAATTCTATAAGAATTTAGTGATGTTATTGGAAAATGATTTGCAGCAATTAGGCTTAGACTTAACATTTTCATTGGATGTCAATGAATTTGGCGAGAACAAAGTTGTAGAACTAATTCCAAATGGTTCAACTATCGCTGTGACGAACGAAAATAAACATGAATATGTTCGTCTTGTTTGTCAAGAAAAAATGATTGGTTCAATTCGATTGCAAATTAATTCGTTCTTAGAAGGTTTCTATTCAATCATACCGAAAAGTTTAATATCAATATTCAACGAACAAGAATTAGAATTACTAATATCCGGTCTTCCAGATATCGATATTGAAGATCTCAAAGCAAACACCGAATATCATAAATATCGACCGAATTCTTTACAAGTAGGATTTTCATGAATAATGCAAAACATTCTTTTATTCTGTGTCTGCTTTTCTTCAGGTTCAATGGTTTTGGCGTGCATTACGTTCATTTGATAAAGAAGATCTAGCGAAATTCTTACAATTTGTTACAGGTACATCAAAAGTCCCGCTACAAGGTTTTGCACATTTAGAAGGTATGAATGGTGCACAAAAATTTCAAATACATCGCGATGATCGATCAACGGATCGTCTACCTTCTGCACATACTTGGTAAGCCAGAAATTTTCCGTCAGGACATTTGTTTGTATGATCGAATTCACTTTTAGTTTCAATCAATTGGATTTACCGGCGTATGAAAGCTATGATAAATTACGTAAAATGTTATTAATCGCAATTCGGGAATGTGCAGGCTTTGGATTTGCGTAGAGATAGAATGGTCAAACATTGCTGTTCGATCAATGATTTGTCATAACCAACATTTAGTCTTTCGCCGTTATTTGTTATTTTGTTCTGTTTTCTTTCTATGTTCTCGTTTTTTTTGTTCTTCATCTTCTTTTCAATGCCATAAAACAGATGTTAGAAGTTCCTCTCTCTCACATACATTTTTCTTCTGGTTGTCTTTGATCAATGTTAGATTGATTGACAGTGAATTATTCCTTATTGCGCCGGTCAATTTTTTGCTCCTTTTAATCCGATCTATCCAACGGTTCTGTTCATTTGTGTGTGTGCGTGTGTGTTTTCTCTTTCTCTCTATACATATATATATATCATTAAGCGCTGTATATGCATTCCTTGGCCAGTGGAGTTCTACTCCGCGACTCTTCTTTCTTCTTGGTTACTATCACTCTTTTGATGTTATTTGATTAGAGAAAAATATCTATCAAGTGGATGTTCGGCGCTCTATTTCTATTTTATGTATATAAATAAACAAGAGGACAAGAATTTTTTGAATTTTTTCTTCCCAACAGTGCGAATGTCCTAGTTTCTGGGCGAATGATTGCAATCGAAGACAAGAATATGTTTCTATTTCGTATTTATTTGTTTTGTAGACAAGACGAAATCATGTCAAATTTATTCAGTTATTTTCAACGTATTGAGCCGAAAAAAATGGCCGCTACGACAGCGGATAGTGAAACAACTTCGCCCGCAAATAAAACACCGAAAAGCGATAAGAACGGAGTGACGAAAAGGAATCAAACTCCGAAAGAATCGTCGAGCTCAGCACGGAAATCGATGAACATGAGCGATATTTATAGTGCTGACTCACCTAAAACAGAAAAACGAAAAAAATCACCGCCGATGCCAGCGGATGATCATGACAATCTCCCGAAAAATAAAAAACGAAAGACACTCAATGCACGAAACGAGTCGGACGATGATGACGAGCCACAACTTAAAGTTAGCAAAGTAAAACAACGAATTCAACGAATAACAAAGTATCAAATATGTCTTTTAGAATCAAAATCGAAAACGCATTGCTATTCTCGACAGTGACGAAGAAGAAGAAGTAGAAAATGGTAGAGAAATATCTTTTTGAGGATTTGTCGATGATGATTGTTCATAGATCGAATGGATGTTGACGTCACACCAGTTAATAAACGATCGATGAAAAGTGCCGCGAAAAAGAAAGGTGCTAGTTCGACAACAACATCACGAAAGAAGAAGGCGGAAGAAAGTGAAGACGAAGAAGCTCTGTATAAAGATGAGTCAAATGATGGAAGCGAAGAAAACGAAAGTGAAATGGAAGAATATGATGATGACGAGCCTGTCGATCAAGTATGAATCGATGTGATCGAATTACTTTCGAAATAAATTTATATGTTCTAGACTAAAACACCCAAGCGACGAACAGCAACGTTGAATAGAGAGAAAAAGCCAGCGAAAAATATCAGCGATAGCAATTTTACCCATCTTTCATTGGAATTCCTTAAAGATGGTAAACGACGGTGAGACGTTTTTCATTAATGATTCGACTTGTTTATTTTTCCTTAAAACAGAGATGCAAACCGTCGACTTCACACCGATCCAAGTATGTTGATTTGCCATCTTTCGATCTCTTCACATCGCAATCTATTCTCTAGATTATGATTCACGCACATTATATGTGCCCGATGAATATTTGAATAGTGTAACGCCGGTAGGTGATACTCGACACAATAGTACTAAATAGTTGATTTAAAATTTTGAAGGCTATGCGACAATGGTGGACATTGAAAATGGATTACTTTGATACAATTCTTTTTTTCAAAGTAACTATTCTCCACTTCATTTCACAAAACTGATTTTCATGCCTTTAGGTTGGCAAATTCTACGAACTGTGTATGTCATGTTTGATGAGTATGATGTTATTACTCGTGTTGTTTGATTTATAGATAACATGGATGCAATCATTTGCGCACCGGAATTGAATTTAACAATGATGAAAGGTAGAAATATCCTCGATCTGTACAATTGCATCACATTCAATTGTAGGTGATATGGCACATTGTGGTTTTCCGGAGAAAGCATATAGTAAATTTGCTGATATTCTCGTGACAAAAGGTTATAAAGTAGCACGAGTTGAACAAACCGAAACACCAAACATGATGAAAGAACGTCTTGAACAACGTAAGCCTCTATAGTCACGCTATTATTGAGTAAAGAAGCTTTCTGTTTTTTAGAGAGCGGACGAAAAAATAAATTTGACAAAACTGTTCGTCGAGAAATCTGTCAGATAACCACGCCTGGTACCAAAACATTCAACACACTGGACAATGACAATGTTTTCCGGGAAAGTTTGTATTTATTGAGTATTGTTGAAGTGGTGAGATTCAAAGCTCTGATTCGAATAGCTCTGAATAGTTTCGTATTGATTTAGCCGATTCCTGATAATAAAATTACACCATGTGAATTCGGCGTTTGCTTTGTCGATACAACAATTGCACAATTTTATGTATGTTTATCAAAAGTTTTGTACGATTAAAGTTTGTCGTCGGTTTAGATTGGTCAATTCGAAGATGATCGATACTTATCACGACTACAAACTTTACTCGCTCAATTTCCACCGACACAGGTATAGATAGAATACATTGATCTAGTGTGTAATAAAACTTTTGTGTTTATTAAGATTTTATGCGAGAAAAATAAAATCTCCGAAAAGACCAAGAAAGTATTAACATTAACACAAGCGAAAATCGAATATCTCATACCGAACAAAGAAATGTACGAAACAACCAAGACGTTAGATATTCTCCGAGATGATACCTACTTCAAAGATGAAAACGGAGATCTTCATTGGCCAAATGCATTTGAACACGTTTTCAACGAAGGTGACAAACAAGGTTTACACGTGCGTTCAACTTTTCAAATATCCATGCGTGCATTAGGTGGTATTATGTGGTAAGATACTCTTTCACCAGCAACCCTTGCACTTGAAAGTTACCGTTTAGGTATTTACAACATTGTCTTGTGGATAAAGAACTTTTGTCTATGCGTAAATTTGCAATCTTTCAACCACCTGATGAGAATATCGAATTGAAAGAAGCATCGACGTTCAAACAACAAAATATGGTATTGGATGCGACAACGTTGTATAATTTGGAAATTTTATCAAATAGTCGCGGTGGAAAAGAAGGTTCGTTATTACAAACATGCGATCGATGTTTAACTCATTTTGGCAAACGTCTCTTGGCACGATGGCTCTCGGCACCAGTGTGTAATGTCAATGAGATCAATGAACGATTGAATGCAATCGATTGTCTACGAGACAAAACTGATCTTTGCGGCAAAATTCGAGAAAAATTGAAAACGATTCCTGATCTCGAACGCCTTTTTTGTCGAATTCATTCACTGGGTCATCGTCCATTGGATCCTGATCATCCAGAAAATCGTGCAATACTCTACGAAGATATAACTTATAGTAAACGAAAAATTCAAGACTTTCTTTCCGCACTTGCTGGCTTGAAAATTGCTAATGAAATTGCCGAGCTGTTTTCCAAGCATCAAGACATTGCCGATTCGTCAGTTTTATTGAGAAAACTTATCTTTCGAGGCGATGAAAGCTTTCCTGAACTAGAGGAAATCTTGAATTATTACACGAACGCATTTTCACACGCTCAAGCACGAAATGAAGGTAAAATTATTCCATCAGCTGGTGTTTGTAAACAATATGATGATTCATTAAATGAAATACGTGACAATGAGAAGGCATTGAACGAATATTTGAATAAACAAAAGAAACTTTTGAAAAATCACGATGTCAAATTTGTTCACGTGCAAAAAATACGTTATGCGATGGAAATTCCGGAAAGTGCTTGTCGAAATCTCGATGATGATTATGAGTTGATGAGCTCACGAAAAGGCTTCAAACGGTAAAGTTCTCTTCGACTCAACTACATCAAAATTACACGATCTTTCCTCGTATTTTTCAGATACTACACCAGTGAATTACGTGAATTAATCGATGCATTGACTGAAAGCGAAAAAAAGAAAGAATTGGCATTAAAAGATACAACAAGTAGTCTGTTCCGACATTTTGATGGTCATCATGATACATTTCAACGTGTGCTTAACTGTTTAAGTGCACTCGATGTATTACTTAGTTTCGTTGCCTACAGTCAGTCATATTCCGACATGTGTCGGCCAAGTGTTCTTCCAACAGACGATGATCAACAATCATTTATTAATATTCAAAATGGTAGACATCCATGTATGCTTCAGAAGTCGACAGATTCTTTCATTCCCAATGATATTATACTTGCTGACAAGGTTAACTATGCATATACATCGATTTCCTTTGAGATCTCTTGTTTTTTTTGTGTTAGTCATCGAATGAAGTTTGGCAAACGAAACCGTTGGTTTTAGTTACTGGCCCGAATATGGGTGGCAAATCAACTTTAATGAGAGAAACAGCTGTATTAGCAATATTGGCACATGTGGTATGTGATGAATTTTGATACCGAAAGTGGAGATCGCGCATTCTGATTTGTAGGGAAGCTACGTTCCAGCATCATCATGCAAAATGAGTGTATGCGATCGAATTTTTACACGTTTAGGTGCAAGCGATCGAATCATGGCTGGTGAATCAACATTCTTCGTTGAATTAAGCGAAGCATCATCAATTTTACGCCATGCGACTCGTCACTCTCTAGTTCTCATCGATGAACTTGGTAAGAGAACTTCATTCGGTGAACCGATCGATGCGTCTGTTTTCTATTAGGACGAGGCACAGCAACATTTGATGGAACAGCTATCGCTTGTTCTGTTGTCAACGATCTTGCAAATCGTATCAAATGTCGAACATTATTCAGTACACATTATCATACTTTAGTTGATGATTTCGAAAAACATGAAAACGTCGGACTAGGACACATGTCCTGCATGATCGAAACGGATGAAGATACACCGAGTAAACAAACACTTGTTTTTCTTTACAAATTTGTCGAAGGCTCTTGCCCAAAAAGCCATGGCTTCAATGCAGCACGTAAGTAACAAAGATTTCCTCCATTTATCAATATTCAGTCGCTTGTAATTCAGGATTGGCAAATATTCCTGACTCTATTGTTGAACTTGCTCAAACAAAAGCTTCAGCATTCGAACGATGGGTTACATTGAAACGCATTTTATTCAATTTGAAAAAAGTCACCGACAAATCTCAATCGCAAGACCTTCTCCAGTTCTTATCACAATTAAAACTTAATTAACTCGAACTTTTCTTCATTAAAATTTATCATAGATCAAATCTAACTACTTGTATGTATATGTATGACAAATAATTATGAGAATTTATCTGTGTCATTATCATCATAAGAGTAAAAATAGTCCATATTTTTTTTTCTCTTTATTAGTTATTTATTTTTTTTCCTTTTTTGTATTGTAAAATAATTAGCCAAGGCCATTTTTTGTCGATGATGAAAGAATATGAAGAAAAGCATAATAGATGATGAATTTTTCTTTTTCTTCTATTTACCAGCTGATAATGATTCACATTCGATGAATGAGTAGAATAGATGTATACACACAGCGGGAAGAAGCATTATAACATACAGCTAACATTGCGTCCTCTAGCGTAGTTCTTCGGATGTAAGTAAAACACATGCTGTTTCAACCAATGTTTTTCTTCACCAGTAACGTACGAATCATCTGATGACTAGTGAGTAAGCAAATGATGATGGCGAACATGTTTCATCGTTCTTTATCTACATTGTTGATAATGGATAATGGAACACTTATAAAAATTCATTTCGTTTAGTTTCTCTGTTTTCATTTTGAAAATATGGAGGCACATGATGCACATTGTTTCTTCTCTTCTAGATTGTTTCTATTTCGTTTGTTAACTTGATAAATTTACGATAATGGCATTGCGAAAAAAAGTCCTACTCAAAGTTATTATTCTGGGCGATAGCGGTGTCGGCAAAACATCCCTTATGAACCAATTCGTTAACCGAAAAGTAAAACTTCGCTTTTATTCATCGCATTTTTCTATATGTCATTTGTTTCAGTTTTCAAACCAATACAAAGCAACCATAGGTGCCGATTTCCTAACTAAAGAATTACAAATCGATGATCGACTTGTCACTATGCAGGCATGAAGAGAACTTCTGATTCGATTTGTTTATTTGTTTGATTTGATAGATTTGGGACACAGCCGGTCAAGAGCGTTTTCAAAGTTTAGGTGTTGCGTTTTATCGTGGTGCTGATTGTTGTGTTCTTGTCATGGATGTCACTTCGCCGTCGTCGTTCAAATCATTGGAAAGTTGGAAAGATGAATTTCTTATTCAAGCGGGACCGCGCGACCCAGAAAATTTCCCTTTTATTGTAAGAAATGCCCAGAGGATATGACAATGCACATTCTCATCTATTTAGGTTCTTGGGAACAAATCCGATTTAGAAAATCGAGCCGTAAGATATCAGACAATCGTTTTCCTGAAGTTTGTCACGAGTTTTCTTTTAGATTCAAGCACGTAAAGCTCAAAGTTGGTGTCAAGGTATGTTGATAGTGATCAGTGATGCTTTTTGAGATAAACTTTCATTAAATTTTTAGAAAAAAACAATATTCCGTACTTCGAAACATCAGCTAAAGAAGGTCTTAATGTTGAAAAAGCCTTTGAAACCGTGGCTCGTAATGCCCTAGCTCGCGAAAAAGAAACCGATCAACAAGCTGATTTTCCCATTCCAATACGCATTCCACAACAAGAAGAACCACAGAAAAAGAACGGGTGTCAATGTTAACGTATTTAATCTTCTGCTTTTCAATCATTTTCGTTTTCTGCTGTATATAAATACAATATAAATCAAGCTACCTCGGTATTTCTTCTAATCAACCAAACAAACATCAGCTTATCTTCCTCTTACCACATTGATTTTCTTGTCTATTGTATTTTACTTTCATAAGCATGTCGGTTGCGTTCTTTTCATGTCTAACGACTCTTTTGAAATAAACAGCCTCGATTAGTCTTTACAAAAGTTCAGCTTATCATGGAACTCTTCAGCACAAAACAACGTTTGTTTCGCCGTCTATCAAGGTGAAAGATCAACTGTCGTCATTAGATAAGGAAATCCTTTTGCGAGAAATGATAACGCGTCATTGATGACTATGAACTACGAAGAAATCTTTTAAACTTTTTCTATTTTGTCGATACAATGCAGTTGACTTTGTCCTTGGCGTATATTGTAAACACTAAGGATAACTGATTAACATTGATGTGTTTAAAAAAAAAGTTGTCATGAAGCTGTTTTTGCGTGGAGCAGATTTGTCAACAGGATTGTATTTTAATTAATTCTTTTTTTAAACTTGTCAAAATTCAGAAGAAACCATCTGTTTATTCATAGAATATTGACGAGCTATATTTACCAGCCACTGGATCTCCCTTTATTACATACGCACATGTAATATTTTTTAGAATAAGACCGAACATGTGTTTGAAGGCAAACATTACAATGGGTCCCAATTGGTATCCAATGATAAGACTGTGCTTGGATGTTGTTTCCGTAAAACTTGTGTTAGTCGACACACATTCGATGAAAATGTACATACGACATATTTCACACGTGATAAAATCTCTAATTCACTGAGGAGAATATGTGTCAATTCGATCTGTACATGTTGTGGTAATTTATCGAAAGATCCTTGCTCATGACCGTGCAGGTGAACTGTTTTGGGAACAAATCGTACAAAGTTCCACTCGGGCTTCAATTGTCGGAGTTCATGAATAGTATTTGCATCGTCACTCGCAACAAATACTCGATTTTTCCACTCTAAAATCACAGAAAACCTTTTTATATTGTGATAACATTGAAACACTAAAATAAAACATACGTTTTTCTGTATCTTTCTTGATGAGTTCTTCCATCGCATCAATGTATTTTCTTGTTTTGATAGAATTTGTTTCTGTAACTTTGTCGCCGCGTCGAATATGCATTGCATAATGTATATCATCACTGTGAATATCGTTTAGATAACTTTCCACAATGTCTCTTGTTTCCGCGTTTAAAGTTCTCCACAAATAAGCAGCAACTTTTCTTTTCATTTCCAATATATCTTCGCCTTTCTCCCAAGACTCCATAATTGGATATAATGCTTGAAATCCGATACTTGTATCGCGAGTAATGACAAAATGTTCCGGAAGAGATTCTGTATGACTTGCTGGTTGATAGGAAAGAAGATGAACGAATTGCCGTTGCCAACAGTATGAAGATGACGGCAACCAAGGTGAGAAATATCCTTGAGATATGTTGAAATAAGTTGAAAAGGTTTGATAATTCCACGAGTTACCATCGATCAGCAGTCGACGACGAGTTTTGATGGTATAAATGAATACACGAAGAAGATTGTTTAGTTCGGAGGCAAAACCAGCGCTCCAATGTAGACGGAATAGTAATGTTTGATTGTGAATCTGTTGGCAGGCATGAATATTCTCCAATGAACAATGTTGACTGTTGAATGCATCGTCGACGTTTGGATTTTCTACATATCCAGGAGGAGCTTCTCGGGCAAAACAATAAGCACCGGATATAGTCGAATAGTATATCGTCGGATCGTGTTTGATGATAGAAAAATCAAAGTACGGTTGAAAGGAGAATGTGACGAAGGTGCATATGACGATGGCAGAAACACTACAACTACAAAATAAAAGATATCGTGAAGAAAATCAGCCACTTTGGAATAAGATGTGCTGCTTAACACCTCGAAAGGAAAAGAAAGTTCACTTTCTTACACAATATACAGACGCTTACACCTGGCTGTTGATACCATGATAGTCTTAGCAGCGATGTTTGCCTATGGAAATATCTAAAACAAAAGTAGACACGTATGTTAAGTCTCACAATTTTTCAATTGAAGTTATTGTTTGGCTGAAATAGTACTTATGTGAATACAGCGACGATAGATGTACAGAGATTATTTTCGTTCGTTTCGAATTTTTCTTCTCCTGATAGGCACGTGTTTTCCATCGTTCTTCGATTACTCCCTTCGAACGTATATAGTCAAGGAAGAAAACTAAAGGAATGACGTTCATCTATTTAGTGATATCGAAGTTTTATTAAGTATCTTTACATATGAAATAGTAAGCACAGCAACACGAAAAAAAATAGGATAAAGTAAATGTATATACTGTTATGTATTGTTTGTTTAGTTATAAGATTGAATTGAAATTGATATTACTGGATGCTGATGACGATGATGAATTGGATGAGATGATTTGTTCGTCTAAGTGTGTTTTTTTGTGTAATTTCAAGTGAACAAGTTGTGTAAAGCGTGCTGAACATGAATGATTCGGACAGAGATATGGTTTATCTCCTGTATGTAGACGTAGATGAGTCTTCAGATTTGATGTTGATGAGAATCTTTTTGGGCAATATGGACATGAATGTGGGCGTTCACCTTGAAAAAGGAGTGGTTAGGAAAAAAACAAAACTTGGTAATCTGTGTCGCTACCTGAATGAACGAGTGTATGTTTTTGAAGATGAGCAAATTGTGTGAACGATTTCGGACATTGTGTACAAACAAATGGTCGTTCGTTTGTATGCGTTCTTAGATGAACTTTGAGATTTGATAATTGACTGAAGGTTTTATGGCATTGAACACATTCGTAGATGATTTTGCCATTCTCTTTTCGTAGAGGATAAGGTAGAGATTTGTGTCCACGACCATGCACAACAGTTGTGCTAACTGTTGTTGTTGTCGTCGTCATCATAGTTGACGATGATGATGACGATGATGATACTGTTATGGATGGTTTTGATGTTGATTTTTCGCCTAGAATTCTTTCGATGGAGAAATTCAATTGTGTTGTATTTGACGATTTCGCAGACGATTTGTCAGACACTAAACAAATTAAGGTAAAATAAGAAGAAATAATTGGACTAATAATTACTAAGAGGTTGTAAAGGTTTCTTTGATTGATGAAGAGTGGGATTCGATGTTAAATGATTTCGCTCATTCGAAGATTTCAATGAATTACTTGTCGAGGTTGCTTGACGAGTATAAGGGAAAACAAATGGTAACTAAAATTGAGGAAAAAAGACGTCTTCTATCGCAAAGAACTTGAAGAGGCGTACGCGCATATCCCGATGAGTTGAAAATTGTTGAAATGGCCAATAAATGCTCGATTGCTAGAAAAAAATCCGATGAAATACACAGAATAATTCTTATATTTCCCTCTACTTTTTGTTCGTAGTAACGGCCAGTTGCTTGTGGGGTTGCCATTCGATGAAAGATTTCGTGTGTAGGAAAGACCGAAGCCTCGTGCGATTTCATCGATGGGATTTGATAATAAGGATAATGTTTATTGTGAATCATATCTAGGAAAGAGTTCTTTCTTCGTTGTGACAACTCTTTGCATTCAACTTACTCTTTTTTGTCTCACTTTTCATCATGATTAGAAGCTGCAGAGAACCATTGTAGCTGGAATTACTTGCAAGAAAAGAAAGTTAATTATTTGCATAAAGAAAAAGAGACGAAAGAGAAAAAAAAACGGCGTTTTCATCCAATCAAGTTTCTCTCCGAGAATATCCTTTTTCTCTACGCAAATAAACCAATGAGAATCGAAGCAATCAATCGTTCGATGAAAGATATATCAACTGTTGACTGGCTTACTCTATTTTTCAAATAAACATACGCGAACGAGAGCGATTATTGATTGATGGAGTTCAAGTAATTGTTCGCTATTTCGATTACAAAAGCACATAATCGAAACGAAAGATTGTAGTTTTTCTTGATCACATATAAGTTTAATCGATTTAAATCGATATTGTAAGAACAACATAGGACATTTTATGAATGGGCAATCTGTTCGAATAAAAACAAAACGACTTGAAATATAGTGGGTATGTTCATTTGGATCTAGTCGGGCGAACTTGAAATTGGTAATCGTTAGTGTCGTTTTTCTGTTTTGATGAGAAAAAAAAATGAAGAAGAGATCTGAGAAAATTTAATTTGTGGGTGAAGCAAGGGGAGAACTGTCATCTGATTGAATAGCTTCATTGTATTTGTATTGGTCTCTTGTTAATTCAAGCTGAAATTGAATTCGTTTGTCCTCGCGTCATAAGTTAATCAGTGTCAAATGGTGTAATCATCGACTTTCTTCTTTAATTCACTCAGTGAAATATGAGAACAAGAACTAAAGCAAATCGTTTGAACACAAAATAGGGTGGAGTCATGTCGCCGTCTTTTCAGCTGATAAGAAGAACGTACTCAATGCTGTCAACAGACATTTTAACTTCTGTTATTGATAAGAAATCAGTCTTTGTCTTCGCGTCACCCTGTTGAGCAGTTATTCCCCCCTCTCTGTTTCTCTCCTTCTTCTAATCATCACGATAATTAAAGAGATTCGAAATCACCTTTATCAATGAACAAAAGGTGTAAAGATAATGAATGGAGTAGAAAAGGCAAATTCGTTTTGACATGCGAAATATCCCCAATCAATTTACTAGAAACGGAAAAACGAAAATACTAGCAAACAAAATAAATAATTATGTATATATACAAATGTGGATTTTTTCCCATCAATCAGAAAAGACGCGTTGAAAGATGCAATAGAAAGATATCATTAGATGTCTATTTTCTTTTTTTCTCAGACTCGGACGGACGTTGTTGGTGGAACTGTCGCATAGCACTGCGAGTTTTCTCGACATTGCCGTTCATGATGAAGCAATTGTGTTCGATCACCGATAATTTTCTTTTGACAAACTGAACAATGGGAGAGATCATCATAGAACGGATTGTTCTGAAATGTCGGCTGCATAAAGTCGAAATTCTGTTGTTCGTAAGTGTCAATTAATTCATTAAGAAACCAATCATTCGGCATGGTGGAATGAATAACAGGAATATTCGTTGAGAAGCGTTTTGATGACGTTCGCTTTGAATGATGTTGTTTCGAACGACCTTTAGATATTGGACGGAAGAGACGATCATTGTTGAGATAAATCGGTGACGATGTATGACCGCGGCGATGATTCTGAGGATCGTTATTCATTGTGTTGAATATTTGAGTATAAAGATTACGATAACTTGGACTGTTCATCATTTTGGTTGTAAAATCTGCATCTTGAAAATATTGGATATCATTGATAATTTCGAATGGATCAACGGGTGCTGCCGTGAATTGATCGAATGTATGAAGATTGAATTGATCTAAAGTGAAATCAAGCAAGGTTTTTTCTTTTTCTCTTCTCCAATTATTTAATTGATTTTTACCTGCTGATGCTGGATGAGCAGCATATTGGAAGCTTGATGTGCCATCAAACCAAGGATTTTGTTGCTGGTCATATTCTCGTCGTTGTTTGTCATCAATCAGAACATCATATGCTTGTTTGATCTTTTTGAATTTCTCTTCTGCCTCCTTCGCTTTATTTCGATCAGGATGCCAGACGAGTGCTAAACGTTTATAAGCTGCACGAATGTCCGCTGATGTTGCATGTCGATGAACGCCTAGTTCTTTATAATAATCCGCTACCGTCGAATGAGAAACCATGATTCAATTTGCGCTAGACGCTCGTTTCGTCTTCCCCTTTTCTAATACTGAAATAAGAATGACAACTAAGAAAAATATGATATATTATGTCCTTCTAGGCAGCAATCTAATGAGTAGGGCAAACAGTAATATGGTATGTTCTTGCCTACTGGTGAACATGAATATATATATGTACACACACACATGTACATATGTAGATGTATATATATAAACGTATACCTATCGATGTGTTTGATAAAAAGATTGATAATAATAAAAGGGAAGAAAGCGAAGCATGAAGGTAACGAAATGAGTGTGTCAAAGTCCTTCGTGATCATTTTTTCTTCATGCAAAAACATGTTGGTCATGCTTGACCTGTTGTTGATCATGATAATTGCGAAGATATGATACAATTTGTACGCTAGTATTGCTATTTAAACACTCATGAACGTACTAGTGACGGTTAATTGCGTCCTACATACGAGGAAAATGCTTTCAATAGACAAAAAATAGAAAAACTTCATTACTTTTCATGTTACGACATCGTCGAACGAACTCAGTGGAAAAGTAGATTTCATTAATTAATTCTCCAACTCCCCAATTATGATTTGAACAACGATGATTTATTCCGACAATTATCATTAACAGGATACTTCATGATTAATGTCTATTGATACGTCCTTTCTATTTGAAAAAAAAGGACCTTACAATTAAACATTAATTTTTGATCGACTTGAAAGTTAATATAAAATGTCATAGATTCAAGTTAATTGTTCTAGACAAGGGGAAAAACGTTGTCTCTTTCCAAATCCGAACTTCTCTCTTTCTGAACTTTACACTTTTTACCTGTATTTCTCAAAACCATGCAGAATCAAATCAGACCCGTGTCTAGACAAGAATTATCTGATGATGTCGTACATATATACCTACTCTCGTAAAATGCATTCGATTAGATGTCACTACTATGAAGAAAATTCGACGAATTGCATTCGATAGTGTTGAAAGAAAGAAAAGAATATGCCTTTGTTCTGTTCAAATTCAAAATCGCATTGTCATTTCTGTGTTGCCAATTGCTCATCAATTCATTCGAAGAAGACAATTTGATTCAACATGCAAAACACTGTACGAGACTATCAAAATGATAAAAGTAACCATGTCAAATATTATCTTGTTCATTGATTAAACTTTTTTTTTCTCTTCGTGTGCATTCAGATAAAATAAAAGATTTCCTCAATGAGTTCGAAGTTGACACTGCTGATGGTTATAAAGCATCGAAGTATGTCAAACAACTGGTAAGGAGATTCTCATTTGATTGGCTTTTTTTTCCGAATCCGATTTAAATTCTTTAGAGAAATTTAGCTAATCGTGAACAAACAACATTGGTTATTGATATCGATGATGTTGCTACTGTAGATCCGGAATTGGCCGATGCCATTCTGGAGAATACTCGTCGATATACACAGATCTTCGCTCAAATTGTGCAAGAAATGTTACCTGAACTCAAGGACAAAGAAGTAAGTTTTAGTTGTCTCTTTGTATGAAGTGTTTCTTTCACGGAAATTCTTAGATTGAAAATAAAGATGTACTCGACGTTTATATCGAACATCGAACACTGATGGAACAGCGTTTGCATCACAACAACGATGAAACACGTGATCCAATGAATCGTTATCCCGAAGAATTGATGCGTCGATTGTAAGTAGTCAAACTTCGAATTTTTCGATAAGCAAAGTTTTTTTCATCTTTCAGCGAATTGTATTTCAAACCACCGTCAACACAAAAGCCTCTGTCCGTTCGTCAAGTCAAAGCAAATCAAATTGGTAAATTAATATCGGTTAAAGGCGTTGTCACACGCGCCACTGAGGTTAAACCAATGATTAGTGTTGCAACATATACATGCGATATTTGTGGCTCAGAAACTTACCAACCGGTAAGAACTAACTTTCGATGAAAATGTCATGAATATTGCTTGTATCTTCATGAGATAGATCACTGCACCGACATTCATGCCGCTGGTCATGTGTCCAAGTCAAGATTGTGTTACGAACAAATCTGGTGGACGATTATCATTACAAACGAGAGGCTCGAAGTTTATTAAATTTCAAGAAATCAAAATCCAAGAACATGTAAGTTTCGTTAACTTCCATTTGAAATTAGTTAATTTGCTCGTTTCTAGACTGACCAAGTTCCGATCGGTAACATTCCACGCTCGATGACAATCTGGTGCCGAGGAATGAACACACGTGTATGTCAACCAGGTGATCACATATCCGTCGGTGGTATATTTTTACCACTGCTTCGAACTGGTTTCCGTCAAATGACTCAGGGTCTCCTGTCCGATACATTTCTTGAAGCACATGTAAGTGAATTCGAGTCATAGAAGAATAACATGACGATGTGTGTTGTTTTTTTTCCAGAGAATTGTTTTGTTGAATAAAAGCGAAGATGAAGAGATCGAAGATCGAGAAATGAGTGAAGCAGAAATGACGGATATATTTGCTGGTAAGACTTTCTATTTGAAATATTGTTCCTTATGAATATTTTCTTCTTTCGAATTTAGAAAAAGATTTGTACGATCGATTAGCTATGAGTATTGCACCGGAAATCTACGGGCATGAAGATATAAAAAAAGCATTGTTACTTTTACTGGTCGGTGGCATTGATAAGTCTCCACAAGGAATGAAGATTCGAGGTATGTGAAATATTCAAGTTGAATCGAATAAACATCGTTATACTTGTAGGAAATATCAATGTGTGTCTTATGGGTGATCCTGGTGTCGCTAAATCTCAATTGTTGAGTTATGTCAATCGTTTAGCACAACGCAGTCAATATACAACTGGTCGTGGTTCATCAGGTGTTGGTTTGACATCTGCACTAATCAAAGATCCTGTAACAAGTAAATAAAAGTATTTCAATTTTATGTAAATCCTCATTTCTTGTTTCGTCTAGATGAACTTGTGCTTGAGGGCGGCGCTTTAGTGCTAGCTGATCAAGGTATTTGCTGTATTGATGAATTCGATAAAATGACAGAACATGATCGAACGGCAATTTATGAAGTTATGGAACAACAAACGATCTCGATCGCTAAAGTAAACATATTTCTTTGAAATTGAATGCACATTCATTCTCTGATACTTTTAAGGCTGGTATTTTAACTTCACTCAATGCTCGTACATCAATTTTAGCAGCGGCAAATCCTGCATTCGGTCGATACAATCCCAAACGCTCAATTGAAGCTAATATTCAATTACCTGCTGCATTACTTTCACGTTTCGATTTACTTTGGATTATCCAAGATAAAAACGATCGGGAAGTCGATCTTAAATTAGCCCGGCATATCGCCTCCGTCCATCAAACAGGTTGTCAACCCGAACTCGAAAACAATCATCAATTTATCGATATGAAAACACTCCGGTAAGATTTGATCTATTTTCTTCTTTCTCGAATTTCTAATCAATCTTCCCTCCAGACGATACATCGCAACATGTAAAAAACGACAACCATTGGTACCCGAAAATTTACTTAATTATGTTGTTACAGCTTATGTTGAATTACGTAAGCAAGCTCGTGTTTGCAAAGATATGACATATACATCTGCTCGAATGCTTCTCTCGATTTTACGTTTATCAACTGCATTAGCTCGTCTCCGTTGTGGTGATCTTGTTTCCAAGGATGATATCGACGAAGCACTTCGGTTAATGGAATCCTCACGGTTGCTTTTGAAACCTCATGAAAATGTTCCAACACGGTACGAAGGCATTTTCATTTATTATATAGTGTGTTCTTTACATATTGATGTTTCTTTTTCAGACAAATCAATCCAATTGATCAAGTGTTTGCTATTGTTCGAGATATGGTACCATCGTCGGGTTCAAAAATTGTTCGCTATGCCGAAGCGAAAGAACGCTGTATTGCTAAAGGTCTCAAACCGGATATATTTGATGATGCGCTCGAACGTTATGAGGAAATGGGCTTATGGCACGTCAATCAACAACGTACAACAATCACTATTGTTTAAAGCACGATATATTTTTTTGGTCTTCCTGTATAGAATTATTGTTTTGTTTTTCGAAAAAACGAAAGTTTCTGTCAGATATTTTTCTGTCTATGTAGAAGAGAAAATGAATATTTTTTTTGTATGAAAACAATTAGATATATAGATATATTTCGATAATAAAATAAAGTCAGATTTGGTATTCTTTGAAGATTTATATTCTGAATTTGGAATGGCGGATCGTTTGGCCTGGACAGATGGACAATTGCATATGGGTGAAACGATCATAACAACACAAAATGGAGTTTCAATCTATGATGGATCGGATAAAGTGAGAAAGAACCGATTTTCCACTCCTTATTCTTCATCTCTGTGTAGACGGATTATCAAAAAGGGTTTATTACATTGACTACTCATCGAATCATATGGAAAGATAATTCAGCACAGGTGAAGGATCGAATTGAAATACAGAATCGTTTGTGAGGAGTTTCTTTTCAGATGGAATTACCACTTTCAGTGATTATATTCAGTGAAAAGAAAGATGCGTCATTTACTTCAAAGTAAAAATCGGCTCAAACGCTTTATTGATCGAAGTTCTCCGTTTAGAGCTCGTCTCATCTGTGCAGTATCACGAGGCCAAGGATCGAAACGGCCAGGCCCATTTGCAAGTAGTCGTCATGATGAAATACAGTTTGAATTTCGTGATGGTGGCTGTAACGATGTAATTCAATCGAAAGAATTTTCATATCGATCATTCGAAATCTTCTTTCTTTTAGTTTTTACGGTTAATCCAAGAAGAACTAGTTAAAAAACGTTGGCTATTACAAGCAATAAAACCAACAACAGCAACAACTACCGTAAGTTCAAGAGCAATGATTAGTAAAAGGTTAAAAACGATCTCTTTCATGTTCAGAGTGATCGCACACATCGAACAGGTATATCGGGTATTGAAAGTCATATACAACATCAATTGAATACTCAACAACAATCGATTAGTGGAGCTTTTCAGGATTTGAATAAACTTATGCAGCAGGTTTGTTCCAATATCGACTAAACACTAAACATTCAGTTTGTTTTGATTAGGCGAAAGAAATGGTCACCATATCGAAAACAATTACCAACAAAATTCAAGAAAAACGAAGTGATCTAACTAGTGATGAAGTAATTCCGCCGTTTCCTCCTGAACTTCTCATCGAACTTTTTCTTCTTCTTAGACAATACGTTTTCGATCGTATCTACTCAGTCTCGGTATTGACAATCCAGTGACAAAAGAATCCGCTGGCAGTCAATATCATGTATCTTTAGCAAGGGAATTAGCATCTGTTTTAGAAAAAGCATTAAAAGTAAGAAAGAACCAAAAGGGAGTGTTTTCGTCAGAAGCCAACGATCTCGTCTAGGATACCAACGGTATAATGACATTGAGTGATGCATTTTGTCGAATTAATCGAGCTCGAGGTTATGAAGTAAGATTTGTTCCTTTGGGTTCTTTCGAATGCATTACTTTTCATCTTTCAGTTGATTTCGCCAGACGATTTACTGAATGCAGCTGTTCATATGGAAGAATTAGGCTTACCTGTTCGGTAATCATTCTTACCTCAAACAAGGAAGAAACTTCACTTTCTTAAATTTAGATTACGTGTTCTAAGTTCGGGTATAAAAAGTTTCGAATTAACAAATCGAAATGAGAAGAAAGATTTACAGGAAATTACCGAACTTGTATGTTTTATCTCTGCTATACAGGAAGAGTCTTTATTATTCTCTAGGTCGAAAAAATGAAATCAATGAGTGCTGATCAACTAGCTAATACCCTAGGCATTCCGGTGATTGTTGCTCGTGAAAGGTAAGTGAACAAGTAAAAGCGGAAGAGGTTGTCTGCATTACCATCATTTAGATTAACAACTGCGGAAGCCAATGGTTCACTTTGTCGTGATGATTCTATTGAAGGACTTCGATTTTATCCGAACCTTTTTTGATTATTCTTTTATTTATTTAATATAAATAATTCTTCTATAAAATTCAAATCTCCGACACTCATTCCAGTTGCAAAGCGAAAATTAAAAAATGATCTGTTCCACGCAAAACAACGTTAGAATCCATCGAGTGTTAATGATATGAATAATGTCATTTTATTTATTTATCTTGCCTTCTATTCTCGAGAAAATAATTGAATTTTATATGTCGTCAATTTTCTGCTCCAAAAAACCGTCGAGATGCTAAAAATAACTTTTCTACCGATATCATCTTTCGATATTTCTCTTTCTCTGGCTAATTAGATTAGCTTTATCTCATATAAAATACAAATCCTATCGTCTGACATTGTTTATTTACATTGCAGAAGAAATCTATCCATAGATTAAGCTGTTTTCCATTATTAGGTTCTGCACGTCTCCGTCAATCAACAATCAAGTATCCATACAGAACAATTCTTTCTTTTTGTACTTGACAAGGAAACGACAAAACAAATGATGAATGAATGTATGTGTATATTTAATTATTGAAGAACAAAAAACTATTGACATTCGAAATCTCTGTATATATATACATGTACAATTGTCTTCAACGAACAAAAATTTCACTGTTGTCAACGACAAAAACCGTACACAAATGAGCAGAAGACAATGACAGGAAAAAGGGAAAAACAAGAATCGTGAACATATACGCACACACATATATATATATATATTTGAAAGCTGGACGTTGGTTCGATGTTGCTAGTAGTAGTGATGATGATAATTCTTCTTTTTTTGATCTTGAATGATTACCATCATGGTTGAAGGCTGATAAATGTGAATGTATGTGTTTTCTCTATTCGAATACATGCAAAATTATTCGGATAAATAAACAAAGGCAGAGAAAAAAGATAAACAGAGAATAGAAGATAATTCATATGTATGAGCTAAAAGTAAGAGGACATGACAAAAATAAAGTGTCTTTCTTCGATTCGAACAGAATAAACAAGGAGATATTTCATCGTCGAATGAGATCATCATCGAATGGATTTGTCCCACGTTTTGGCGTGAAGATCGCGGGTTGCCGATGGTTGATATTTGGAGATTGAGCTTGAGCAGCCATTGAATAACCATAGGGTGAAAATGGATTGGTGGGGTTATTACTTTGCACAAGAGCATTCAGATTGGAATTGAAAGCATCGGTGATGGTCTGAGGCGGAAGTGATGTGGGTACAGATTCGTAAGTTTCGGGTACTTGTTCGTTATACAGAGGAGTTTGATTGGTTAGCCAAAGATTTGACATGAGATTTTCATTGGTATTCGTCATTGTTGATGAAGACGGTTGTGGCAAGGATAATGGAGCAGGTGGTAGTGACACGGGTGGTTGTGATGGAATGAATGGAGATTTCGTTGTAGACAGTGAAAGATGATGATTTAATTCATGAGTATAACCGTTGGTATTAGTTGAATCGATTAGAGATAATTTATTAAGCTCAGTTGTCGTTTGGACAGGCTCGACTTCTTCTTCAATAACTAAATGAAAGATATGATTGGAAAACGAAAACAAAAACGTATTTTGAAATACTTGTGCTGGGTCCTAGGATTTCTTTGTTTCTCGCTTCTTGTATCGATGGTAAATCACTGGGCCTCAATGAACTTTGTCGTTTAAAAGCACCTAAAGATGCTTGATTCAGCTCGCCCAGTCGAAGTGATGCACTTCGTATAAAAGCGTCTGAATCATTTCCTTTCGGTCGTGGCCGTTCCATGACACCATTTTTTTGCAGCGAATTCGTTGAATTCAACGTTATATTTGAGCTCAATGGAATAGGTTCTAAAAATACATAACATAACATAACATTAATAATTCAACCGCATGTTATATGAATCTCCTACCGGCAATAATAGCACTTTGAGGATCAATTAGCCGTTCTGTGATAGACGTTGTACGAAATGAACCAAAACGTGTAAAAGATGTACCATTTTGTGAGTATTCAACTGTCACACTACATTCACGATCGCGTTTCTGTTTTCGTTCAAGACAAATTTGAAATGCACAGCCAACAGCATGACTTAAACGTTCACCCTAAATCGCCGACACACAGACATAAGAAATCTCAATCATTTTTCGCATACTGAATCTTTAATTGCTAGAAAACCGTGGCAGAGCCATCGTCGGGTTGTACCATCTCGGCAAATATACGCAAATCCCTTTTCGTGATGACGATCAGGAGCGCAAAAAGACACTTTTTCAATAGTTTGATCAACAATGAGACCCTTGAGAAAATATAAACACATACACATACATCAATCCTGTAATTAATAAAATATATTCCATTATACCTTATTAGTTTCATCCACGACTCGAAGCGCATCACCAGATATGTGTAAAACAGCTTTTATATGTTTACCCTTTTGCTAAAAAACAGTACAGAAATCAATTATCATCTCCACAGAACGGAATCTAATTTACATTCAATAGAGCTTGTATAGCTTGTTCACAAACATGCATTCCACGTGATTCCTGCACTTCAACACTTCCAAGATACTAAATATCATTAAAATTTATATAAATATCCGGCTAACACTGAATTTCTGGTTACCTTAACATTAAAAGTACAAGTGCCACCACGCACAGATTTTTCATCGTCTTGCCATTGTGGTGGTTTGTTTTCTGTTGTTGCACTATTCGTCGTTGCTGGTACATTATTGGTAGTTTTGGTTGAATCTTCAGTGTTATTGTTATTGTTGTTTCGAGTGTCACTCGACGTATTTCCTTTTTTCTTACTGCGAAAGCTCAATGTTCGTCTTAATCGATCCATCTGTCGATGTTTTTTTCTGCGAACTGTTTCAGTATTGGGTGGTTGTGGCAACACTTTTGGTTGATCGTCTAGAACGATTTTCATCGAGAATAAACGAATTCTTTCTTAACAAATACAATAGAAGATCATGCGAGCAGAAGCAACATGCAAATTTACAAAAATTCAATCAATATCCATGGATAATGTGCTTATTCTTAACGGACAGAAAGAAAAACGAAGATTGATTCTCAAGCATGCAAAAGGAAACCTCCGTAGCCCGTTAAGTGTTAATAGAAGCATGGAATGATCCATAGATTAGTGTAAATACGGCGTTGTCGAGCTTTACCTGTGACTATCGAGGTCGTACCATTGCTTGTTGGTACAGCTGATCCTTGTTGACGATTCTTACGAGCGTGTGAACGGCGCGAATGCTCAGCACCCATATTTTCTCGATTTTTACTCTATAGAATTCTATTTAAGGTGATCAGGGAATTTCGAAGGGTATATACAAACTAATATCAATCAAAACACAAAAACAACAAATCATACGAACAACACAACAGATAAAGATCGTCACATACCAAATCAGTTGATGATAAACTTCTTTAGATTGAGTGATATTGAATCATCTAAAAACATTCTGGAATATGTTATCGGATCGATGATGTCTGAAAACGAGAAACGAACAAGAAGAAAAATATCTGCAGAGTCTAATCTCATCGATGAGTGGTAAAGCTTCGAAATGTCACGACCAGAATAGGCTGATTCATCCTATTTCAAATCAACAGTACCATATTGATGACCTTCTTCAAATAAAACGAAACGTGAAGGAACGTCACCCTTGATACGTATATTGTTTTTTTTCATTTCGCTTTTAAAAGGCTTAACATTCCTTTCTCTCTACTGTCATTCAATTCCTGAAAGAAAAACATTACTAATCATGACTAATTATAATGTACCAATGCGAAATCTGGTTGAATCAGCACAGTGTAACAAAAATCGTACGACGTGAGAGATTCTTCTTTTTTACACAAGCAGAAACAAATAAATGATAAAGAATAAACAGGACAAGATAACGGATATAGTTCGCGGTACGTTCGAATGATTTTTTCAAGCGAACGTGGCGCCTCGGTAATTGAACTTCTTCATTGGATGGATGAAGATACGAATCGAAGAAATCGATGTATTTATTATTATTTTGTTTTATTTTCTCAAGAATTCTGTAGTAGAAATGACTGACGAAAATGAAATCGATAACGAAGCAAAGACGATCGATCTAAATGGCAAGCTCGAGAATTATCCCAGTCCACCTTTAAGTAAATGAAAAATAAAGAAATCTTTTCATTGAATACTCACATGATTCTCTTTGCGCGATAGAAATGGCTTTAGAAGTCAGTAATAATTCGCTTATCGAACAACAAATTTGCAATGTTTTACGAAAAAACTTCCTCGAACAACGTTCCATCTCGTGGAAACCAATCAAAGTCGAATTGATTGTTAATACTCAATTGACAGATGATTTTTTCGGTAAATATGCCCTTCGTTATCTTCAATTTCACCATCCTATCTGTATCTTTCGAAAACATCTAGTCTCTATGGCAAGTATCCTATCGCTGTTCTCTATTCTCTTGTTCATCTGAAATATCAATACTAATGATTCGAATAAATCGATTCTGCACATATTGTTATTTTTCTCTAGAGATAGAGTTTGCTTTTCTCAGATGTTTTTATCCACACAGATATGACTTTATCTTCGAATTATCATTCCATGTTCTGCATGTTTATCGTATCTGTAAACAGATTTATTTTGAAAATGTCCGTGTCTCTCTATTTGACAATACAAGATGCATGATGAAGACAGAGGAGTCGATTCAAAACGATAATTCGCTGTTGATGTTTTGCACGTTCATTATCTATCGAGTGTAAATATTCGCAAATGTTAATATAGAAGTGTAACGATGATTTCTTCAAGTTCTTCTCCGTTTGATTTATAATTTTGCATTTATTTGTCTAAGATTTGATGTTTATTTTAGCAATACGAAAGAAGTTTGAACGAGCATCTGAAGGAAATCGATCTGAGTTCGAGGAACATTATGGATTTCTCATTGACAACGATGCTCAAGTCCATGATATTTGTACAAATGGTTATCAATGCACCGAATCGTCATACAACGTCCTAGGTAAATTCACTTAAATCAAATTCTTTTGATAAAAGAAGCAAACAGCAAGATCGCTCGTTTGATGTTCTTCACTGATTATTTAACCTCTTGGGTCAAATCAGATAGATCTAGTTCAAATCGAACATTGCTCTAAGCTTCTCAACTGTTTTTAACAAACATAACTTTATGCGTGATGATTGACGTACGCTTGCTTAACTTCTATCCCTTATCCCAACAGATACACCCTATGTACGTGTGTCGTAACTCGGCCAAACTTGCTCATGTATTGACTTGTAAGTATTGATAGCACTATAAATCAATGTAGATCGCTCTATATCTATTATTGTTTTTGTCACTGACCACTTGTTTTACATTTCGCTCTCGATGGTTGTTGAACAAAAAAGCGCAGAGCTTTCTCAGTTATTGGTTTTGTTATTTTGTTTCAATTTTCATCTAATCCTTCCTAAAACAACAAACAATATCGAAGCTCTCACTTTGCATTATGATTTTAATGATTGTTATTCAATTCCTACTAATTCTTAGACATAATAACCATCTCGTAGCATCTCATTTTTCTGTTGTCATGTATTTACACAGCATTTTTTTCTATTTCCTTTATGTCTTCATGTTATTGAACCATTTTCTATATACATAATCACTTACATTTGATCCTATTTGCACAATCTTCACTGATGAAGGGTTGTTTCTCTACTACTAATCTGACAAAAAAAAAACGTTTTGATTATTACCGTCGTCGCACGTTTTCCGAAACGACTGTTTGTCAAATTTGCTTGCATGTGCTCTCTGTTCTTCATTTTCCTTGCTGTTAATTTGTTGTTTATTTTCATTTGAAATCGGTATATGGGACTTCTTACACATACATACATACGTACATATACATATATCAATGCATACTTGCATGGGGCTTTGGTAGTTCGTTTTATGTGTTCTCTCTCTCGCTCTCTCTCTTTTCTCGTAATGGAAGGAAAAACAAACATTCTTTGTGTCTGTGTGTGTGTGTTCGAGTGTTTAAAATGTTCATTTAGGATTGATGAAGATATTCTGATCAAATGGATGAATACAAACGAGAAAACAACAATGTGAGTTGCAAAAATGATGACCAATGCTCTGGCTTCTGATCATCTTTCTCCTACTCATTTCTCCTGACCTTATTATCCATGTCAATCGATGTCGCGCATACACCACTGTTCTCGATGTAATATACATTATACATATATCTCGGTTTTTCATGATCATTATCACTTAGCTCATACATATCTGTACTTATGAACCACACTTAGCTTATGTCATCTTAGTATTCGTAATTTCTATGTGTTAGTTTTCTTTCGTTTTGTTTGCTGCTCGCATAGATTTGGAGATGGGCTGTGTACGAATGATAAGAACATAATTTGTTGAAGAAATTCGCACTGAAATTATCGTATAGGTAATCAGCTCTAAATTCTTTCTTTTTCGTCACTTCGGTTCTGATCATAGACATTTCTTTTGCTTTCTTCGTTTTCAAATGATTATCGATTTGAAAGTTTGATATTCTTCATATCTATGTGTTTAGTCATTGGTCTCTTTGTCTGCATGCTTTTTTTTTCTTGTATTTGAATGTTAGATAAAGAGATTTTCGTGGTGATTTGAACGGAAAATTCTCTGCTATGATGATGATAATGATGCGAATTTGAATACAAATATAATGATGCAAAAAAAACACAATAACGAACGACTGAAATTTGAACATGCTTATGATGCAATATCTGCATATTGTTAATTCTCTTTCATTTTGTCATCCTATCTATTCGTCGTTATCTTGTTTGACGTTTTTTCTTTAATCGTTCATTATTATTCTTTTCATCTATGCGTGTGTTCATAATTGTTGTCAATTCAATACTCATTGTTCGTATATCTGTGTGTCTGTGTTTTAGGACATAGTAAATGTGGTGTATACGTTTGCAAATATGCTGATGTATGCATTCGACATGCTAGTGCGCGACGAACATGGGAAGGAAATGTTGCAATTAAAATGCTTGTGTTTAAAGTTCGATCAGATGAGTTTTGATGCAAGATGAATGAGTGCCGTTTTTGTTGATTAGATTGTGGAAGGAAAACAAACTACTGCTCTTGTTCGCAAGGGATCAAAATTACAACCTATAGCACCTACAGTCAATTTTACAAGTCATTGTTCGATCATTGTACCGAAGGAAACGGATGATCTTGACAAACAATTCGACCAATCTCAGGTAGAAAGAACAACCGTGATTTTAGTGATTCGAGTGATCTGTTGTTATTTTTAGATATTTTTGTATGAATTTGAGGGTCGAGAAACAATCAAACGACCTCATCATTGCTTACCATATGCTGTTGTTAGTTTAATACAGGATGGTTTGTATCTTCAATTTTTAGAAGTAGTCTATGACCTAGATTCATTCTAGGAAGTCAATGGCCAACAAATTTTGATAATGTGGATAATGAACCAAACATTTTGGAAACAGATACTCTACGGGTGATTGCACACGCTGATGATCCCTTGTTGCAAAATAAATTAAACGAGAATGTCGAATTAGCCGAAACAGCAACCCTTGCATTAGAACACGTTTATGAAGAAGATCCGCCCATTCAGACGCCACAACCATCACAGTCATCCTCATTACCAATTGCTGACGGAGAACACGAACAACAGACATCGTCACAAGAATCCGGAAATTCCGGAATGATACCAGCAGTGACAACGACATCATCAGATAATACATCCATTCCTACAGTTAATGGCGTCGATGTACCATCTCCGACGCCCCCAAATGAACATCCATCTACACTTTCAAATGACACACAGGCAGATACCACCGACAGTTCTTTGAATCTAACAGTGCCACTTTCACTTCCGCCACCATCTTCAAATGCAACTACAAATCCTACTACAAAAACAGCATCTGAAGCTACTGTGATACCAGTCACTGCACCAACTGCGACTGTTCAAGCTGTTTATAGACAGCAAACAGGTCTCTTAGGAGCGCTACCAAGTGCGGCAGCTCTACGTTCGGTCCCAGGTGCTGTCTATGCTACAACAAATGGCTTGTCTAATGGTCTTCCCGGGCAAATAGTATATAGTGGTATGTAATGGATATTAGTTTGTTAATAGAGTGTATTATTCTACTAATAATATTGTCGTTGTTTAAGGTGTTCCAGTAGATGCTTTCCGTGGTTTTCCAACTGCAGCAACTGCTTCGGCGACCGGTACGCCATATGTATTGGCTGCACATGCTGGCCAAGCAATGCAACAACCTGCGCTCTACGCTGCTCAATTACAAGCTATTGCTCAGCAGCAACAAGCAGCCCAGTTAGCCGCTGTAGCAGCAGCTCAACAACAGCAACAGCAACAACAACAAAGTTTTATGAATGGCTTACCAGCAAATTGTATGGTTGTACGTACAGCCAACGGTGGTTATGCTCTAATGGCACAATCTCCAACGGCATCCGCTGCGGCTGTTGCTGCCTTACAAACACAAGCACCTCTTACACAACAGCAGTATATTTCCATAAATGCAGCTGGCCAACCAACAGCGATGGGTGCGACAGGGGCGGCACGAGTTCCTGTTGCCTTGGTTGGCGGGCAGCCGCAATCGATTTTTTATCAATATGCTGGACAACCAACGATGCAGACAGCTCTATCCCCATATATTCAAATACCAATGAATTATGGTCAACAGCAACAACAAAATCAACTATCAACTAGTCCTACTATGCAATCCGTCAATTCGGCAACTTCTCAAGGTTCGTATGATTTCCTCGTAATCTTTTCCAACAATGATAACTGCGAATCTTCCTTTCAGCTTATACAAGTCAATCACCTATACAGTATATAGGTGCACCACAAGCAGCCAATAATAATGTAACTAATTCTGCATCGGCTACAGTTGTATCACCACCCTCTACACTTCAATCTCAAGCAACACCGACCATTATTTCACCACAAAAACAAAGTGCAGCATCTGCAACAGCTGCTGCTCTCCAACAACAACAACAGTATCAACATCAATATCCATCCACCTCATCCCAACAACAACAACAGCAGCCAGCTATAAATGGTGCTTACGGCACTGGTCTTTATTACACAACACTAGCACAAGCCCAAGCCCAACAACAACAACAACAACAAGCAGCTCTTCTAGCACAACAGCAACAGCAACAGCTTAATCTGATCTCTCAAGTATGAAATGAATGACAAACACTAAAGCGTTATTTATCTTTTGCTCTTCCTCACTAGATGCCATATGCAACTCAACAAGGAATTTCACAGCAGATGTATTATGCAACATCCGGTGGCCAAGCAATTTACCAGGCAGGCAGTCAAAGTTATGTAATTGCTCAACCAGGCATAACTACAACTGGTGCTCCAGCAATATATTCAGCAGGTCCCGCATTACATAATGGTGCTACCCAACAGCAATCGGATTCACCCCAACAACAACAACAGCAACCAGCGCAACTTGTACAACGTCCAAGTGTTTTATCACAAGTGCGACATCATCCATATAGAAACTAAATAGAAATTTGCCACTTCTTCTTTCTCTTGTCTATCATTATTTTGTAACAGTAGGATATCAGTGTTTAATCACTATCTAACTCCGAGAATTTCACTCACTCGTGTGTCACATTTTGTTTATTACAATATATTCCTAACATTTGTATATTAAGAAATATATTCAGCTACGATTTCATCTGTTTTGGTTTTGATTGTATCGGAAAAAAGGAAACGAAGAAAAAAACACTACATGTTCATTTGTATTTCACTACAATTCTCTAGATATTTGAGAAACAATGGGTAAGGATGACGACAATCTTGAATATTATAAAGCAAAACAAAAAGCTGGACAATCATCTGTAAGTAAGCCAGAAACGAAGACATCATCGAAGCCGGTAGCAACGGCCAAAACTGGTTCGTTACAATCCAGTTCAGCTGGCTATATTGCGATGAAAGATCCCAAAGAAAAGGAACGTGAATTTGAACGTTATAAAGAGATCACCTTTGCACAGAAAGCAAGTGACCGAGCAAAGAAAAACCCACTAGTTCCGTAAGAATATTTTCGAATGTTTTCGCTCATTGACCTCTGTTCTTGTAGGATTGGTTTATTAGCGACAGTGGCAGCATTAACATTAGGTCTTCGTGCAGTGTCTCGCGGTGATCGTTGGCAATCGCAAATGATGATGCGGTAAGTACCGATTGAAAATTGATTCACATTTCCTGATTTTATTTTCTCATTGTAGGGCTCGAATTGGGTATGTTCCGTTGAAAGTAAATCTTTGTACCGAAAGTATTTTTTCACAGTAACCTGTTAAAGAATTTCATTCTTCCAGGCATTGAGTCTGTTATTTCCTTTGTGAATTGAGTTGCTGCTAGTTTTGGAAAAATCTTATAATGCATGTCTAGAAGACATTTTTGCCAAAGCTAATTCGATCATTTTCTAACTAAATCTCCGTCAACATGTATCCACACATCACTAACGACACTTTCTGAAATAGAAAAGCCAATGTGTTGTTCGAAATTAGTGAAATTTAATCAACATGACAAATTGGCCTAATTTCTCCAGGGGCAAAAAGACCTTTTTTATACTTGATAATTGATTATCTAATTCAGGAGTGAGGATCAATTATTGAATACGTAAGAACATTACTTTACATTCCGCGTACACAACTATGTCATGATCTCGTCCTACTTCCCTCCATATCTCCAAAACTAATAATCATTAGTCGAGACGAAGTAGATCTAGAGCCTTGTTACTAGATACAATCGTGAAGATAAAATTACGAAGTTTGATCTTCTTTCTTGCTTTTAGTGCTCAAGGTTTTACGATTCTCGCTGTTCTTGCGTCTATCATGTATGCTGGTCAAAGTCAAGGACCCGTAGACGAACCTTCGCCACCTCGTCGATCTTCTTCTTCTTCTGCTTCTTCTTAACATATTCTTCTTTCTTTTTTTATCTTCTGTCATATATATTAGATATATTTTTTTGTCTTTTCCTTGAAAGAAAGAAGATTCACATATTATCGAACATCAATCTTGATTGAAAAAAGTAGGCATTTTTGATATGGTATCGTTATTTTTATCCAATAACGAAAGACAAAACCACACACAGAATAAAAATTTAGAAGTGACGTCAAGAAGATCGCGGTGTTGCACTGATACTGTTTGTATAATAACAAACTAAAAGCTCTGAAGTAAAATACAATTGTACACACACTGGCAATCACATAAATAATAACAACATCCAAGGAAAAAATGTTCTACAGACAAATAAGTAAACAAAGGAATAAATAGGTTATATGTATATGAAATGATCTAGAATCTGCCTGGTTAAAAACTAAAAATGAGAATACTTTTATGTAAGTGTTTATCACCGGATGATTAAACTGATACAACCGGAAAGAGAAATGTGTCGGACGGATGTGTAGATTGAAGATGTCGTATGTCAAGAGATTTAGGTATGGTAACTATGAGAATTTGTTGGATGATGGTATTGAACTTTCCATTGATGAGGAAGATAATGGCCAAACATGATGTAAAGATTGTAATCGACTTTCTATTCGGTAGGCGAGTTTAATTAAATAGAATGAATGGATTACTAAGATGATTACAAACAATAAAAGTATAAATGAGGTTTTAATCGGATAAATTCTGAATTGTTTTAATAGTAAAAGTAGATATTCAATGAGAAGTCTTATAATAGATATAATTGAGAGAAGAATGATACGAAAGTATCTTTGTACGAATCCGTTATTGTCAGAATTAATATTGGATGCTTCATCGGGTATCAGTCGGTCGGATAGAGATTCTAATGGAGATAGATTGGCTAATGAACGATGAGATGGAGATAATGTTCGATCACGATTTCGACTGCTTTGGCGACTTCTCAACGATGGAATATCTCCTAGAATTTGTCAAATTGGCATATTATTTTCATCGAAAAAGCAAAACTGTAGGTACATCTGGGTTGTGACAGTGTGTCTATTTACTAAGAGCATGTTGTTTTGCAATATGTTTCAATATTGTCCATCTACATATTCATGATAACAACGAGAAAGTGTGCTCATTTATAGATTTGCGCACATTGATTCCAAAGAAAAACATTCTCTTTCTCTCAGCCGCCGAGAACACTCATTATACCCTCGGAATTTACATCCGGAGCAAAGTTAGAAGATCGCAACCCGTGATTTCTTCCATAATCAGTCTATTCGATTTTTCTTCGCAGAAAAGAAATTAACTACTTGTTTCTAACGTTTCGATATAATCGAATAACGCACGATAGGTGCGAAATCTTTTAACAAAACGAAAACCTATTCATACGACGTAAGAAAATCCGATGATCTTACTTGTGAATGTATCAGTTTGTTTTGGTTGATTTTTACTATGCTGTGACGTCCTATTTGCATGATCACCATTGAAATCACTGGATAAATTTGACTCGGCGACCGAATTGGTTTTCTTTTTATCTGAATTGAATAATTTCTTCGTTTGCTGTTGCTTGTCATCGTTCGTTTTTGAAGAGAGCGGTTGTTTCCGTCGTTTCATCAGACTGTTTGTTCGATCTTGTCCTAAGCACATTTGGAGAACATTGTCATGTTCTGAGTCATCCGGTGTTTCGTAATGATTGCGTTTCGACTTTTTGCTTTTTGTACTAAAACTGTGATTACTATTCTGCGATTTTAATGTTCCACTTGGGTTCAAACGATTGTCATCATCATCAGCGATTGAGCCTGTTTCATTGTTAAAACGCGAACAAATCGAAATGATTTTATCATAGGCCTGATCACGTTGGAGAAAGGATGCATAGATGATCTTTTTGCCAGTTGGCTTCAATTGAATTCCAATTGCAGTTGGAAAGATGAATGCAACACGCTCCTTGGTCACATTGTCAATCTGCTCCCATCGATAGACGTGTTTTGTCACGTAAGATATGATCCGGGAATGAAAACATAGATAACGATCGGTGATATACATTTTACCTTGCAGTAAAATATCTCCTAGACAACATATTCTAATCCGATTAGATTGAACCGAAGTGCTTTTGCTTTACCTTGATAGGCGCAGACATAGGAATCAATTAATTCCGGCATGTCGTCATCCGCAATTTCCGATTTGAAAAGTTTTTGGAAATGTTTGACGCGTCGAGATAGCTGTTCAGATGTATTGCTCTCAGATTTTTGTTGTCCACTATCGCGCCGCGCTGCTGCTGCTGCTGCTTCTTGTTGTGCTGGACGTCGAATCGGCTTTGGAAGATTGTTCAATTCTAAGGAATTATTATCATCTGTGTATCGTTCTTCTTGTTCGCTTTCCAATTCACTATCGGTGGTTGTTGACGACACTGTTGTAAGTGGACTGATTTGCGGTAACGAAGAAGTTTTGTCATTTGAATTGGTAAGTTTAGCACCAGTACTATCAATTGATGATGAAGATGAATGTGCAATAGTTATATTAGTTCCTGGAAGTTTGGCTTGATTCGATGAACGTAATGGTAATGAATCTTTTTTTTGTACAACACTTTTTGATCCATTCGTATTGGTTTCATCTAACGCATTAGACGAAATTATCATTGATGAAGGTCGACTATTGGCCATTTCAACGATATCTAAAGAACGAAAAGAAAAGAAATCAACATCGTTTGGATCATAGAAAGTACTCGTTTTATTTTCAGTACTTCTATATGATAACGCCCATGCATAAAACCTCCAGTGATCGCATTTAGTATGAAAAGAAAATGTATTCTGAGAGACTGGAGCAGCAATGCAAGATAAATATAAGACGAGGTGGAAAATTTTATGTTAGAGGATGGAGGGAGGGAGAAGAAGTAATTAAGAGGATGGATGTGCGATGAAGAAAGAAAAAAGATTTTGCATTATTTATATTGACGAATATTCGACAGGTTTTTCTTCATTTAATCGATCTTAAGAAGAAAACAAAAATGTATTTCGTTATTTTTATACGTTCTTTCCTCTTTCAATTATTCTGTGTTCTTATTAAACGTCAGTCATATCGATTACTCGACCGTTTGTCATCATGACGACGTATATCGTCCTATCGAACGATCCTACTGTCGAAAAAATGCGCTGAGTGCGCCGAATCGTTGACATCGAACAATACATATAAGCACGCATGATATGCCAGTAGTATTTGCCATTCGTACGACGAAGGCGAGCCAATGTATAACACGAGGAAAAAAAGAAAATTATCTTCGGGATAATTATTCATCAAGCAGGTTATGTTTGGGATTTTCAATTGTTACTCATTACAAACCCATAGACACTAAAGCACCAATCAGCATTAAACAACCAAGTCACCCCATACGATTCTCCTTGTGTTCTTCTTCTTTCTCTACTTCTTTTCCCTCCTCTACTCTCGCTTTGCTTCTTCTGCATCGACGAGTGAAAGCAACCGATAGAGAACATGCCATACGCGCCCCTTGTCTTCGTGCCGTTCTTCTATTCATTTCTCGATCGCGTGTTTTCTGTTTTTTGAAAAAGCTTCAGTTGAGAACGATCGAGCAAGTATCGCCTCGACAAAATCATTGTCTGCACTAAACTCGATCGATAATAAGAGGAAGCGAACGAAGAAAATACTTCGTAAATGAACAACGAGTTAAAAGGAAAATGACATTGATGTTTTTCTACTAATCAATCTTTAGATGACGATCTTTCTAATGGATCGAAGAAATGTAATTGAATTCACTGTGTTCCCTTTTAGTCGGAACTCATTTATGTAATTGCAGAAGATGTAAAAATAAGTTCTTTCAACTGAAAAAAGAATATTCCTCAGGTACTTTTTTTTTAATGAGTATGTAAATATGAAATTTATCTTAAGCTAAAGTTTAATGGTGTTGCTAAAAGAAAAATGACATTAATAATCGTTTCTATGCGTAACCAAGTCGGTTTGTTTTACATGAGCGTAAAAGATAATTGGATCTACAAAAAATAAATAAGTTTCGGAATTGATAGTTCTGCTCTTCTACTTCATCGACTGCGCCGTCGTGCTCGACTTCTCCAGGTAGAAAACTAGATCAATAGTAACAAATCGACTAATCGGTCTTACCGGGTAATTGACAAATCAAATAATAGGAATAATTCGACGACGAGAAAACCGGAGTAAGTGTAAGTCAGACATTGCTAGTCGACATATTTGCATGCTTTTATATTTTATTTATTTCCGTTCATGCGTCTGTCGTTGAATAGATAGTTTCTAGAAGAACAATGTGTGTATAACTCGTATAGTTAGTCAATGACAAAGACATCTAGAGACAAGGACGAGAGAATGAATGAATTCAATTCAAGTTAAACAAGAAGGAAAAATACGAATAAGAAATGATGATAAATAATCCAGATTGTCAAGTTAAACATACTATTATTATGTAAATGTTCATATAGAATGAAGGCAAAGAAGAAGAAAACGATGATCAAATGCCAAAATTCTCATTTGTCAAAGAATTCTCAAGATTCAGTACGCGTTGAAATAGATGTCGTTCCATCGTAGGAACAAATCGTAGACTTTAACAGGTCAGATTGATACGCTCGGAGTGCAATTGATTGCATATGTGATAAGAATTTTCATGTTTTTCTTTGCGTCAAACTCGAAAAAAAGAAGAAAAACGGTATTTGTCATCGTGCAAACATTTGTTCTATAAAGGTTTTTCTTTTATGAGCGTACTCATAGAGAAGATTTTTTGTTGCTATAGACGATGTAAAGTGATTGAAATGAAGAAAAGACGTACTCGAGTAAATATAGAAATCTATTCAAGAGATAGATTGCATTTGAAGATCAAGAATATTGACAATCAATAGATTGTTCAAATACTACAAGACAATGCAAGAAGGAGAATTTATCTACTGAGTGATCGTAGAAATTCGTTCATGACAAATCAATTTTAAGAGTTACTGTCAATTTTGTGTACAAGACGCGTTCTATTGAAACGAGATGTAATTGTTTCTGATTGTATGCAATCATGTGGTGTGTTTATTATATAAACATCAAGAAAAATTTGGAAGAAATGATTTTCAGGTAATACAAAGAGCAATGTTTGTTTAATGCGAACAGTTTATTTTGAGAAAGTGTTATTAACATTGCGCTGGCCTAATAGAACACCTTTAGAAGAAATGAATCTTGAACTATTATATACTGATGGTTCTTCAAAGAAATGTTCTCCATTGTAGTTGTTTTTGATATTCAAGAGATAATGATTGAATCTCAGTTGAATTGCTCATTAGTGATTCGAACTCACAAAGAACTTTCTTCTCTATTAGGGAACACATCACTGAGTAGTCCGATGGAAATTGAAATGTTGTATTAGAATGAAGAATAGTTTGGTTTTGTTGAATTGAAAGATATGAATTTACTGTTGAAAAATGGCATCTTCGTTGGGAAAAGGGGCGAAGTAAAGACAAGTGGAAGAGAAGAAACGATTTGTTTGATAAGATTATCAGTATGTTTATTGAAGTCGATCTAATAATCAACAAAATGACAAATGCTTTCGCTTTCGAAATCATCTGCAATCGATCCTCATTAGTCCAACGTGTGAATGAAAATCATGTCAAATTCAATGAAATTTTATTTTCTGTTGAACATGAGTTGAAAAAAGAAGATCTTTTTCTATTTCAGTTCACTTCCAATCAAACAAAGCTTCATCAATGAAAAATTTCTACTCACGTGAAAGAACTTTTTTTGTCGAATGACATTCTAACTGCACGTATAGAAAACGAGAATGAGATTATATCTAATTAGCCACAAAACTGACTCAATCATTTCTATTCTTTGTTTCTCTCACTTTTTTCAAAATCGACTTATGTCAGGTATCAAGAAGACGAATGCTGATGGAAGTGTTGGTGATCTTATCAATAATGCCAATGAAAAGGTTTGCATCAGTAAAAATGAACGAGAATCTTCCACATGCAGTTTCACTTCTTAGACTGAACCAAGAAAATCATTCCTTAGAAACGTATATTAGCAATACATTGCCAGTTAGCGGACTCTAACATACGATTATGCCAAGAACAACTATGATTGGTTGATGATAAAAACGTCTTTCGTACATCACACTCTCTAGGTACGTTCGCACGCCGATCTCTGTCCGGTATTCTGTCCTCTGATATAGTTCATCTAAAAATAGTAACTCACAGTTTATAGATTCGGTACATATCATAATGGTTGCTCCAACAGGGCCTTCTAAAAAAACAGGAAGTACAAGTAAAGATGTCTTAATAGATTTTCTTGCCGGTGGAACAGGTTCGATATTTTATTCTCCAGTTAATCAATATTTTCATTTCATTCGTATTTTCTAGCTGTATGTATTCTTTGTTTTATGACTTTTGTCGGAAAAGCATCGGAAGTTTTAGGGAGCAATATCCAAAACAGCTGTCGCGCCGCTCGAACGCGTTAAACTTCTTCTTCAAACTCAGGATGTCAATCAAAAAATCGCCGCTGGACGAAAATACAAAGGATTTGCTGATTGTCTTGTGCGTTGTATTCGAGAAGAAGGACCCATATCTCTTTGGCGTGGAAATTGGGCAAATGTCATCCGTTATTTTCCAACAGTATGCATAGTTTCATCTCCTCTTGAAATCCTAATTTCAATCGATTTTCTAGCAAGCATTGAACTTTGCGTTCAAAGAGCGCTATCAACGAATATTTGCCAATTACAATCCAAAAACGGATCCATACAAATTTTTTGTGGGAAATCTTTTCGCGGGTGGCATGGCAGGTGCAACAGGTCTACTCTTTGTCTATCCACTTGATTTTGCTCGAACACGACTTGGTGTTGATATCGGAAAATCAGTTCAAGAACGGCAATTTAAAGGAATGAACGACTGTCTTGTTAAAATCTATAAAGCTGACGGTATTCAAGGTAATCCTCATGCTTTGTATTGATCAATAGGAAATATATAAGATTTTTATCTTTAGGCCTCTATCGAGGTTTTTCAATCAGCGTGGCAGGTATATTTGTCTATCGAGCATTCTACTTTGGTGGTTACGATGCTGGTAAGAACGCTGGAAAAGAATATACAGTGATCTATTTTTGCGGTTTTTAGGAAAAAAGTTTTTGTTTGGTGACAATCCAAATCCCAATATATTTTATCGTTTTCTCTTCGCGCAATTTATTACTTCGTCCTCGGAGTTCCTTGCCTATCCACTCGATACAATTCGACGGTAATTTTTTTCTTATATAATAATCTTTTACTCAACGTTCTTTTTATTCTCATAGTCGATTAATGATGCAAAGTGGTCGTAACGATGTTATCTACCGAGGAACATTGGACTGTGCTCGAAAGATCGCTGCTACTGAAGGCTTAACCGCGTTCTTCAAAGGAAATCTTTCCAATATGTATCGTAGCATCGGTTCATCATTAGTTCTTGTTCTCTATGATGAATTCAAACGCTGGATACTCTTGGCTGGCGAATCATCTGCTACCAAATAATTCCTACTCCGACGAACTACACATCTAATTTTTTTTTCATTCTTATTTTTAGTGTATCTATTGATCTAATCATTCCACTAATAATTTTTCTCCTGTTCTTATCTATTCTTTCTTTTTCGTAATCGTAGCGAGTTGATAACTTTCAAAACTATTTCTTCTTTTCGAAATAAAACATACATCTATTTCTTGTGATATACACATCGCTGTTTCTTTTCGTAGATGACGACTCCTAATCAACAACTAGTTGATCTCGATTGGAAATTTGCAATCAACGTCGCCAGTAGTGAACCCGAGGCCAACACGGGTGCGGCTCGACTTTATTTAAAACTAACAACAATGTCGAATAATGGTACCAATCGCACAGACATTCCTTTAAGTGTGACATTGGAACAGTTCTATGCTCTCGTTCACCAACTTGAAAAAGCAAAACTTGAAATGGATGTTTATGCTTAATAAAAATAATCACTCGTGGCTTTTTGCTTTTTATCTGTTTGGTTTTTCTTTTCTTCTTACAATTGCATCACATAAGAGAGACAGAAAAAAGAAAGAACATAAGGAACAAAAAAGAAAAAACGTGAAATGATAAACAAAAGACAAAAAAAAGATAATGATGATGGTGGTGGTGAACTTATGTCTCACTGTGCGGAGTTAGGCTTTCTCTTGTAAAAAATACGTATCAAACAATGATTAAGCACGACCACGCTGTACAAAGTCATTTAATTTCACACAGGACGGCGTCCCCTGCTTCTGTGCTTGACGATAGAGTTCATTATCATTCATCATTCGAGCACGCCACATCATAGACTCTTTATATTGTTGTTCGCGATAGCACTGATGTCGGAGATCAGATGTGTATTCTTCAACAACAGATGTCTCGAATTTATCCAACTCAGCATTGGTTTTCGGTGGGCGAAAGTCAGGTTTAACATAGTATTCCACATGTGATAGACGTGTGTAACGTTGATTAGTATATTTTCTAGAAAAAAGTCATCGAATAACGAATTAAATGGACTGGAAAGTTACGCATTACCCAGTACGATGCAATTGAAATTGAGGTTCACTCACTAAAAATGTGCCGATAATTGAAATAAGGAATAGAAACAAGTAAGGCAGTAGTTGGGCAAGCGTATGGGTTGTCTAGAAAGAGAATAACATCAAACATTTCAAAAATACCTGAAATGAGTATAGAAAATAAACAAACATTCTGCGTTTGATTATGTTGTGAATGAGTAGTAAAATGAAACGGATTGGTTTGTTGACGACGTCGATACGTACGATTTGGTGGTCCTAATAAGCAATTTTCTTTCGAAAAGATGACACTGCAATGATTTCAATCATACCTGAATATCCAAAGAAAATATTAAAGATTTCTTCGGCTGAAAAGTCTTCATCATCTTCGTAATAATAATATTGATGAGAACCACGTCCACCACCATTGCTACGATGATTATACTGTGGCTCCATAGCATGACCATACTGATCGTATTGTTCTCGTTTCTTTGGATCGCTCAGAATTGAAAATGCTTTGCCAATCGCTGTTATGTAACGTCGAAATAGAAGATAAAGTTTAATGAAAAATAAAAATGATTTACCTTTGAAAGCATCTGTTGCACCCGGAGCTTTACATTTGTCTGGATGAAACTAAAGTCAAATGATTTGAATGACAAGAAATGTGTGCTAGTCATGCAATTTACTTGAAGCGCTAATTTACGATATGCTTTCTTCAAATCAGCTTCAGATGCTGATTTATTCACACCGAGAATTTCATACAAATCTTTGCAAGTTTTGACTCTAAAATTGAAAACTTAAGAAATTATCTTACATTTTCACAACAAATACTTACTTTCGTACAGCTTCCGCTTCTTCTGAAGTATAATCATTGGAAGAAGTTGAATGACTATTCGTTGTGGTGGATGTTCTTTGTCTAGTCGTTGACGAGCTTCCATTACTGGTTGACTGATCGTGATTTGTCGACGACGCCGATGGTGATTCGGGTTCATGGGCTTTATGGTTAGTTTTACTTGATGATGACGATGATGTCGAATGAGAATTCGCATACATCAGTCGTTCTATGAGATCTAAACGAACCGAAATGAAAGAGACTCGAAGTGGACGGTTGGAGAAAGTCTACCTTTAGCTTTTTGTGTAGGAAAGAGACTTTCCGATTTATTCAGATATCGAAGAGCGCGTTCATTATCATTGGCAAGTATGGCTTTTTCAGCGAGTTCAATATAATGCAATGCAGAATCTTTGTTCGCTTCCATTGATGAAGACACAAGAAAATACAGTCAAATAAATAAAGTTTAACGATTAAATTGAATAGATGACTGGAACTGATAACGACATTGAAAACAAGACACAAAAAGAACAAAAATAAGAGTTGTAGATGCTGTTAATCAAGGCCAAATATTAGATTCGTAGCTACAAGCACCAGTTAAATCGAGAAAAAAAGACGAGAAAAGTCGTGAGATGTTTTCGAAAATATTTCTTAGAGCATTGAATCATTCAGTCCAATAATATGTCTATAGACATGGGCATGTAAAGAGCAGATAGGCTAAGTCAGGTCATGGTTTCCATTTGCCAATAACAAAGGTCTCTGTTTCTTCTTCTGATTGGATACTGTTTCTTGCCTATTATGTAAGTTATATACGTTTGACACCGAACGATGTCACTACCGAACGCACATCATACAGAACATAGATAAAGTACGACGTCGTCGTCATCAAAGACTTCTGTTCACTGTTTATCTTCGCATTTTTGTAAAAGTATTACCTGACGAATATATTGAACAGAGTTTTGTTTTCATTGGTGTTCAGCATCGATGGTGCACATGATTAAATTACAAAACGAAGCCATAACATATCAAAATTGAATTTATAATAAATTGAAATAGCGTACTCTAAAAAGCAAATTTCCATGGGCAGCAAATCTAGTAAACCTACCGCAACTGAATCAACTGCATCTCTGCCTTATCCGAAAGACTCGGCCGATGTCACTGGTGCCAATACCCAACAAGAGATAGTACCAGCGACGACTTCTTCAACTCCAACACGTGAAATAACGTCGACATCTTCGCTTGCAAATGACACAGTAACGACTTCGAAAACATTAGACAGTTTGTATGAAACGAAAAATTAGGTTGGAGATATGATTATTATTTTTTAGAAGATACTTCTAAACTAACATTACACTCTGTTGCAACATCTCTCATAAGCAACGAAGAGAGTACATTAAAACAACCTGCAGTAACATCAGCAGCGACACGCTGGTACAACTGGACGAAAGTTGAACAACAAAAACGTGTAAAAGGAAAAATACCTTGGTATATGCATTCACCGACGACAAAGAAAGATGCAGACGCTACTCCTATTGAACAGACAACAACGACAACAACGACGCCGACACCAACAGCAGCACCACTAGTAAAAGTTAATGAATCTGAGAAAAAGGAAGAATCTAACAATGATAATGATATTACAGTCGTACCGACTTACCGACTGCGCACAACAACTGTGCATAGTCCTCCTGGTATTGAACGTATCCCATCGCCTCGTCGGGAATTAACAAACACCGATGTATCAAATTTTAAATACTATCGTCCAGACGAACGATCTCGACAACCGGTATGTATTTTCTTAGATTCTCGATTCGTTATCAACAGGATAAAGATGTTATGACCAGAAATATTTCTTATCTGACAGGTTGGCACACATACGAAAGCAACTATGTATCGAATGAATACAATTTTAAAACAAGCGCCATCACCAGCTCAATTATCTTCACCCGAATCAACAAATCCTGGCGATGTTACAAACGTAACGACAAGATCGATTGAAGATCTATCGAAAATACGTACTTATGTCTCTCGTGGTCTTCAAACCGATCTCGAAGTACAACCAAGTAATTCATCTAATTCACAAATGCGTTATTACGAAAAACAACAATCACAAGTAAGACACATCCAATTTGCGCATGGAATTATTTCCTTTTCAATTATTACCGTCTAGTTCGTTCCGATCTCGACACTAACTAACTATGCTTCTGATAATAATGGGTTTTATAGCTTAGCATCACAAAATACGAATTATGAATCAACACTTCCACCCATTAGCGAACCGTCCGAATCGAACGTTGATCCATCTCAGTCGATATCTCCTCCAGCTAATCCTTCAGCCCCGACATCCATCTTGAAAAAGACATCAACAGGATTATCTCGAGATGCATCTAATCCATTTTCCGAGCAAGCACATGAAAAAATGGTTGAAGAGTTGCGTAAACGTAATAAAAACCTTCAAGATGGATCATATCGCGTAAAAAAAGTTCATCTTCTGGAAAAAAACGATCCGTCACCGGAACCACAAACAGTCACATTTCGTCTTCCAACATCCAAAGCTAATCAAAGTATACACCGAAGTGAAAAATTATTCTCTAGTAATTGATAATTTTACTCGAAAAAAAAATAGACATACACACAAGAGGACAAAAGAAGAAAATGATAAGAATGATGAAATGTGTTTTGTTTTTTGTCTGTTCCTTGTCTTTCTATTCGCTTATGAATAAAAGTCATAATTTGTTGAACAATCATTATGAATAGTTGATAATTTATTAATTCCATTGGTGGGATTGTATGTAAAATAGGACGATAAATTATCAATGCTTGACTGATTGTTTAATGTTTCGTGTGGAACAGTTTGTGGTGGTGTCGACGAAATGATCCCATTGGTATCAAACGAAGGAAATGTGTAATGATTTGATGTATTATAAAATGAATGTCTTGCCCAATAGGGATTATTAGAATTCAACTTCGATTCGTTTGTTGAATAAACATTGGTTGATGATGAGGGTGTTGGATATGATGAAAATGAACTTTGAAATGTGTTCGGGTAGAATGTTGATGGATAAAAAGGAACATAGTTTTCATCCGATCTGATATGTTGTTTGATTTTGCTAGCTGATGATGAAGAGTAAAATGCGGAGTTCGTTGACGATGATGACGAAGAGGATTTGTTGGCTGATGGGATTGCAGATATCTTCGGAGAAATCAACGTTGAACCTTTAGTCATTTGTCCATTGCGCGATATGAATGGATAAAGTGTTTGAGGATCACATACAAAACGGTAAACATAACGTTCGCCAGCGACTTTTTGCATAATACCTTTTTCGTAATAATAACGAAGCGATCGGGACAATTTGTCATAATTCATCGACGGACGATTTTTCTGTACACCCCACAGACGTGCAACCTAAAGTACTTTCGCTACAGAAAACGTTTCTTTTATCGTTTAGGCGTCTCTCACTTCTTCAGGTTCGACTAATTTGAATTCCAAACCTTTTCCTGTCCAGATAATAATCGTCCCGTTCAGACCATCTTCGAGCAAAGCTAATAAGAATTGCCATAACTGAACCGAACCACGTCGGCAGTATAATTGAGAGTCCCGAGTAGATTTCCATCGGCGTTCTAAAACGAATCAAATGTTTTCTTCACAAATCAATGGTATTTCATTCACCTGCACGAGTTCGTGATTGTTCAGTAGTAGATCCGCACGACATTGCAGCGATAACTCTGCAATAAAAGAGAGAAAAAAGTATTGAAATGATTTTTGATGTAGGAGAGTTTTTCCTTAATAAAGGCACTCATCTTAATTATCGTGTCTTCTATACTCGTTATTAGAATTGAAATATAAGAATAAAAGTAACAGCAATCTTTTTCTTCTCTTTCTGATGTGCACAAGTCAATTAGACATTTCATTCTTCTTTCCACGTCGTAGACAAAAAAGACTCAGAATGAGGTCTCATTTTTTTTCACGTCATTAGTCAAATATATTCTATGGAGACATCTGACTGGACGGTTTAAATGAATATCTGTACGAGCTTTCAATATGAGACGTAGAATGAAACTTAGAAGTGATACTCTGATATGTTTGGATAATCGTCGCTTTCTCTCCTTCTTCTTCTTTTGCTCTCTATTGAGGAAGCCAGAAACATAACTTCAATCGTTCTGGTACATCACTCACGTGCACAAATCAATCATTTGTTTAAAGAGCAGATCATCATTATCGGAAATCAATCGGTTCTTTCTCACTTTCATTCGACTAATTCATTGGACATGACATGTCATATACTCGAACAGATCTACTCAAAAGCTCATCCATTCGAATATACGCAAAGCTTGATAATTAATTAGACGATCGAAACTCGTCCGATAATACTCTCTAACCGGATGTCGACAGAAGTAACGTTCAAGAAGATCCATTTTTCGGACGTTATCATTTCATGTCATTGATAATGTTAACAATCATTTATAATGGAACTTACCCTTCAGCGTTTACTTGTCAGCAATGATTAGCCGACGATCGTTCGTCACTTTACTGTTCAAGCAGGTGCGCGTTGTGAGGAGGATGATGAGATGTGCTTTTTTCTTTTTGATTTCAGCTTTGAATACGAAGAGAAATGAGACACTTGAAAACGAGCAAATGCTAAATCGTACTTTTTTCTCAATGAACTAAATCTCTGATCATCTCGTAATTAGATGAGAGAAAGAGAAAGAAAAAGCAAACTTATCAAAATTAAAATGAGCGGCGCACCAATCAGAAAAGACTGAGATCATATTTTCATGACCAATGATAATTAAGAGAAGAGGAGAAAAAGAAACATTATGTTCGAAGCAACGGGAATCTATCATTAATCATTCTGAAATGTAATGTCATTTAACTGTTTCTCAGTTGATAGGAATCTCTAAGTTTATTCAAATAAGAATGTTTTATTCTGTTCAACAAATTCGAGCACTGTTGGATATCATCAATAGTTTTTTCAAGTAGATCAATTTGATAAAGGATTTGCATTGTTATTCCCATTTGTCAAAAAATTGATGTTCATCAATGGAGGGTCATGTTCTTATTCCGTACGACATTTTATCACTAATTTTAGAAATGTTAATTTGACACCTGAACAAAAATATCCAATGAATTGTCTCGATTAGGAAAGAAAAGATCCTCAGCATGTGATACAGATCGTTTCAAAGTCGAGCTTTTAACCGTCTGTCTGTTGGATGAATATGTTCTATTCGCCACTCATCAATCACAAAGTATCTTTCTTGATCTTGAAAAAATAAATCAACAAAACATATTCTTTATGAAAAAAGTAAAGAAAGAACGGAATAATAACAATATTAACGCCAATGACGCACCCACTGATCATAACTGAAGAAAGAGGAAAGAAACCGAATCAGATAGAAACTAACTACGAATAGAAAGAAGAAGAAGAAAGTATGCTAATCAAAATCGAAATTAGTCTAATTAAAATTCTACATGAGTAGAGTGCGAAGTTGTTGCAGCTACTGTTTCATCACATGCTGATGGAGTTTCGAATATCATTGCATATTCACAACGACTCGGTTCTCGAACATCGACCGGTTTATGTTCAATTCCGCATCGAAATGTGACTGTTAATGAACGGGGTGGACCATTCCAGCATGTCGCGCCGTTGGCATATTTCATTCGTAGATATTTGTTTTCTGCTGGACCAGACCACGAATCCCAATAGCCGATGGTTACTTCACTGCCACCACCTTTTGGAATTTGTCTCGCATCTTTGAACATGCATACTCGATAGGTGTATTCGCGTTCTTCGTAATCATAGCATTGATCGATAAATGCAGAATACTCTCCTTGCGGTCCTGTATCGACACCGGATTGTTTTTTTAAATCTCTGAATTATAGAGAAAGATAAGCAGAAATGTGGGATTGGATTTTATCGAATGAACACTAACTCAATTTGTTGTTTGATATTCAGAATTTTTCCTTCGATTGCATTGAATTCGTTCCGGGCATGATCTGCTATTTGTATTAATCGTTTTGTTTCATCATCGTATTCAGGCGGTGTATCATCGTGAATGTGTTTTTCATGTTCAAGCGACTAAATTTCCACAGAAGATTTAAAAATATGCTTGGTTTCTACTATCTCCTTACAGTCGGTATTGATGACGGATGTTCAGAATTTTCGTGATGATGAGGTGGCGGTGGTGGCGGTGTGTTCTGTTCGTCGTGAGAAGTTTCTAATGGCGGCGATGGAGTTGCAAAAGAATCTTGAGATGGTTCAGGAAGTGGTGTAGGTTCTGGTGTTGATCGCGGTGGCTCGGGCAACTTTTTATACGAATTTGATATCTGATCAAATACTGTTGTATTGAAGTCATTCAAATTCACCGAATCTGCACCAAGAATTGTCTGAATAGAATCCGGGAGACACACAATAAGCAATTATCTTCTCAACATTCAACATTCTCTTACTCGAACTTCTTCGGCGGTAAATTCATTTTCTGTATCGAGGTCAAGTTCTGTATGTTTTTGTAATTCATCAATCGATACTCTACGATCAAATAAAATGACAAGATTTTCACATGGAATAGGAATGCGACGTACAGTGAATCTCCATTCGTATCTAAATCAGCAAACATTTCACGTATTTCACGGTTACGAACGATGGCTTCGTGTTTCGCACGTTGTTCTATGAAAACAATCGATCTCTTAATGATCACAATCAAGTAGTTCGAACAAACCTTCCCATAGTTTCTGATATTTATCCTTCGCTTCCTTTTCCGGTGCTTCTGCTTGATGTTTCAATTCTATATTAATAAAAATGGATGATAAGGCGAGCAAATGTTGAACATCTTGCCTTCTTTCTCTTTCAATTCACTTTCAGCGACTTGTACTTCGTTTTCTAATTCTTTCAAACGTTTCTAAATAAAACTCGAAATGTTTCAGCGAAAAATTCGTTCGAATTCAATCTACTTGTCGTTCAGATTTAATCGCAATGGAGTGCGCGATGATCTCTTTCTTTTTGGCGACACCCGCTTCATGTAATGCGCGTTTTGCTTCCCGTTCAGCTTGATTTCTCTGTGCCAATTCACTGAAAAAGACAACGAGAGACAAATTAGTTCTCTTCAGTCATTTATTTGAAAAATGGAACAAGACTTATAAATGTGATTTCGACAATCAATTATGTGTTCAATCAGAGAAAACTCTCGTTCTATAGAGGATCAATATACAAAGAAGGGCCCACGAACTTATACACTATATTTTAACACAGAACGTTTGTGTTGTTCGCGGAACAATTTCATCAAATGATCCCGATACGAATAAATAATATAAAAGATGAAGAGAATAACAATCAAAGATTTCCAAGGAAAGACATTCGTAGAAGGGTTTTCATCGACCACTGTTCGATTCAGATATTTATCGATTAATAATCCATGTTCATGAACTGGTCGATTAGTTTCGGCTTTTGTCGTCAAGGTTCGGTAAGATTTGCTTTTTTTCGGCTGTTTGAAAATTTTCTTATTCGAAAAGTTTGTTTGATAGAAAGCTAAGTTGTTTGGCGAGTTTAGAATCAACGAATGGGAAGAACTGTGAGATGAACTAAAACATGACACGCGAAAACAAACTAACAAACATAAGATTCACCGAAAAACTCACAGACCATTGTAAGAAAACGGTTCATTATCAATGAAAAATACTTACAAGCATGTGTTATTGCAAACGACATTCGTTTCATATTCATCGGAGCCGTCACAACAATCTGAGAAGCAAGTCAGACGGTAAAATGAATAAATACGGGTGGTTATAATCTACATACCGCAGATGCCATCACCAACAAAATGAGATGGAATCAATGTTCCGACATAGCCTTTATTTTCACAAAAGAATCGCCCATTTGGACAAGCAGATGTACCGGGTTCATCACTGCCATCTAGAAAACGAGACTGCTATGAAATAGATCGATAGGTTCTTTGACTTACCTCGGCAATCACAGTAATCGTCGTTGACGAATTCATACGGAATGGTCATGGATCCGTCGAGACATGTGAACGGTTTGGATGGAACGTACATTGAAAGTACTAAAAGTTTCAAAGCAAAGAAGAGTGATGAGTTGTGTTTGGATCGTGAATGGAATGTAGTTTTTACATGAAGTCTGAACGCCGCGTAAGACGGTTTGTTCGATATTTCCACCAGCAATTAATGTCAAGAGGCATGAGAAGACAAGGAGATTCACGTAGGACGGAAACATCATTCATCAACAAAAGAAAAAACGAAATAAGAATCGGTCGTATTCTGTGTTCTTCTTCTGGCTTGTTATTTTGTTATTGGCGTGGAAGAGCAACGAATCAAATAGTTTGCTCTTTTCCTTTTGAAAGCACTCGCAAAAATTAAAATGAATTTAATTAGTTTATTGATTTCGAAATAATGGAGAGTGTAATCGATTCCCAAGTTTTTTTTCTGAAGAAAAACTCAAATGTGTACTAGTTTCTGAACGTCTCTATACATATGAACAAAACCTATAGCAGTTCTGTTGTCTGTAAAACATGTTCTTCGTCATTAGCAATAAATGAATTTTTCCAAACTACACATTTGAGCAAGTGCGTAAAATACAAGCTATCTGATGAGAGCATCTGATTGCAATAGGTTTGATGAAAATTACAGATGTTAAATTTATGAAAATTTATGCTTCGTATCGATCGAATATCATTGTAACTCAGTGAAACAGTTTCAATGAAAAAAAAACTCCAATGATGTATAAGATCGCTTTAAACTTTTATAGATTGAAGCGAAGGTTCTTGGAGAAAAACTAAATTTCTCGGGTAATAGATGGCGTACTCTATAGTTTCTTCTTCGGCGCCACATATGTTAGAGAGAAATTATATTTGACAAATAAGAAGGATTTTACTCGATTATGAAATCTCATTGGCTAATTCAACTCTTACGAAATGTAAAAACCAGACGAAAAGAGAGAGAGATATAAAGACACGGAAACTTCTCAGTGCGTTTATCCAGTTTTTAGAAAACTAAGATGTCGATAATTATTAATACCAATGAAGTCTCATCAAATTGGAAAGTTTTAGCCGTAAGAATTCTTTCTCTCTGTCACTTTCTGTCTCACGTTTTCATCTATCTAGACAAAAATGCCTGTTAGTGAGCTGAAGAAGAAGCAGATCGAAATATCACGAACATCAGTTCGGCCGCCAAAGTATATTTTTCTCTTTAATCTTGCTCGTTCATCAAGATCGTTCTCATTAGGTTGACCAAAGCTGTATGTATTGATTGTGAAATGGTTGGTGTCGGTGAAATGGGTATGGACAATATGCTTGCTCGAGTATCGATCGTCAATCAACTCGGACAATGTCTCTACGATAAATATGTTAAACCAACAGAGCCAGTCGTTGACTATCGAACAGCAGTTAGTGGAATAACAGAGCAGAATTTGGAGAACGGTTTGATTGAAATTGATGAAAACGAAAATTTTCTTTTTATGATCAATGATTTCTAGGTATTCCTCTTGATGTCGTTCAGAAAGAAGTGTCAGATATAATTCAACATCGAACACTTGTTGGCCATGCGATACATAATGATTTACAAGTAATTTTTATTAATTGATTCATTCGAGAGGAATGACTGAGCGTTTTCTTTTCTGAAAAGGTTTTGTTTTTGAGTCATCCAAAGCGACGTATTCGCGATACACAACGTTACAAAGGTTTTCGGTCATTGTTTAACGGTGGTTTGCCTTCATTAAAAGCATTAGCTGATAAAATTCTTGGATTGAAAATTCAAACTGGCGCTCATGATTCAGTAAGTTCTTCGCTATTCCAATATTTTTCAAGTTATACTTCGTGAATGTTTAGGTCGAAGATGCTCGTGTCACAATGCAATTATATGTTCAACATCGTCGTGAATGGGAAAAATCTTTACGTGAAAAGAACTCTCTAACTAGTGAAGAGAAACATAAAAGAATACGTGCTCGTCAAAAACAAAAAAGATTGCAAAATTCTTCTTCTTTTACTAAAAAAACAATATAATTTAATCTGAAACATATTGTTTATTTCAAATATGTTTTTGTTATTTGTAGATAGTTTTCGAACTCATCTTCACAAACAAAAGATTCGTCAAAATTTAGGTATGTTATACATTTTCAATCGATGATCTTCGTCTATTCATTGACTGCATGACGATAGGTGATTTTCATCAGATGACGAAGTAGAAGAAATAATAATTCGCCAATTTCGACAAAACTTATCAAACTAACACCGATCCAAAGTCCTATGAATAAACAAAAGGAAAGTTTTTCGAAGAGTTTCCGTGACGAACGAACCTGTTTGTCCTCCAATACTTGAAATAAGATCGACCCAAGTGTACATTGGCGATTCGCTAAGTATTTCTGTAGCATAAGGACTCGCTGATATTCCGACTGCGACAATATCGTCTAAGAAGGGTTCATTTCGATTCTGCGAACAGCTCGGTCGGTTTTTATACGATGTTGAATTGATTTTTTTCAAAAATGTCTTCACACGTTTCGAAGTTTTGTCCATCGAACGGAAATTTGGATAGTCAGCATACGACGACTGCGTTGTATATTGAATAAGCTCACATTCGGGCAGACATTCTGAACAATATCGGATTGAATCTAAATTTTCGAGAGATACAATGAGAAAAATGAGCAATTGTGCAGATACGTACTGAAACGGTGGCGATTATTAAAGCATTTGTTAGTTATTGAACATGAATCGTTTGTTTTTATGTGTGTTGTATGATTGGGATTGAAAAATTGAGAAAAAACCATTAATAATCGATTTGTACAATTACATTCGATAGTAATTAGACGAAATTCACATAATTTAAAGCACAAGTCTTGAGAATATCGAACAGAATTCAAACCAAATATTTCCTTCATTTCATCCGTTAGATCACTTCGACATTTGTGAGAAAATAGGATTATCCGTTGAGAAAAGATTAATTTTGTATACGTTTTTGGAGCGAGGAACAGACTGTTTTGAGATAGAATTGGTATTTGATTTTTTCGATGAATAAATACTCGAAATGCCGCCCGATCATCCAATGACGGTTCGTAATCATCTTGATGGAGAAACAATTCAAGAAATAGTTTGTAACCATCATCTGTGCTTTCATCATCGACCATGGTCCAAAAAGGTGTCGTGTCATTTTGCGGAATATTCGAAACATGAAGATCATTATCGAATGTAAAACAATTTCCGTAGTTGGGATGAAAAAACGGAGTGAAATTGCTATGACAGACGTATCCGTTGAATACACACTGAATAAGAAGGTCATGCAGAGCATAACCTGATTCCATTACTGTAGGGCGTTTTCGGTGAAGATTTTTCGTCAGCTGTCGGTGCATGAAGGCGTCGACGATGTGTGATAGATCTCGATTGATGTGACCTGGGCGTAGAGGACGAGGACGATCAGAAGGTCTATTCAGGACTTTCGGGTTTCGAAGTGGATTTAGATTACCTAAAGAAACAAAAGTTTAGCGTTCGGAATCAAATGTAATCCGTACAGAAAGTTATTGCAGGGAAATATTGCGAATCCTGGTATTGCCGTACGCTGAGATTGATTTTCATGGGCTGAGCAATATAATTTCGAATGACAGTTAGGATAAAAAAGCACATCAAGGATGTAAAGATGAGACAGATAAACGACCAGAATATCCGTCCAAATAAGGAATCAGCAAGACTAATTCGTCGAATACCATGCGAAGGAGAATTCGAAAACCAAGTTTTGAATACATCAATAATACCTTTTTCTCTTTGAATCTCACTCGTCGACGATCCCGACATACTTTTATCAAATGAACGAAGAAAAACTTAATAAAAACTGACAAGATTTCTTTCTTCATCAATCATTATGACGATTTCTGTTTTTTTTTATTATTATTGCAGATTATTTGTGATCTTTTTTAGAAGAAAAAACAGCAGGAACATGCCTGGAGCTCATTTCGAAGCACCTTTAGTTGTTGATAATCGAGATGGATGGGGACCAACAGATGACACATTTCAATATAAAGATATGCCATATCAACCTTACTCAAAAAGCGATCAATTAGGCAAAGTATGGCCAATAATAAACATTTATTTCTCCGACTTTCAAATTTGATTTAGGTCGCTGATTGGACAGGTACAGTCTATGGGGACAAACGAAACAACAGTAAGAAATGAAATCCTAATCGAAGAGAAGACTTCAATTTTTGCGATTTATAGATCGATATCGATCACAGTATGGTGTTGGGGTGGGCATGTATCAGTATATTCACGAAGATGATGAAAATACGTTTCAATTGGTCGATTCCACACGTTTACCTAAACCGGCCTATCAAAAACGATCTCGTTTTCAACAGAATGTAAGTTTACACGTTGGTATGAATCGAACATAACAATTCGTTTATGTAGCGTTTCCGTCAACAACAACCGCAAGGTGGTCGCTTTCCGACAATGCAAAAGAATCTCACTGGTCCACAGAAAAAGTCGAAGACAATGAAAAACTTAGAAATGTAAATCGATGAAGTTTCTATTTGGCAAAAAAATTTATTTTTCTTGTCGCTAGGGATCAAATGCGTCAAATGCGTAAGTGGCAGAAACAATATGGAAATCGTGCTGATCCACGTTTACATGTAAGAATCGATTAGACACAAATATTTGTGGAAATTTGTCGTCCTCATCCTCTTTTCAAAGCAACAAGCGAAACAACGTGAACCATCCGTACGTATTCGCGAAGATTGGCAAGTTATTGAAGAAATCCCATTTGCTACTTTAACAAAATTCAGTTTACCAAGTATAAATGAACCTGAAGAATTGTAAGTCTCGAATGAAGTTTTTCATATTAAAACACAGACGTCAATGTTTCAGGAGTGTTTGGGGTTCGCTCGAGTATTATGATAAACGATACGATCGAATCACCACGAAAACGGAGAAAAAGTTAGCGATGGTCAATCGTTTAATTCATCGAATTACAACGACAAAAGATCCAGTCATTCGCCAAGTATGAAATCTCAGAGAAGAAGTGTTCAATTGATTTCGTATGCTGTTTAGATCTGCAAAACACATGGTAATGTTTTCGCAACGGATGTCATCATTTCAACATTGATGTGTTGTACCAGATCTGTTTATCCATGGGATATTGTCGTTGATGTGAGTTTTGCTTAGATTTACTGATCAATATCAATTCTTGCTCGTGTAGAAATTAGGCTCACGTTTATTTTTTGACAAGCGAGAAGAGTCAACGCTTGGTAAGTCAACAAAAGGAGCGTAGAAAATGCTGATTTTTTTGTTTGTTAGATTTGTTGACTGTGAATGAAACCGCCAATGAACCACCACCAGAAGATGGTACAATGGATTCAGCAAAGAATCTGGAATTAGAAGCTGTTTTTATCAATCATACGTTCGCTCAACAAGTTCTTAGAATGGTTCGATTAGGAAAATGCTCGTACTAAAAAAACTACTATGGATGTTTGATTTAGAATGAGGAACGATACAAATTTCCGAATCCCAATCCATTTATTCAACCCGATGAAGAAAGCGAAGAAGCTTCAGTTGCCTATCGCTATCGTTCATGGGATTTAGGTAATAATCTCAAGATAGTTATCCGTTGTGAACAAGATTGCGTTCAAATCGGACCGAATGGAGAGGAACAATTTGTTAACATCAAAGCATTGAATGAATGGAATCCAAAGGTACTTGAAGAATCAAAAAGTTTTCTTTGAATTGAGACGTATTTTTTCGAATGATTAGGTTGGTAGTGGTCTCGATTGGAGAACGAAATTGGATATGCAACGAGGTGCAGTTTTGGCCGCTGAATTGCGTAACAATGGATTTAAATTAGCTAAATGGACAACTTGCGCGATTTTGGCTGGGTCAGATCAAATGAAATTCGGTTATGTATCGCGACAAAACTTCAAAGACGCATCTCGTCACACAATTCTCGGTATGCAAAATTTTAAACCACAAGAATTCGCAACACAAATGGCCCTCAATATGGACAATGGATGGGGTATTGTTCGAGGTAAAATCTTTCATTTCATCTAGTACACTTCTCGCAACTTCATTTTTCCACTTTGTAGTTTTAGTTGATTTCTTTATGAATAAACCCGATGGACGATACTTGATCACAAAAGATCCAATGAAGGTAAATCTATTCGTACATTTCGACACCCATCGTGCTCATATTGTCTATTTTTCTCTTTAGCCAACTCTTCGAGTAAGACAAAACTTATTCTCGCTACATGGAAATTTGTAATAAATACGAATCGATTGCTTTCTTTTAGATCTACAGTGTACCTGACAGTTCCTTCGACAGCGAGGATGAATCAAGCGATGATGAGAATGATCCTCAACAAAATGAAAACTAATCAAAACTAGTTCTTATTGTTAACGTTATTATATTTTTGTCATTTTGCTAATTGAAAATCTTGTGCAAATATAAAAATGGCAATAAAGATACTAAAGATCTCTCATTTCATCTTTTTCTCGATTATTTTAGATCTGTAATGAGACAATTCATGTGAAAATAGAGTATTCACAATTGTTGTTTTGTTTCAAGTCAAAGACGGATATTTGATCCCATGGCATTTGATATTGATGATGAATTGCCAGATCGAGAGAGTGGTATGTCATTCGATGAAAATTTTATCGAGTGAAATGAACTTGGTGTTTAGCTCGACAATTCTATCAAAAGTACGAACCGAAAGAAGTAATTGGAAAAGGTTTATCTTCAGTTGTGCGAAAATGTGTGGAGAAAGCAACAGGAAAAGAATACGCATGTAAAATAATCGAATTCAATGATGATGATAACCATCATGAACGTGCTGCTACACTACAAGAAATTCAGATTTTGAAACTCGTCGGTGGTCATCCGAATATTATTGATATAGTCGCATCATTTGAAACACCAAATTATGTTTTTATCGTTATGGAACTGTGCCCTAATGGAGAATTATTTGATTATTTAACGAAAGTTGTTCGTCTATCAGGTTGAGTGACTGATTTCTTACAGGCAAAGCTTATCGATTTGATCTCGAATTTAGAAAAACGCACGCGTCAGATTATGTCCAGTATATTGAATGCTGTTAATCATCTACATTCCCATCGTGTTGTGCATCGAGATTTAAAACCAGAAAAGTAAGACGAAATTAGCGGTGACAGTGAAGAGATGATCACGTTTTTCTTGAAAAAAGTATCTTGATGGATGCAACAATGAATGTTAAAATTACTGACCTGGGCTTTGCAGTGCGACTTGGCGAGAATGAAGCTTTAACTGATCTCTTTGGAACACCCGGTAAAGTAAAACTATCATTTTCCCAGCAGGTTTCTCATATTCTTTTCCGTAAGGTTACATGGCCCCCGAATTGTTGCGATGTTCGCAATTCGACGACATGCCTGGTTATGGTCTTCCAGTTGATCTCTGGGCATGTGGGGTGATCTTATATACACTCTTGAGTGGCTTACCACCATTTTGGCATCGTAAGCAGCATCTGATGTTTCGCATGATTATGGATGGGCAATATACCATGAGCGGACCTGAATGGGACGATGTTTCTGGAACGGCGAAAGATTTAATCGAGCATTTGCTAGTGACAGAACCTTCGGAACGTTATACAGCTGCACAAGCACTTCAACATCCATTTTTTAATAATGAACGGTCACGACGAAAAGATTTTATGGCGAAACGAACGCTCAAGGCACACATCATTCTGGTTTGGTCTATATATCGTCTAAGAACTCTACATTATCGACCACAACCAATACGTGGAAAAGAACTATTAGGTAAAACTATTTTATCTTGATAATAACATCTATGACTTGCTTTTGTAGAAAACCCCTATCGATTCAAATCGTATCGTAAAATGATCGACTCAACTGCCTTTGTACTTTATGGACATTGGATAAAAAAGGACGAACATCAAAATCAAAACCGTGCGACATTATTTCAAACAGAACAAAAGTCTGATCTTGTTCGTCACCAACAACTATTACAACAACGACGCATTGAACAAGAATCCAAACTACTTCGCCTGCATAGTCAACGATCAATTGATGACCACTCAACAATTCAAGTCACTGCAAGTTAATCAATGTACGCAAAAGAAAAAAATGTCTATATTTATTTATATATATATGTATATTTTTACATGATTTTTATCGACACTTCATTATGTATATGTCTCTTTATTACTAAATGAGCTCACTAGTCGTTAGTTCTTTCTTCACAATCGGGCTTTTGAGTCAGGTGCGTGACGATCTATCCGAACAGATTATCAACGTTGGAAACATTCATTCAATGCCCAGGTTTCTTTTAAGTGTTCAAATAAAACATAAGTTTCTATTTTAAACAGGTTCCATTCAGTCAAAATATAAGACTGATCATAGTAAATATTAGGATATTCTGCTAAGAGCTTATCGAACAGAAGTTCAGTCATTGCTAGCACAAAGCATTGTGAGAGTAGAAAACAGGTTTCAGTTGATTCTAGTTTGCTAGTATCACATGTTATATTTTAACCTACCGTGGAGAACAGATGAATCGACCTGTATAGCACAGTTCGATTGAATGTGAACTGACGAGAACAAACATTTGTCACAGGACATCAAAATCTGTATTATACAAATTATTGTAAAATTGGACTCGTTGTAGATCTCTGCACAGGTCAGGCGCTAGAAACGAAAAGACGTTGTTTTGCCAAAGTAATTTGACATTCATATATTATTTGAATGAGTTGCCATGTGGTTATCGAGGTCCTAATATGTCTCACCCATTCGCAAAATGTCTATCGTCAGGCATTTCTGCTCTCACTAACAGTTGGTTATCGTAAATTCTTGTATGTCACGATCTACGCCTTCCGAATAATTTACCGTTGCATATTGTGCTTTTTTAAAAGTAAGGATATTCGAGCTCTTAATCTTGCTCCAAATTGTTTTACGATTTATTTCATAGGTAGACCATGAAATCGTCTAGTGTAAACTATGTTTCACTGATTTCAACGATTGCATACGATTGGCAAATTAAACTTACAGAAAAAAAACCGAGCAGAGCGAAAAGAAGGAAAAAAACGATTGTTTCATATATATATATATGTTCGTCTTCGGACAAGTAGAGTTTTTAACGACGTCCAACAATGCCTGATCGCCAAATGCCTTGTTTGACTGAATTGGATGGTGTATTGGAATCATGCGTTGTTTCCTGGCTAGCGCCATGCTCATCTTTTTTGGTGAAAAGCCAAAAACGTTTTCCACGAAGATATTCCATAGGACCTGGGTACACCAAAAATGAGCATGAATAGATGATTCGTATGGAATGACTTACGATTCGTTTTTCCTGCCCAATCAAAATATTTCTCAGCGGAGTCAATGATACGCTTACCAAACCACGGATGAAGCTGCGGCGGATAAAAATCTTCTGCTGTTTCCGAATCGCCGACCATCTGTGATTCTCGTCCGATGTCGGTAATCCTAGCTGAATGGATTGGATCTATTGAAAATCGTTTTCTAAGTTGTGAAAGAATTGATTTAAAAATCTAACTTACGAGTCATGAGACACAAGGAAACACCAATAAGGAGAACGCTCATATTTACTGAAGGCATCATGGATTGAGATAGTTATTGCTATTTGAAATGAGCGATAGAATTTGGAATTTATACTTTTTATTTGCAATTAAGAGTTAATAATCAAGACGAGAGAATACGTCAAACTAGCTGACTGTGAAAAAAAATGTGGGCAATGATTAAATGGACATGTAGAATGATTGTGTTCGTACATCTTAAATATACCCTTTCTGTTGAACAGATGTTAGATATGGTGTACAGAAGGGAGAGAACATATCAATCAAGTAAATGTGATGTAGCATAATTTATCAAGTAATCAGACTTCCGCTAGGTGGGAACGCAAATATTAACATCATTTGTGAAGTGCTAAAGTTGAAAAATCACTTAGACTGTTCTCGTATGATTTTTGCTACATTTCATCATAATCATCTAATAAATATGCAGGATGACTAATACGTACTTTTCTGACATGGTGAGCCATCGTTTATCCTCTACTTAGAATCCTCAACGAAGATAGCTGATGGTCAAAAGCTAAGATAGAAAACAAATTTCTGTTAGTACAAAATGTTGTCCTCGTATTCGATACGATCATTCATTTAAGAGAACATAGTACTTTCACTGTCTATGAGAACATTTGCATTATTTACAGATCCGCATGGCATTTAGCAAGGTTGTTTTCTCATTTATGTCAGGAGTGTTGTATTTTATTATTCGTTTATAACGATATGTACATAAAGAATGTATTGGCTATTTGGAAATTATATTGATATATGGGGAAAATAGAATTGTCTTTTTTTTTTATAGAACATTGAGGGCGTCAGCCATGACATGAATGATCTTATTCTTTGTTTGTTCATGCTAAAAAAAACAAAGAATGTGGAGGAACGGATTGCGAAGTAGAATGAAATGAATAATCTACCTGTTGTCGGGCGGCTTCCACGCGTTTCTCCATTGAATAGACATCTTTGTATAGATTTGGATCATCAACTGATCTTTTGATCAATTCATACGCAACAGTTGTTCTTTCGAACTCACCAGTACGTTTGTCGAAGTTCTGCTTTTGCTGAGCCAATTCGCTTAATTACACAGACACAAGCTTTTTTTGCTCAATAGGAACATTATCAACTTACACTTGAGCGTTCGTCAGCATTGAAGTAAACGAAGAATCATCTTCGGTACCGATCGGATTTAATACACGTAATTTCTCCGTTGTTTCCCTTGTACTTTCAATATCTCGTGTCAAACGATCGATATTACTCGACAAATTCCTGAAAATCAAAACCAACAACTCGGTAATTATTCAACCAACGCAAACTTTACTGAATAGTAATTGCCCGTGGTGTCAGTCCATCAAGTTGTTCACACATTGTTTTTACACTTGTAATAGCAGGTTCGAGAACATTATGCTGTTTGTCATCTTGTAACTGACGAGCTTGCTTCATCAAATGTATTTCGCTTTGCAACTAAAAACCTTACGAAGTGAAAAGTTTTTGTCGAAAAGCAAAGATTTACTTTGGCATTTTCTTTCAAATAATTTCCATTTTCGCAAAGAATGTCGTTCAACGATGAAACCATTAATTGACTTTCCAATAGTTTCTCTCGAACTTTCAATGCTTCTAATGTACTATCAAGTTCATTCTGAAAGTAAACAGAAGAGGATAAATACGAAACTAAAGTTGAGCATCATACATCGGTTTTTTCCAAAGTTGTGTAATTGTTCTGAATTCGAGAGAGATCAGCGTTGAGCTTTTCGATTTGTTTTGTTGTATCTACTTTGATACCTGTTTGCTTTTTAATTTCTGTTTTGTACTATGAGAGTAATGAAACATTACAATGAAATATTCGATTTCTCTTTGGAAAACATCATACTAATTCAATTTGTTCTTTATTTGAAGCGATTTCTTCCTGGTAAAAGTTAATTTCATTCGTCATCTTCTGTGCGTTCGCCCGTAATGCTGCCTGAAATTCAACATCGAGAAAACAAATCGTTCACTAAAACATCGATCATACATCTTCTTTTTGAAGAGTTTCAATTGAACCCATGGTACGTTTGAAGAGAAGTAAACAATCCGCTAACTGGTTTAAATGCATCAGTCGTTCTTCCTGATCTAGAATTATTTGAACAGTAGAACATTGTGTACAGGTTAATATTTACATACTTGATACCGTGAGTAACCAGAGGCCATAATGTCCTTCGTCAACTTCGGCTTCATCATTTTCACAATCAGCGATTGTATGGAGAAAGTTTCTGTTGAGATAAATGATAAGGCACTCGTGATACGTAAGAAGAGAAAATCTTACAAGAAACAGGCAGCGGCTTGGAGACGATCGATTGGTGCTTGTTGTTGAGTCGCGAAAAAGTCACCAAAATACGTACTGGTCAATTCGAACGCTAAATCTTGTAACTTCTCTGTCTAGATTGAATAAAGTATGAAACACTGAGAATAGCACATGATTTTTGCAAGTTACTTTCTCAATGTCTGACCAGATGTATTTCTTTTTCGAGTCGGGTAATAATTGTCGAATTTTATCGACTAATTGTTGTTCTCGATTGGAGCCCATGGTCAAGTTTTGGCACTAATTCGAAATCGAAGAGAGACTAACTGAACCAAACTGACAAACGGTGTCTTTGTCCCGCTTCATTGACGAATTCAATTGGTCAATTCGTTCTTTCTCAAAACGAAACTAACAATGCGATCTCATTAGTGACATCTCAAGTATAGAAACACGAAGACATGTCTAATGGTCAGCTATTCACAAACATATCGCAGAATCCTAAGTGGAAATCTAAACTTTAACGGCGGCTTGAAATCGATGGAAATTCTTTGCAAATACGAAACAATTTATGGAGTTGTTGTTCAGTTAATGACCGAACAAAGAAATATATCGATGTACTCTTGTGCTCGTTGAGTACATGATATAATCAACTTTTCATGACCATCGATATCCATGCGAGAGGAAGAGAATTGTCTGCGTCTTTTAGATTTTCATTTTTTGTGCCTGATACAATTTGATTCTTTTGTCGCTTTGCTGCGTTTCTACAAACGACTGATGCCGATGACAGTTTTGAAGTTATTGTTAATAACGAAAGAAATTGTTTTTTTGTGGTATTGAGTCCGACAACTGTTCATAACAGCTGGTACAACCTTGACAAAACAAAAGTTTTCACTCGAATTGAATACAAATCCCGGCGAATTGTTCGCTAGCGCCATCTATAGGGCAGTTTTTTCTTTTCTGTTACAAAAGTTATGTGTATTCTCATTGTTATAAAAACCCTTTCGTTGTTTCTCTCACATATGAAGAATGGGTGAATGAATTTTTTCCTCGAATAAATCCATCGTTATCCACAGTCTACATATCTCACGCACTGTTTACTCATCCACGGTCAATTTACCTACTCAATCATTCAGCTATTCGTCGTTGTTCAGCTAATCTAAATAGTCCCATGGAAGGTTCTTCTTCATCACCTCATAAAAATGAATTAGTCGAAAGTATGTTTAAATCACTTAACTCCTATACAAGTGAATTACAACAAGGTTTGTTTACTTTCCTTTGTTCGATTTCTTTCTTCGAAAAAAATCGTATTTTAGAATTGGAATTGTTAAATCGAAAAGTTTCGGATCAAACTCGACTCGAACAAACCTACGATACATCTCAAGAACAATGTAAAGTCTATTCTTCTCCTAAAATGATCATCCTCGTCTTTTCTTATTTGTTCAGTACAAGAAGATTTAATCAAACTTCGTGCAGCCATTGAAACGAACACAGGTACAAAGCACTTCGTCGATTCTTTTAGATTATTTTTATTCTCTCGAGCAGTCAAACGATCTATTCTCGATCGGAATTTAAACGAACGAACAGCAATGACACAATCGTATGATAGCACGAAAAAAAAAACATTCCTATATTTTGAACATTGCATGCCAGGAGTGTCTTTTCTTTTATGAAATGCATGAAGAATTCACTTGATGAATGTTTTTAAGGTTGCATTCTCAAATTGTCGATAAACGTCGTGATCAAGATATGCTTCTGGACAAGGGAACTACCGCGAAGTACAATCATCATCGAAATATGTAAGATAGAAAAAGCTTTTTTATATTTCATGGGAATACTGAGTCTTTAGTGCGAAAATAACTGAACAATGTGCTAATTTAACGATGGCATTTCGTACGAATTATCATTCTTATGTATGTTTGAGTGATGAATTTTGTTATGATATAGTCTTTGTATGTCTAGGCTCGAGCAGATCTGGATGAAATTCGAACGAAAACCGAGAATCGGTTGAAGAGCATATCTGAAGAAGGTACGATCAAATTGAATTTTCGGAATCTTCAATTTTGTTTGCAGTTTCCAATGCTGAACTATTATCTATAAATAATAAAAATCAATTGATCGAATTAAATGAGAAACTCGATCGGGAAATAATACATTTCAATTACTTAAAAGCATCTATCGATATTATTGCGTATGAAAGTCAAAGATTCTTCCAATTGATTTCATCATTTGTTTTCTATAGGCAAAAGCTTCAATTAGATTATGACGAATTGGTTAAATTCGATGACATCGAGAAACAATTAGCTGATATACAGATTTCTATCAATGAACTAGAAGCTTGGCATAGTCGAACAAGTAATTCCTATCGACAAGGAAAAATTCTTCATAGACAAATCTATTTTCTTTAGATTATCCATCGGAAAAATGATCGATTTCATTATTTACTTATTTTATTCAGAATAGGTTTAGCTAAATACTTAGGAGATGTATTTTAATTCTTGTAGATTGAAAAAAACACACACCATGGCTAATACCTCCGACGAAATGCGACAATACCGCGAGGCATTTTCTTTGTTCGACAAAGATCATGATGATATCATAGCACCTCAAGAACTAGGTACGACTTTGCTTTCTATTCTGAGAGGGACTGAATCGAATTTTCCAGGTGTTGTTCTTCGTTCATGTGGTTTATCGCCATCGGAAGCTGATTTACAAAAGATTCAGCAACAAGTCGGCCGGAAAATTGATTTCAACACTTTCGTTCGTGTTGCTCAGGATTTCAGAGCAAATCATCGAGAAACAGAAGATGATATTCGTGAAGCATTTCGAGTGTTTGACAAAGATGGAACTGGTTATGTTAGTGTATCGGAACTGAAACACGCGATGATCTCATTAGGTGAACGACTTTCGGAAGAAGAAGTTGACGAATTGATTCGCGAAGCAGATATCGATGCCGACGGACGGTAAAATCTTGTGAAGATTCGCAACAATTGATTGCTCTATTCTATTTCAGATGTAATTGTGAAGATCTCGTTCGAATTTTGACCAATAAACAACGTTGAGAATGTGAAAGAATTCCGCAATGAACATAAATTTATATACATTCCATTTAATCATTCGCTTTTCTCTTTGATTATTGTAATCTTGTAGAAATCGCATACATTCCGCTTCTTTTTTTATGTTAAATGAAACATTAATTCGAATCTTTTATGCTTCTTTTTAAACTATATAATCGCTTTTGTGTATTCACGTTGAATGATAAACAGATAAATACATTCATTCTTTTTATTTCATTCTTTATTTGATTTACAGATGATAAGTGTCTTTTGAGGAGAAGAATGTTATCAAAAAGTGTTCTTCGGTACGTATAATTGTTTTACATGAAAATCTAGTAGTTCGGATTGTTTCAATAGATCGTTTAATCACTCGAACTACGTCAAATGCCAACAAATCTTTTCTTGCTATGCTAGTACGGTATGTGAACATACACGAATAAAGAAAATTACACACTCGTATGAAATTTGATTTTGTTTTAATCATAGAAATCGAGTTCCAGTGGAAATTCGAAGAATTTTGTTATTGATCCAAACGAAAAAGTCGTGCCAAAAGATGAAATTTTCTCTTTTATTGTTCGATGTATGTTGAAAGTTGATACGCGTCCTTCCCATGCTGAAGTCTTAGCGGATAATTTAAGTATGGCAGACTATCGAGGTAAAGGGTGCATTACTATCGAGAGTTCCGATAAGATATTTATTTGTTATTGAATAGGTCATTATAGTCATGGTCTTAACCGGCTTGATATGTATGTGAATGATATCAGAAATGAAACGACGGCGAAAGACGGTTTGATTAGTTAACAGAGGGAAATGTTCTTTTATTGAATGCTGTTTTTGGGTAGGAGATCCAGTTATTCTTAAAGAATCGCCTGGAACAGCATTGGTTGATGGACAGAATTTATTAGGGCCGTATGTCGGAAAGTTTTGTATGAATCTAGCTATGGAAAAAGCAAAAAAAATTGGGATTGGATTAGTTGCTGCGCGTCGGTCAAATCATTTTGGTATTGCGGGTTATTATTCATTAAAAGCAGTCGACAATGATCTTATTGGATGGGCTGTGAGTTTGTTCATTGTTCCTTAACGTATGTAAAATGCGTTTTTCTTGGTTAGTTTACTAATACAAGTCCATTAGTTGTGCCAACACGTTCCAAAGCTCAATCCTTAGGTTGGTTACTCTCTGTTTAGTCCCAATGATATTTGAGAATGATCTTTTTTTTTAGGAACGAATCCAATGTAAATAGAACTAGTTGTGCAATTTTCTAACGTTTGACTATTTTTTATCTGTGTTTACAGCGCTTTTGGAGCACCGGCTCGAAATGGCGATAGCTTTGTTCTTGATATGGCAACGTCGACTGTAGCATTGGGAAAAGTTGAAATAAGTCAAAGACGAGGTTCTGATATTCCTAATACATGGGGTGTAAATGCAGAAGGTTGTTCAAATTGAATTTCTACTATGTACGGTTGAAACATTTTCCTTTCCTGTTGTTTTTTCTAGGTGTTCCAGTGACAAAACCACAAGAAGTGCAAGGCTTACTAGCTTTGGGTGGCCCAGAAGAATCATCTGGCTACAAGGGTTACGGTTTAGCCATGATGGTTGAAATTCTTTGTGGAATTCTATCAGGTAGATCAAGCGACATGAAGCATGGAATATTTAACCATTCGAACCGATAGGGAGTCATTTTGGTCCATGGATTCGTTCATGGAAATCGGGTACAAGTGAAGCAAATCTGGGCCAATGTTTCATCGCTATTAATCCCAATGCATTCGAAGATGATTTCGATCAGCGTTTGCAAAAGTTAATCAACTATTGTCGATCATTACCACCCACAGGTAACCAACAACTGTATTTCCCATCCTACTTCTATAAATCGTTTTTAGAAACTGGCAAACCAGTTTTGATTGCTGGCGATCCAGAACGAGCCCATATGGCTCTATGTGATAAACTTGGCGGTATTCCATACCCTCCATCGCAAATTGAATTTTTACGTAGTTTAGCACGGTCACTAAAAGTTGATCTACCAAATATTCAATGAATTCATCTTCTTTGTTCATGTTCAATCAAAATTTATCTACTAGTTATACGCAATAAATCACTTTGATTTCTTTACGGATAAAATAGTTTAGTTTGCTTTTGTTTGACAAAAATGGTTCAATTTATTTCAGATCATCATTTGAATCAAATCGATGTCGTCTCGTCGTTTACCTCGTAATCAACATATCATTCCGAAGCACTATGACGTTCATTTGACAACTGATCTCGATTCAGGTCAATTTTGTGGTTCAGTTAAGATCGATTTAATCGTCGAAGAACACAATCAAACGTCGATTAAACTCGACACGTCACATTTAACGATCGATTTATCCTCGATATCGTTGATTATAATTTCATCATCAGCTGAAGTCCAATGCTTCGCTGAGTTAAATGATCTGAACGAACTTCTGGAAATTCGTCTTCCTAATCAGCAAAATTTCTCTCCAAATATTTCATATCGTTTGATAATCAAGTCGTTTTCAGGTCATATAACCACGCAGAATCAAATTGGCTTTTACCGTTCAACCGTTGATATCCTATCGCATAACAATCAATCAAATGAAATGTCTTTTGTAAAAAAACACTATGGAATCACCCAAATGTCACCAACACACTGTCGTCGGGTGTTTCCTTGTTTTGATGAGCCATGTTTACGCGCGACATTTGATTTAACTCTCGATATACCGAGACATATGCAAGCATTGTCAAACATGCCCGAACTTTATTCTCAAGATCATTTGATGAATAGTGAAACGAAACGAATACGATTCCAGCGTACACCATTAATGCCAACATTTCTCCTGTGTTTTGTCATCGGAGAATTTGATATGGTGAAAAGTGAACCTGTTCAACGACTGAATAAAGATTCTCGGTTAGTATCATTGATAATTTCTTCGAAATAACACATCGATATCGTTATCCGTTATGTAGATTAGCTCCAATTGAGTTAACAGCTTATACATTACCTGGAAGAAAGCATGAAGCAACATTTGCATTAAATTGTGCCCGGAAAGCTCTATATTATTATGCTGACCTGTTTCAAATTGAATATCCCATGGCTAAACTTGATCTCGTTGCTGTACCAGATCTGTTCTATCCTGCTATGGAAGATTGGGCGCTTATACTATTTAAGGTTTCCTCACACAACGAAGTTTTTTGCCATCGAACACCAATGAATATGTTTTAGGAAGAAGAAATGTTAATCAATGAAGATCACGCTATCAGTGTTCAATATCGCAATGTATGTCAATCAGTCACACATGAAATAGCTCATCAATGGTTCGGCAATTTAGTGAGCATTCATTGGTGGAATGATGTTTATGTTATTGAAGGTTGGTTCAGTGTGTCGACTCGAATTTGTTGTAATGAATTTTTCTGCATAGGATTTGCTAAATGGTTCGAATATTTAGCAACAGATTATATCATTCCTGAATACAATGTATTCTCAGAGTTTTTCTCGACTCAATTCGTTCGTTATTTTGATTATTGCATTAATATTCTTCACAATGAAGCCGATGATATTGATGAGAAAGATTTCTCTTTTGAAGGTTATATTTATTCAAAAGGTTCATGTTTGATGCGTATGTTACATTTGTTCATTGGACAATATGAGTTTCTCGAATCCATTCGATTGTTTCTACGTCGATATTCGTATCGCACAGCAACCGCGATTGATTTTTGGACATGTGTAGAGGAAACAACGAAACTACCAATAAGTAAAACTTGACATGCTCTCAATCGATCGATCAGCGCAATTCTGTTTTAGAACAATTAGTACATAGTTGGTGTACGAAGAAAAGTTATCCAGTTGTACATGTAAAGATGCTTGGACATGATGAAACGACGGGTAAGATAGAACATCCTATTATTTTGTATGAATTCGTCTCTTCTAGGCACTTATGATTTGGAGTTGAAACAGATGAGTTTTTGTCGAGGCCATGATCAGGAAAAACATTCTGATGAGAAGAAAATCTCGTGTCATTGTATCAAAACAAGTGATCTCATATGTGACACAAAACATCATGTTGATATTCAACAATCCAATGTTCGAGACTCAAACTGGATGATTCCGATAACAGTAATCAGAAACCAGTCGGATGATTGTGTTATCAAATATCTAATGACGAAGCAACACGATGTTCTTCATATTGACACCAACGCTTCTTCTCTTTCTTCATTAAAAGAGGATGATTCTGAACCATTAGTAAAAAAACGTCGATATTCATCTTTAGCATCGAATTGGTTCAAGTTAAACATCTGTTCTGGTGGTCCTTATCGCGTATTTTATTCTTCGGATATGTTAGAACAACTGATCCAAGCGATGATTAAACAAGAATTGAGTACCTTCGATCGATTTAATCTCGAAAACGACATGTACGCATTAGTCATGGGTGGATTTACATCGTTGGTTGATTATTTCAATTTGTTATTGAATGGATATGTTGATGAAGTCGATGATGAGCTTGTTTGGAAGGATATTGAAAGCAATATTATACGAATCGGTACACTTCTAGAATATGATAAGCAACTATTTGATTATTATCGACAGTTTGTTTTATTCTTTCATCGAACTTTATATCAAAAAATTGGTTTCACCCCGAATGACAACGATTCGATTGCACGTGGGCGTTTGAGATGTTTTCTCTTAGTTATCTTAGGTAAATTACAACACAAATCCTTATCTCGATATCAATCTTTTCTTGTTTTTGTCAATAGGAACTATTGGTCATGATCCGACAATCATTTCTAAGTCACGTGAACAATTACTTGTATATTTAAATGATTCATCAGTAACTGTTCTCTGGCCGATATGTGCAATTGTTGCTCATCATGCATCGGAAAATGATTTAAATAATCTGTTCAAGCTATGGGAACAACGTCCACGTCGTGATGATCGGCTACGTTGTGCTTACGGGTTATCCTACGTCCAAGATCCCATTCATATCGATCGCGTTTTAGATTTCTTCACTTTAAATAACAATTTTATTCGTTTACACGAACGTATCGAATGTTACAAAGGTTTTTGTTTGAGTAAACAAGGTCGTTATTATTACCAACGGTACATCGAAAATAATTGGTTATCAATTCGAGCGAATTCCAATGATGAATATCTCGAAGCACTTATTCGTGAAACATTTGGTTACTTCTCAACGAACGATGAAGCCGTACGCATCGAAGAATTTTTTCTTTCTAATGAAACTTTTCAACAAAAACATCATCTCGATCAGAAAGAAACACCTGCAACTCCGTGTACTCGCATAGCTGTACATTTATGTCTGGACGATCATGAATTGTCCACGATCACTAAGAGTAATTTACCATCGCCTATTCTCAATCATCACTATCATTCAATGATTCCCGTCAAAGTTAAAGAAGTTGCTTCGATTATTTCACACACAACACGGACACGTGCTGCTCTACTCGAACGTGATCGTGATCGTCTACGTGCATTTTTTCAATCGGATTCCTTTCCTCTTCTTTCGTCAACTTGCTCGGCATCTAGTCAGATTCTTTCAATCAATACAACCAATGTCTCCAATTTAGTCTCAACGAGTGGAACTAAACGCAAACGACAAATTGCTTCACTAAATCCAACAAGTTCATCTCCACCAGTACGAAATCTATTAACATCGGATACGAGTGTTTAATTCAAATATTTCATCGTTTAAGTCTTCTCGTGTGCGTATGACAATTACCACATACAATCTCACTTTGTTTTTCCCCTCTCTCTCTCTTTCATCCAATGTCTACTCTCTTTCTTTTTTTACGTTTTTCTTCTCTGGTGAATCGATGTGCTATGTGATTCTTCGTTATTTTGTTTTTCGAAACTTTCTTGCTGTGAATCGAAGATATAAATAAAAAAACCGCTATGAGTCTGTATAGAAATATCCCAAAAATGAAAACATGCTGCTATTTCTGTCTGACAGATGACAACTGATGAGTTGTGTAGACATACTTAAAGGTCACATTCTACTCTTGACACCGATTGTCGATGTAAGATACAATTGGCATGGCGTATGAGATTTAAATTTCACGACACAGGTGACTCATTCAGAAATCAAAAATAGAAAAGCAATTTCACGATTTTTTTGCTCAAAATAGAAAAAAACAACAACAGCAAACATGTATAGATTAGTTAATCGAATGTATTTGCGACATTCGATTATATGTCAATATATACACACAGTAAATACATTCGAACCGATGATTTTTTTATATTAAACATACCCAACCGGCGTACGGTAATACGATATAGATTTTTTTTCTTTCGTTGGCATTTAGAAGTTTCATTGCCGGATGCAGATTATTCGGAAGATAAGAGATACTTTCTTAGTGTCTCTTTTTTATCTATTTGTATATATATTGATCGTATCGACAACCTTTACTTGCACTTTTCTTAACGACGCCATTTGTATATTGACAAGATAGACAATGCTTATATCAATCACGTATTTCACGCGTTCGAATACAGAAAACCATGTTTTTTGTGTAATGAGTTTCGGTTGAGATATGAAACGAAAACAAAAGAGTGCACGAACTTTGTTCTTTGTGTACTTTTTTTTTCTATTTATTCGTATGAATAAATGTACCTTGTATATTCAAATATTCTCTGAAAGAAAAACAACTTAACGGAGAGTATCACACCTCTCGACAAATGTTCTCAATTTCCTCGTTTTTTTCAAGTGCTAACTATCGATACTATCTCTTCGTACTCGATTTGTCTTTTGTTCTTTCGTATTACGTTCTTTGATTTCTTCGCTTTCTTTGTCTCGTAGATCGATATTCAAAAGGGTATATGTAACTAAACGACATTGATTATCATGCGACGACATTCAGTAGATCCCGAGAGCATACGAAAACAGATTATCTCTGTGTTCACAACATCATCACGCAAACGTCAAAATTCAACGACGACGAGCACAACAAATACAGGAATTCTAGGTTTTGCTCGACGCACACGACGGTTCAGTGTACCTGACAAGAAACACTTGCATGTATCCTGTCCTAATGCCGAACTTCATACGATTGACGAGGTAAGTGAAACGCAACTAAACTCAATATGCTTATCGCTTGCTTTTCCAGCTTAAAAATGCATCGGCTGATTAAAATTGCACGAGCAAAGTTCGGGTTTCTCTCATTCTCTTCTATTCTTTTGAATAGTCGTTAGTTGTGTAATGATCATCGACATCTGAGTGGAAGTACTTCTATTTGTGTAAAACTCAACTGAAATAGAAAGCAAAACAACACGTTCTTCTTGTTGAAATTATTCTTTGTTTTTTGTCCTTTCTCGCCTCTTCATACAACAAATGAAAAGTCATTACAAACGCTGATGAAATTCCTTTTTTTAATAATAGTATCGCAACAGGAAAAACAGAAAGATTTAATTCAATAAAAATTATGCGTAAAATGAGAGTACTCAATAGAGATAAGATATATGATACATCGCATCGGATTGATTAGCTAAAATGAGTACTGTACTTATTAACGTGATTGTCATCAATAAATAGGAATTTTCTTAGTTCTTTTCTCTACGCTCACGTTCCTCCTTTTTTTTCTTCTTTGAGATGAAAAAAATATTGTTAGCAATGACGACAAAAGACGCCAGCAGGCAAAGTTTCTTGCCTATTCCAACTGACAAAAAAAAGAGAGTAATGGTGTTCGGATGTGAAAAGAAAAACATAGAGTGAGAGAAGGAAAGAAGCGAGACGAGATTTACAACTGCTGCTTAGTAAACCAAAAATATTCAACACGGGTGGCGCATTTGTGTAAATGGATTTGATCAACGCCTTACTGTAAAACATCCGGTGTTTATTAAATTTGCTTGAAAATGACGTGTGAGAGACGAAATACTCTCTTTGCACCTGTAAATACCTTCAATTTTACAACGGACGATCGCGTACGACGATATTCCACACCTGATAAACAAGATCTCGAAACGATCTACGAGGTAATTATCAGAGATGCTATACCCTACTTTTTCCTAATCTATATCCACTCGAATAGAACATACGTTCATAATTTTTCCTGATTAAGAACAATAACATTCGTAATTGTTAAATCGAGACATAATGAAAAAGCTAATCCACTGAACAGAAACATAAGACTTCTTCCATTGAAACTCAACGTAGAATTAGTATGATGAAAAAATAAATAAACACGATAACTTTGTTAGAAGATCGACAAAGGATGTGATTCAGTCTGAGTTGGTGTTGTTTGTATTTTGTTAATTCAACAGACTCTTTGGCAAACTTCGTCTACTTGCTTGCGATTGTCAAAAAGAACTATTCTATTCAATTACTAACGACGTGATTACTTTGCATCGACTAGTCGAACGAACTATTGATGAAACACGTCGCAATTCTGTAGTTGATCTAAATCATAATTTATTCTCAGCCCGTCTTTCCTTACAGTTCATAGAAACAAAACCATCCGTCATTAAAAAGTTCTTTTTTTTTTGAGTAAGATGAAAAGTATTGTTGAACAATGAAACAGATACGACTAAGTGATAATCTAATTTTTCAATGATATGAAAAAATAACATACCTGTGATAAAACATTCGCGTACATTGTATGAGAATAACATCGTTGAATGTTGACTAAATATATGCATTGTTGCAGTGAGATGAAGAAATTATTATTTAGCGACAGAGGAAAGAAAAAAAGGAATATTTGACTTTTATAGATCAAGTACACATCATTTTCGATATTTTTTCTCATCATTTGATCCGTTAAATATATGTAGGCCCATTTTCTGTCGTCATTTTTCATCAGACTCGACTGTGAGTGATCTATATCGAGAACGAAAGTGACTAACGTCAAAAATTAGAAACTTTCCGATCGATACTTGAGGAAAGAACAAATTCCTTTTACTTCATTAAGTTACATGATAGATGCTCTTTTCTATGCGCGGAAGTGTATACGTGAAGTTACTATTGGAATTTTGAAGAAAACCACTGACGTCATACGTCAAGATATGACTCAATGAGTATGAATAATCATAACGTATAACGCGTGCAAGTTCATTATACACAAAGACAAATGTTCTCTTCTGTACTTTTACTCCCAATTAAAAAGATCAAGTTTTCTGCGTTGATTTTGTGTAGAAACTAAAAAAAAGGCATGCAGATGATATTTTCATCGTCATCATACGAAACGACGTGACAATGATTGATGACGCTTATAAATATTCGTGTTTCTCGATCATCCTCTTGCACTATATGCGTATATTTGACCTTCGAATATCAAGATATGACTTAAGTGAATTGTATTCATTTTCTCTTCGTGAAATTACTTTTCCATCATTTCTTTCTTTTTTTCGTCAATAATATTTCCTTCTCTCTCGCCTTCTTTTGCTTCATTCTTCTTATTTGTAACGTTATTCTTATTGTTCGACTACAACCAATAGACAGAAATTTTTAGGAAGTGAAAGGCGAAAGAACTTCTATTCTTTCCTATGCCGCTTATTACATAGATGACAAGCAAATAAGACGATGCCATGAGTAGAGTTACGACTAGCATCGAAAGAAAAACCGGCCTGTCTGATTGTGCGTATATATGCGAAAGAGGAGAAAGAAAAATGCAGCCGGTTTTTTTCCCATCACACATATTTCATCTATCCCTTCGAATGTGCAATATATGACGTCGGATAGACAAAAAAACGAGACTCATTGCAACTACTACTACTCGCGACTTGTCTTGTGAATCAATAAACTAGGAACAGGAAAAAGAAGAATGTTCTACTCACTCTATTTTCAGGGAAAGAAGCCATTTTATTGACACTTTTACATCTTTCGAGAAAAAAACAGAAAGACAATGGAACGTGATTATATATCTGCAAGGTTTCGTATTACCTTCTACAGATTTCTTTATTTTGAATTTAGGAGACATGCGTCCTTTCACGTTCCCTTACTCACCATTTAATTTCTTTCTTTCTTTCGTTCTTCTTGTTCTGCTTTAGCTAGAGGACTTTGTTCGAATGATAATGATAATATGTAGCGAGAGAGAACGAAAAGAAGGAAGAACAAAACGAAAGATATCAATCTTCATTCATAAGATAAAGGTGACCGTCATTCATTCTCCTAATTGAACATTTCAGTTGGCTGAATATCAAAAACGACGAAGAAAACGAAATATGATTAGTTTAGATTTCATTTCATTTCGTTCTCGTAGTGTTCATCCGTCCATCTCTACTTTCTATTTACGTTTGAAAGCAACAGAATGAGAGCATATACATCGAGATATAGTTTTATATGTATATATCCACGAAGAACGAATATATACATTTTTTCCTCTCTTCGTACGTACGAGAACAAGCAAGAAGAGAATAGTGCGTGAATGCGTCATAGTCTCTATCATCATTCATTCAGTCAGTCATTTCTCTTTTTTTTTCTTTTCTCGCCGCATTTATAGACGCGAGTATTGAAGGTACGGTTGCTACATGTAATTACAATATAGTTTTTTTTTATTTTAAAGAAAGAGAAAAAAAATCGAGTAGGAATACGTTTTCCTATCTTACTATTCATCATATCAGACACTTATTGATCGTGTATCTAACAAATAATGACAACAAGTGACTATCCAGTACGAACATCAGTTTTACTCGATACGGTACATGAGCATGATCATGAACATGATATGAATCATGAGATGGATCATAACAGTTATGTTCGACCAATGGTAAGTTGGAAAGACGAACTGAAGAAAATTTTTGTCAAAGAGAACAGAAATTCGATAAAAACTAAGAAAGTGTTTTTTTTTCATCCATGACATATTTAGAATGAAAGTAATCCAACAGTAACAACTGGTACCGATCAAACGGATTTGGATCGTTCAATGTCGCCCAATAAAACTAATTCGGATGGAACATCCAAACGATCTCGTATTCAAGCCGTATTACTAACCCGTACTATTGCAAATGATAAAAAGCCGAACACAACGTTAAGTAATTCCGTTGGAGTATTATCATGTCCAGCAAATAGTACATCAGGTCCAGGTGGAGGAACGAATGGAACTAATGAAATCAGTGAACATTCAAATGTTGTCGCTGCTCTCGTTCAACATACAAGCACAGCTATGCCCGTGGCTTCCTTAGCAGTACCAACGAATAAATCGCAAGCAACAAATGCCAGTTCTTCTTCGTCATCGACATCGTCAGCTGCTAAGCAATTTCTTATTCGTCGCGTACGTTCACGTTCCAAATCAGATCCTCAATCCGTTCCTGATAAATCGCTCTTTTCGAGATTTTTTCCGAAGAAAACAAAAAAACCTCTCCCGACATTATTGACTACAACAACGAAATCCATTGAAACTCATTCCAATTCAACCAATTACAAGAAAAGGTCAAATGTACATAATAACCTTTTAACTACAAATTATCCCAATTCTAATACGTATGAAGATGATGACGATGATGAACTTGATGAGCGAACCGCTTCTACGGGTTCACTGTCAGATAGTGAACAGCGGAATCACAAAGACGGAAGAATAAACGGTGTACGAAGTTCCAATACTACCCGCGGTGGAAGTCGAGTAAATAGTGGGAGTGGAAAGAACACAAGTGCCGGTCCCAACGCCCTAGCATTACCCACATCCGATTCTCAATATTATGCGTCACTATCATCTGCTCCAACGGGGTTTTCAATCTCATATCATAAACGCATGACAAAAGGCAACGATGATCTTCGAATTCAAGCAGCACTTGGTCGTCTTCAACAACAAAGCAAACAAGGTACAGCAAGCGGAGGTACAAGTCAACTATTGGTATGTTATTTATCTCCTACACATTGTATAGGTTCATTGTATTTATTATTTGCCGTAACATTCTTTCGTTTCTCTTTTTCCTTCGTCATTCTACTCATTCATTGTTCTCTCTCCCTCTCTGTCAATGTTGTGTTGTATGAGTGACTATTCATTCATCATTGGCAGCAGGCCAACATGAGACTAAACTAACAGAAAGAAAAGGAAAGAGAAGTTGTTAATAAATGAAAGGAAAAGAAACACCTTCTCGTCAATAACTTTGCTTTGCTTAGCCGCTTATCCGCTCGCTCGCTTAATTACTATTAAAAAACAGGTTTTCCACGATTGCTTCAGTTCCTTTCATACGTTTAATCTTTTCTCTCTTGTCATTTCAGTCACTTTTTCAAGACCCGAAACGAAGTGGTAGGATGCATATGCTTCTTATTTCTATTGCTACGTCTATCTGATCGATTTTAGGAGCTCAAAGTCCAAATAACATGAGTGGAACAACTCGTATTAGTAAAACATTTTCTGGCCAGACTATAATCACCAGAAATAGTTCGTCAGATCGACCATCGACCTATTGCATACGTCCAACAGTACGTTATTCGAATTTTCTTTTTCACCAATCCATCGATTGACTTTTTTTCTAGTCAAGTTCGCCGACCAACGATATGGATGATACATTTAGTAAGACACTTTCAAATCCAACTGTAATCTTATTGAAATGTTATCTGTATTCTTGTAGTTAGTGACGATGAAGTTTATACCCATTTTATGAAAACTCATACATGTTATGATATTATGCCTAAAAGTTCTAAACTTGTCATATTTGATACCCAATTAGCGGTGAAAAAAGCATTCTATGCTCTTGTTTACAATGGTGTACGTGCCGCTCCATTATGGGATACGAAACGACAGAAGTTCACAGGAATGTTAACAATAACCGATTTCATTCTGATACTGGAAAAGTATTACAAAGAACCCAATACCAAGATCGAAGAATTAGAAGAACACCGAATCGAAACATGGAGAGAAGTCTTACGAGAATATGAAAAGCCGTTATTATGTATCAAACCAACCGATAGGTAAATCACAAACATGAATGACAAAAACATCCTCTAATGAACTCATTTTAGTTTATTCGAAGCGGTTCGTATTCTGACAGAAAATCATGTTCATCGTTTACCAATTGTTGATCCACTAACAAACAATGTCGTCTTTATTCTCACACACAAACGAGTGTTACGATTCTTTTATTTATACGTGAGTGTTCAAAACAATTGTTCTTGTTCTTTTCAATCGAACTCTTCGTGCTTTAGATCTATGACTGGCCCCAACCGGCATACATGTCGAAAACGTTGGAAGAACTCAGTGTTGGAACTTACGATAACATGCATATCGTATGTGAACGGAAATACTTGTCGAACTTTCGATTATATGAATTTTCTTGTTTGTTTAGATCGGGGAGGATACAACAGTGATTGAGGCACTTAATTATTTTGTCAAATACCGTGTATCAGCATTACCGGTTGTCGATGCTCAGAGGAAATTAGTGAATATTTATTCGAAATTTGATGTCATTGTAAGTGGAAAGGAATCATTCGGTGCATCAGTAATGAGATTTTTTTCCATCTGTAGGGCTTAGCAGCTGATAAAACCTATACAAATCTAAATATGACAATAAGTGAAGCCTTATCTTTTCGTAAAGAACGTTCGGAAAACGTGGCCAAATGTTACAAAAATGAATCGCTGTCCACTTGCATGGAACGGATCGTTAAAGCTGAAGTCCATCGTTTAGTTGTTGTCGATCAAGATGAACATGTCATTGGCGTCCTTTCGTTATCTGATCTTCTCCATTATATTGTAATCCGACCGACAAAAATATCACGTTCAGGTACAATAACAACAACATCAATGCAAATGCTTGTTCCCACGATAAGTGTCTCAAATGAAGATGGTCCAGTAGAAGATGAGGCAATAGACAAGATTGATTAACTTATTCTTCCTTTTTTTTCTCTCTCTCGCCATTTTCTTTTGAGCAAATTTATCTGCGATCGAAACCCGGTGAGGGTCGTATGTTTCATTTCATTTCATTTCTTTTTTTTGCATACCTGATTCCCTAGTTAGCATATTTCTGATTCTCTTTTGCGCCTATAAATAATGTATTTTATTGTATAACAACTGTGTGAAGGTATGTGCACGAAATATTTAATAGTACATATCCATGAACACATGAAAACATTTGTTCTCTCTCTCTCTCTTTTATATGATCTGAATTCTTTTTTTTTGTATATGTGTAAGAAGATTTGAAGAGAAAGATTATTTCTTTGTTAATTGTCTTTCAGCTTTGTATAGCATGCGTGTACTATTCATTTCATTGTATGTCTTGTATTCCGTTTGGAAGATGAATCCTAATCTCTGTCATCGTTTGTATCGTCAAGTGACAAACAAAACCGATTTCTATGTTTATCTTTTGACAAGAAGAAAAAGAAAACGGAATATGAGGAGACATTCTTATGTTTACGATCCAGCATGACTTTGTTTAACAATTTAGTTCAAAAGAAGTTGTCATGATGTCGAATCGACATTTGCAATTCTAATTGTTTTACAATTGATTAGATTCGAGTGGGTTTCGACGTCTGCCCCATGGAAAATGTCGATTATAGTGAAGCGCATGGACATGTCGATCCATTGATTACATAAACTTGCTTGAAACGTGTTGTCTGGATTGTTGCATACTATTCTAGTGCGTAACCAATGCACTTCGTGTGGAATTCGTGCAGAATCGGAACATTTGGGTCACGCATAGAAATATCTCTACGTACCCACGCGAACGATAGAATATGTCTCAGCCAAAAGGCAAGGCGTCTGAGTGGGCTAGGATAATACGCTTTGTTCTCACATGTCAAAATCTTTGACTTCGAGGAAACTATTTGTTGACAAATTTGCTGTTTAGATTACATGTCAAAAAGTTTGATTTTATTGAGAACAATCTCTATTTAAATATGAATTCCGCATTCTGTTCTCGAAGTATAATAGAAATTTTGTTTACAACAAAGAATTGTCAATTGTTGTCTAAAGAGTTTTGTTTGTCATCTCAAACGGTTGTTTCATTAAAATCTTGTCATTAATGATTTTTTACATTCTTGAACACGCCTCGACTAATTTCAAAATCGTGTTTAATTATGAAATTATGTGATTTTATCCTATCCAACAACCTATATTTTACGTCAGTCTTTTCCTAGAAAGCGTAGGCTAATATCACGAATCAGTTTGTAATCGACCTATACGCACTAGACCTTGTTTCATCCTTTCTATTTTAATCTTCATTCTCATTGACAAAACCCTCCTACACGCGTGCAAATAGTTGTTTTATTTTGCCTTTCTTCAAATGCAGTCATCCACTTCATTGGACATATATGAAAGCAAATGACTCCTACGCTTATGTCCATTAGCCCAAACATCTCCAATGGCACTTTTTAAAACATTAAATGCCATGTTCAATTTGATTCGAGATTGCTGTTTCTGTTTCTAAATTATTAATTTTCTTTTTCTTGAAATAAACTTGTCATAGGCAGGAAGACGTTCAATCGTGTAGAAAAACTTACAATCAGATAAACACGGTGCACTTTCATCTGCGAGCTGTTTTTACACGGTAGCCTAATGAACCCGTAGAAGCAAGTCCATTCTAACTCGACAATTTTATCTATAACTAAAAATAGGATCGAACATCTGAAAACTATGAAATCCATCAAATGAGAAATCATTCATTCAATCAAAGTATTACAACGGAAGGACTGATTTTTACAAGAATTGATCCCTTGATAGGACATGCTCATTCATATTTTACAAATTTAACATATTCTCGAGTAATGAATACGATTTGTCTCAAGGGAAATAGTTTCATAAGACTCAGATCTTTACGTTTTAATATTCATTCATTTGTCAACGATGATATCAATGAATATTCTCGTCTGCTCAGATTTTCTCATTTCCTCTTCGATCACTTTGGTTGAATGAATATGAAAAGTTCTTTAATTATTGATCAATTAGAATGATTGATCTTTTCCTAGGCAACTCCTACGTTCATTTGTCTCTTATTTAAGACACTCTTCACAGAATATAAAGCGCACTATGATCGACTAGTATTTAGAAAGTTATAGTTTTGTTTGATTTTGTTTGTTGGAGAAAAAGAGGCGTTGTTTTCTTTCCAGAAAAGAAAAAAAAGGACATTTCATTTTCCGACTGACTACTTTCTAACGTTATATTTGAAGATATTCTTAGCAAAAGCAAATAGTTTTTCAGTCTGTTTAAGAGTATCGTGCATAATGAGAAAAACTATAAAACGTCGTCTTATACATGTTTCTTCAGTTATTCTTCCACATGAATCGCACGAGCCATTTTATTTCTTTGTTGTCATCTCCAGATTCGAGCTTAGTTTTCTTTTCTATTTATCTGCTAAACGTCTCGGTAGCCGTTCGTTTGATCTCTTCTTCTTTTTATGTTAATCTGTATTGTTGATTTCCTCTATTCATGTTTATCTGAGTTTTTCCATGCATAATTGAGCACATAAATATTTGCAGCTATTAGCCAGTCATCATTCTTTCGAAGCAAGCGGAAACGGATAAACAAAACGAGCGAGAGAGATCTTCATTAGGATAAAATCTTCTCTTTTGATCAGTCATTCTACTTTCTAAAAAGCCCACGCACGCACACATCACAAACGTACGTACCCATTTATTTATGTCCTTAGTAGTGTTGATGATATGCGATAAGAAACAAAATCAGTTTTTGCTCACTTGAGAGAGCTTACCATACATGCATATTTGCTTTTTAACATTGTTGGCGTCAGCAATATTTACCCCATGGGAAGAAAGCCAGTTTTTTCGAGGAAACAATTTGATAGAAAGCACGCAAAACCTTTTCATTCGGTTTAGTCGAGTTTGAAAACGAGAACAGTACGTTAACTCTAACAGAGACACACTTTTCTTGAAAGCTTTACTTCATGCAAATTGAACACGTAAGAGCTACTTTTGGCGTATACAAGTAGTATATTTCAATTCCAGATTCACTAAGATTTTCTATTCATTTAGAATAATCAATCTTCTTCTGTAGTATCGACGTTAAATCTAGACTTATTTGAAAATGAATTGTTTTGGTGTATCGATATTTGTCAATCTCCTTCTTTTCTCCATCCTTTCTGTCCACTTAACATCGTCGGCTAGTTTTCCCAATCCACCTCAGAAGCCGCCATCAAATGCATCACCAGATGAACAAGCACTTTTCTGGAAATTATTACATAATTATTATGCGATCATCGCTCGACCTCGGTAAGCACAAATCTTCGTTTTTATCGAATGTTGAACGAGTCTTTTCATGTTTTGAGATTCGGCAAACGCTCAGAGTCGTTCGTTAAACATCCATCGTATTTAGAAACTGGTCATTTTGATTCCGCACCATCTGCTTCATCGGAATATGACATGGATCGTAAGTTATCCATTTGTAGAAATGGATCACATCTGTTCATCTGATTTTTAAGGTTTCAATCATCCGATCAATGTTGACAGTGTTTATACATTCGAAAATTCAGATAAAAAACGACGTCGACGACGATAATTTATTATTGTTTTGCCGACTGCTCCCCTTTTCCTTGTATCAATCTTTTTTTTCTCTTTTTTTCGGTGTCAATATTCATGAACCTAACGTTTTCGATTACTACCAACAGAAAAAAAAAGGCAAAACACAGACAAACACGAAAAAGAAAGAAAATTTAAAACATTTATCTCTGAATGTATGTAAAAGAGTCATTTTCACCATCTATAAACATGATTATTTGCAATGGCATGTCAAGTACGAGGATATGCTGCGTCATAATGACCCAATCCATATTGATTATAAGCTAAATAGATTGTTTTGCGAGTTGACGACAAGAAGTTGCTTTTGTATTCTGGTTTCACGTCAATACGTGGTAAATCCAGAACCGAAGTGAAGATGGTTATGTTAATATTCAAGGTATTCGCAATTGTCAACGGTACAATATCACCCAGGGTGGAATCTGAAACGCCGTTCTTCGAAAACTTTTTCACTTCTTTGAGAAATGTAACCTTCTCTTTATCGACAAATTGACTATAGTAATCCTCGTGTAATCGCCATTGATCAACACAAATCTGTCGTAAACGATCGGCAAAGTCAACTAAACGGTACTGGCTAGGCAAATGAAGTGAGCGACGCATTTGTACACCGAAATCATCTGGATCGTATTTCATTTCATACATTAAACCTTCAGCAAGGGCGTAGAAGAGGCAATTTCCGTCGCCTTTCACTGGCATACGTTCGATGCCATATCTCGCTAGATTACGATTTAGTTGTTGCTCGTGGTAGAGAAATTCATCGTCGCAGTTATTCGATTGTTGATGATTCGAACATGAGAATGCATTACGAAATAATTTGTAGGATTTCATCGATGAGGGATATGCTGACGAATTGACAGGTGATGAGTGAGATACTTTCGGATGATGTCGATCAATCGGTGGCAAATAGGTTTGGACGACAGGAATGGGTTGATTCGTGACAATAGGTATATTTCTTGTATAACCGTTATAAAACGATGGCTGGTAAATCCACTGTGAAGTTTGAGATTGTTGCTGATGATGCTGCTGCTGTATGGGTGGCGGATAGTAGTATGTTCGATGCGTCATTTGAGAAAAATTTTAATAGATGACGTATTAATTTAGAAATATTGAAAAACAAAAAATTGACGAATGTTTTTCTTTGTCCTTTGCGTCACCAAAAGGTAAATGTATGATTGTGATTCATTTTCTTTTCTTTTTTTCTTCTTCTCTTACACGCCTACAACCATTACAACCTCGTGCTATGAGCCGATCGATGAAGAATGTCGATAGATGATGGTTATGACATTACTCAGTCGATTGCTATACGAATACTTGTCAGTCCACTCGTTTTCTTTTCCTTTTTTTGTCTTGTTACTTGATGACGATGAAGAGACGAAGAAATCGAAGAGAAAGATAAAATCGTATATATATGCGTATAAAAACAAAACAAAAAAACAACAGAAGCACATTTATCTTTTGTATTCTTTCGTTCGTCTTATGATACATTCATTTCGTATATGTATATATACAATTTATCTTTGCCACGTCATCTATTCGCTATGAAGGGTAGAGAACAATATTAGTAAAAATGGGCCCATTCATTCAATTCGCTTAAATCGATATTGAAAATCTCTCATGCAGAATATAGACATAACTCAATTAACAATTGAAATAGATGTTCGTTGTGCTTTAAAGGAAGACATCGGCGATGGTGATGTAACAGCTCAACTGATTCCAAAAGAGCAAATATCGAAAGCAACTGTGATTACACGTGAAAAGGCCATTATTTGTGGTGTTTTATGGTTCGATGAAGTCTTTCGACAACTTGATCCGATAAATGTCACTATTGACTGGCTTGTTAAAGACGGTGATCGTGCACAAGCAAATGATTTGCTATGTACATTAGAAGGACCATCACGAATCTTATTGACTGGTGAACGAACAGCTTTGAATTTCTTACAATTTCTTTCAGGTATCGCTACTCGATGTCGACATTATGCAGATTTAGTTCAAGAAACAAAAGTTCAACTACGTGATACACGAAAAACCATACCCGGTTTGCGTCTGGCTGAAAAGTATGCTGTTACACAAGGCGGTTGTCATAATCATCGTTGGGGACTTTATGATGCATTTTTAATCAAGGAAAATCATATTGCCGCGTGTGATAATAATATCACAAAAGCTGTTCAACGTGCACGAGAGATCACATCGAAGAAACCGATTGAAGTTGAAGTTGAAAATCTTGATGAATTGAAACAAGCATTAGATACAAATGTTGAAATGATTTTACTGGATAACATGAGTTTAGATGAAATGCGTCAAGCTGTTCAAATTACGAATGGACGCGCTAAACTTGAAGCATCCGGTGGTATTAACGAGACAACATTGTGTGCCGTTGCACAAACCGGAGTTGATTATATTGCGATCGGGACTTTGACCAAAGATGTCAAAGCGATCGATTTATCCATGCGATTCCAGTCTCAATAATCCAAATATATACATATGGAAACATAAAGATAAAAGTCGATCGATCACGTTTTTTAAAGAGTAGTTTAGTTTATTCTAACGAGAAAATATATGTCTAATTTGCTTGATTTACAAACAAGAATGTTCGTGACTAGTTTGTCAGAAAGATGCATAATAATTACTTATAGTACCAGAGAAAATCTTCAACAAATTTCTATACTACGAATTATCAGAAATACATTGAAATGGCATTGTCTGACTGATATTGTCAAATCGAACTACATGTGAAAGATGAGGTAGAAATGAATCATTTTCCAGATTCATCGAAGAGCTGAGATACTTACATTTTTTCATCCTAAATTCAAATGATGCGAAAATTTACGGATCTTTATATCTAGTAGATAAAATATATCTAACATTGCGCATCCTAGTTTCGATTCACACGTTTGAGGTACGTGTAACCATTGTTCTCATCTTTGCCGCCATTTAGACATCGTTACTTTCTTTTCTAAAGTTTTATTTTCGTTTTTCCAAAAAAAAGCTGTTTTCATAAATTTAAGCAAGAATAAGTCATGATTATTTTGTTTATCGTAAGTTCACTTGATAGTGATTGTTGTGTCAGCATTGTCGCAATCGCTGTCGTACTCTATAGTCAGCTCTTTGTGTTTTATTTTAGTTTTACCCTTGCCTTTGATATTGAGCGGATATCTTGGAGCTTGTTCAAAATTTGTTTTCCCGTTGTGCTGATGATATTTCACAATTTTCACTCTCTTTTGTTCTTGTACGCACCATTCCGGGAACTTGTGATTATTCCCTGCCCATGGATAATGCTCAGCCTGGCAAGTATCATAACCCTCTTCATACCACTGACCATCTCCATCGTCATCATCTCCAGTTAATACCTTCTTGTGTCCTACATTGAGCTCAGCTTCAACAACAAAGCTATCATTAGAATCGCTGTTGTACTGAGAAATTTTCTTGGCAGCGCTTTTTTCGGCTAAATAAATGCCAGGTCCTAGCCGTCCTTCTGTAGAAGGTCGTAGTCCATGCTTATTAATAGAGTCTGCGTGCTTAGGCAAAGTTCCATGATATACACGAACTAATTATAAGACTAAAATTAGGAAATCATAGTCTTGATTTATAGAAGAACATACTTATCTTTCGATCATGCCTTTTGTGGTGTCGGTATTTCTTCCAATGTTCACGCGTAGTATCCGTACAATATGGATCGTTCGGACACAGTTCCATTTTTGCCGCGTTTAGGCTAACAATGTAAAGAGAATCAATTACCGCTTTATCGAACGATCGTCAAAGTCATATCTTACAGACGGAAATATTATGTGAGTCACGTGATCTTCAAAACTTCGATAATATTTCTCCTGAAAAACACCTCTCACTGTCTTCTGAAGAGAAATACATTCTAAAGCTATCAATAGCATTTTGTTAGGAATGAGTAAGTTCAATCCTGACGGAAAATGTACACCTATCCAGTTTAGATATGAGTAAAGTGACTAATGGTAAAACTTATTTGTGACCTGTAGATACTTTTCACTCAAGCGCAATACAATGGTCACGAAACGATCGAGTCGCAAACTAAGTTGATCTCTAATACATGTTATCAATCTCATTGTATATATTTCGTCTTTTTTGTATCAATTAAAGCCCTCAATATAAGCTCTATGTCAGCATTTTACAGTTAATTACACGAATTTATGTTTAGTTTTTATGAGCTCTATTATGATTGATATTCTCACTAATGTGTTAGTTCTGTAATGAAATAAGACGACTTACGAGTAGGTATTTAACTATTTGATTTTTGGATGTGCTATGAGAAATGACATTGCTTAGCGTATTTATAGTTTACCGTCTTAGACTACTTGTACCAATCAACATGGAAAATTACTACCTAGTCGCCTTTTTCTGGGTTTTTTAACTTCATATGCATAATTTTATACGTACTGAATACCTATCGTACGTTTTCTCTCTCACAAATCTTTCGCTCTTTCTGATTAATACAAAAACAAATAATGGAAATTTCCAAGCTCTTTTCCTCCTTTCGGATAGGGTGTTGTAAGCGTAGCAGAGTAGTGGGGATATTTGTCCCTTTAGGAACCTGGGGGTTGGAGGGAAAGTAAATCACAAGAGGAAGACAAAAACGTAGTGGGGGACATTTTCGTTTCAAATATTTCTTTAAACATATTGTTTGTGAATACACACGTTGAAAGCAACAGATAATTCATTTTGATATGATAACATAGCAAGCATATAACATAAAACTGAGTGACACACGAGTTCACCGTGCATGAGAAACGCAGGGCGAATCATGGAACAGTATAATCACGGTCGACATGTATTGTTCGTTTGCTAATTCTTTCTTACAGGTGTAAAACATACTCTGACTATAAGAGTGATGATTAATTTTTCGATTTCCGAAACGTATTGTCTCAAGTCAGCTTCTGAGACCATCTCATATCATAATTGCAGCTTTTCTTGTGCATATCCAGGATGAAGGGAGAAAGAAAACTCGTGCTTGAACATAAGAATATCGCACGGTCATTAATATTTCGTGTTTATACTGATTCATTAAACTTTAGGCGACAGTGTCGCAAAGCAAATACGAAAGATGTTGCTTTTGAACATCAAAAATCAAAATAAAGATAAGACAAAGTCATATTTTTCGATTTTCATTGTCTGAAAAGCTTAATTTGATGTCTTTTGTTTGACAAGTATACCATATGTTTCTGACTGATCAATATTCCGACCAATGAGAATTCTCGCGAGAAATACGTTACTCACTATTTGTCGTTTTCGAAGCGAAAAGGTGAACAGCTTCTAGTCAAATGCCTCATCATCGCCGAAGTAAATCCTACCAACTTCGTGATCGTCAAATCGATCCTCAATTGACCTACGATGGCATTAAAACGAATCCATTACCATATATTGACAATGACATTCATCCCGTAGATGATCATTCTCTTTGTTTAGCCGAACTTTATTCTGAACACTGGGATGTAAATTCAACCACTGAACAGATCTTTCTTCGTGATCCATTTGTTCTCTCGACTTGTGACGAGGAAGAGATTGCTTATTTAAAAACCGTGACTCATCCATTGAAATGGTTGTACGATTTAATCAAAAATGAACGATTACAAATGTATTACTCAGCGAAAGAATGTACATTAACTTTAAATTATTCGTTAATTTCTAAGGGAAATTTCAATTTATTCGTTTTTTATAAATCTTGCAAACAAAATGAGAAAACCAATCGATTTTTCAAACACTTGTTCCAATTTAACGACTATCAATCAATTTCTCATTTGTATGATATGGACACCAGTGCTATGAATATCATTGATTTCATCTATCAAGAAATTCAAGCAACAACGATGCTCAACATCGATGAACATATTTCATTACCTCTACTAACTTCATTTTTAAAAAATGACGTGATCGAATTGAAAGATCATCAAGTTAAATCAAGTAAGATTTCCAACTTTTCTCCTCGTCAAAATCTCCTTCATTTTTGTCTAGTTCATTGGATGCTCAAACGTGAACGAGAGTTTTCATCTACAAATGTCTACACGCCGCTGCACTGTTGTCGTGATCTATCAGATAAATTATTTTACGTTCATATTATCGATGGAGTTGTACTGCATGATGATGAAGTGAACAGTCGATACAATCAAGAAAAATTTCCGTTACCCGGTGGTATACTTTGCGATGAGATGGGTTTGGGGAAGACAATGTGTGTATTGTTAACTTCACTTTTGAATCTATGTTCAGAAGATTTTCTGAAAGTAAATATTACTCAGCCAATCGATAACGACGAAGAAGAAAAATTGGTTAAGTATAAGAAATTCAAACTGGATGATCCTGTGGATTTACCGTGTCTCTGTGGTAAAATTGCGAACCGAAGTCCCAATCTAACAGCAGATTCTATCCTTGTTTGCATTCAATGTTCTCGTTATGTACACAAGACATGTTTTATTCGAGAAGAACAAGAAACATTCCTTTGTCCATATTGTGAACAGCGTTTATCAAACACGAGTGAATTATTACCGACGAAAGCCACGTTAATTATTGCTCCAGGAGCGATTATTGACCAATGGATTGAAGAAATCTCCAAACATTTAGACTATCCTTTGGATATTTATATGTACGAAGGTGTTGTAAATAAAATTCCCATACCAGATCGACACTATCTTGCCAAACAAGATTTTATCTTCTGCTCATATGAGAATCTACGCAAAGATATTCATCATAACGAAGCTTGTTCACATGAACTCCATTCAACACGAACGCAAGTACGAAAATACGAATATTTAATTAGCCCGTTATTACGGATGAAATTTTGGCGTTTAGGTTCGTTTTGTTTCATTCTTAGCCCACTCTCATTCTCTTTTCTTTTCCGCTTTTAGTACTCGATGAAGCTCAAATGTAAGTTACTCTCTTTTGAGAATTAAAACTAGTTGAGCTTTTCGAAAATTCCAATAGGGTTGATACACCAAAAGCTCCAACATCGATCATGGCTCGGTCACTTGTCGCACATCATCGATGGTAGACGTCTTCTGACTTTCAAATCATCAATTCTTTCGATTGAATTTAGGTTTGTCACGGGTACACCATTTCATCGTTCAATCAATGATCTCGAAGGCATAGTTCAGTATTTATTTCCTTCGATTGACACACCACGTGATCAAATGTCCACATTACTACGAATGAAAGATAAAGTCCACGAAGTATTTCTCTCATGGTTGATGGATTTCTTGAAGTTGATCACTCGACGGACATCTCGTCAATGTTTGAACGACTTACCTGAACAATATGGTAATTCTTTACATTGAAAGATTTTGTGTTAGATAGAAATTGTTGTTTCGAAACGTTTTTAGAACGTGTTATACGTTTGCAATTCTCTGAACTTGAAAGAACCTATTACAATCGAATATGGAACGAGTGTCGAGATGATTTCAAGCGAGAATTTCAACATCTGTGGCAAAAACGAGAACGCGACGGAAATGGTAAACATCCTCCGAATTAAATCTCACAGATTTCTCTGAAATTTATTTATTCAGGTGGCGTTTTACCCGATGATTTTGTCGCATGGACATTCGAATCGAGTAACGAAATCGATATGAACGACATTCATTTTCTCTCATCTACTGCACGCAGTTGTCTGCAAACTCCATTGATAAAACTCCGATGTCTATGTGATCATCCACAAGTCGGTGCCTATGGTGTTCGGTAAATTTTTCTTCTCATTCAATTTGATCTTACTTTGACATTACGTAGTCATAATGATCCAGCATTAGTTCATTATTACAATCGTTTTCATTATTCATCGAACCGAAATTTTTCCATTCGACATTCAAATAATTCCTTAGAAACAACGGCACCGTTAACTAAAGATGATCAACCATTCACAATGAAAGATTTACTTGACTTATTAACAGCACGTGAATTGGAAAGTGGGGAGGATTGTCTTCGACTTTCTCTGTTGAATTTCAATGGTCTCGCCGGGTTATATCTCATTCAATATCAGCATGAAGCAACTCGACCTATCATCGACAATAACAATAAAAATGATCAACATTACATTCAAATGGTCGTCCGAACTTATGAACGAGTGATTGAAACAGCGGAAAGTTATAAAGAACCCTTCCATGCCGATTCATTTCAATTAGCTCATGCTTATTACAATCTCTCGCATTCGATCAAATTAGCAACCGAACTTACCAATGTTTCCAGGTAATGTCACTATGCTTTACCGTATGAGAAGAATAACTTTTGTTTGTGCCCTTCAGTAAACTCACCAGTGTGGAAGCCTACGATGAATTCAACAAGATCAAACAGCGACATCAAACTCAATCCGAACACGAAATGAGTGAAGCATGGAAGACGTTCAACGAGAAATTACTAACTAAAAAAGACGTGAAAAGTGAAATTAAAGCTTTGCTCGAAGATATTTCCACACACATCAAACCTATCGAAAATGATAAACTGGATATACACTATCATGTTAATCGAGAACGGCGTTTGCCATTTACAACTTGGAATGGATTCTTACTTGCATTAGTTGAAGAATTCGATAAATTACAGGGAATTCGAGAGAATCTATTAATATATATCGACGCGTTGAAACGCACGCCGAATGACGATGATGTCGCAAAGATGAGTTCATGTTCAAAATGCGGTTTCGATAATGATTCAACGAATGAACATATTTGTATCTTTTGCGAGTGTGATGTGGTAATGAAAAGTTATCATTGCAGGTAAATCCGTGAACTTTGTGATTGATTTTCGAGACAAATCATTTTTTCAAGTCTTCAACCTGAATTATATTCTGAGAAACAAATCAATGAAGATGGTGGCGCATATGTCATCTATTATATCAACGAAATTCTTTCGAAAGCATCTATGCGTTCACATGACTCCACGCGTCAATTAGCGAAGTTATTACGAACGGATTGGAATGATCTACTGAAAAAACTTCGATTGGAGAACACATCGGCGCGAGCGTATTCTCAACAATTAAAACATTTGTATTTGTCGTTAGACGAAATGCTTCAATGTACTTCACGTTTAGAATTTTATGTTGGCGATATCAAAAATCGTCCGAGGAAGTTCCTCAATCGTTATCGTTTCAATGCAGAATTAATCGAAGACGAGCGTCATGATTTCGAACAACAAGCGCTAGATTATTTGAAGAAAGTGATTAAACATCGACAGCAATTTCATTATTTTCAAGAACAACAACAGGATTATCATCGTTCGATAACAACGACGAACCTTTTACCAAATCAACGAACAAAATGTCCTATGTGCCATGAACTGTTCGGTGATGATCGACCTGATGTTTGCTTTTTTCTCTGTGGACACTTTTTTTGTCGAGAATGTTCATTACAATGGAAAAAACATGTCACAGGTCAGCAACCTAATCGCTCACGTATCAAATGTCCAATCTGTAAGTTTCCAAATTCTTTGGAGATTTTATTTCCATTAATAAGTACCTTTTAGGTCGACGAGATATTCCTGTTAATTCATTGACTGTTCTGAAATGGAAAGATCAGAATGCACCGATACAGAAATCATTCACTGAAAACTGTGTTGCAGACAGTATTACATCTCCACGAATACGTCGTTTGATGGAAACACAAGAAAAATTGACTATTCAAGGACGCTATGGAACGAAAGTCGACTCAATTGTTTCATTCATTCTTAATCTGTTGAATGATGATATTCAACAGTCAGCAAACAATGTACCAGTCACGACGGTGACCAACGAGTTTAAGGCTCCTGTGAAAATTCTTGTCTTTTCGCAATTCACCGATGTGCTCAATGTTCTAGCTATTTCATTGAAATTGAACGCCATATCACATTTACATTTTACATCAACGAAAATTCTTCAGCAGTTTCGCCAAGATCCAAGCATCAGTGTTCTTCTAATGCCACTTGGAAAAGGTAAATTCTTCGATCTAGTTCCTTTCGTACATGTCATCTCTTATGTTGTTTAGGAGCCAATGGTCTTAACCTAACTGAAGCTCAACATGTTATTCTCGTGGAGCCTCAACTTCATCGATCGGTGGAGTTGCAAGCCATCGCTCGTGTTCGTCGTCTCGGTCAAAAATTCAATACATACGTTTATCGAGTATAGTTTTTTCATCTATTGAAGAGAATCTTTGTATTTTATTTGTTATTTTTCTAGTTTATCATTAGTGATACAGCGGAAGAGGTTGTACTTGCCGATTCTCGAACAGCACAAACAATGCCAAACAATCATCGAACAACAACGACGACAGCAGCAGAGACATTTCGTTCGGAACATTCATCTGCAAATCGAGCAACATCATTTGCAGATATCGAACTATTCTATGAAATTAATATGGCGAAGAAAATCTTTGTAAAACCAACACTATCGACAATCGTCGACACAGAATTAAATCCAACTACTGTTGAATAAACACGACGTAGTTAATCGTGTATATTTTTCGAATAAATATTATTGACAATAAACTAGATCAATACAACTTTCTATTTGTCTATCTCTATTTAGATACTTCATTGTATGATTGATTCAGTGTTAAAATTTCTTCAACAGTACCATATAACTATACCCTTGCTGATTTGTTTGATTCTTCTTATTATAGTCCTGTTTATTATCTATTCGCCACCACGATGCCTCATTGGTTTTCTTTCGAAACTATACCCCGATGTTCTGTTTTCGGTTGATTTACCGTCCAATTTACGATACGTTGCATTGACGATCGATGATTTTCCGAATCTGCATGACCTTTCCATCAGTTTCCGAATACTCGAAATCCTCCGTTCGTATAGTGCTCGATGTACGTTTTTCACTATCGGATCGCATATTGAACAATATGAAGATTCGCCGGAGATACGAACTTTATTCGAACGTGTCATCGCCGATGGTCATGAAGTGAGTAATCATGGCTGGCGTGATGAAAAAGCAGTGCATCTGTCCCAAGTGGAACTTGAACAGCAAATAATTGATACTCAAGAGCTAATAAATCACTACACCATCTCGACAAACAGATGGTATCGACCGGGTTCCGGATTTTTTAACCGAACAATGATTCAGCTTTGTCATCGACTCGGCTATCGATTAGTTCTGGGCTCAATCTATCCACATGATCCACAAATACCACGGGCGCACTTAAATTCATGTTTTATCGAACGTAAACTATATCCCGGTGCTATTGTGATTCTACACGATCGATATGCAACAATCGAAACATTGAAAAGACTTTTGCCAAAGATACAAAAACGAAATTATCATGTTGTAACCTTGACACAACTGATGGCATTAAAAACGCATGAATAATCATTCTGATATTTTTAGTAATAAGAGATTGATCAAGAGTCCTTCAACTTTCTTCGTTCTTCCTTTTCAAATAAAACCAATTAGCTATTGAACTTTCATCACGAAGGTTATCACTGAACATTCATCTGAATGCAACAGAAAAAAAGCTTTATGATCACTTTGCACGAAAACTACAAGATAATCTAATACAGTAGACAACATCGACTAAGAAGAGAAAAGTTAAATAAGGTATATTTAATAGACAAGAGCATATTGGAGTTACAATTTGACCATTTCAATTGTGGATCCTTTTTGCTTCAAATGAAGGATAAGCGCTACTAAAGCACATACACTTGATCCAAAGCAAACATCTAATGATATGATTGAACCTTGGTTTTGCTCGCTTGTATTCATATTATTGGTAAAGACGTATAAATGAATAATCGAAGCTAGTTGAAGGCCAAGGAAGATAGTTAGGAACGTAGTAAAGACTTTCAACTGACGATAGTCTTGATAAAGAAGGACATAAATTCCAAACATACAGAAAACTGTTGCAAATGAACCAAAGAACAAACCGAGACCAATGAGTAAATACGATAAAGTCGAAAAATACCCAATATGAACGCCAACGACTGCTATTCCACTTAATCCCATGAGAACCAGCATGATTTCCGAAACAAATGAGGTCGCGGACATGATTTTTACGACTTTGTGACCGTCTTCCATCGTTTGAACACACTGGTCTAAGTTTGAATGACTTACTAGAAGTATGACTCTCTATGACAACGGGCAACTATGCAATCGAGCTCAACCGTAGACGAAGAGGAGAGTAAAAGGTGAAGTAAGAAAGAAAAAAAAAGGGAGCGAGTAATGTATCAAATGAGTGAGCTGAACTTATGTATAATACTTCGATAGAAGAAAAAAGAGACAGAATCGAAAGTCAACTAATACCAGATGTGTATATCAAATGAATATATAATCGCTGTTTTGCTTTATTAAAATATTAAAAAAAGATTTATTGAAGTTTCTCAAGATATTTTGTCCATTGTTCGTTGGTCCAACTGGAACTGATTTCTGAATCTTCTAACCCATCGATAAAGACAGTTGGAGAAACGTGAACCGCGTGCTTTCTTGCATATTTAATGTGATATTTCACATCGGTTGTCAGAGCATTTCCAGCATTGGCTTCTGTTCGTTTGATACGAAATTGTTCGAGATCGAGTTGAATTTGCGTTTCTTCGTGCAAAATCGATAAGATCTTTTGATAAATTTCCACTTGAGATTTATCTTCAATATGTTCATCGAATAGTTCACGTTGTCGTTTGAATAAAGCAGTTATCGCGTCAAAGAGTCGTGCTGGATGTTCTCGAGCGACAGCCATTATAACAGTATGGACGAGTGTCGATTGAATATGCCATGGTTGAATTTGATGACGGAATATAAATTGAATTTGTGATTGAAATTTCTCGGGAAGTTTATTATCGACAACGACAGTTGACCAAAGACGAGCACTGAATGGACAAACCAAATCAAGGTACAATTCGACTGTGTGCCGATTTGAGTTGTTTGATGATGAGTTTAGTGCATAAGCAGCATATTTTGGTAAAAGCGACATACTATCTGATATGATAAATAAAGTAAAGAAAAGAAACTAAACACGTTATTTTGTTTTTGTTCGTTCTGTGCTTGTTTATTTATCTATTCAATCAATATCCAGCAGGATGATCACCTGTTGGTATTTCTTGTCGAGTGTATCTCACAGCAAATAGAATAATCTTCACAAAAAACAAAATCACACACAGAACAGATATGATGACAATTAAGATCTGATTGAGAGATTTCTCTTTCAATAATCGCCAATGTTTTGCGAGAATGCCGGTCAAGGCAACCAACCAAACTAACCATGGAGACCAAGTATAAGCCATTTGAGAAGGAAAGACGAAATTTTCCAAAATCCAATAGACACAAATGCCAATGGTTACAAAGATCAACGATATTGTTGTCGCCCATCCTTCAACGTTCAGTGGAAGTTTCTTCTTTAACCATATTGTAAAATTCAGTGATGCAGCAACAAGTAACCAAGCTGAATAAACTGCATGACCATTTAAAACGATAAAACGCATTATCCAAATATCACTTGTTCTAAAGATAAACTATCAGAAATGTTCTTCTCAGAAGGAAAACTCTTTTACTTATCCAATTGAATATAATCCCAGCGATTGTTCCAAAGAAAAACATGATCCAATACTGTTGCAGCTACTATTGTGGCTAGCATGACATAAATTACAATAGTCGACAACTACAAAAGAATCATTCTTAGAGAAATAGATCAAACATCAATCATACTCCGAATTTCACTCGATCCCAGAGAAATAACCACAAGGCGTTGAGAAGCATGTTGACAATGAAGAGAACGAAAATAGCTACATGCAATGTATAAGGATGAATGTACAAATAACCGATACTAGTCGTTCGCCAGATATTAACAATCGAATACACGAGAAAAGCCAACTAATTACAAGAAATTTGAGTAGAAAATCACTTGAATTCTTGAGGGTAAAATTTTACCTGCCAAGAATAGATCAAACCCCAGAGAGAAAATGTCGGACCAGCTGGCGTGAATTCCGTTGGATTTTCATCACTAATCCGTGCAGTTGACTGTCTGAAGATCTCTTTTCAAGATGAAAAAAAAAAAGTTAAACCTAAAAACTTTCTCTCGAACGTACTGTTCGGTCCAGTCGACGCGAATCCATTTATGCAGCAAGTAAAAATAAAAGATAGTAGGGCAAGGAAAATCGACGCAATTACACCACCATCGTGTGAGTATTCTGCATCGTTACCAGATAGAGACTTAGCTAAAGAGAAAGACAGTGAAACATTTTCGAGTAATAATAATGTAAAATCGTACTGAATAGGTTCTTCATATTGTCGTGTGATTCAGTTTGAAAAATCAATCGTGAAGGTATAGTTATGCAAGAGGTAAACGAGTACTTTTGTTCTGCATACGAGACCAAAAAGTATAGCTGTCAATTTTACGACATACGACAACAGAAAAGGACAAACTTTATCTCGAAGAATATATAATAAAAGCAATAAGGAATGGGATTCCAATTAATTAATCAGGATAATCCTTTGATTAATCGGGGACATAGTGCTGATATCATGTGAACATCAAGTTCATGTATTTTTAGAATTACGGTCATGTTTTTCTAATTAAAACTTCCAAGTATTATTGAAATTCTATTTATAACGTAAGTAATCTAAGAACGTCGGTAGATGTCGTGAAGTGCGATACTCGACATCTTTGCTTGTCCATTGGTGAAATGAATATGCCTATCGAAGACGACGAAAACTTGTAAAATGTAGAGTGGAGGTTCTTTCCTTCTGTTGATTATTTTTTGTTGCTTATTATTGGATTGTATGGATTTCTTTCATTTTCTTCAAATCCATCGTTCTTTCTGAACTTCTTAACTCACAGAACTAATTTTATAAAATTTTCTTGCAGAGTAATATCATTAGCTCGTCAATACCGTTGCCAGAATGACAAATCCAAAAGGTTATCGTCGTGGTACTCGCCATTTGTTCGCGCGAGATTTCAAGAAAAATGGACGAATTCCTTTGGCTACCTATATGAAAATCTTCAAACGCGGTGACATTGTCGACATTAAAGTATGTTTTGTTTCGATTGACAACATTCACATCAGTATGGTGCATTCGAAATTGATTTAGGGCAATGGTGCTGTACAAAAAGGTATGCCACATCGATTCTATCACGGTAAAACAGGTCGTGTCTTCAATGTAACTCGACATGCTGTCGGTATTATCGTTAACAAACGTGTTCGGTATGAATTATTTAATCATGATTGAAAAGAACGATTATCTTTCTCATTTCAGCCATCGTATCATCGCCAAACGAATCAACGTTCGTATTGAACATAGTAAGTTATACATTTGGCATTGTCTAAGAAATCATTCAATTGTTGTTCTCTTTTTACTTAGTTAAACATTCAAAATGTCGTTCTGATTTTCTCAATCGTGTCAAACAAAGTGAACAATTGAAACGAGCAGCAAAAGAATCAGGCAAACCTGTACCAGCTTCAAGCCTCAAACGACAGGTACGTCACCAGTGCTTGCTAGTTCCATAGTTCATCGTTGTTATTTAGCCTCAAGGTCCACGCAAACAACATTTGGTCCGAACACGCGGCAATAAACCACAAATTGTCGAACCAATTCCTTACCAATTCGTGGCTTAAAAGAGAAAATCTTTTTGTTCTTGTTGTTGTTGTTTTTGAGCACGCGCTATACGAGCGTGAAGAAGAAAAAGAAAGAAATATAGATTGAAATAAAAACGCCAACATCAATTCTATCCGATAACTAAACAAAATATTCTTTCATTTCTTTTCATTCTTCAGATGGCTGATAATATCGGTCGCAGAAAGGAAAATATCGTCGACTTGAATAAATATCTAGACAAACGAATTCGAGTGAAATTCAACGGTGGTCGTGAATGTAGTGGAATGTTGAAAGGTAAAGAAAACAAAGCAAAAAATGCCTTCCTTTTCACTCAAAAATCTTCTTTTAGGTTATGATCAACTATTAAACTTAGTACTCGATCAAACAATTGAATATTTACGTGATCCGGATGATGAATACAAAATCAGTGAGGATACACGACAGTTAGGATTGGTTATCTGTCGAGGTACATCAGTTGTTCTCATATGTCCATTAGATGGCATGGAGGAAATTCCGAATCCATTCGTTCAACATGAGTGATACAATCAATCAACTCTATTTTTTAAAGTCGGATATGACATTTTTTTCCCTTTTTTTTGTAAACAATAAAAAATAGACGATGGCATCAATGCAATTCACGACGGTGAGAATAAATGAATCGAGAAAGTTCGATGTTTGATGATCAATAGACGAATATGAAATGATTTTATGAATAATCGTTTATTTCAAGTTATATTTTAGCAAATTCATCACATACGATCATTCTCTAAAGATTTGATCAGCGCCATTCTGAAATTCTCCTGACAAATCTCTCTAAAGATGCCAAAACATGACAGTGACTTGTGACATTTCTTCATCTTCCCAGACAACCTACACAAATTGGATATCCGAGAGGTTTTTTTCGTAGTTCGACTCGTTTTCATCTTTCTAATTTTTCATGCATGAATATATGCGAAGAATCACTATGTGTTCACGCGTATCCTCATATGCGCATTCATGTCTAGTTAGGTGCCATTTTTGATTATACGAACGTTCCTTTTCTATTTGAGATACTGAGTAAAAAAGAATTTACTAATGCATATCGGTGAAACGTCAGTAAGTTTGTATACGGCGAGGATGGAAACTGCGTGCCACACTCGACTGACAATCTTGGCGGAAGGTGCTTTCTCCATTCTTGAAGAAACATTTTCTGTAATTGCTCTCGAGTCATTTCAGTTTTCCTATATATATATATACACACTTATTTCTCTCGTTTGCAAATACACCGCGTTCATGTGAAATGATCACACTGGTAAGGCAAAATCAAAACAAACTGTAAACATCATCGATGATCACAGGTAAGTGTTATTCCACCCCTAAGATAACAATCATAACAGTAGTTTATTCAGTTCTCTGACCTGTGAAATTTGTTGAATCACATATTTATACGAGTTTTATTATTAATAAGATGTTATGACATGACATAGTTCTGTAATGAGCTTCCATTACTTTCGGCGCTATTGACTTCGTTTCTAAATACTAAATCATGTATGTTGAGATGCGCATATATAGTGAATGACAAGATTCCATTCGAGAAAGGTCATCAAATTTGATAATATTTAACCACTGGTAAACAGATGTCAATGATTCTCACAATACACTGAGAGCACTTACATCGATACAGAACATTTTCTTCTAGTCAAAAGTACCTGTGGTGATGAGTTATTTCAATATGAAAATAAAAAACATAGAGGTTAATTTCAGTAAGTAACGACACAGAAAAGAAGTTTTAAAAATTTGCAATTCGCTCGAGAAAAATATTCGCTTTTCATATTATCATTTGCCATCGATTACCAAGAACATTTCATCATTATCAGCTAACTTGGAATTCAGACATGAATACTCATGGGAAGTTTTCCTTCTCACTTTTTTCCTAATGAGATCCATGTTCCATATTTAAAACAATTCATCATTCGAATGTAAACCTTCAAAACTACTCCGAGTAAGTTTTTGAAAAGTGTCTGTTGTAGCCATTTTCAATATATGATTTTCTGTTGAATCAAACAATTCACAATTGTGACACACATGTGACATTGAAAGAATCAGAAAATGGCACTTTTTAAGCTAGAAATGGAAAATATTTCACCGTATTTAAATTGTTGAGTAATGAGTACCCGAATACTAATTAGTGATATAAAGTACACCGACGCATACCTCATTTTTTTCAGATATTCACCTTGAGAAAAATCTGTCAGTCAAAACTTGCCGGAGACTGAAATTGGAAGAAGATATCACACTCACATTTATCGACGTGGTTCCATGTCAAAATCAGATGAGTGACAAATTGAAAATTTTTTCTGACAAAATGCTTCGTGATTCTTGAAATTGTTATAAATAGACAGTTGAGTTTCTAATTATTCTTAGTAGTTACTTCTATTTCAAGTAATACTTAAAGGAGTCTATACAAATATGAGACAACATGAATTAAGATGATGTTTATCGTTCTCTGAGCACGATGTTTTTCTCTTTTAACTGACTTAATCAATCAGGTAACACTTGCAACCAACATGTCTCGTTTTAAGCAGAGACAAGAATGGATCGATTACAATGACATAAGACTCGTATTTCAGGAACGTTGTCTCTCTATGTGCATTAGTGTCGATGATAAAGTAATTTCCAATAAGTTCTTAGCAAATAGAAATTCACAGATTTGAAAATCATGTCAATTACTAGAGTAGCCTTGTTTAGTGAACTATTGTTTTCATGTTTCTATTATTTTGTTTGCTAATCGTAAAAAAACAGAACGTTAATGCGTACGAGCACGAGAACGAATGAAAACAATTCCCGCAAGACAAGAGTATCGTAATGAACGAGAGAGTCATTCATCCTATTGGCATTCTTTTCTACGATGAATACATTCGTTTGTCTTTTGTCATGCTCTGTATCCCATCGATTTTAGATACTAAAGTAAGTTAATACTCGACAACAAAAAGAACGTGGGAGCACACATCCTATGAGAAGAATGATTTTTGATTAAGATAAATCTATACAGTGAAATAAGATGTATTTACTGTATATCACCGATAGTCTTGTTGTTGTTGTTTTAATCTATTTTTATCCTTCTGTGAAATGTTATTATTGCGCGTCGATTATTCTCGATGTGTTCATCAAAAGAATGACGAATAAGATGGAGAGTAGTAATATAGTCCGAACGCGAACTGACAAGGGAGTAAGACATACAGAAGAGAAAAAGAAAATGATCGATAGTCTAATCAGATAACATGTTTTTCAAGCATCATCTTTCTTGTTCAACGACGCCATTTTACAACTGATAATGACTATAATATATTCATATATGTTATAGGCACTAGTAGTTTGATAATTCGATTTCCAAATGAAATCATCACGCGAAATCCTTCGGAAATCAAACGATCTTTATATAGATATGCAGTCAAATGAGAATCAATTAAATCTTTCTTTTTTTTTTCTTCATTCGAACGAGAAATAAAGAAACAAGTATTCACTTTATTAAAATAAGCACGCGCTTGTCAACAAACCTGTCATTTTACAATGATGCTCTTTAGCACGTTCAGTTTCAAGGGCAATAAAAAAAATGAAAGAAGATTAGATTTGAGAAACACTTTTAGTGATCAAAAGGAAGTACATTATCCCCGAAAACGTCGAACGACGTTCATCGATCACATCAAAGTGTGATAAATGTATATAAAGTCAAAATATTGACAAAACACATTACTTCCTTTTTGAAATCATCACTACCGGAGAATGTTAGGAAAGGAAAAGTTGCATGAGGGTTTCTCGTCTTACCTAGCCTCATCTATATGTGCATTTAGATTTTGATTGATAACATCTGTTGCATTACATGGTCAATGCCTTTTTTTTTCTTTCTCGCGACATATTTCTGTCTGGATGCAAAAGTAGTTTTCGAAATGTTCTTTTGTTCCTGAATTAGTGAAGTAGAAATTCATTTTTGTGTACTTAAAATTCAAGTGATTCCAACGTCGGATCGTATTAGTTGAGAAAATATTCCATATTTGTAGACAATAATGTCATTAGAAATCGCGAAGAGAATAGAAAGAGAAAAGTCGGAAATACACGCAAGCCTTCATGGGATTCCAGGCGACTTGAATTGTTCCGTTCTAGTCGAGTCTATAGCTTGTTTATGTTTATATGTGTATTTTGGCTTAAAACCTTGAAATAGTCTTGATAGCTCAATGTCAAAAGCTTTGATGTGAAACAAAACAACAATAGTTCATAGAGATAATCAATTCAGAAATATGAAATGAATTTCTATCTATGTAAGACGATATCTCTCTTGTTATTAATTGAGTTTCATATGAAAGACAATTCCATATGTTCTTTTTCAGTCCTATTCTCAATTTTTTGAGTACGTTCTTATTTATCACGGCAAAAGAAAAGAAGAAAAAGAAGAAGAAGAAGAAGGCTTCCATTCATTATTTTTATCTGATTAAGAAAAGAAAAGTCTTTAGTCCAATACAAGATCACGACAGTAGAGATTAGAGAAAGTCAAATCATATACGTGTCAACTGAATATTTCGTTGTTCACCGATATCTCCTTCCGCATGTTACTAATTCATTAACGATTTACGTAGTTCAGTATGATAAAGCTAGAATAGTAAGATTCAACCCACTGACATGCTATGTCTTCTCTTCCTCTTTCTCTCTTTCTCTCTCTCTCTCTCCTTCTCTTCTCCTTCTTTCCATATGAAAATCAGTGAATATAAAAAGGAAAAAAAGATAAACGATCTAACGAAGACAAAATGCACAACATCATCAATGTTTGCACATACATATACCAAACAAAAAAAAAAGAAGAAGAAAGATGGACGAAAGATGAGCCAAACTATGTCAGCTGTCGGCTGTAGTCTCTCGTTTTTTTCTTTCTTTCTTATGCCATCGATCTCTCGTTTTTCATGTAGACAACAACAACAACAACCACAACAGAAATCGTTGCTGTGGAGAGGTTTTCTATCAGTGTGAAGCAAGGAATTCCTTTATGTTTCTCAATATGAACTTTCTCACATACCGATAAGCAATTCTTGAAAGTCAGAACAATTACACGTACGCAGAAGTAGACATTAGAAACCATCTGTTCCTAGGAGGTTTTCTTCTACTTATCAGTGAATTAGAACGTCTATCTGTCTCTCTCGTCTTGTTAAAACTATTTCGGCAAAAACGTCCATGAGTATGACAAGTTGTGAATTATTGTTATAAGAAAATCTCGTTTGATTGAACATTATTTTGTGTTCAGTTCTTCAATTTCCCATACAATAAGAGTTGACATTTGCGTCTACCTTTCATGAATATGTCATTGACGTGTTCATAATAAAATAAGATAAATTAGATTAGTTGATCATATCTTTGTTAGAGATAAGAATCTGTTTTGTAGATGAAATTCTTTTTAATAAAAAAAGCAAACGTCTCACTCCTATTCACGAGTTGAAATGAATTCGACGATATCCTTATCGGATATTTCAACGACGACCATAAACAACAATGATGATATTAACGGAAGTCTTGCCGATGACTGGGAACATTATCGCGCCTATACCAAGTTCTACTATATCACAGATGAAGTCTTTCTCTATGCGAATCCAATTTTAATTATCATTGGTAAGGTATTTTCAATTGAAGATTATTCATAGAAAAACAAGTTTTGCCCTGTTTTTGAAGGAATTCCAACGCATGCATTATCTATGATTATCTTTCTTCGTAAACGAATGCGTCGGTACCCCGTTTCCGTCTTCATGGCAATGCTATCGCTAACTAATATTCTCATCCTTGCTGGTCCAGTTACCATGCAATGGTTGAATCACAAAGTTTTCATTGGTTTTGTTGTCACCGGGTCGCGTTTTCTCTGTGCATTTCATGTTTATATTGACTTGGTTGGCTCGTCGATAAATTCTTGGCTGATACTAATGATTGCTGTTGAACGTTATCTATCCGTGACAAAACCATTTCTAATCCGAACGAATTTCAACCGTCAACAAGCATGGACTATTGTTTTCAGTGTTTTTCTCGTCGCTATTATAGCTCCACTCGGTCTTGCTATCGTTGCATCGAAAGTTGACGATTGTCTTCTATTCTTTTCTAAAACATATCAAATCATTGGTTCAATACAAATCTTTTTCATCTACGTTCTACCATCGATACTTATTCTAACTTTAAGTATAATCACAGTACATAAACTACGGAATCGTATACGTACACGTGGCTCAAGACGTATTCACATAAGTGTTATGTTAATCGCTGTATCATTTTCATTCATAACGTTCACAATGCCGTATCAAGTCTGTTGGTACTGGTTATTTTCAACAGCAATCGGCAGTGTGAAATTGAACCTGAAGGTTAATATAATCAATATTGGCTTTCGTTATATCGCATTAACAATCAGAAATTTGAATTATACATTGAACTTTTTTCTTTATTCATTAACATCGATCGTTTTTCTTAAAGAAGCATTTACAATTGCGCATTGTAACTATTTTCTAAATCAGACATTTGCTGAACGTAACCATGCATTTCGTCGCGTGCGCCGGTTTTTATCGGAACATGGTGGCGGTGGTGGTAATGAGGATCAAGATCAACCAGATCAGCAGGAACGACAAGATCAACAGCAGCAGCAGCAACAACAACAACAGACACATCAACAAATCAATGGACTTAATCGTCAAACAGATCAACCGTATGATGAACATCATCACTTTCCGAGTTTTAAAAGGCATTTCAGTATCAAGAGAAAGAAGAGCGATCCACTCGACGCTGACCTGTCGAAAACTCTTCTAAATGGTCATTTAAACATCCATACAAGTACGACAAATGTTTCCTATAACCTAAAACAAAACAAACCCATATCATTCGAGAAGAATGTCCAATGTAATCTAACGATTAATCAAAGAGCAGTAATACCCAACGATGCAAATTACTTGCAAACTGATAATAACATACAACAAGCAACATCATCAAATTATTCTTCAATGTCCAATATACAAGATTTGAATATGAAAGTGCAACTGTAAATTGACTTTTTCCCTTCTTCTTTTTTTTTCTGTTCCGTATTTATTCTTCTTTGTGTATCGATGTTTGTGTATGTATAATTTCTTATGTTTTTCTTTTTGATACAAAAAAAGAAGATACTAACGAGAGAAATTTGTGAGAAAAAAAGTTTTGCTCTACTTAATTGATATTACTTCTGAAATTTTCTATAGAATTGATCATGATTTTCAAAGAATGAGCTATGAAAATACTAAATGTTTTCCAAACATATTGTTCATAACTAATTATCATATGCGTGAGAGGATCTGTCTGACGAAGGTAATTATAATGTATTATTATTCAACAATAACTCGTAATTGAACACACATTCAATAGGAAAATAAATCCAACGTCGATTTGTATCGTATTAAGAAGAATTTGTAGAAAAAATATACAAATTTTCTTTTTGTACGCTAATTGTTTTTCACGAATTGAACTTGTACCTTCATTATTGGTCTACTTCACACAGAGTATTTTGAGAATGGAAAAACGGAATCCGTATTCAACCAGGTTGTCTTTTATTCAGTATATGAATCATATACTTATGTTCCCTCTCAAGTAACATTTTCCATCGAAACTTTCTGTATCACGTTTCCATTCAACTTGAACTGTCATTGAGTCACCATGATTTTCTGATCCTGATTGACAAGCTTTGTCAAAGGTCATTCAAAGCGTTCGTGGTGAATAGACTCCTTTGACAACGAATGCGCCAAGATTACAAGGGGGAAAAAGCAGGACTTCGGACTTCAGAAGTCCAGAAGTCCAAAGAAGTCCACTGAAGTCCAAAGAAGTCCACGGAAGTCCAAAGAAGTCCAAAGAAGTACGTTTTGTACTTCTTCATTTTATCACCAATATATTTTAGCTTCATACTCGAGCAAAGAAGGTGACATCAGCGAAAGAGAGCGAAGAGAGAGAAGAACGAAGAAAAAGTGATCTTCGTGGGACTCAAACCCACAACTTCTGCTATCCGGGCAGATGTCATAAGCCATTTAGATTAGAAGGACCAACTTAATCTCTAGTTTAACTTTGTATGATTCATACAAACGCTAACAATATAGAACAAAAGTGTCTTGTTATTGGGGATAGAATTCTTATCACCTATAACATCAGATCATTTTGTTTCGTTTGTGGGATGAAATTTTTGATATAAGCCTATATAATATATACCAATTTAGTTATCATGAGATGCAGAGAAGTACAAAGAAGTACGGAGAAGTCCAAGGAAGTACGAAGAAGTACAGAGCAGTCCAAGGAAGTCCAAAGAAGTCCAAAGAAGTACGAAGAAGTCCAGAGAAGTCCAAGGAAGTACAAAGAAGTACAGAAGTCTGCTTTTTCCCCCTTGCAAGATTATCAGATCCCTGACCGTGAACGGTATAATCAGCTTCTGGATAGAATCCAAGTGTCAAATAATGTGATCCACGCCAAAAACCATCTTTGTAGAGGAAAGCAGACAATGAGCTTGGTTGAAAAATATCAACGCTCAGATCATTTAACGTACGAAATCCTTGATAAATATAGACCTTATTTGAACGAAATGGTGCGTGCCTTTTAAGCAGGTACACCAAGAGCAAATAATTATAAAACAGAAACCACACAGACACAGAAGACTAACAACTCCACCAACAATACTGCCAATTATAATACCAGTGTTGGTGATACCTAAATAAAGTACAGAGAATCATTATGTATGGCAGTAATGTAACAAGCTCATTTTCTGTTGTTAAAACTACAAGTAGCGCTCATCATTTGGATTCGCTGACCCTTTTCTGAAAGAATTATCCTAGTGCTGACCACATTCAAACACTTTGAAAGACAACTTAGTGTGACGAATTATGAGAGTGATTGCCTATGTCCTTCGACATGATGGTGTGTTATGTCATCTACACACTCATAATCGTCTCGTTTCTTTATTGAACACAACTTATATAGGGAACATCGCGCATAATATAACAAAGAGAGAGCAAGGTCAATATCTATGAACAGGTCGCATAGGTGAACTGTAGATATACACTGACCGTTACACTTAGGCGCTGCGATTGCTACCAGTCCTCAACTGAACCATGCCACTATGGCACACACTATAGAGTGAATAGAAGACAGAGATTGTTCTTTTTCAGGGATCGAACCGATTAGCCATTTGTCAGTGAGTAATTTTCGAGAACTAACTGTGTTGACTGAAAACCACATCCCTCAATGGCTAGTCGCTCGTCAACCTCCCTCTGGTCGGTCACTCACGACCAGCCATTCACCTTTTCATCTGTTGTTCTATTTTCACATTTCTCGCATGAAAATCTTACACATTAGCCTGTCTCTTTTCTCTGCTTTCAACAAAATAATGCCTTCTCCAATATTTTCATTGAGGAATATACATTTGCCAAATCCTTTTCAAAAATCGTTGAAGCCTGATAAGGCTATTCCAAGTGTACACTTTAAGATTAATCTGGAAATTAAACGCCAAGTCGTTCGTTGGTCTCCCTCCGGTCGGCCACTCACGGCTAGGTGTTCCCATGCGTATTCATTTTACTATTTTAACTTCATTCGGACGAAGACGCGTTCCGAAAAAGAGCACATTTCGGTAAATCAATTCATAATCAAAAACTAAGAAGCTTTACATAGCTATATGATTCTCTGGAAAAGGTTTCAATCTTCTCTCCACCACGAGGAACCTTAAATAGCTGCCACCTATGTTCGTGCAGAGCAATGATTAATTTCTGACCAAGGAGTCTTAAAACTCTATAAAAATCACAAAGTTTGTTCTTAAAAATATTATTCTGCAAATCGACGACTAGTCGCTTGTTTGCCTTCCTCCGGCTGGCCACTCGCGGCTAGCCGTTACATGTGCATTTTCACTCTTCTACTTAGTCTAGAACCACTTTTGAAACTAATTCATTCATTCTCCTCTATTCCTTCTTTAAAAGTCACCCTCTTTGTGCTACCGTGACTGTCGAAGACAACACCTGAAAAGCGAAACATTATTTTGAATGACTGCTATCAGATGATATTCGTATAGTATAGCTGTTTATAAAAGTGTGTGATCTCATTAATACGCTGATGACTATGGAGATCCAGCGATCGGATCTCAGTCAGCTGTTACATTTTGTTCTAGATATTGCCACTTAAAACATTATCGTCTAAAAAATTGATTCTTTGTCGCAAAAACCGCGTCAGAAGGTGTTCATGAAAAAACTAACACCGGATTCGAGATCCTCGACCTCGATTACCCTTCAGTCGACCCTTACTCGACAACGAAGAAAATTTTCATTGCTTAATTAGCTAATGAGCTAATTAGAATTTCGAGAAACTAACCTCAGATTCAAGTTCCCCGACCTCGATTACCCTACCGGTATTCATTTTCTAACGACGATCGATCAATTTCATCGATTTTAGAAATGCTGATTTCTGATTGGATAGGACAGACAGACAGACAAACTTTAAGGTTTTTAGCACAGCATTCAAACGCTGTATAACCCTTTCTTTCAGAAAAGGGAATAAATTTTATTTTTTAGATTGTAGAACTTCTCACGCTGCGTCTTTTGGTATATACCGATTTTTAATATAAAGTAATTATAAGAAATGCGAACATCATTCACAATGACTTTTTCGTGGCTTAAGTTTTACACAACACAAACATAATTCACATCGAAAATTTATTGCTATAGTATTAACTGAAGTAGAATCAAATAGCATAGAAAAATAGAGCTGCGTTTTCTCTATCTTTCTGTGGAATAAGAATTTTCTTTTGACTTTTTAATAAAGAAATAAAATAGAGGCGACATTACTTTTGGATACACCTAAGTACGTTGGGCCTGGCTGAACTGCTCGTTCCGGTCCGTGGCATTTACAATGAAAACTAACACTGGGGAAAATAGAGATTGTTTTTATATATTCTTGGGGTAAACCGACTCATTTTGTACGCAATGCAGTTACCTGTTTTTTGCCGAGTCAAGTTTGTTTACATAAATGAATAGGCTATACTGTTTCATAGATGTTTTGATACAATAAATATGAATGAATGTTTTTTTCCGAAGGTTTTTTCTCATGACGTCACGCCTTCAGCTGTCTTTTCTTTCCGTTCTGTGCACCATGTACAGAACAGAATAAACAAAGATATACATCTGGACATCACGGTATTGGCAGGTGCAAATAAACTTTACTGGGTAAAAACTATAGCCATCTTGACGGGGTATATAAGTCGGAGTTGTTTTGCTTCAAAGATAGGTAAAACAACTTTTACTTTCTATTCTTTGTAAAGTAGTTATGCACTAGTGTAAGGCAAAGATAACTTTCACGGAATTTGAGCCCACATTTTCTTCTAGCCCGACAGATATCTTAAGATACGTCGACCCGAAGAATAGTTCCAATGTTAGCTTAGGAGAGACTCAGAATTTATTCATTTTGGGATTCGTTTCTTTTGCTAAATCTAATAGGAGTTTTTTATTTCATACGAATTTATTCCCCGATTATCACGCCCCGTTGTCATTATTTTATATGTTAGAGGATATTCTCACAATGGCAACACGTCCGCAAACTGTTATCGAGTACCTCAGAGTAACAGAGAAGATGGACACAATCGATCGCACGAATCTTCAACAAATCCGATCTCAATATGCAACGGCCTTAACGGAAGACGATGATTTCGATAATGCATTATTGGTAGTGGCTAATCTTTTGAACGTTACTACAACTGCTGAAGACTTAAAGTATTTCAAGATAAGTGTTAATAGTGCTACGTTGGACGAAGCGTGTAAGGAGTTAGTGGATGAATTCGGAAAACAATTGGTTCCACGTCAAAGCGCAGTAAAAATCCAACAACGGACAACAACAGAGTCGCAACCGATTGTATCGTTATCTCGAATGAGCTGTCAAATTCTTGTTAAACAGAATCGAAAAGAAATCATCGATTTCATTGGTGACTTTTTACTGGACGAATTCGATAAGTATGGAACGAACGTTATTCGTAGAGATCTTCGGTCGACCAGTGTACTTTTTGCATTTATCCGACATCAACTGGAAGATCGTGTTATTACTACTGGCCCTGGCGATTTAGTGTACAAATTTCCATTGGTTCCTCATATTAACATGGAAGATAAGTTTGGTCCTTGGCATTTCGATCATCTTCACGATTTATTCGAGTTAAATCTTATTCCAGAAGATAATCATTTTCCTCGTCGATGGACATTAGCATCCAATACTACATTATTCTATACGATCGAAGCAACAAATGACGTATTGAGACCAAATGATGCAAGCCGAAATAATTATCAAACAAAACAGAATTTCTCTGTATGTGAATTGCTTGCAACTTTACATAAGATCAAACTATATTTTCATCATATCCTTGGTGACAAACTCACCGCTATCAATGATTTTACGCCAGCTATGCTAGACAATCGTTGCGTTGATGGAGTCTTCGATGAAATGCAGCAGGCTGGCTTTGCTGATGACGGACTCTTTGGTCAAATGAAAAACTTTTTTCTGCCACTAACAGTGACTAAGAAAGATCTCTTGATCAATGATAATCAGTTGAAATCTATTCGCCGCGAATATGAGAAAAGTCTGGATCGCGCAAATAAATCAAAAGAAAATTTACAGCAGCAGTATGAAAAAGCACATAGCGATTATTGGCACCATGTGGATAGGATAAAGGAATTGGAACAAGAAGTTCCCAACACGAAAGATACCAAAGAAATGATTCGAAATCAACAAAAACAGATGGCAACAAAAGTCAAAGAAATCGAAGATTTGGTAGAACAACTGAAACGACAAACAAATATACAAGCACAAACTGCAGACCTTCTGCGACCCGAGAATATTAACAATATGAAACAAATAAATCCGGATTTAATCAAAATGAATCGAGGTTTTATCATGTACGGACCACCAGGTGAGTTTCTTCTAACTATTGGATGTGAAATACTTCTTATGTATAATTGTAGGAACTGGTAAATCTCAGATAATGAGCAAATTATCCACTCATACCGGTATTACAATGGTGGCTTCTCAGCTTGCTGCCGGTGAACTTAATCGTCCACTCGTTGGTGAATCTGAACAAATTATTTTACATATATGTGAACGTGCTCGCCATATTCCTTACCTGATCTGTTGTATATCAATTGATGAAATCGATTCGTTAACATCAAAACGTCAAAATGATACGTCTGAAGGAAGCGCTGCCAGACTAGGTATTTTTCTTTCAATCATCGATGGAAATAAAAATATTCCAAACTTAATGATCTTCTGTGCAACGAATCGTATACATAGTATGGATGAAGCTTTCCTTCGGCGTATGCAAGGGAAATTTTTTGTTGGTCGTCCGTCTGCTGCAGCAAGAAGGAGTATTCTTGGTCGAATGTCCACGGTTCATTTGCCACCCAGTCTACTTGAATACTCAGTTATGGTAACAACGAATTTTTCCGGAGCAGCAATGCGAGATCTTGCCAGTTCAATGACGGTACATTGTGTTAATCCTGGTAATACTCAATCGAATTGCCAGCTTGATTATCCAACTGTGCTTCGATTCGCACACAAAGCTGCATACGAAAATCGGATCTTAATCGGAGGCGAAACCATACCTTCGCTTTTGCTGAAGGCAAAAGATAAAGAGCCATTATTGGCAGATAGGAAGTATCGTTTGGAGAATCTATCCAGCGGACCAAACTCCATCTGTACAGGAAAAATCCTGATTAACTTTCATCTAAGGCGCATCGATATTGAAAAAAGATCAGTAACCAATCCAAAAACACATGCCAGCGAAAAGACCGTTATAACAGAAGATCTTCTTCCAAATGAAACAGATACTCACGAACTGATTGAACGTTTAGCCTTCTACGGTATATTTCGTAATGTTCAACTTTCACAATTGATTGATTTAAATCTATTCGCATCGCAATCTGCTCATGATGAACGAAGCGGATTTGAAGTGTTAAAACAATTCTTCGATGAATCTTCTGCTTATCGACGTTCATTGATTGCTTATGATTTAGATTCATTGGTTGGGGTCAGTAAAAACGAAGGAGGCTCTGCAACAAATCGAACAACTAGCTCCGAAACAATAAATAAGAATATGTATACTTTTATCAAAGACAAATTTCGTTCTGCTTATGTTCAATCGACGGCTGATACAAAAGAAACTATCGAACAATGGTCAATCATGATTATACGCGACCAGTATCTTCTTCGTCAATTTTACGGCGACACACAATTCACACGTCCAGAAGCTGAGTTAAAACAAGAAGAAGAAGATGCAAAAAGTGCCAAACGACAGATGAAATGTGTTCAATGTAATGATTTCTACATCGAAGAAGACAATAGAATGGGTGCATGTGTGCATCATGATGGCTTTGTTTATAATGTGTATGATTCCGAACTTAAAGCATTATCACCACACGATGCTGTTGAAAAGTTAATAAAAGAAGATGTTGGAAGCACTCAAACATCCGCAAAACATCAATTTACACCAGAGCAAAAAGAAAAGATCGATCGTCAGAAACAACGTTTTCGATTTATTTGTTGCAATCAAATACTGTCAGCATTACGTATGGCGGGAGGATGTAAGAGGGGCACACACAATTCAAAAGTCACGAAACGTGAATGGTCTAATATCTGCATTAGCAATTCAGAATATAAAAGTCAATTGGCTAAACTAAAAAAAGGGCATTGAAGAATTAGTAGTCTTTCGAATACGCCGCGCTTTTAACCGCTTGCTAACACTTTTTCAAATATTTTAAACAAGAAAACACATTACTGCTTTGTTATTTCAGATAAAGTCTATTATCGACAAAATCTATGGCTGGACGTTACACCACGACTTCTTTACAAGCTGATGCAGATCTACAGGACGACGCATATGATCAAGAGGGGAATGATCATGAACCTTATATTAATACTCCCATCAATTTCACCGCACGAGCTGAAAGCAACATTGATCAATATGAGCGCCAGCTGGACGGTTTTCGAGAAAATGCAATATCATATTCAAATGAGATGGAAAAAACTCTTGGTGCTTACCAACGAGTAGCAAAGGAAGTGGAAGATTTGAAAAAAGAGCTGCAGATTCTGCGAACTGAGCTCGGTGGTTTGACTACTGAACATGATAAGCTGCAACACGCACTGACTCAACAAAACAAAACGACAAGAGACGAAAACGAACAGAGAAATGATCATGAACAACAAATGGCTATTTCGAATAATCAAAATCGTATACTCGAAGAGCAACAAAAGAAACAACGTGACATGGAGAAAAACTATGAAGCAGATGTCGCACAATGTGAGAAAGAGAAAAACAGGATTGATCTGGAAATTGAAGGATTACAAACAGAAAAAGAAGGTTTAAAAGATGAAATAGAACAAATAAAAGCGCAGATAAAACAAGTGGATGAACAATTGAAGAAGACGCAGCAAGATTTAGCTCAGCGTTCGGCAGAGTTACAACAGCAAGAAGCTATGATGCGTAAACTAGAAAGTGAACAGCAGCAAATCAATATGGAAATTCAACATCTGCAAAAACTGATCGACCGTATTCAAGAATTAATCGCGCAAGTATGTAGAGATTATCTTGTCGAAACGTGTTTTTTCTTGTTCTATCCATTTAGAATGAGAACCAGCAAGATAATTTGGAATCACGTATAGAACAGTTGAATCATGATAAACAAAATGCTGAAAATGAACTACAACATGCAAATGACGCAGCTCAGCAAGCACAACAGGCTATTCAAGCATTAGACACGGAGATGAAAACACTGCAATCTCAACTAGAACAACTCGTCCAAGAAAAAAATCAATTAGAACAACAATGTCGTGAAGCAATGAACAAAGTTGAGGAAGTGAAGTATGTAAACAATACTCAGTTTAAACGAAAAAAAAAACATGATGATTATTCAGGCAAGAGCTTGCGCAGATACAAGAAGAGGTGAACCATTTACAAGAACAGCTTCAGGCGATTAATCAACAGCTGAACGAAAAACAAGAAGAATTAGCTGCAGTTCAAACTGAAGAGAAAAACTTACAAGAATTATTGCAGAAAGAGAAGCAGACTCTGGAAGAAATAGATAAACGTGTCGATAGTTTTAAAAATGAATATAAACAGGCAGAGCATGTACTTAGCGCTACACAAGGGCGTTTGGAACAATCAAAGAAAGATCTTCATGAACAAGAACAATTAGAAGCCAAAATGCGTAAAACATATGACGATCAAACAACATTAGTCAACCAAGCACAAGCCAAAGCTGTTGAAGCCAATCGAAATGAATCAGAAGCCAAACAAGCCTTACACAACGCTACTCGTGAGCAAAAGGCAGCAGAAGTTGAACTTGGACACCTGCAATATCAGTTAAGTATTGACAATGCACTCCTTGTAGCAGCTATGAGAGAACGTGAAGCTGCACTGAATATGCCATTCGAAACACGCCAAGCAGCACTTTCGATAATAGATAACAAGATCAGTAGTCTTAGACGAACTGTGGCCGAACAAGCCAACAAAATACGTACAGCGGAGAGCAATTTACATCTCGCAAGTGATAAGTGTAACAAAGCCCGAGAATCATGTCAAACAGCTGAGCAGAATAAGAAAAATGCCGATCAGTTTCTAACTGATTCAAAAACAAAATTAACTGATTGCAAAACAAAGTTGGATCAGCAGACAACAGTCAAAGATGGAGCGAAGAGCGAAGTGGAAAAGCAAACTGTAGCAGTTGAGAAAGCCACGGAAAAGGTCAAACAAACTGAACATCAATTAAATCAAAATAAAGAGCAACAAACACAACAAAAGATAAAAGTAGATACCGTCGATCACCAAGTAAAGGAAAAAACAACTCAGGTCGTTCAATTGAAAGCAGCACACGACGAGTTGCAAACCAACCAGAAACATAGCCAGGGCATACTCACTCAAGCAAATGGCACTTTGGAACAAACGAAAGTTAAATATAATCAATCCACAAAAGATCTCAAAGAATTACAGGAGAAGGACACAGCGAAAAATAAACAAATTGGAGAAAATAAGACTTCGATTGAGCAAAAGCAAACCCAATTGGACAATGCACGCTCTGAGTCTTCTCACAAGGAGACTTTATCACGTGAAGCTAAAAGTAAGGTTAAGCTAATTGAACAAGAACTGAAGATGCAAGGACAATCCAAAGAGAAACTAGTTGAAGAAAGTCGAAGACAAAAACAAAACCTTTCTTCAGAGCGAAACAAAAGTGATAACCTCGCCAGTAGGAAAGACGCTGTTCAGGAAAAGCTCACGCAAACACAAAACGAAAGAGCAAGGATCGAGAACGAAGTTCATCGGCAAAGTCAAGAATTAGAAACTCAAAACCAATTATTGACGGAAAAAAATAAGGAGATGAATACAGTTTCTAAAAACGTGAAGGCCAAGGAGCGCGTGGAAAAACAACTTAACAAACAGTTGGAAAAGCAGACAGCTAGTTTGAAACAGATCCAGGCACAAAAGGCCGATTTAGAACAAAAACAGACCAGCCAACAGCAACCTGTTATCGACAGAAATCATCCAACGGTAACTATGCACATTTATTCAAGACATCGAGTAATTCTTATATTCTGAATAGGTTGATGGTATTGACATACAAAAAGTCAGAGATGCTCTTCAACAAATGTCCGACCAGTTCATTAGAATTCCTAGAGAAATCGATGCAAAAGAGCAAGATTGCGAACAACGCGAGGAGGTGTTAAACGAACTCAATACTCGTATGCAGAACTTGCAGGCTGCAAAACAGGAAAAAGATAAGGAGGAAAAGCGCGCTTGTAATCATTTTATAGCCGAGTGCAACAAAGAAGTTTATAAATTGCAACAAGCTCATCAAGCATTATATGAGACAAATTCAAATCAACAACAACAACAAAATCGAAACTATAATTTCGCGTAGAATTAACACTTCAAATCCATAATAAAATTTCTTAACATGTTTTTTTTATAAACTAATCATGATCTCCTTCTATTATACTTTCAGATATAAACTCGAAAACGATGTCTAATCAATCGAATAGTATCCACGACCTTATCCAACGAATTCAAAATGGTCACACTCCAACCGAAGATTGCATCAACCACCTTGCGCATGACTTACTAAATCAAGGATTAAGCTACGATTCATGTCGTGTCTTTGTAATTCTGCTGAATAGGAAAATACCGTTACCTAGTCTAGTGTATGACCGAATTTTCAATGTCATTATCAACAACCACAGTCAAAGAGCAAAAGAGGAGGCAATTCACTTCATTGATTCATTCGTCGAAGGTGGTGGACAAGCATCAAGTTTACTTTGGAATGCACTTTCAACAGCATTACTAGATCATCAATCAGAATCATTACGAACAAGTGCACTGAAAATTCTCCTTACTGCTATCAAAAGATCAAACGGTACCAACCTGAATCAATTATTCTGGATAAAAATGTTCACCGCATTAGATCAACGATCCACTGATGTACAACTCAACATATTAGAACTCTTTCTAGCACTTGTAAAGAAATCCAGCTATTCTATTGGCAAAGATATCATCAGTCGTATGGAGCTGTACTTGTCAAAAATATCCCAATCTGTTGAGAAATATTTTGATCAATGTAATAAAACAACGCTATGGTTCTTATATGTAGTATCCCAGAAACATAAAATAAGCAATCGTGTGTTGGAAATTTTCTCTGATTTCTCAATCGCGGACGGTTCTATTGTTGAGCAAAATGTTTTAAATAATAACGCACTGCTGGTGATTCGATTATTCGTTCAGAACAAGTCAACACATGAAAATGTACCAGAAAAAGTGATACTGAATCTCTCAACGTGTTTCAAGCGGGGCGCATTCGGAAATACACAATTACTAGAAAGCTGTCTTCAAACGTTATCTGCTTTAGCTGATAATGAATTGGCAATGGCACACCTGGATGGAAATCAGTTGAAATACTATCTAAAAGATCGACATTTAGAAGAAAAGCTACGAGCTAGTGTAATAATTCTCTTCGGAAACATCTGCAAAGGGCACTGTACATATGTTGATAATGAAATAATCGATGTTCTCATCCAAATGCAAGATGACAAAAAACTCTCCAAATCTTGCCTTTCCACGCTCAGCAATATTGCTCAGCGTCAACCGGATTATTTATCTAAATATCCTCTTCAAAAATTCGCAATGATTCTCAACCAAGATAAGAATAACAAGAATTTACGTCAAGACGCTTGTTTAATACTCGATTGTGCGATTCGAAAGCAATTGCATTTAACCAAACACGAGGTCGGTGCACTAGAACATGCACTCAACGATTCTGATCGTAAACTATCTCTCACCGCTCTCATTGCATTCCAACATTTATTCGAAAATTACCACAACAATACCGATCTAATCGGACAGTACGTGAACAAAGTTTGCAAATGCGCCATAGATTTAATATTGAAATCCAACGAAGAGTTTACTTTAAACGCATCGAAACTGTTGGAAATACTTCTTAAGTATAATTTGAAAGACAAATTCATCGATGCCGAAATCAATGTTCTGCATAGAGCACTACTAAAGAATTCGAATCAAGCAATTAATCGATCGATTTCAAGGTTATTAACTCAAATTCGCTCAAAACAACTGAATTTTCCATCGGATACACGTCGTTTGATTGAAATAGATCAATTAACAAATGAGTTCTTGCAGAAGAAACCGATTAACCGGACGGATTGCGACGAATTTGAAAAGAAATTAAATGCATATTTTCATGGAAACCTTCTTAGCAATAGACCTATCCCAAGTGCTCTATTCGACGCTATTGGGATAATATTAAAAACGAACTCATATGATTTCAAAACAACTTCCATACTGCTACAGTTCGCGGAAAGCAGAAGAAGACTTCCGAGAACTTTCATCGAAATACTCGTTGAACAGTTTTCTATAAGCAAACAAATGAATCGATTGGAACGTTTCGTTCACATTTTATATCTCACTTTTGTTACGAATAATCAGCCATTGACTGAAAAGTTCCCTGGACAATTTCGAGAAGTTTTTCTTCGAAATCAATTCTTCTCACAATATGCTCTGAAAATGCTCGATTTTCTAATAAAACGAAATCAAATTCGATTGGATAGTTCAATTTATGACAAATTAATCAACTTATTACAAACTTCAATGGATACTAATCTTCTTGAAACATTGGCTATTGCCTTAGAAAACTCTTCTGCAACCGCTCAACTTCCAGTACAGCCAATTTTGAAAATAATCGAAAATAATCTGCAAGTGAAATCGTCCAGTGCGGAAATTAAGTACTACTCTTGTTTAGCGATAGATTCGCTTCTTCAATATCGAATTACTCTTTCGGAGGCAACATTAAATCTGCTGAAAACTTACGCAAGAGGTGATGATACTCAATCAATGATTAATCAGTCTTCGAAGATGAGTTTACGAGAAATCTCACTGTCTATACTGGAAAAATACTTTCGGGTAAACGAGAAAGTTCTTCCCGACGACATTGAACACATGGTGAATCAAGAAGTTAGCGAAAAGGGACTTCTAGACCTAAACAATCCGGTGACTCAATTGGAAACAGCGAAGCAACTCTTGTCATCCATGGTTAAAAGCAGTAAAACGTCTTTATCGAAATCTCAAATCGAAATTTTAATAATATGTTTGACTTCTCCGAATTCATCACGTGAATTGAAATTGACTCTTCTGAAAATTTGTCAACTTACTCCATCGAATTTGAATTCTGCACTCATTCAATTGATTTTCAAGTTTATTAAAGATTCTCAGCTGGCCGAAGTTGTGATTGAAATCTATAAATCCTTGGTTGACATGAAGACTTTATTCCCCGACGAAATCTTGATTTCATTAATTCATTTCCTATCTGAAAGTTCCAATGAAGTTTTCAAAGAGTCAGTTATCGAAGGTTTGAAAAAAATTATCGCTTATCAAAAGAATATCTCTAAGGAATTACTCCATCAAATCGAATTAGAAATTCTTGTTAAAGATCCCGAAAAGAAAACTATCTTCCTTGAAAAATGTTATCAAGCGGTACGTAATCGTCAGAAACTATCTCGCAACATCATTCAATCGTTGGAAAGTCTTGCGAAAGATATGGAAGGGAAAGTCTTCGAGATCATCGACTTAGCCATACAAAATGGTCAAAGGTTCTCATTCACTTTTCTCCATTCGATTAGTCAGGAAATCTTCAAATCTTGTGAAGATAATGTCGATGAATCTCTTGAAATTATTCTTCGAGGTACACAGGATGGTAATCAATTGAGTTCAAAAATGATCGAGTCTTTGAAGAGAATTCTCAAAAATCCCAATCAACAACAACTTTTCACCATTCTGAAAATTCTAAGCAATGAAGTGAAGCACACCTTAGCACTCGATATAGATATCATTCGCAGTTTAGAAAACCTTCTTCAAGTTCATCCTCTATCAGTTTTACATATTCTCAAATATCTTCAGAGTTACCAGCCTTCACCGGAATTCATCACTAATCTCAATCGTTTGTCCCAAGAATACTTCAGCGATCAGCAAATCAACGCCATGTTTGAAGAAATTGCCAATCAGCCGTTGCAAGTTAACTTCCATTTCATGGAGATTCTATTCACTGTTGAATATATTGATGAGGATATTGATAAATATTCCGAGTTGTATTCATTTCGTCATTTATTATGCAATGATCTGATCATGCGCACGGATCCCCACAACCAATGCGTGATGGACCAGTCGGAATTCGAAGTCAATTTGAGTAATATAGAACGACTCTTCTCCTGGGAGAGTTGTTCGTTTGAACGCGATGATTTTCTAATGTTTTTAATTCGAGAATTTTCGACACTCTCTTTACGAACTATCAATAGTATCTTATTGTTACTGAAATCCGGTCCTGAGGCGTTGCGCGCTCTATTCAAGACTTCTTCTTTAAGAAACTTACAAATCCATTGGCTTAATTCCATCATTGATCGATCTTCGTATATTAAACTAAATGAAACAGTGAAATTGGATGGTGATCAAGCAGATAAAATCATTGATTTACTATTTGCGAAACTCGAATTCAGTGTTTCATTAAGTGAATCTTTTCTACAACGTATTTACGGCATTGAAGATTGGAATCAGCTGATCGAATTCTTAAATTTGATTTTTGAGAAAAAATTCTCCGAGAAAATCAATTTCAATGAGTATTTCACTCGTCATGATTCAGAAGAAATCATCGCGACGAATCTGTATTTCTGGATGATGGACATCAAATGTGATTTCATTCGAAACAGCATTGCCATTCTTTGTGAAGAACATCAAATTAACAAACCTACAACTCTAGAGAATCTTTCGTCAGTGATTCTTACAATCCTTCTTCGGAATTGGCCATTCGAAGTCTTTGAACGATTAATAGAACTTTTAAAATCAAGTCGAGATCAAACATTTGAACTCACTGTTGAGAATTGCATTGAAGCATTATTCGTGATCAATAATTTTGCACTAGTGAATGATCATGTCATAAAAATTGAATCCATATTCCAATCACAAAAAAGCAACGATTGGCCAGTACTCATACATCAATATGCTGTATCGGCCTTATTCAATCAGCAAGATTGTGAGAAAACTTTGAAAGAACTGCTCAGCGAAATCAAAAACGGTCAAGAATTGAGTCTTTCAACTGAAACTCTTGAACAGACGTATCGAGAAATAGTCTCAATCTATAATAATGATTCAAAAGTGCATCCAATCGGTAAAGCCATAAACAACTGGGACGAAACTGATGTCAAGAAATGGTCGATGACTTATAAAGCAAGTGCAGAAAAACCTACGAACGAAGCAATATGTGTCATTAAACGTGCAGTATTTCTACACAATTCAAAACAAAGTATCGAACCTCGAACTATTCAAATCCTCAGCTTATTACTATTGTTACACGAATCGGAAGGCAAGAACAAAAGAATCGCTCGTTTAGCACAAATTAAGACAGGTGAAGGGAAAAGCCTTATTATTGCCATGTTTGCTGCAATCAAGGCATTGCACGGACATCAAGTTGATATTATTACCACGTCACCATTATTAGCAGAACGTGATGCGAAGAGTAAGAAGACATTTTATAACATGTTGCACCTCACTGTTGGAGATAATAATGGTATTGCATCGCAAAAACCTTGTTATAAAGATGATGTTGTGTATGGAAGTGTGGAAAATTTTCAATTCGATGTATTACGAGATGAATACAGTTTACTCGAGACACGCTTTCAACGTCAATTCGACATTGCGATTGTTGATGAGGTTGATAGTATGTTTATCGATGGAAACTCCAGTTTTTGTTATTTAGCAAGTAAAACACTAGTGATCGATGAATTACAAATAATCTTCGTTCTTATCTGGCAAGAACTAAATCGCACATGCGAACGACTTGTTCGAATCGATGACAAATTGTATTGCATAACAGTACCATTTCGGAGAGATCACAATGGAGAAATTACTTTATTAAAGCCAGAACAAAGCACTGCAATAGATGTCGGTGGTCAAGATTCAGCAAAAGCGGAAGATTATTTTGAAGTTGAAGATGAATATACATTCATTGAAAATCACATTACGGATTATGTCGAAAATATGTTGTTAAAACCCAACAAAAAGAATGAATGTCTTATCTATATTCCCAAACACCTGATTTCATTTGTTTCTCAGCAAATTCGAAAATGGATTTACAGTGCGTGGCAAGCGAAATTTGTTCTTCAAGAAAATAGGCAATATTTAATATCCGAAGGAGACAATGGAAACAAATCGATTATACCAATCGACTATCAAAGTACAGGTATCATACAAACGAACAGTACATGGAGCGGCGGTTTACAGCAATTTTTAGACATCAAACATCAATTAAGGATTCATCCTGCAAATTTAACAACAAATTTCCTATCCAATGTGGCATTTTTTAGTAAATACAAACATTTATTTGGTTTAACTGGCACTCTGGGTGGACAAGAATCAAAAAACATCATTCAGCATATTTATAACGTTGATTTTGTTGTTATTCCACCGTATAAACATACGCAATTTGTTGCTTATCCAGATCAAGTGCGTTTTTCCGAAGATGCTTGGTTAAACGAGTGCGTTCGATCAGTGTATATCGAAAGTAAGATACAACAGCGGGCGGTACTAGTCATATGTGAAACAAGATTAGATGCAATGCAAATTCGCAAAACATTAATTGAGAAAGACAAACAATTAGAAAGAATGATAAAACTCTACACACGAAGTGATAATGATGAACGACGAGCCGTTGAGTATGTGTTAGATTGTGGAGAGATTATTATTGCAACAAACCTTGCTGGCCGAGGCACTGATATTGAAACAACGCATAATGTGGAAAGAAATGGCGGTTTGCATGTTTTACTAACATTTTTACCAATGAATACACGAGTGGAACAACAAGCATTCGGTCGAACTTCCAGACAAGGAAAACGCGGCACTGCACAATTAATTGTGCTATCATTGGTTCCAAATGAAACGAGTGATGGGCATGTCCAAGCACTGAAAAAGACTCGAGATGAAAAAGAACAATCACAAATAGAACGCACAAAGTCTATTGATTTGAAACGAATTCGACAACGTGATGCATTATTTCAAAAGTTTTGTAATTTCTTAAAAGAATTACGTGAAAAAGAAAATGATAAATGGAAATTAAGGTCAGTCGAAGAATTATGGGCGTTTTGGCTTGAAACAATTGAAGATCTCAATGATGACTCAATCCAAAAGAGCTTTGAAGAATTTCGCACGAGAATATCCAACGATTATTCATCCGATGCCATTTTTCACAATCCGTTTTATTTAATTTCGAAAGGACTTGCTTGTTTATCGAAAAAGAGATACGAAAAGGCAATAAATTGCCTCCGAACGGCTGTTAAACTGGATCTGGTGTATACTGTTGCCGCACGTTATAATTTAGCTTATGCATTAATGGTCAAATCCAAGAAAGAGGAAGCAAAAGTTGAACTTCGAGAAGCTTTGAGAATCATTGAAAATATTTTCTTACCTCAACAGGAAACCATGTTAGTGTCACTAAAAGTCCACCAAGATGCGACAAGCAATAGCGATGTTGAAAATCAAATTATGAATCGACTTAACCTTTTATTTTTAAGTAAAAACCACATTGAACAAGCGATCACTGTCCTTGAAGTGGCGGAAAGCAAGAAGCATAATATTCGTTTACGACGCAAAAGTTTAGAAGAATTCTTCAGTGAGATTGATCATTTGAAATTGGATATTGAGCAATTCAAAGAGAGTGGTTTCGTGGCATACTTTCAGTTGACTACAAGAGAACCGACACCATGGTTGAGTATCATTACAGTTGCTATGATTGGTCTTGCACAAGCAGCTGCTGGTGCTGCTCTAATCGTGTTCACAAGTGGCGCAGCTGCCAATATTGGTGTTATGTTGTTGAGCGAAGGAGCTGGTGATATGATACTTGCAATAAAGTCTGCAGTTACGGGTGAATTCAATTGGAAACAATATGGAATACACAAAGCGATCAGTGTTACAGTGACCGTTGCAACATGTGGAATGGCAGCTTTGAAAGAGACGGGTTTAGCAATCAGATCAGGAATGAAAGGCGCCTCTAATGTGATCCGAGCAGGAAAGATTGTTGGTCAACAATCAATCGGACAGTATAATAGAGAAGGTTTCAAACTTCTTGGCATGAAAATGGTTGAGACGTTTGCGAAACAAGGTACTAAAGAACTTCTGATAACTGCAGTCGATCAAACAGTTTTAGCTGCGCTCAATGAGAAAATTAACAAAGAATTCTCGGACGCGATTCGAGAAAAAATCAAGAATGAAGTATACGGCAACCAAACAATTGATCAATTGTGTGTGCTTGCTGATAATTCAGAGCAAGTGATTGAAGGTTTAGCCCGTCAAATTTTATATAATACTCGTGATGAATTTGTTGGTGTTGTCAAAGAGATTGCTGTAGGTATATTGGGCCAAGTAACCAAAGGCACTAGTACAATTGCTATACAAGTAATTACTGGCGGGAAATGTCTCTACGATTTGCTACAATGTTGCAACAAATTTGTGGTGAAACTTAGAAACGAATTAGAAAAATTAAAACATAGACTGACGATTGATAATTCACTGAAGACTAACTTAGAAGATATTAACAAAGAACAACTCAAGGAAATCATGGATTCTTTGAAAAAGAACGGTTATCTTTCAGAAGATAATAGTCAAGTTCTCAAACGACTTCAATCATCGATATTTCGATCGAAAAATAATCCAATTAATAATGATAGAATCATCAAAATCTGTAATGACGTATACGATCGCGCTATGAACAAACCCCAAATTGAACTTAAAAAAAACTTAATAACAAAGGTATTAACTGATGAAGTTGCTAATTACATGACAAGTCGTCTCAATGCTGAACTGATCAAGCCTGTCGCTCACATTGCCATAAACATAGCCGTTGACAAGTGGTCATCTGAAATGGAACGTATACTTGCTAGTAAGAAAGGAACATTAACAGAACGAATTGAAAATCGTCGAAATTTCAACAAAATTATTCAAGCTAGAGATGATGCTCAAAATCGATCAAATGAACCGATTGATCCATATATAGCAGAACTAGCTAATAGTGTTGAAAATGGTGCTTCCGGTGATATTATGGATATTATTGCGATAAGTGATAACCTTCAATGTCCAATAAAAGTTTTCCGTAATGGAACATTTGATCTGACGATTGGTGAAGAGTATCGTGGAAAACAATTAAGTGTGAATTTTCAGGAAGGTGAACGTGGAAACATTGGACATTACACTAATATGAATAGCGCCGTTCATACTACTTCGACAGGTCGCTACAATTGCTTATTTGATGTGCTTAGTGCACAAACGAATATGGACTCTAATGAATTGAGACAAATGAAACTTAACGAGGCTAAGAAGCACCCTGATAGATATCAGAAAATGTTACGTTCTCGAAATAGTTTTCGGCAAGATCAGAAGAACAATTTGATATACATAGGTGGCAAGGAAAATAAAATTTCGGAAACGGAACGTCTAGCAGGCAGGCTTGATATAATACTTCAAAGCATTGAAAATAGCAAGATCAAAGTTACGAATAAACAAATTTTAGAATTGATCAAACATGATATCACCACTGAAGACACTAAAAAGGGTATATACGGCAACAAGTATGCAAAAAAATTGTTTCACAGCTCCATAATACACCGCTTAGCTGAATTTGAAAAACAGAATTCCGACTTATTTTCCAAACAGTTGTCACGCGGCGAACCATCTTATGACATCGTTGCTCAGTTTTATTTGTTACAGAATAGTTGGAAAAGCGAAGTGACCCCTATGGACATGCCAGACTATCATTATTCTCAGCTAAATGTCAATGCGAAGTTCTCAAGTTGTAGTACGGATGCAGCTAAAGCTTATCTACCTGGTGGACTACGAGAAAAGATTGCAGATAAATGGATCAAGACAGAAGGAACGCAAGCTATCCAAGAAATGGGACCAGCTTCGTTCCCATTGCGATATTTTACTCATAAAGGGCGATTGGTGTCCATCGACAATAGAATGCTCTTAGCCCATCAGCTCAGTGGTTTCACTCCACATAGAATTGTTCCAAGTGTACCAATTGAATCAGAAAAAAATAGAGTGCACAACCCAGGCATACCCACTACCACACAGCCAAAATATGATAAAAACATAAACACAGAGCATTAGTTTCAAGTAAGTTTTTTTTTCAAGAAAATATCATTACTTGTCGGTGTAGACACTCGCGTCAAAAATTATCTTTTAAATAAAACTATTCACGATTATTGTTCCCCATCTATCCTTGTGTGACGAAAGCTGTGATGAACTTTTAAATATTTCCTTTGTTTGGAATAAAAAGTGATACAATGTTTCCGTCGTAAATTCCCGACAGAAAAAGTTTACCTATTAAAATATATAAAGAAAGTATAGCTAATGGTATGATGAAAAGGAAGCTATATATATTGATCATGTTTTGTCATGTGATTTGAGTATAAAATATCGGTGTGAAGCTAGCACCCTTGAGCTAACACCATCAAACTAAGCATTTTCTGAAAACGAATTCCGGTCGATAAAACCGAGTGTATTCGATGCAGAATTCAATTCTGAGTCCAATGGTGTCACTTTTATCCACCGGAAAACGTTCGGAGAAAAATTGTCTTTGATCTTTCTTTATCCTCGACACATGTATATGCATCATTTTTCGGCTGTCGGCACGCAATATCTCTGTCCAGAACGAATTCCGGTTCACGGAAAAGAGTTTATTCGACGCAGAATTTGATTCTGCATCGACTGGTGTCACTTTTATTCACCGGAAAACGTTCGGAAAAAAGTTTTTCGAATTAAAAAAATATTTGTATATACGTATATATGCGAAAAAATAAGAATCAAGGTAAGCTCCACACCGAACGTTTTCCGGTGAATAAAAATGTCACCATTGGACTCAGAATTAAATTCTGCATCGAATACACTCGGTTTTATCGGCCGGAATTCGTTTTCAGAAAATCCTTAGTTTGATGGTGCTAGCTTCACACCGATACCTAAATTATTAATATACAGGGTAAGGGTTGACCGAAGGGTAATCGGGGTCGAAGATCTCGAATCCGAGGTTAGTTTCTCGAAATTCTAATTAGCTCATTAGCTAATTAAGCAATGAAAATTTTCTTCGTTGTCGAGTAAGGGTCGACCGAAGGGTAATCGAGGTCGAGGATCTCGAATCCGGTGTTAGTTTTTTCATGAACACCTTCTGACGCGGTTTTTGCGACAAAGAATCAATTTTTTAGACGATAATGTTTTAAGTGGCAATATCTAGAACAAAATGTAACAGCTGACTGAGATCCGATCGCTGGATCTCCATAGTCATCAGCGTATTAATGNGTGTGACATAGTGGCATGGTTCAGTTGAGGACTGGTAGCAATCGCAGCGCCTAAGTTGTCTTTCAAAGTGTTTGAATGTGGTCAGCACTAGGATAATTCTTTCAGAAAAGGGTCAGCGAATGCAAAGGATGAGCGCTACTTGTTATCAGCAGAAATTAGATATTTTCACAAAAGCAACAATAGATATATCTATACCAAATGTTAAATAAAGCATTCGACATTTTCAAGAAATATCAATGCAGTTAGAAAGATTGTGGATGACTACATCAAAAAGCGAAGTCAAGAAAACACGATAGACAATATCTGATGCAATGAGAGAAAAGAATTAGTTATCGCAATAATTAAGATAAATGTAAAGAAAGAGATAAAGAAAATGAACACACATGAATAATTATTTTTAAGTAATTTCAAAGTATGTTACGTTTTATATGCTTGCAATAACACTAGACTCGTAGCAAAGTATCGATTTGCACATGTTCAAAAAATGAAAGAGGTACACTCTCGTTTTGTCGAGTTTATCTAGACGTTACAATTCAGCGTCTTGCGCAGAAGAAAGTTGAATTTGCAGGACCTTTATGTCGTAGCGTCGGAGGATAACTGTATCGTACCCTTTCTTCACTCTGCTAATCGGCTAGGATTTTGTTCACTATGAGTCCTTGCGCCTTGTGTGTAACTATAGCTATAGCAAAGGCAGGTACAATTAGTAGTTGCGTTCTTGTAACTTAAATAACTTGTGGAATTTTTCTCCCACTTTGCACTCGATCGCGTAGATACCCGAAGAGTTGCTTTACAGGAACAGTGAATTGCTTTTTGATGAATGGAATAGGAATTCGTCTAGGACGAAGATCGTCACGATTTGTTTCTACTTGTGATGTATTAATTTCCATGAGCGCATACAATGGTTTTCGTATGGAGATCGTATTTGAGGGAAATACTTCGCTTTTTATCTTGAAATCGCTCGAATCTTCCTGATCATCGTATATGAGCTCTCAAAACATTCCCTGTGTACCATTCGAAAGCCCTAGTTCACATGCACTCTTATCAGTGAGAAGTACAGGTATGTTGGATACGAAGGGTGAGAGACCCTGTAGACACTCGGTCTTGTTATCTGATAGATGGGTTACTTCAAAGCTCATGTATGAAGATTAACTATTAATTATTACGTCACCGGACATTGAAGAGAGTATTTTATTTCCCATACGTATACACTTAACTAAAGCCGGTATTATACGGTCAAATAGATTTCTTCTGAAAATCGTTATCCTTTGTTTGAAAAAAAAAATTTAATCCTAAAAAACGAACACTACATTCGAGTTCATCGATTCCCAAAACCTTTTGACCCAACTTTATTAAGAAATTTTTTTTGTAAAAAATGGGTACTTTGTCTGAAAAAAGTGATCGATGAGAAAATTTTTAAAAATCACATGAGATTCGAGTTCTCCGATCCCAAAAAACCCTTTGCTGAATTTTTAGCAAAAAACACTTTCTCGTAAAAAAGTGGTCTCTTGTCTAAAAATACTTTAAAAAAATCGAAAAAACTAACATCAGATTCGAAGTTTCCGCATCGAAGTACCTCTGAAAATATCTTTTCCTAAAAGTCGATTCTTGATGCTTTTTTACCCTGCGGACACACAAGCAAGCAGGCAATTAACATTGACTGAACTCTTCTCTATGAGAAAGAGAACAAAATTCTAAAAGCAAAATCTTATTAAAAAGAATAAAGTGAAGATTAAATGAAAAATTTATGATCATGTTGTGATTGCTGAAAAAAGAATTCTCTATTGAACGTCAAAATAGTGAATTTTTCAGTTAAATGGTGCAGATAAAAATAAATGGAGCAGATAAAAAAAGCAAATAATAAAAACGAACAGACTATTATAATGCTTTTTCCCTTTTCTGAAAGAAAGGGTTATACAGCGTTTAAAATGCTGTGCTAAAAAGCTTAAAGTTTGTCTGTCCTATCCAATCAGAAATCAGCATTTTTAAAGTCAATGAAATTGATCGATCGTTGTTAGAAAATGATTACGGGTAGAGTAATCGAGGTCGGGGAACTTGAATCTGAGGTTAGATTTAACTAATTATTAACTATTAATTAACTAGCTGTCAACTAGCCTTAAATTATTAATATGCAGGGTAAGGGTTGACCGAAGGGTAATCGGGGTCGAGGATCTCGAATCCGGTGTTAGTTTTTTCATGAACACTTTCTGACCCGTTTTTTGCGACAAAGGATCAATTTTTTAGACGATAATGTTTTAAGCGGTAATATGTAGAACAAAATCTTATAGCTGACTGGCGTCCGATTGCTGGATCCCTATAGTCATCAGCATATTATTGAGATCACACACTTGTATAGACAGCTATATTGTAGAAATATCACCTAGTGCAAGTCAATCAAAATAATGTTTACTTTGTCAAGTGTTGTTTTCGATAGCCGTAGTAAAACAAAGGCGATGACTTTTTAAGAAGGACTAAACGGGAATGGATTGATTAGTTTGAAAAGTGGTTCTAGATTAGATAAAAGAGCGAAAATGTACATGTAACGGCTAGTAGCGAGCAGCAAGCGACCGACCAGAGGAAGGCCGACTAGCGATCAGTCGTTGATTTGAAGTATAATATTTTAAAGAACAGATTTTCATATAAGTTTTAAGACTTCTTGGGCGTAGTACTTAATCGTTGATCTCCAAAATAATATCTGGCAGCTCTTTAAAGTTCCTCGTGGTGAAGAGAAGAATGAAATCTGTTCGTAGAGAATAAAATACCTATGTAAAGTTTGTAAGCTTTCGATTATGAATTGATTTTCTAAAATGACCTCATTTCTGGATAACAGCTTCGTTCAAATGAAGTTAAGATAGTAAAATGAGTACGCATGGGAAAGTTAGCCGTGAGTGGACGACCGACTAGGCGTTTATTTAAGAAGCTTAGAGAAGATAAAATAAGCGAAGGGTCTGGTTCACTTGACCGGCAATCCTGCGGCCGACACATTCTTTGGTCGACACCATTTGATCGACAGTCTGTTTGACCGACAACTCATTTACCCGACAGAGTCTTGAAGTCAAAACAATTGATTGAACAATCGTTAATACAAAGAATGAGCGCCCGGAGAAGGTGGATATTAGAGAGTCCGTCGAGCAGATGGATAAGTGAAGATCACGCAGCTACTGCCTATTACAAATCGAAACGTGGCCTTTTATAGGCGACGACATGCAGTAACAGATAGACAAAGAGATCCACATGATATTGCTCGCAACAATGAGATAAACCCTGGACAGTGAGAGAGAGATCCAGATGAGACACAAGATAATCACAGACAGGGAAAAGGTGAGACAATATGATCAGAAATAATCACTGAGCAATGAGACACGTGATGATAACTAAACGGAGAGAAAACGTTTGAGTTCATCACCCTCGCCCTCACACACCCTTATTTTCGAGAAAGTTGAATTCTTTTGACTTCAAGACTGTGTCGGCTAAATGATTTGTCGGTCAAACAGGCTGTCGACCAAAGAATGTGGCGGTCACATGATTGTCGCTCAATTGAATGCGCCCCTAAGCGCAAGTAAATCAATTTTTTATTTTGAATAGTCGGCAGAGAGTCGATGAATAAATGTTTACAATCATTGTTCGCTTTGCTTATATCTTTGAACAAATGAATTCAAAGTAATTTCTCATGAATAAAGTAGAAAAGGATTAAGAGGAAATAATATGCATAAATATGACTCCAACTCGAAATCGCTTAGATTGAAATCTAAGTGAGTTTTTATCTACTAATTTTAAAATTCTTTCAGAAAAGGGTCAGCGAATCCAACGGATGAGTGCTACTTGTTATTATGTTTATTCTTTAGAAAATCTATGTTGTACTGTTGAAAACCACCGTATGCCAGTTGGTATCATTAAATATTTGACTAACTGTAAGGTTATTTTTCAAATAACATTCCACAGTGGAGTTGGTATCTAAAGCATTCTTAGCTCTCGAAAAGCCGACGCATGTAATGTCCTTCAAACATGCTGTTTGACAAAACGTTAAATCACCGATATATGGATTTCCGGCGCAATCTGAACTTGAACCATAAATATAAAAATCCTGAATATACCATCTGTTGAACCAATCAGAGGGAAAACTTGGGTAATTCGCACGAGAACAATTGATGCACTCGCCAAAATTTATTGTATCGTACGCCCAATTTCGTGCAATGTAACGTGAAATTACCTCACGACATAATGTGATGTTACAATGTGGACCTGGTGTTGCTGTTGTCGAAGAGGTAGATGATGTGGATATGGATGTGGACGTGGATGATGTGGACATGGGTATGGATGATGACATTGTTGATGATATTGTTATAGAATCAGGTGACGACGGTGGATTTCCTACTTTTAATATTAAGAAAAGCAAATTTAATATATTAAAGGCATATTTAAGTGCAAATGATAAACTATAGGATTTTTCAGGAAACTCCCTGTATTTCATATTTGAGGTAGATTTCCGGAGATCGACCAAAAATATTTTCCCCAAAACTCATAACAGTCAAAGTAGTTATTCTAAACCCGATATATAAGGGTTGTATTTAAGTAATCAGTATTTTTTGCGAATAATCAGTTTGATTTGTTCATCCGTAGAAGTTTTATTTTTCAACAATAGAAGTTGAGTTTTGATCAGTATATTATTTTGCGTTGAAAAACTATTATAGATACTACTTACCTTAGAAATCTAAACCGATTTTTACCAAACGTTAGTGCCTCATAAACATCACTGCCAATTCACGGAAATATCCCCTACAGTTTAGGAATTATTTACCAACAAACCGATAGAAAGCGGCTCTAAATAAGGTTTCAGACATATTCTGATGCACACAAAAACTATGAGACAGCCTGAACCACACATTCACCCTCACCTCACACCCACACACTCAAGAATCTCAGGAATCATAGTAATATAATCCATACTAACCAAAAGGGAAACGTGTTCCATCAATAACAATTATTGTTATTGTATCAGTATTTCTTAACATATAATTTATTTCATTTGATGATATATTTTGGAATTATTCACAACTTGAATTTGTTTGATGAAATGTAATTGCTTGACATTCTCTTAGAAATAAACATTTCAATTGACAATCACGTATATCAAAGGAAATAAAAGTGAAATCTGATAAACAGTATGTATTTGAACATTGAAATTGATAATTATTAAATATTGACATTTGAAATGATCGAATATTTTGGGAATTGATTTGTAAAACAAAAAAAATAAAAGAAAAGAGTTTTAATGCAAACATATTCGTTTGAACATAAGAGGCAAAATATCTTTCAGAGAAAATAGCAGACAAAATATTTCTGGAAAGTACTATTTTCTTTCTCCGCCTCTCTCCTGTTTTCCCTAATTAAGTAATGGAAATATAGTTTTCAGTTTCATTTTGTTAAATGGTTATAATAATTTCTTTCATTGATTGGCTCCTTTTTTCATATAGGAAAAGCTGTAATATAACTAGTAACACTCGTCGAGGCAGACTCGCTATGCCCTCGACTGAACCACTGACTGGAAATAAAATAGTCTTATGTGCGTTTTATGCAAAAAAAAAGACAGAAGTATAACCTTTGAAAGGGTCCCCAGAGACTGATCTTCATTTGCCTCACAGTCTTCAAAAGAGTCAAAGGACTACTTGTGTTGCCTTTAATTATTCTATATTCCTGACTGACAATTACTCTTCACAGGAAGCAGAAGTTCGCTATAAATGACTATTATGGATTTGCACCTTTAAACATGTCCTCCTTCTCTAAAAGGAAGATAATTTCAGTAAGACCAAATGAGACTCTGTATATATTTCGCATTCGAACGTATTGGATTGTTGATACTTTGGTAACTGGCTAGATTACAAGGCGTAGCTCGTTGTTCGTCGGCGCCATTCACAACTCGCCGCTCCAAAGCTGTTCCTATCTGTCATATAATTACCCGTGTGCTACTAAAAAGTATCGAAAATTAATTAGCATTCCATCAGCATCTCACAGATAAAATTATCCGCGTCCGAACATTTGAGGCTATCTTCTTAATTAAAAGGCTTAAAGGCCAGACCTACAAAAACTTTCAATATATCGAAGGTCAGCATTTAAGATTGCTCTCCAGTATGTAACTTGTGAATGAATGTATTTTTGGATTACTGGCCTTTGGTATGCGATAGTCAACCGAGTGTGTTTTTACTTTTTCGTAATCAACTCTTCTATGTAGCCCTCCTCTCAGGCGCAGTTGAAATGTTTTCTTCATTTCTGTCACGTCCCTGCCCCTTCACCCCTCCTTCAGCCAACCTCGAGCCTCAGGTTCACTCCCAAACGATGTTTCATGAAGTTGTGAGCATTTTCGAAAAAAATGCTTTTTCGACCTTTGACCCCGACCATCATCTCCCCTCGACCAAGACCTAACCTCAACACCCCTCCAAAACCATGTTTTATGAAGTTTTGAGCCTTTTTCAAGAAAATGTTTTTTTTGCCTTTGACCTTTGACCCTGACACAAACAAACAGACAAACAAACTTTTTTTTCATATGACCCTCCTTTCAGTCGAGGGAATAAGAATATAAGAATATCAAAGAAAATTATTTTTCAATTCATTCACTCTATTAGAAAACTCGATGTTAACGACTAAAAGTCATAAAAATGGTCACAGTGCGATGGCAGTAGTGCATGAATGAATGTCAGTATCAGCGAAGAATTGAATACGAACTTGTTCCACTGTGAAATGCTCCAGAAATAATGGTGCCCGATCGACGATGGTGCCCGATCGACGATGTTGCCCAAATTGTTTCCTTGCAGGAGGATATGGTACTACTTGTAAATACCATAGTTGTCCCTATTGTCGGCATCAATTTTGTTTTATGTGCCTTGAGACTGAAGCTGATTGCAAGACAAAACATAAATCAGGTCCCTATCAAGCATGTACTGCTGTAAAAAAACAAGACTTTTCAATGTTTCCTCGACTTCATAGTTCTTAAGTGACGCTTTTTTGTTTGTTTTGCTTTTAATTCAGAAATGTCATTTTTGACTTTTGCTTCTAGATATGATTAACATTTGTTTTCACTATCTCGATCAACATTTTCTTGGTCAGTTGGATGAAATCTTCGATTTCCATGATTTTCACCAATTAGTCCTCCAGCATTTCAACAATCCATTCGACTATCGTTTTACTCTAGCCAACAAAGAACTTGATCTTTTCAGTCGACAATCATTTGCTCGTTATCAATCATTGTTGACGAATGGTATCTTTATACTTGTTCTCAAGCGAATGTCAGGAGGAGGTTTTCTCGAAATCTCAGTTTTGACCGATATCATTCTTCAGGATCTTGAAAGAGCCGTACAACAGATTCCAACCAATAACAATGAAGAACGTCCATGTCAAGTATGCCGTGAGAATACAAGCTGTATGAAATTGTGTTGCAATCGAATATGTAAAGTCTGTTTTGGTGATTATTTCGCGCATTCGACTTTCAAACTGAATTGTATGACCTGTCGTCGTCAAGTACCGTATGGTCAATTCTTCATCTCACCTGAATTCGTTCGTGCACTTGAATCATTGAATGAAATTTGCGGATTGATGAAATACATCGATTGCCAAATTTGCCATTGTGGATCACTGGTAGTCAATGAAACCCTATATGCTCAACAGACATGCGGCAACTGCACGCGTGAATTTTGGTTTTTCTGTAACAAGGATTGGACTGAAGGGAAAATTCCTCGAAAGAATGATCGATACACATGTCATGTCAGCTGTGATTATGAAACAAAACTATCTTACGAATTGATACCATTACAATATAATAAGAATGTACACGTGCCAAACCGTCGATTCTGTCCGTCTTGTTTTACACTCGGATCGTATGATGAAAAATGTAAATATCACACCTGTTCCACATGTCAACATTCGTTCTGTTTTATCTGTTTGGAAGAAGAAGACACGTGTAAAACGAAGTACAACTCAAATTATCAACATCAATGCACAGATGTAAAAAAACAGACATACGAAAATTTTCCGAGGATCGCCAAGTGTTAATAACGCGAATGCTTCTTTTACTCTACATTCAATGTCCATTTAATAAAGAGGAAGCCATTTATTGTCATTAGTCTTTATGATCACAGCGATTATCCTATCTCGTTCTCTATCTATTCAATTAATTTTGAATCCAAGCATTTTACATAAGAAAAACTTTGATTGTGAGATACTTGAAAGGATGTGTATACGTTATGAGGGAACAGTGTTTTCGTTTTACAAAGATTATATGACAAACACTCTTACGTTGTTCGACTATATCGAAAACAGTTCTTAAATCAGAGATGATCACTATCTGATGTAATTCTATTCATTGTAAAAAAAAAAGTGCATGACTAACTCTGTTGATTTTACATTGATAATATTTTCTTTTTCTTCTTCCACATATTTATTTTGCTCTCTGAGTCACATATAAAAACAGCGTTGACATGTTGAAAACACGGTCTAAACATTGCTATGGGAAGTATGTGGAGTCATGAAAAACATGATGCGTCGCTGTCAACAAGTATGGAAAAACGTGACATATCATTACCGAATCCGAGAGATTCTGGTAAATTGGCATTCGTTTTACTAAATGTTTTCACACCCGATGAATGCGCTGAATGGATTAAATTGACGGAAACTCGTGGTTACTCACCAGCGTTGGTGAATATCGGCACAGGAGAAGTCCTGATGACGGACTTTCGAAATAACGATCGATGCATCATTGACGATGAGAACATGGCTAAAATATTATTTGAACGTATTCAGTGTTTCCTGCCGGAAACTTGGAAGGAATATAAACTGGTTGGACTTAACGAACGACTTCGCTTTTTGCGATATGATCCAGGACAAAAATTTGAGGCACATATGGGTAAAATTTTATTTTTAAGTATTTCACTTCATGTTTTGCAATAGATGGTGTTTATCAACGTCCGGATGGATCTGGAGAACGCAGTTTCATCGTCAGTTCACTTGAGATTTCATTTCACTTCTGCTAACATATTTGTTTTTCTCTTTGTATTTAGACAGTTCAACTTTATTTGAATGAAGATTTTCAAGGCGGTGAAACTACATTTATCCATAGTCTCGAACCAAAGAAAAACGTTCGCTGCATTCCACGAACAGGAATGGTACTAATATTCCAACATGATTTAATACATGAAGGTTCAGCATTGACAAAAGGTCGAAAATATACACTACGAACTGATGTAATGTATCGGCCATAAACTCAAATCGACAGCGAGCGACATCTACAGTCTCTTTATCCTCAAAGAGGCTGATATACTTTATTTATTTTTTTCCTTTTACGCTTGACGTTTCTTCTCGATATTTTTCATTCTCTTCTCAAATGTGTCCATGACTTTCTTTTCTTTTTATACGTTCGTATCCTTGCTGTTGATGTGATTCGTTTTTATATAAACAAGATCTAGTTGAAACGTCACTCACGTGACGCAGTGCCACCGTCCGATCGGATAGGCAAAAGTCATGATGGAAGAATGAAGGAAAAAAATTTACACAGTGTCGATTTCAATGTTATTAGTCAATGGGAATGATTCATTGACATTTTCTCGTTTTAGACTACCGTCGTCATTCGTCTACTTTTAAACAAACTGTTGGCTTTATCGGATTCTCATTAAATCAAAATGAAATTTCGATTCAAAGAAGAAACTCCTGCTGGTATGTCATTTTCACTGTTGATTAGCTGGCCCATTGTTTAATATTCACTATTTAGAACAACGTAGACAAGAAGCAGAAAAGATTCGTACTAAATATCCCGAACGAATTCCAGTAAGAAAAGATTTCCTCACTTATTCACAAAGAACGAATGTCGATCGTTTAGGTTGTTGTCGAACGAGTACCAAAATCTCAAATACCTGAAATTGATAAGCGAAAATTTCTGGTACCGAATGACATCACCATTGCCCAATTCATGTGGATTATTCGTAAACGAATCCAATTAGCGCCTGAAAAAGCTATCTTTCTCTTTGTCAATAAAACAATTCCATTATCAAGGTATTTCCATTCTTTGCTCTACTTCTTTTTTTTATCGCAGACATTTGTCTCTGATTTAGTGCGACCATGGGAGAAATCTATGCTGAGAATAAAGATGAAGATAGCTTTCTATACATTGCCTATGGTGGCGAGAATACATTTGGTTAAAATGTTCCTCTCGACGATATTTCGAACTCGACTTGTATAAACTTACAGTTTTATTTAACCACGAGCATATCGCTTTCTTTTCCTTTTTCTTTTTTGTATACTCTGTCTTTTGTATGTCTATTGATTCTAAAATCTTTACTCATTTGTCGAATATGTGTCTATGCATGAAGAAAAACAAAACAACTATATAGAGGAAAAAACCAACTTTATAGATAAATTTTTTGTTCTTTGTATTTCTAGAAGGAAAGCTTTAAAAAAATAATGACTAGTAACAAAGATGGTTTGACTCCATTGATTGAGAAAATCTGTACGATTAGTACGATTGGATTGTTTTTAACTGGAGTGTAAGAGAAATAAAGCGTAATTTCATCAAATCTATTTCTGTATTGTTTTTCTCTGTCTAGGCAAATATGTAATCGAATTTACCGCATGCGCTCCACGGGTGATATTTCGGGCTTTCCATTTGTTGCCACTATGGTAAAGTAAGTTGAAAAATGTAGTTCCTTTTCTTTTTTATTTTTTACCTTCTGATATAAGTTGTACGCTCTGGTTGTTGTATGGCTACGTTGGAAACAATTCAACGATTGTAATTGTGAACTTCATAGGAGCAAGTTTAGAATTGATTTATGCATTATTTTATTTGCAATATACACCTGATCGAGTAGGTCAATTTGGAAATAAAAAAGTCGTTGATTGATTTTCCTTAGAATTCGTTTATGCGATTGATTGGGATGGCAGCGGCGTTTTTAGCAACAGTAGCATTTTACTTGTTGTACATTGTGTCGGATCGCGCGACAGCTTCTCTTCATGCTGGTGTAGTAGCATCGTTTGCTACTGTAATCATGTTTGGTTCACCATTGGCTTCTCTTGTGAGTAGAAAACTTTCGAAGAAATCCAATTTTTTAGGAAAATGGTGTTTTATAGAAAGAAGTTATACAAAAGCAGAGTACTGAATCACTTTCGTTACCATTGTGTTTTGCAAACTTAGTTGTCCCAGCTGAATGGGTTCTGTATGGTATTTTAATCAATGATAAATTCGTCCAAGTAAAATCTGAGAGAATCTTATCGAGAAAGTTTATCCCTATGATTCATTGTAGGTACCAAATTTTCTTGGTGCAATTTTGGGCCTTATTCAAGTATTTCTCTTTTATAAATATCCTCGTCAATCTGGTCTTGTACCAAAAGCAACAAATCTCGGCACAATTTAGGAGCAAAAGAGATCAACATAGACAGTCGAAATTCTTGCGATAATTCTTCATTTGAATCTCTCTTTGTGATATTATTTGGTTATTTTGTTTCGTCTGCATTCTGTTTTTGGTTCGTTGTACGCTTAATTCTCTCGCTAATTTATTTCAAAAGTAGGTTTGGGTTGTTTTCTTCTCTATCATCCGCTACATTATTCAATCGGAATTCAATAAATCTAATAATTTCATTAAAAAAGAAAAGTTCAGTTGGAGTGAACGAAAACGAATTTTGTCTCGGTGATGATTGACACGATGCCTCGCATCTGCTCGATGGAATATTTATGAAGACAGCTAGCTGTCAGGGGCCATCTGAGAGACATTATGACGAAAACAAGAACAAATATGTTGCATAAGTTGAATACTTTTTGTTGTTATAGATGTCTTCTGATCTGTCTGCTTTGTTCAATAATGCGAAGAAAGTCGCATTAGTTAGTGTTCCAGTGAAAGAAGAGGAGCCGGTAGAACAAGAAGAAGAAGAACAAGAGGAAGAAGTTATTGAGGGACCGAAGAAAAAGGCGAGGTAGTGGTGGTTGTTGTTGTGAAGTTATGGATGAAATTCTTAACATTTGTTTCTTTAGAATCGAACGGAAGTATGAAGATCCGTCCATTGCCAATGCACAAACAGTTTTTGTTGGAAATGTTCCAAGTGGATGTACACAAAAAGTACTTAAGTCTCCTTGATATTGCAATTGTGTATTTCAATATTTATTTCATTAGGAACTAAAAAGATTATTTTCAAAATACGGTACAATCGATTCTATTCGACTTCGAAATATTGTAAATTTTTTGTCAGAAACATAAATCTCGGTTTTTTTTTACTTTTTCGATCTTTTAGGTTCCGTTGAACCCCAAACGAGGTAACCGTTTGGCGTTTATCAAGTAAATTACCGATATTTTGCACTGACTGAATGAATGGTTCATAGCTGAACATTTCTAGGAAAGAATTTCATCCTTTACAAAAAACCATCACTGCTTTCGTTCGATTTGCTGATGAGTCTCAAGCAAAAAATGCTACTTCATTGTAAGTTTCCCTTTATTTGAAAAGTAAATAAAGACATAGACCTTCTTTAGGAATGGTGAACTGTATAAAGAACACCATCTACGTGTTGACATGGCACAAAATCAAAATGAAGGAGCTAAAGTACTTGAATAGACATAAGATCGATATTTCGAAATGAAAATTTGATAATTTATTTATAGCATGATAACAAGCGAAGTATATTTATCGGAAATCTACCATTTGACGCTAGTGACGATGATGTTTGGAAAGCATTTGAAGAGTGCGGTGAAATTGAAAGTAAGATCGATACGATTTCTTACATGAAAATCATACGATGTTTCTTTGAACAGGTGTCCGTCTTGTTCGTGATCGTGCCACTAGTGTTGGGAAAGGTTTTGGCTATGTTCTATTTCAAGTATATTAACAATCACAAGTTGAATTCTGTATCTATCCATCGATATACTGTCTAGGATGAAGCATCTGTTGCCTTAGCATTGAGAATGGATGGAAATTGTCAAGTTGGTAATCGACAGATACGAATCAAAGCTGCCGTGAAGAAACCTAAGGTACAGAGTATGATGAAATCGATTGAATTTAACGTGTTTCTTGTGCATTTAGCGAGTAAAACCTGTTATTCCCCCGAAGAAATATCGACGACAGAATAAAAAGTTCAACTCAGCGAATTCCAACCCTTCAGATGGTACAGATGGCGTACAACAAGGTCGAATTGAGAAACGACCAGCGGTCAAATTAAGAAAAGAAAAGCAAAAGAAGAAAAAGAAGCAACACGCTGTTAAAACAAATAATTCGCGAAAAGATGTTATCCAACTGAAGAAAAAAACTTGAGAATTTCAAAAATCAGTGTTGATAATCAATAAACGAATTTTGTTTTGTTGTTACCGAAAAACATACTCATTGACTTTCGAACATAATTTATCTTTCAAACAGCAAGATAACATCAAAGAACTGAATAACACTATAAATAGAAGATAATATAACTTTCACATACACTTTCTCTAATGGGTGCTCTGTGTAGTTGCGGTAAAGGCGACCCGAAACCAGCGCTGAAACATGTACAAATCAAACCATTTGTTGCGACCGAATCTAATGCAAATCAATCTTCAACAGTTATTCATTCTTCTGAAGAAATTCTCTCTGATACACTTCAAACTAAAATCACCCACGATATTGATGAATACGTATCCACTATACCTTCTGCGTATCAAGTGAGTTACTTCGATGTTCAATCTTTATTTACGAATTTCCTCATGCTAGAATGAGCGTGAACGTATTGTTAATGAAATGAATCGTGCCGTACCTGCGTCGTATCTCGGTTTGACCTATTCGGACTATCCAGATATAAATGGCGCAAAGGTAAATGAGATGGCACGAAGATTAGTCACATCGAATGAAGCGAAACAACAATTGATCGACCGAATTGATAAACAAATTGATCCAATATTTATATCGCAAACATCGACTTGGACTTCATTATCTCGTGAAACGGCTCGACCAGTCATAAGATCATTCATCGAGAAAAATGTCAATGAAAAATTCAATAGTCTTCGATTAGAATAAACTTTTTTTTCTCGCAGAATAAATACGAATAGATAGAGAAAATCGGCGACTGTTTGTTTACGTCGTTCCTCTTCGATTTCAGTAGTTATTGCTAACATGGACAATAAGTAAAACTCTCTCAGCCATTCTGGTCGGAAAACCATGAATTTTTTTAACATTTCGACGCTGATCAGCAATAACTATCGAATCGCCAAGAAGAAGTCTTTGCTGTACTTGAGTGATACTCCACATTCATCTATCGATAGAGTGTAATGTTTAGTAAAATTGCGTAGTTTGTTCATAGTTGGAGTTTTTACCATGAAAACACCGTCAAGCGTCATTGTTGTTCTTTCTCATTGCGTAACACACTATAGATTTGATGAATTGTGACAAAAACATTATTTAAACCATTGACATTATGCTTGAATCATCCTTTACTTTCACCTGGAGGAAACAATAGGTGATATATCATTACGTGACACTCTCATTGCTGAAAATCAATCCGAAATATATCGTTTGTTCGTTGATGATCGATTCAGAATTCGAAATTCAGTTTGTAAGAGAGAAGACATACTGAGTTTTATTTGACCAAGTTAAACTTGTATATAGAACACCGAATATATTTTAGTTAATGTTTTCAGATGAAATACAACATAAGTACGAAACAAACAGAAAGAACAAAAGAGACAGACATATGAACTATACAAAAAGACATGTTGAGGATGTTTATGGACATTTTCTATCGATGATAAATTTTCCACTTTCATCATATTCTTGTTTGGATATCCACATTTGATGAAATGAACCCAATGAAGCAAGAATAGAACCGCCAATCCATGAGCTAAATCGTCGTTCGCTAAGCGAAGGTGGAATATGAACTTTTATTCGCATTGCTTGGGGTAAAATTTGTGATAGTTCACGATGAAGACGTTCGACAAGGCCAAGAAAATACGAATTACCACCGACGATACTTATATTGGAATAAAGTGACGATCGAACATCGGGATCGCACATTGTAACTGAGTTTGTTACTAGACGTGGAAGATCAAGCATTGAAGTTAATTGTACATTGCCACCTTTGACGATTGATGGGTTAAATAAACTTTCACTAAGAAAAAATTTTATCATAGTTTTCTTCGGAAACACAAAGTAATATTTACTTACGGAATACGATAACGTTCTTCACCGAAATCGAGATTTAATCCATTAGGAAATTCGTATGCAACGCGTGGTAATTGACTAATTTCGTTTTCGTTATACGGTGTATCAGATATTTGTAAAACAGTTTGTGCTAAATCTTGTAAAACTTCTTTCGTCATAAACTTCTTATACGAATCACTAATATTCTCTGGTAAATTCGTTTTCATCGTCCACTTCGGCTGCTCATATGGTTGAACGGGTTCACGTGATTTAATCAAATAATGTGGAACTATCTCATGATGTTGATTGTCTAGTAATTGCTTCAATTGTGATAGAATGAAATCACCGCCAAGTGGTGATTGAACAATGGCTTTTTGTAAAACCATTCCTTCATGAACAGGTACAGCTGTTGTGTGCGTTGCGCCACAATCGAGTATTAATGCTGTTGCTTTACCTTGAGCGAATGACGAAAGAACCGCATTCTTTGCTAGATAAAATGCTGGAATTTGAAATTTCTCAAACATGATTTCGCATAACTTTTCACGTTTAAAACGCTGATTGATCGGTGGTTCAGACATGACGATCGGATGATACTGTGGACCTTGTTCTTTGTCACAAAGGCAATCGAATGTATGTGACATGATTTGTTCGAATAAGTCCCAATCGTCAATCATTCCATCTTTTAAAAATGTTTGCATATACAGATTCGAACGTGGAACACGAAGTGAATTCAAATCAAAGAAATATTTCTTCTTCGGCATAGTTATCATTTGTGTGTCATCAACGTTCATGGCGTTTTCATCGTTGGGTATCTCTAAGATTCCAACGTGACTTGGAAAATCATATTTGGGCGTTTCTTCACCGGCATAACCAGCGCGAACTGTATGAGAACCAATATCAATGACTAGAGCACCAACTTCATCGCTACCTAGAATTTAAAAGATAAGATTGTCATTCTTTCATTAAAAAGATCACGTACCATACGTTCCGCTGCTCATTGTTTTCTAATGACGAAGATATTTCAGTATCTACAAATTAACAATACGTGAGAATAAAAGAATTTTCATGCAGATTTATACAGAATATAATTATGGAATGCAGAAATGAAGATTAAAAAGAAGAAAAACAATTTTTAAAAAACTAAATCATCTGTGATTGGTCGGAGTCGACAACTTGGCAGCTGCTTGTTCCCAGGCATTGATTGATTGAGTATAAAAATCCACTTTTTTGTTAGCCATCGAATGAAACAGATCCATTAATTCTTTGTCTTTTCCTTCTGTCCATCGTTGTACGTCAGCTTTAATTGTTTCATTCGCAATCGTTAATTGATCGAACATCTCTTCGTTGTTACTCGCAGTAACATTATCAGCGAATTGTGCACGACGTTTTAGAACATCCTGCACAACGCCAGTGAATAGAACATATTCATTGATCGGTTCAATATATTTCGTATTTGTCGTGCGAAGTAAATCATCTTGATTGTCCACTATTTTCTGTTCCGCATTGCATATTGTGTCAACTAGTGAGTCGTTTTCATCATATTTCCGTTCGGTATCCAGCCATTGTTTGAATGTGGAGAGTAAATGCTCTTCTTCAGTGTGTATGGCTATTTGATCGGATTCGATTTTTCGTGAAAGACGTTCGAGTTTACGAAGATTGTCTTGTAACATTTGAATTTGGTTATCTGTTCGAGAAAATTCACTCGGAATGGGTTTTCCACGACCAATGGGTTGACGAAATGGATTCGAAGTTGATGAAGTCATTTGAGGAGTTAAGGGCGACGTTGGATTCGGTTGTTGCTGAGCAGAATGAAGCGCCTCATCGTCAGCAGTCAAAAATAATTGTACAGACGGATCAATTGAAATAACGGGATTATTTATAATTCGTCGAAGGAAATTCTGTAGACCTAAACATTGGCGAAAATGAAAAACAAGTTTACTTTTCTTTTTTATTAATCTTACCGTTCATACGTCGTCGAATAAATTCTCCATCGTCAGCGATAACATGCAGTTTCTTTGATAGCGTATGTTTGATTGGCAAAGGTGAAATAATATTAAATGGATATTTAACATCGAGAAGATTTTTTAACCAGACAAAATCATTATAACGTCGTCGTACGTTAGTTTCATTGATTTGAACTCCATCATTGTATGTTTGCATGGTGACTAAATATGTTATAAATGAATCGAGATTGGACTTATGCTTTTTTGGATCTCCAACATAGATTTTAGTTTGCTCCTCATTGACTTCGACTTCCTCTCGACGTTCGTTTGTGGACGGCAGAATCCAGTCATTGTGACTATGACTAATTGATAACGAAGACGTTTTTTCAAGACAATCAGGATCGGCAACATTCGGTGTTGTTTGACCGTTTTCATGCGCATTCGAAATGCCTTGTTCATCTTCACGCAAAGCTCGACTTAATGGATCATCCATGCCGAAATGCAAATAGATAAATTCACTTGAAATGAGAAGAGTAGATCGAAGAAGAAAGAACAGATGAATCATTGTTCAAAGAATTCTAATTGACCTGTCTCTTTTAAAGAAGAAAGATGTCGCTCTAGTTTGAATAAACTTGCCGTGTTTTCTCTACTACAAATATAGAAGAACTGAGCGCCTGACACCGTTCGCCTTTCTTCACCTTCCGCCTGATTTTATTTGTTCAATGCGATTATTAATGTACTTCGAGTGTACTCAGTGTGTTATAAAAATGCACCGCTTTCAACGTGCGAACATTCATCGTTAATTGTTGATGTAGTCTCGTCAGGTTACTTAGCGATTCGATTGCAAACACGACTTTCTCTCGGAAATGTTAACACGTATTCTGAGATATCTATCTTCAATCAAGTGTAAAAACTTACAAAGAATCATTTTTAATCATAATAGTTTTGCAATTTAAGATTGACACTTATCTTGAGATTAATCTCGGATTAGAAAATGATCTTTTTTTGTTTGCGACTCAAGGTGAAGATCTCATCCTGTTAATGCGCAAGATATAAATAGGAAAACGTGAAATGCTGTTATGTTGTTCTTTCCTAGCAAATATTTATCCAGAAACAAATTACGTGATGGATCCGTATGATTGTATGGATAAATGAAATAAAGAACTACTCATTTCTACACAGGAAATAACTGAGAAAAAACGCATTTAAGCGCGATAATTTGATCTACGAATAACTTCCTGATGTTCCCTTTTTTTTCCTAATAATGTTGTAATTAGAAAGATAGGCTTGGATAAAACAATCAAAATATCTTTCACGTTTATTTTTCAAAATCATTCCGTCATAATTTCATTCAAATATCGTCCGAATAACAAAGGATTGCCTTTTTCATATTGCTCAAATCGATGGTTGACGAATTTCTTCAACGTTTCTGCTAATGTCGCACAGGTGCAAAAATACAGATAACCTTGCTTTTCCATTACATGCGCGATCTCAAGTTGATGGTTGTTCATCAGTTGTTCATTGATCACCACTAACAACGGTTTGTTTGCTTCAAGTGTTTGCAAAATCGTTCCTGCACCAGCATGACTGATGACGAGATCCGCTTGTTGAATATCATTCTCAATCGAGTCTTTATACTGGTAAAACTGAATCGGAATGGGAGTAGTTTCATGCGATGGCATTGGAGAACTTCCTATTTGTAAAATTAACTTCTCAATATGTAAATCATCGACAAGTGTGTGCAGAACATTTGCGTCTTTGACAATCGTCTCGATTAGGAGATCAAATTTAGTCGTTCCTACAGTAACAAAAACACTCTTGCCCATGTTAATCTAAAAAATAAGTGTATACATGAGAACAAAAAGTGAACTTGTCACATTGCGTAAACAAAGAGAAATGAGAAGAGATGAAATGAACAAAACAAACTATACATGACAAGTCATTTGCTGGACGGAGTTGAGCAGTGATGATTTTGTCAAAAGATGACACATTTTATAATAAAATACAATTACAAAAACATTTGTCATGTGAATGTCTATCTAGTGCAACTTTAGCAGCGTATTCAAACACTTCGCGTACACCTTCACGCGTCTTGGCTGAACATTCGAGATAATTACGTGCGCCAATACGTTTAGCACAGAGGAGAGCATCTTCGGTGGTGATCACTTTTTGATTTTGAGATTTAATTCGTTCGTGCACAGCTGGATCATCGCGTAGATCACGTTTATTGGCAATGAGAAGTATCGGAACATTATGACAATAATGTTTCACTTCCGGCGCCCATTTGTCCAACACACATGTTAAACTATCAGGTAAATCGAATGCAAAACAGATGAGAACAACTTGAGTATTGGGATATCCAAGTACCCGGAGTCTAAAAAAGCATGAAATCAATTAGAACAAAGGTTTCTATTCGACACAAGCAAGTGTTATTTGTAGAAACTAATGAAAACGATCTCGGAGATTATTTTCGAACTAAGGGCATATCTTTTTTGAAAAGAAATGAAGTGTTCATTTTCTTTTGTTCGAACTAATTCCTAGAAAAAGACCGTTTTGCGCATCCGAGCGTCGAAAGATAATATATTTATATATTCACAAAGGAATTTAATGGATTAAAATAAAGATTTGTTATTTTGACTGTAAATTTTGTATTTCGGTCGTCTTTTTTAATAAAAAACAACAAGATTGCTGCAAGGCAAAGATATTCTTAGTCAGAACTGAAATTTATTGATAATAAACTACTATTCATAGTTAATAATCCGCACATGTTAAACTTCTCCCCGTGAGATATGAACAAAACATGATATCGAGAAATTTAATAAAGATGCTTCGTCATAATTACCTGGCGTATTCTTCTTGGCCAGCTGTATCGATTAATAATAGTTCAATGCGTTTATTATCAACATCAATAATATGAGTATTTCCTTCGAATAATGTTGGAACATAATCTTGACAAAATCGATTATCTTTAAATGCATAAAGTAATGATGTTTTACCGACATTTCCATTGCCAACAACGACTAATTTTTTGCGAACTAAATCAACATCAGAAGTCATTTGGATTTAATGTTATTGTTGGTTTTTTTTCTTCGTCGTTTTTTTTTCTTAATTCATTATTATGTTCGTCTTCTTGCAGGCAACCTTCGAAGAGCAACAGAACAAGAAAAAATCCAGTAGAAATAAATAAGCTTCTCTCTTCTCTCCTTCTCGCTCTTTTTTCTCCTTTCCCCTCTCTCTCTCTCTCTTCCCTACTTTTCGACTATTAAGGAAGAGCGAAATCCATTTCCTCCAAAATAAACTAAAGGGAAAACGTTCTGAAGAAGAAGATGATGATGATGATTGATCTTCATTATACTTAAACAAGCAATCAACGTGGAGAGAGAGAATACTTAATACAAATAATCAAAACAATTTTCAAATCACTTCGCCTATTAGCAACGAGAAATCGAGAAAAAAATATTGACACATGAAGACTACTAGAATGTCAAAGGTAAACGAAAAAGAAAGCAAGAGGTAATATATAGTTATACAAAGATGAATGAGAAGAAAAACACACACGAGAGTGTGTCAACGATGGCAGATGTGAGTATGAGACTAAGAAATGTAAGCATCACAACGACATTCGAGTTGTTGTTGCTTCCATATATCCATAATTATCATTCGATAGGCTCATTAACACTCAGCAAAGTAAGACAAGAAAAAAAAACCGATGTCAAAATCACAACGAGAGATGAAGAAGAGACAGTAATGTCAAGTCTATTAAGCATGAATAGATAAGATATATGTTTCATCAATATTATCAAATAAGGCATACAGAAAAACATGCTTATATGAAAATAGACGAGGTAACTGATATTTCTTTTTCTTTCACTCGGTTACTTAATCCAACCACTCGATACATCACATCCGCGAAGTTTCTATTCTCTGTTCATAATCTTCGTTTTCCCCTCGTCCATGTGTTCGAGCTCAAACTGAGGAAACAAGATTGATATGGATCATTGTTAGAGCACAAATGATGAAGACTTGCAGCTGAAAGTCATCTCGCCTAGTTGTCGATTGTACGGACGTTTTTCTTATGTAATTAATTGAATTAAAAGCAAGAAAACACTTCAAACCACACTTTGCCGGTTTGATTCTCGATTAAATAATTGTCCTTTCCTAGATTTCTCTTTTCTCTTCATTCTCATATTCACATGCGCACAAGGTTGTCATTTATTTAGGGATTAAGTAAATTTTATAAGATTTTTCTTCTCACACAATCCTAGCCTTACAGTCTGGATTGATTCTCATCACTATTGCTCACTTGAGATATGTTGTATTTCAATACTTACTGCCTTTTTTGTCTATGAAATACTATCACAACTAACGGCAACTAACGAACAATAATAACGACAAGAATAAGAGTAAAAACGGATGAGGAGAGCGCGAATGAAAGGGAGAGAGAGTAATGTTCGGCAGCTATGCTTGATTCCGTATACTATTGTGCACACCACGACTATTTTCTTCCCGTTTTCTTTCTTTTTTTTTTGTTCTCATCGTCGTTCGAGTTTGAGTTTTTCTTTCTTCTCGTGTGTCGTCCAACACATTGATCTTGTTCGTTGTAGAACTTTTACCTGTCTGTATCATAATTAACACTTCATATTGAGAACTGTCAAAAACAGCGAAGTATTTCCGTTTTGACAATGAAAATTTTAAATATATATGATTTCCTTTGAAAAGAAAGATGAGCACATGCTTCTATCATTTCTGCTTACCTTTTCTTTCCAAGGAAATTCTTTGAGAAAAAAAAAGTTCATCTCTTCTTTCCTTTATTATTCCAATAAACTGAAAAGAGGATGGAGAATAAACGAGACAAGATCTAAAAAAAGGAGAAGAGAAAGTGAAATGAAGCATTTCCTATTGTGTCTTTTGATATTGATGAAATATAAGAAAAAATATAATCATAATGAAACTTAAGATAATAATATAAAAAAAAAGAAAAAGAAGTATATAGAATGAATAATAAATAATTGGATGACAATAATCTGATGTTTGTTTGTTTAATTCAACTGTAGATGAGATCTTCAGTAAATTGAAAGTTAACAGAACTAATCCGCACAAGCAAATCAACAGAAAGATGATTTCCAACAATACCAAGATCATTGGTGTTCCTTCGCTTAAGTGATACGTTAATTTCGATGTTAGTTTTATCGCACATTCCCATACGATGACGATACCAATTAGCAAAACAGCTGCAATTAATGATGTGATGCCACAAACGATCATGTGTAATGGCAAATACACCGATTTTGAACATGAATGAAGAAAGAGACTCCCGATCGTGATCATATAAATTGGAATTGAGATCATGAGAAAACTGGAGGAGATTAATTGTCGTCGATTGTACCATTGAATAAACAAATGAATGATCTGATCGATGAGAATCTCCGCCGGATTTGGCAAACGTTCTTTGAACGTCTCGACTAACGATTTTCGCTGCTCAGGACTGTTTTCAGACATAATACGAAACGAAAAAACGAAAGTCAATTACTCGGGAAACAAGATCAATTCCTTTCAAGTATTTTTCTTGTTGTTATCATTAATCACTCATATGTCAATCATTATTCTATTAGATAAATATCCTGATAGTAATCAGATCATTTTGAAATATCCTCGAGTGAAAGAGAAAGGATCTTTATCAAGGCATGAGTTCGTTGAAAAACAAAAATTTAATGCGAAGGAAAAGATTCTTTATTAAGACATAAAGACTATTATCTTAAGGACGGCATGTTCTAATGTTAAGTATCTTTCAATCCTGTCCAATCGCATTCAAACTTGTGCGCGTCTGTTTTTCTTATAAATATTAATCAATCGATTCTCATTTACAATGCAGACTTGTTTTTCTCAAAATAAAACAAAAAAGTTTTGTTTAACCAAATGACTAATGTCTATATATATATTCTGTTTCTCGGATGTATTTCTAAAAAAGAGTTGATACAAATATGTTTCAGAATAAAAGGAAGAAATGAACGTATTGATGCATACAATGAAATACACAAAAACAGTAAAGAAGCGTGATCAGTTTCGAATTTCTATGTGCAAATAGATAGATTTCCAAGGAAAATAACTGTAGTCGAATGTATACACACATATATAGGGGTAAATATGTATATATCTGAAGAGAGAAATACTTCGAAAAAAAATAAGAAAACGTCGAAATTCATTCATGGTTTGTCTAGTTGAACCATGAGTAAACGAAAGCTAATCGATGATGATGATAACATTCGATTACATTCTTGAGATGTAATGGGCAGTTTTAAATATTCAGTTTCCGTATTGTTTGGATTGAATTCGAAATGATAGATAATCGGTTGAACTTGCGATGTCGATGGGTCGCCGTGTGGACCTTTGAGAAGGAAAAATTTCAAATCAATTGTTTGGCTTATTTTCGATTTTAACACCAATTGATAACTTAATGACCGGTTGACCGTTGTATGAGGATGAGGATTATTATCGTTGATGCGTGCACGGACTTGCCACTGATATTGCAAGGCAGTAAAACGAGATGTTTCAAAATAAAGTTTAGCAACAAAATCATCCGTTCGAAACGGCTTGAGAATCAAATCTAAATAGTCGGACACACTCAATCATTCGTTTTCATCGAAATCATCCTACATGAGAGAGTTTCTACAAGTCATCAACGTTAAAATTTGTTATTTCTACAAGATTAGCAGAGCACTACATTGATTATATCGATACGAACCTCAAGTCCTGATGAGGATTTGACGGACAACTCAAAGTCTTATATCTCAAGAGACGATGTGTTTTGTTTCGCAAATCATTTGCTCGTTTAGATAACTTACCGCTAACTCCAATTTGATTCAATGATAATAAATCCACAACCGTTTCAAGACACTTTTTCTCCTCATCATACGCCCGTTTTTGTGCTTGAATTGTTTCGATTAGTTCTAAGCCAGTTTTCGATGGGTATTCACATACCGTTAAATGTGATGATAATGTGTGAAATGGTCCGTTCCAATTGCAACCAAGTAATGAATAGTCACATACGACTGGTCTGGAAGAAGAAATAAAAAAATACAAAAATATGTTTTGATGAAATTAACGAAACCTACCGTTCAGCACAGTTCTGAATTCGATGAGCTTTGATCTCGGAACGTAAATAAGTTTGTAAACAATAATCGCACTGAATCGGTAGTTCGGAGATCGTTTTTTCGACAGCTAAATTTCGGGTACAATTAGATTTTGAAATTTCACAACGACAATTCGGACTAAAGCGAAACGAAGATTTATTTTGAATATTTTGAGAAATAGAAGTAGATCTACCATGTTGTCTGTTCGTCTTTCAATTTGCAATCTGCTAATAGATGATTAAAACATGAAGCACACATTAGATGTCCATTGACGCACTGAGACAGAAGAGATCATTGGTATTTCGAAAGTTAGATGGTTGGAAATTCTTACTTGATATATCGGAAGGGTCGAAAGATCCAAACAGATGCAGCATGATAAAATCGAGCCAATTCGATCTTCAAGTAAACGAGGCTTTTCATTTGTTGTGACTTTACATTTTTTCGTCGGTGGTTCATTCACGTCTATAGAGTCCAACAGGGAATTTGTTGTTGCAGTTGTACTTTCAATAATATCCGAAGATAGATTCATCAAGTCTATCGAAGAATTCGGCTGTAAATCATTCGATATTCCTGTCGTCGTTATTTCAGCCGTCATGTTAGTGTCGTTTTTGTACGAAGAAATTTGATCTATTGACTTCGAAAGAGAAAGTCCACGTGACGATGTTCAGTCAGCTGACGTCATATAATTTTCAGTGGGCACGGTGCCATTGGTTGGTTTTTCCCGAAAAATAAATCTGATGAAACCGGTGACAAATTTCATTTTCAAAGAATAAATTATATTCAATAGAAAAAACAGATGATTTCGATAAATTCGGTGTCGCTTTTCATAGTTGAAAATGAGGATATTTTGATACTTGATTCTGATTGGTCGAAGTTCTCCACCGATAGGTGTGGCGCTCGGAGTGAGGAAACAATGTGAAGAGACGAAGAATCAATTCATCAATTGGTAAATTGCATAGCTCATCTAGTTCAAAACAAGATGTCAATCCCACAACCTCCTGATGGTATTTACTTTTCGTCTTTGTTTCCTTCATCTCTATATGTTGAAATACAATTTAGATCTAGAAACAAGAAATATTATTGAGAAACTCGCAAGTTTTGTTGCTCGTGCGTGTGATTCTGATGATTATTTGTCTATTGACATTTGATTATTTTGGATTCTAGGTAATGGACCTGAATTCGAAGCAGCAGCAAGACAAAAACATGAAAATAATCCAAAGTTCTCTTTTCTCCACGGTGGAGAACATCAACATTATTACGCCTTTCGTGTGCAAGCAGAAAAAGCTTGTAATCATATTTTCGATGTCTTTCTTCTGTTTTTCTACACATCAAAACTCTTCTTCTAGTACTTCAACAACCGCCCAATCCATTCCATTTGCCACCACCAAACATGCTGGGGCCACCTCCTTCGTTGCCTCATCATCCTTCTCGTCCAACACTACCACCTTTTCCAGGCCCACCTCCACCACCTGGTACAAATGGTCCACCGCCTTCTCTTCCTTGGACAGTATGTAATCTTCTTCGTATGCAAATCAACCTGATCTTCGATCGTATTCTCTTCATCTAGCAACCACCTCCACCGCATTTATTTCCGACAGGTGCACCTCCACCACCCATACCAATGCCACCCATTCCACCGCCAGCGGTCGTCATCGAACAAGCCCTTCAACAACAAATTCAAGCTTTACAAGAACGATTAAGACAAAGTGAAGTTAATCTCGTTGCACAACGTGAGTCGATGCAAATAAATAAAAAGGTTTGACATCTTTATTTATTTATTTTTCTATAACGAGTTGATCTTTTTTCGATGTTTTCTTAGACAAAAGTTCAAGAAAATATTCAAGCTGCCAGACAAGCACGTATTTCTGTTCAGGCAGCTGAATCTCATATTGACATGAAAGAAGTCGATCGAACAACTTCAGCAATCATCGAAGCTTGTACAAAAGATAACATCACTGTAAGAAATTACTTTATCTGGAAAAGCAATACACTGTCAACCGAATCTTTCTTTGCAGAACGGACGCAATTGTATATTGAACTTCAGTCAAACAAGCATGCAAGCAGAAACTATTTGTTTATATTTAATCGATCGAGTATTTGCATCTGATGCAACCAGTGACACCCGTTTGCACATCATTTATCTCATAAACGATGTTCTTCATAATTCGTAAGCGGAGAAATATTGTATTGAATAAGATTTCGCTCAATTTTCGCGTTGTAGTGTCCGAAAAGGCAATGATGAATTCCGTGTACAATTGAGTAGAGTTATCGTTCCGATCTATTGTTTGGCAGTGGATCAATCCAATGACGAATGTCGACAAAAATTGGTCAAGGTAGAGATATTACTAAACATGGATAAGACATTTTCATGAGATCTATTATAAAACCTTTCTCCACGTCCTTTCTCATACAGTTGCTCGACCTTTGGGAAAAAAACAAATATTTCAATAACGATATCATGGAGGTAAGAAAGAAATTTCTCTGTTTTTGCCAATGACGATGCTTTTCTTTTAGGAACTTCGTGATGTTCAACATGCGAAAAGGCATTTTGAAGTAAAGATGTCTCACCAAATCCATTCTTTTACGTCTACTGCTTTTTATATCCAAGGATGCCATTCGGATGGAATATGCTCCAATTGTTGAACCAATTGAAGCTGGTCTTGATGAAAAGTACGCTCAACTCGAACGACAACATGCTGAATTTGCTGTCCACATTCAAACACAAATCAATCAGATTCAACAACAAATTGTTCAATTCCATCAAGTTCAACAGCAGACACCTCCAGCACCTCCCCCTCCACCACCACATTTACTAAACAACGCTTTCGGTATGAGACATCAATCTGCTAATCATACAAAATACAATGTGATGTTTTTTCAGGTCCGCCATTGCCACCGAATATGTTGGCCCGAATGCCGCCACCTTCTCCTTCGAATAATCCAAATCAACAGCCGCCGCCCTTAATGTCTCTCAATCCATTTACTGAAAATAGTCGAGATAATTCGAGTAAGTTTCATTACGTCGACCTTTCATCTACTCGTAACTTTTCTTTTCAAGGTCATCGTCCACCTTCAAATATGTATGATAATGCTCCTCCGGCACTCATGTCTATGTCAATGCCTCATTATGATAATAACAGTCAACATGATGATTATGGTAATAGTATGAACACAAATATCGAACAACCATTTGATCTAAGTATGGTTACGGATGACATTCCATACTATGATCTTCCGGCTGGTCTCATGTGTTTATTAGTCAAGGTAATTTTTTGTTCGTTTTAAAGTTAGGTGCTCTATGCGAGTTTTCAGGATGAAGATTGTGATTATAAATCGCTTGATCCATCGCATTTACATTTGCCACCATCAAGACCAATTACGGAACGATTATTAAATGCAGTAGAAAACTTCTATGCGCTGCCAACACACGAAACTCCAAGAAATGCGTATGTTTCTCCGTAACTAAGTTTCAAACTAAATGAATTGACTTTGTTTAGTGATGGATGGGAACGATTAGGTTTATTTGAATATTATAAAATAAAGAATACACATAAATTCTCGAAAGAACGTCTTGACGGTACGAGCAAACATCCGGATGCAAAAGAGAAACAACATCGCTCCGGACGAAGTCGATCGAAAAGTTCGTCTGGATCAAAATCAAGATCATCGTCAGGTTCTTCATCTTCATCTTCACCTTCTTCCTCTTCATCATCCTCATCTTCGTCGTCCTCATCATCCTCGATGTCAAAAGATAACTCTAATAACAACTATCAGAAAAAACGATACAGGTCTACCGAATCTTCCTCTTTCGTTCCATGACTATCGTTGTTTTTCTTCTCCATAGATCTCGATCACCATCGCCCACACATTACAAACAACATTCAGCAAGGGCTAATCCGCCAATAAGATCACGTTCTCGTAGCACGTCTCCTCCCTCGTTTGGCTCAGCATATGTACCTCAAAGGTATTCTAAAATATTTTCTTTGTGGAAGAATCGAACTTTGAAATATAACATTACCATTCATTTTGCAGTTCATCAAGTAGCAGACATTCTCAGCAGAAAGTGTCCGATTCGAATGTTGGGCATAAACTTCTACAAAAAATGGGTATGTCAGCAGATCTGTACTCTTTCGCTATCGATGATAGGCTCTTTTCAGGTTGGCAAGAAGGTGTTGGTCTTGGTCGTCGTGAACAAGGAATTGTTGAACCCGTTATGTCAAGTACAAGTGTAAATAATGACGGAAAAGCTGATCAATACAAAGGCATCGGTCATGAAGACGATCCATTTGAACAATTTCGTAAACAAAAAGCCAAAGGTTATGTTTCACGATTGATCGCTGCTCAAGCCGAAACAGTCGCTCGACGTCATGAAATTGCCGAAGAAGATGGATCATCAGAACGTTCCGATGACAAATCCAAAAAATAGAACTAAACTTCTTACTTTTTGTTTCTTTCTTCTCTAAGATTGATTGACGTGATTTGTTTATAAATCATTCTGTTTCTTTGATCTTGTCATCAATTCAATACTACTTCTCTTTTAGATTATCGAAATCTATCATGGTTAAACTACAACGTGTTCAACGTCCTAAAACTCAACGCGGTAAACGTGCGTTAAAAGAACGCGAACCGAAACTAATTGAAAATCCTCGTTCGCTATTGTGCATTCGAGGTAACAAAACGAGTAACATCATGAAAATTCTCTTGAGAAATCTTCACTTACTCAAATCGCCTCACTCAACAATGTATCAGCGAAATAATACGGACATTACTCCATTTGAAAACACCAGTAAACTGGAATGGTACTGTCAAAAATCGGATTGTTCATTATTCGCTTATGTGACCCATAGCAAAAAACGACCGAACAATCTCGTTTTAGCACGTTTACACAATCATATCGTTTTGGACATGTTTGAATTTGAACTAAACCAACAAACATTTCGTTCCTTCGATGATTTCAAGTGTACGAAATTCGCCGCAGGAAATAAACCATGTTTGATATTTCATGGTGAATTGTTCGATAACGAAGCTGATTACAAACGCTTGAAATGTTTCTTTATCGATTTCTTTCGTGGTGAAACTCATATGAAAGAAATTGATCTGAACGGACTTGAACATGTGATCACATTCACAGTCGATAGTCAAACAAAAGTTATATCAATACGTGTTTATCGTATCGAATTGAAGAAATCCGGTCATCGAATTCCTCGAATTGAATTGGAAGAAGTTGGTCCACATTTGGATTTAACAATTCGTCGAACGAAATTAGCATCGGACGACTTTTACAAGAAAACATTGAAACAACCCGATGCCATCAAGGCGAAGAAAGTGAAGAATGTAACAACCAATGAATTAGGAACGAAGATGGGTCGTATTCATATGGAAAAACAGGACTTCAACCAATTACAAACAAGAAAAATGAAAGGATTGAAACGTCGAGCACCTACGGGTGAAAATAACGAAGAATCGTCTAAAAAACGAAAAGAAATTGATTCGAATTAAATAAATGAAAAACTAACTACCTGTTTTTGATATCAGTGTTTTGTTATTCGAGAATAAATGAACATTTTTTCTCGATTTTAGATGGCATCAAACGAAACATCATCGGCAGCTGCAACTAGTAACGCGAAAGTTACTTTTAAAATAACATTAACATCTGACCCGAAATTACCATTCAAAGTGTAAATATCTGAATGCTATGATATTTATGACTGAAAATCTTCTTTCGCTCGATATTTCAGGTTAAGTGTACCGGAAAACACTCCTTTCACCGCTGTTTTGAAATTTGCCGCTGAAGAGGTTTGTTCAGACGGAAATCTTCTCGATTACGAACCAAAATTTCCATCTTTCGTTGCAGTTTAAAGTTCAGGCGGCTACTAGTGCAATTATAACCAACGACGGTATCGGCATCAATCCATCTCAAACAGCTGGTAAGGCTTTTCATTTAGAGTAACATCAAATCATCGACGCTGTTTAGGTAATGTTTTCCTTAAACATGGCGCCGAACTTCGAATTATTCCACGTGATCGTGTTGGTCATTGATATCGAAGTGAAATTTTATCGATCCTCTCCGTTTATTTCATCTTCTTTTTTTCTGGAATTTATTCATTGATTTTTCAAGTGAAATAAATAACCATGAAAGAATTGACATGTCGTTTGTTCTAATAAATATCTTTTCCTACGAAATAGATGAACCAATCATCGTCTGAACACAGTTCATCGACATTACCGAAAACTGATTCCGATGCGTATCGACTCGAACAGGAACACGTTCATAAAGTATACAATGAAATCGCTCATAAATTCAGTGACTCACGCTATAAGCCATGGCCACAAGTCGTTGAGTTTCTGCAAACATTCCCCGGTGCTTCCTACGTTCTTGATATTGGATGTGGGAATGGAAAATATTTGAATGTTAGAAAAGACTTGCTCATGGTAGAAAATGAAAATTTCGTTTTCTTTGTGTTTTATGGCGTTTTTTTGTTGAAAATAGTAGATTGGTTGTGATCGAAGTGAAGGCCTATTGGAAATATGTCGTGAACGACATTATCAAGTCTTTCTTTCTGATTGTATGGCCATTCCTGTGCCTGAAAATACTTTCGATGGTGTAATTTGTATCGCTGTAATTCATCACATGAGCACCGACGTAAGAAACTGATCTGCTTGAATGAAGAATAAAGAGAAAAGTTGGCATAGAATCGACGATTGAAGGCTCTAAAAGAGATCGTTCGGATAATGAAGGTCAATGGTCAAGCATTGGTAACTGTTTGGGCGAAAGAACAAGAAATTAACGAGAAGAAAAGTACATATATTCGTAAATCCGTGAAATCTATGACATCATCAGAAAATGAATCTTCTATTGCGACCGATAATGAACTGGCAGTTCATACACCGCGCACGAAATTTCAACGCTCCGATTGTCTTGTTCCGTGGATAAAACTAACTGCGACCTATCTACGATATTGTCATGTTTTTGTTCAAAATGAATTAGATAATCTCTTGAAACAACTTTCAAATATCGAAATCTTGAAATCGTACAATGACGATGGAAATTGGTGTACGATATTTCGAAAAACTGCTTAGATTCTTCAATTTTTCGGTCGTGCAAACAAGATTTGTATTAGATAAAATATCAAGCTAGAAAATAAATCAATGGAGCAAAGACACAAATGATCAACACTCGAAAAATATTCATGAATAATAACAATTTTTCTTGTTTCATACGATTGTTCTCGTATCGTTGAGCAAGAAGACGGCTTGCTTCATCGTCGTCGTCAGCTTGGATGCCACTAGTACGATCTACTGTTGTTATCTGAGGAGATCCTGAAACAATAGTGCGGTTTTGTTTTATAACCGATGTTGCAACGGATGAGTAAGACGATTCTCGACTTTCAGCCGTTTGACTCCTATTAATCGTTAATTCGGCTACTGAAAGTGATGCCATTGGCGTTTTGAATGAAGAAGATAGTGACATGGACGATGATATTCGATGTGAGATAACAAAACGAAAGATAAAAATGAAAGATTCATACAAAACAGAATCTTCTTTGTCCTCTTTCTTCTTTTTTTTCTCAAGATAATTTACACTAAGTTACACGAATTCACTGTAAAAATGGTCTGTGTCATCGAACGTGTTTTCGCGTACTCGAATCCAATCCCCCGTGGACATTTAATTAAATAGCTGCTAAATTAGTCCGTATTCTCATCGATTGTCAATCAAACACGAACAGAGAAAGTCTCCCTAAGGATAAAAATCTGATCTATATCAAACATCTCCTTCGAGATATTTGAATTTATTTCAAAACTTCCGTTTTCATGTGAACAATACTTGTAACTTCCATCTAATAAATCATTAGAAAATGTGCGTGTTGCACTACGTAAAGGAAAGCAACTTCAGTCTGCAATAATACATCATTTCGAAGATTAAAGAACTACATGTCTAATGCTTGATGACATTTTGCGTGGGATTGATTAGAATTCCCGCTTTGGAAATGCAGAATTTCTCATTCTCATACTACGAGCTCGTGTGTCGTCCGTGAACAGTTCGTGTCGTACCTATCAGTTCAAGTTTTATTGTAGAAAAGGAAAAAGAAAACAAAATGTAGTCATCAAAAAGAACTCTCGTACAAATAACTAGACATGACCAATTGCCTGGCAAGCAAAAACGAAAACAACAAGACATAGATGCATGGGTAGAATGAAAAATCATGATAGATAATGAGAAAAGAAAAGAAGAAATAAGACGATTCGGAACCGGAGGAGCACTGTTCGTCCATGAATCGGAATGTAAAAAGCAGAAGAAACAAAAAGAAAGAAGACAAACGAAATCATGTACATTATATGAATGAATATAAGCAATAAAAATCATCACTGGTTTCTTGGTTTTCTAAGAATACATGAAACACGAAAAATCAAACAAAACAAAAAGATTTTTAATGACTTGTTTTTCTTCTTCTTTCTCTTTTCCTCTCCCGCTCATCCTTCGTACTCACAAAATTATTATCCACACCGTCGACAACAGTCTAAACTAACTATTTATATGTGCGTCATGAACATATGTAAATCCATTGAACATTGGATCTTTATTGGTTACACTTCCTAGGTAATGTTGTTGAACACTCGGAGAGATCGTTTCTTGTGTGAAAACTTTGTCGACTTGACCAAGATCTGTCGGACCGCTGACCGATGGTTTCCATGGTGGAGCAATTTTTCTTGCTTCTAGTTTTTCCCAGTCGATTTGGTCGAAGAAGGGTTGTCGCTTTACATCATTGACATCTTCAGGTCCACTTCCTAATCGTTCAGCCGGGATTTTCTTTAGCAACTAGAAAACCAAGATCATCAAATTTGAAGAATTGTCGTTTTTCGTCAACGAACCTGTTCAATTAAACTTCGAGCGCGTTCAGAAACATTACCGATAAAACGTAGTGGACGATTCAAGATATTATCGTACATTTCATTCACGTCACGAGAATAGAATGGTGGCTAGAAGAGATTTCATCGATTTACAAGAAGAATTCGGCTCTGTAGCTAATACGTACTCGTGCACATAACATTTCATACGTTACTGAACCCAAACACCACCAATCAACGGCTTTTGTATATGCTTCTCGACGTAAGACTTCAGGAGCAAGATACTCAGGTGTTCCACAGAACGTTGCCGTTCGCCCTTCTCGTCCTTCAGAAGATAACATTACTTTACACAGACCAAAATCAGTTAAGCGTATGTGTCCCTAGTGAGAACCAAACGCGCCTTATTTCAGAAAAAGACATTTGTGTCGATTTCATACCTCTCGATCAAGTAAAATATTTTCAGGCTTCAAGTCTCGGTAGATAATATCCAATTTATGAAGATAACCAATAGCTGACGTGATTTCTGCAGCATAAAATCTTGCACGCTGCTCACTGAATGCTCTTTCTTGTTGCAAATGGAAGAATAGCTAAACGAAGAAAAATACACAGGTCGTCGTTTCAATTGAATGACATTTTTCAGGACGTACTTCACCACCATTCACGAAATCCATCACAAAAAACAGCTTATCTGGTGTTTGAAACGAATAGTGTAACGAAACAAGAAACGGATGACGAGTATTTTTCACCAACACATCACGTTCAGCCATAATATGACGTTCTTCACGTTTACGCTTTATCAATGCTTTACTAACAACTTTGACAGCATAGATCATGTTTTCAGCCTTATGTTGAGCAAGATAAACTTTTCCGAATGAACCTTTACCAATGCATGTTCGAAATTCGAAATCGTCAGGCTTAACTCTACAAACAAAATCTCACTTCGTATTTGAAGACAACACCTCTATTCTACTTACGTAGTCTTTTCAGTTTTGCCTAAATTCACACGCATTGTATCGGTCTAAATTCGAAGTCAATTCGAAATAATTGCATTAGAAAATCTTCATCATCACTTACCGGTGTTAAAGGCTCTTCAGTATCTACGCTATTGACTTTGATTAGGTTTATATTTTGTTTCGTATTAACTGCTTGCAATTCATCCGTCGTTGACGCTGGTGATGAAGTACTGGATACAACTTTATTGAGTGTGAAAAATTCAGTGAACTCCGGTCTAGAAGCATGAACAGATACGATATTCACAAAAACTATCACGCAAAACGAGATCTTAACTAGAATTTGCCAAGCTAGACAAGAGGCAATAAATCAAATACGGAGAGAGAAAAAACGATTTTACACCTCTAGTATTGCGTCGAAAGAATAGAAAGGACACATAACCTTTGATAACGATATTTGTTTTTCCTTTCGGCCTTTTTTCTACTTACAAAATAACTAGTTGTGGACTTGAAGAAATCTGTTGGACATAATCATTCAGACCACGTTGACGTTTTAGAACAAAATCTGGTTCGAATGAATCACCTAAGATACGTCGACCGGGTAGTTTCAGATCGCTACGCACACGACGAAGCTAAAAGCAAATAACAAAAAACAACTTGCCATAATCAAAACTAATGAATCATCATAATCAAATTAACCTTCTCATTTAATGTATGAAATTCTTTGTATCGTCTCCATATCTCGAATTCTTGTCCATTATAGTTTACTGTGACCTTATATTTCGTAAACTTTCGCCCATTTTCAGCACTTGTTTGAGCATCAATAACATGTAGTATCAATGAACCTTTCACCGGCGCGCTTGTATTATTTGCTGTTGTATTATTCATTTTCTCTGTAACAAGGAAAAAGGTTTCGGACTCCTCAATGATACAGTGCGAAATAAAAGCTAAGAAAAAAAAAGAAGAAACGAAGAAAATAAAATATGATTATATCATCATCGTCATTGACAATGACAATAATGATGATGATAAGAAGCCAACGAAAACAAAAGACGTAAAAGCAAGAAGAAAGCACTAAGTATAGTAAATATTGACTGATATAAAAAAGATTAGACATCCCATGGCAAAGGTGACAAATTGAGGAAAGAGAGAAGATTCGCTTGAAAAACTATCTTATCCTTTCGTTTATCCTCCCAGATAGAAAAATGTCAAGATATTTTCGCATGTTATGACATCTTAGTGTGACTTAAAGATGTCGGATTTACACGCAACAATAAGAATAGTCGTGCGAAAACTACGTCGTTTCTAGTCTGTCGACAAAGTCATCTTCTACGTCTTTTCTTCTTCATTTTATTTTCAATATAACACCCTCATACATACAAATACGCACGCACAGAATGCAAAGGACAATGACACGTGCATTTTCATTTTTTTCTTCGATGTGCTAGTCAGCCAGTAAAACTCAATAGATGCTCTTCTTCGTCTTCTTGTTTTCTCCGTTCGACATGTATATTACGTGTTTCTCTTCTTCTCCGCTTCTTTTTTCATACTCTACATAACGTTGCTTTTTTAATTTTCTACCAATAATAGGAATCAGATTTATTGAATATCTGTAGGACTCGTTGCTTTTATAATCGTATCGATATACATATTCGAAGTATTTGCATATTTTTCTGTTCTGTTCGATTTGAATTTGGAGAAGAATGTGTCTTTCATGGCAGAAGGAATACTATTGCCGCAAGGAACGTTGTTTATGCAGAGATTAGAAAAAGGAAAATTCAAAGACGGAATTTTCTATCTCTCACCTGATGTTTTCGAGCGTTGGGACCATCTTTTCTGTAATTTGAGCATAGAGGGAAATTTCTATGCCGATTATCTTCTAATCTTGTCTGATATTATCAAAGAAGAGACATCGAATGTTGTTGTCTTTACTGAAAGTTGTATCAGTTTAGTTAATACATCGTTATCATTATAGACATCTGTCTCTTGTTCTCTCCGCTTTTCCTGCTTTCTTTTTGTCGAACTATCTCTAACGTCCAATTCATGCTTTGACGTGTCTTACTATAAATAGCTAATGAATGACGACTAGAAAACTTCGCTCTACAGCAACAACTAATTATTAGTATTCGTCGTGGACGAGGAGACGCAGACGTAGAAATATCTGTTAGAATAATTGATAGATCGATATTTTCGACAGAAGAATAGAATGTGAGAAACAGAAAAATAAGCAAATATTATTCTATTCGTTAACAACATGGGGAAGATATCGGGAAGGTCATGGATGTTCGAACATCAACGTACCAAACCACCTTGGCATCTTGATAATATAATCGTGCTGATCAAATCAATAAGATCTAATCGTAGGCGGATATGTGTGTTGGTGCATATGATCGATGGTTGTTTTATCTGTCACCTTAGAGCACTGATGACAAGGATGTGTCTGTTGGAATTGAGTGCGAAAGTGAACATATGTCAGATCGTAGGCTCATCTCTTTTCACTTTGTTGTCTTACGATAATAGCAGTAATAGATAAAGAGAAGGAGGAAAGATCTAAGTGCTCGTGATAGGGAAAAAAATGAACAAAAGATAGACGAGAACAAAACTTATTTGAAAGAATGTCATCGACATTACAATAGCATCTAACTCGCCGCCTTTGTTTTCTATTACATTATTCGTCTGATGCATAGGAACTATAGCTGCATTTGGAAGTTTTTTTTTTTATTTCCGCCATATGCATGTTTCATGTCGGATTCTAGACATCTCCTTGGCGAGACGTATATTCTCTTAATATAGATCGAGTGATTTCATCTGTCCTGCTGAAAGAAGAAGAAAACAAACCGACAGGAAAAGAGACATAGACGGCAAAGACGATGATGTTGTTATCGATCATTCATGGAATCTCAGTCGTCTATCTGAATCGGTTTATAAACTACTAGACATCTCTGACTGATTTTGACACTGTTCCTTAGAAATTCTTTTACAGAATAACTATTGATGTTGCTGTTGTTCGACAAAGATGATCATTATTACATTATTGGCTTACGGTGATGCTTACCAATCTAACAAGACATGGAAATGTCGGCGTAAACCTATGTGAATTAGATCACCCTGGGAATAGCCATGAGAGAATTTTGACGTCATTAAATTATTCTAAAATGCCTTCTATTCTTTCCTCTTATTCAGACGTTTCAATTCAATTTAAGATTCTGCATAACAGACATGTCAACATTGATTGCATATTATCATCGAAGTGCGAGTTAGAAAAGCAAATCTCTTCATATTTCCATTCAATCGAGCTCTTACCGGCCTCTTTCTCTCAAATAGTTGATGCGCCATTCGGGCGTACTATGATCTTTCATGTCATTCATTTCCAACCAATTAACTATGATCATATACATATAATAACAATAATAGTAGTCTAAGTACACACGTCTTCTTCTTCAAGCAAAGAAAAGTAGACAAATTTTTTGCACTCGGTCGTACAAATCGAGTCATTCTAATCGAAATAGACATTTGATTGTCCATTTAGATAATTGATGACACGAGTCTATTTATTGACATAATCCTAAGATATGGAATCGACTCTGAAGTGAAGAAACAAGAGAAAAACAACAAGAGACTCGATTGTCTTCTACATATCATGCTAATAACATTAGAAAATATAATTATACAGATAAATAAATAATTAATGATATAAGTCTATTGAAGAAAAGCAAATCTAAACAATATTACTTGGATGAAGAAGAACGAAGTCGCATGTAGAAGATTAAAAAATCGCTAACATGTCAAGTAACACGTTCACAATCAAATACATGGAAATGAGTATTTGCAAAGAATAACATGACTTACTTGACGTTGAAAAGCACATCATTAGTAAGAAGAACGCAGAGATTTCAATACGAAATAAATTCTTTTTAGTAAGAATATAAATGAGATCACAATGATAATGTCTATATTTGAACTAATACTTAACGGTTTTTTCTCTTCTTCTTTCAAGTAAGTGTGCACAACTACTTATTTACTTTGCATTTTCCCCTCATTTCTCTCTACTCTTCTCATTTTCTCTTAGTCACATACGATTTTCATTTTCTATTAACATATCTATTCATAATTGTCAGAAGAAGAAGAAGGAGACGAAGAATGAAGGAAAAAGAGAAGTAGATTTACTGAACACGATTTTTCAATAACGAGTGTTAACTGTTTTTTTTCTTTGATTTTCTTTCGCTTGTCTAACTAAATCAAAAAAAAACGAACTAGACTCATCCAAACGATCGTTTACTTTCTTCTCGTTCTTCTATCTATCCAAATCGTCTCGTACAAATATGGACTTACATTATTTGATGTTGACGATGTGAATGTATGCAAAGCTTGCTCTTGGAAACAGAGGACTGCGTGAGAAAGACAAAGCACACTAGGAGTGAAACGTGAGGCGACGAATGCCTTCGGCTGATTTATTTCTTTACTCTCTATGACGTCGCAAATTGTCATGCATGTTTCTCTAGTTGTTTTTTACTCGTTTGTTCTTTCTGATATTGACACAAACAGTCGAAGCTGACGAAACGATTCTTTGCTGTTGGCCCACGTTATCTTACTCGCTTCTTTCACTTGTTTTTCGCCTGATTATTGTTGTCTCAGCATGTGCATCGGCACTGTTTGGAGATAAAACAGTAACGCCGTTCTATTTATGAGGAACTATGTAAATACATGGAACGATTGCATCCGAAATGAAAAAAAAACATTAACTCTTGCTCAGCGAATAGAAATTGGTTCAAAAGAAGAATCTCTTAATGAATATTTCATATTGTCATAAATTTGCTTGTAACAATGAATTTCAGTTTTTAATAATCGTACTTCTGCTATGGATGATTTCAATTGTTTATCGGTTTTTAAGAGAGTTTCCGTGTAGAAATTCAAAGATATTTTGAAGGTCGGATCGATCATCGAATGTAAAATAAGAAGCTTTTGCACGAGAATATCGAAGCGCTTGTGAAGAATAATATTATAATGTGTTTTACAAATGAGACGATAAATAATCGATGACGCTTTTTGTAAAACATCGTTCACACGGGTTTCTATTGATAAACAAATAATAGAAAATGATTTAGATCGTAATTACTTGGATGGAAAAGAACATCGTACCCTTCAGGTATTAAACGAAACATAAATACCATGTTGAAAATGATTCCTAAAGAGCTACTCATACCTGAAGTACTCCAATAATAATGATCAGGGTCTATTTTCTAGACACTTTCCTCTTCTAGTCAATAGGAAATATTAGAGTAAGGCGGACGGGGCGTGTTATGAATAAATGTTGATCTATATTTACAGGTTTACCTTGTAGAGACGACTTTTCATGGGAATTGATTAGTTTCTGGCGATGAATTTGATGTTGATGATCAGCGGTTCTCTTTTTCCATTCGAATAATTGAACTTGTAAATGAAGGAGCATTTGTTTCAGATTACACGATTGAACCATTTTCATAGGTTTGTTCATGAGGACTCGATTGCGTATTTGTTGGATTTTTTGTAGTAGTTCTTGGTAAACACCGTGTCGTTTTCGAAGAGTGGTTTGGTTGTTTTGAATTTGTTTGGTAATTTGTAAAATTGAACGTTGTTTGACGAGAAGAAACCAAGCAATTTGGTATTTTTGTTGTGTGGATTGTTGATAGTTTGCGTTATGTAAATTATTTACATGATTTATATGATGAAGTTGTTTGAAAATATTGAGAAATTGATGTTCGATGAGAAAAGATTTCTTATGAAGTGATTGTAGATATTCACTGAGATGACTCTTTTGCTTATCGAGACGAATAATTTGGTTTGATATTAATGATGTATTATTTGTAGTCAAAGCGATCTTTTGTTGAATCTCTTGTGAAAGAATTTGATTCGAATGAAACATTCGTTTTAATTGATGTATTTTCATTTTCAACAAACTTTGACTTTCATTACTCGTATTAGTATTAATTCCATCGAGTTTCGCTTTGCTAAAATTAAACACGAGCTTGTCTTTCGAGTAATGCACGATTCTCCTACCGTCTTTGTATGTAAAAGTGTAGATCGTATTCCAAGGTGGCAAGATTCGGCAGTGAATTGTTCAATTTGTTGACATAGTTCTTCGTTTGATTGATCTGTTGATCGATTTGTGTTAATCTTTGAAAATATCTCAATAAACGTCGTCGATTGATGTTCAGGTGGATGATCGATTGATCATGGAGTTTTTCGTAGTACAAGATTTTTTCTCGTTGTTCTTTGACAAGCGAGAAATATTGTTTTGTTGTGCTTTCAAGAATGTAAATCTCGTGTTGCAGATTGTGATTTGTTGTTGTTAGTTGAGAATGATGTTTGATCTCTTCATGAAGATTTGCTTCGATGGATTCGTTCAAAGAAACGATTGGAAGATCTTTCGAACGATGTTGTTCGAGTTGATGTAATCGATGCTAGAAAAACATAACGGAGAAGAGTGGAGGGAGGAGAGGATGAGATTTACTTTCAATTGATCATTCTGACGATTTTGTGTGGATAAGATCGGAGTCTTTCTTTTCAATTCTTTGTGAAGTTTTCGATTAGTTTCAATGAGATTTTGTTTGGTTTTATTTTCCTCTTCGATTTCTTTGCGTTTTGTTTGTAAAACTTCAAGCAAATGTCGGCTTTTTAGATGCAATTCGATTTGTCGATTCTGGTTCATTTTCGTCTGTTTCGCATAGTCCAACAATTGATGATTGAAATCACTATTTTCCTTATTCAATCTCAAAAATAACTTTTTTTCTCGTTCAATTTCATCCTGATTCTGTTGATGTAGATTTAAATCATAAGTAGTGGGTGTTAATTGTAATTGATATTGAAGAACTCTCGTCAACTGATTCTCTCGTTCATAATTCGTCTGAACATTATGTCTGAAGGTGTGCTGTATTTCAGTTAATTCTATTTCTATCTTATGAAGATTCTCTTGAAGACGATACACTTGAATTTGCATGTTGAGGAACTTGAGCTTTTCTTGATTTAGTTTCTCTTGAATTTCCGTACCTATATTACTAAGATAGGAAATAGAGTTTGAATAGAATTGAGTGAACTTATGCTGATTACGTGTGTGACGAAGATGTCCTATTTGGTCTTGGAGATTCGTAACTGTTTCACTCAATTGACATAAAAATGGATTCATGTTGGAATACTTTCGAGCGTAGACGTCGCTTGCTAATTTCGGAATCAGATTGTCAATGCTTTTTAAATTCTCACTTGTCTTGTCGTACTTGTCATATAGGTCGGAAAGTACCTGTTGACCTCGTTGAAGTAAACGACAAATTCGGAACTTGTTTTTTGTGTGTTGACAAATCAGAGTAGTGTCTAATTGATGTAAAGCTTCGCGAAGACGTTTTTCTTCAAGGATAAGTTCGTGTTTATTCGCTTGTGAATAATGGAAATATTGATAGAGACATAACCAATATTGTTGACATTGGTTTCGTGTTAGTTCGTTAGAAATTTCATCAAGAGCGTAAAGAAAAGTTGAATAATACAAATAGCTCGACGGAGAATGTAGAAACTGATTGGCTATGGACATTTTATTGTGATAAGAAAGTTAATATTCTTAGCAACAAAATATGATTTGTAATTAATACGCGCATCATTTTTAGTGATAAGAAGGTGTTATGTAAACAAAACTGAATATTAAAAAGAGAAATATATGTTTCATCGATGGAAAAGTATAGTCTGCATGAGAAGAATCATCCATTTCCACCCAATATGATTCATTCGTATATGACTCTATCCAATCTTTGAACACTGCTACGCGTGTGTAAATACCGGAATAACCAGCCATCGCACATCGATATCCACTGCTAGTCAAACCCACCAAAATCCACTGTTTTGTCAATGAAGAATATAACATCAATGGACCTCCTGAATCACCTTGACAAGCATCTAGGAAATGAAATAATATAAAGATTCTTTAGATGAACTATACCATACAATTAATTACCTTTCGTACCATTACCAGCACCAGCACAAAATTGTACAGTTGTATTCACTATCAATAGACGACAATTCGAAATTCCAGAGTTAATTGTTTGCAATGTAACTTGTTGCAATCTGTCTGGGAGATGACCGCCATAAGACAATCGTCCCCATCCAACTGTGACAACCTATTGAGTACAAATAAAATAAATTTACACACGAAAACTATTCAATTCACATACAGATTGGTTCGAAACTGGCCATTCACCTGAATTCAAAGTTGATTTTTTCACCGAAGGCAAACATATTGCACTGATATTTCCATCACTCATATCAAGCGGAGAGGAAAGTTTCAACAGCGCTATATCATTAAGGAATTTAACCGAATCAAATTCAGGATGTACAATTTTCTGTATTACTGTTCGATTTTGCGTACCAAACCATAAAAAATTCGATCCAGCATAGACAATAATTGGTGACTGTAAATATTGATATACACAATGTGCAGCTGTTATTATCCAAGAATCCGATATAATTGATCCAGAGCATAAAAGATAATTATTAATCAATAACGATACAGTCCATCCCCAAGTTCCTATACTTGCGTTTTCGCCACCAACAATACGACTAGTGATTACTTCATTTGACGAACATCCACAAATACTACTTGAGTTGCATGGATATTCAGTTTGTCTAGTTGAGTGAGTTAATGTTAGGAATATGAGCACGTAGAAAAACATCAATGGAAAATGATTCTTCTATCGGAACAGTCAATTAGATATCTTCTTTGAAATGAATTTTATGAAAATCACGTCTATTTATATATTTTGATGATGCAAATTATGAAAGCATATCGAAACAACGTTATCTTTACATTTTTCTTTAGAAAATTTTTCGTTTTTCGTTAATTAATTTTCACATAAAACCATGAGTGCAGACGAAAACAAACAGAAAGACTGTAATGATGCAAATGATGTTACACGATTGAATAGGAAGTAACCGTCAATGATTCAGAGATGCTCAGGTGCAAATCGTGTTATGATTTATTCGAAAATCATATGAAATCATCTTGAAAAATCGACAATACAATTTGTATTCGCATTTGCGCACTACTCAAGACTTGTCACATGAAATCGTTTTCATTATTCAACTCTCTAATTAGATACTGATGTCGAATGAAGATTTAATCAATTTCGTTTTGAATTCTCCACCATGCAATAAATCGCATAGTGAAGATGATGAAAATGGACATCATGCACCATATAAACTCATGTTTCTATTCTTTATTTTATTCATTGGTTGTAAGTCGATATGTCTTTGCAAGTCAGTCATTGATTTCCAACTAAAGGTCTCTTCAAAACAATGTTTGCTCCATTGCGTATTCCCTACACAGGACTTATTTTACTTCTTGGCTTTATTGGTGGTATACTTTTCAATACTTTTAGCACTGACGAGACATTTCTTCGTATCACAACTGAATCACCGGATTTACTCGTGGCAATCTTTCTTCCAACATTAGTTTTCGAATTAGCTTATCGCATTGAATATCATGCATTTATGAAATCATTCTATTCGATTCTAATCATTTCAACTATTGCTTATTTCGTATCAATATTCTGTATTTCTCTTATGAATAGATATCTCTTCTTCTTCCAACACTGGACTTTTCTACAATGTTTAATCTTAGGCATTATTGTCAGCGCAACGCGACCAGTCACGCTTATGCGTCAAGTAATTTTCACACAGTGAATCTTGTCGTTGAATGTATGATTTTATGTAATTCAGATAGACTATGGTAAAACAAAACGATTAAATATATTTCTCGAAGGTGAAGCTATGATTAATAACAATTTAGCAATAATTATGTTTACTGGAATGAAAAGTTTCGTTGTTAACGATGAACTTTGGGATGGTAAGATGCATTTGGCAGTATTCATTGTAATTCAATGACTTTTAGCAATGAAATTTTTCAAAACTATCTCAATAGCCTTGATTGGAGGTATTGGGCTTGGTGGTATCGCTGGATTCTTACAAATTCTTGGTTTACCTTACTTCTATGATGATCCAATCAGTGAAGTAACGATTACTATCGCAGTACCTTATATGCTCTATTGGCTATGTAAATGAGACGCTATTACCGAGTATTAGTAGATCGAATTTGGATTGTAGGCGAACAAATGAATTGTTCTGGAGTGGTTGCCATTGCTATTCTTGGTCTTTTGTTATCAAATTATAAGACAGCAATTAGTTCCGAAGCGACAATCTTCATGGAAAAGTATGACATTGCACAATTCATTTCTCCTTCATCATGATCGTTTTCGAATCATAGACTTTGGGACATGCTAACATTGATTGCCAACACAGTTATATATCTACTAACTGCGCTGGTATGATGAAAATTCGATATTTGTTGTCATTACTTTTCCTTTCATACAAATATCGTTTAGACTGTCGCAGAATTGATCAAACCCAGTGTACAAATTTCATTCGAACCCAATACGATCTTCCTTGAAATAGGACTTGCTGGTAAGTTTTACAAATAAACATCGTCTTCATCGATGGTTTTCTTCTAGCGATCAACTACTTATTCTGTTATTTGATCAGGTATAACCTATTTGTCCATCTGAAAGAAATATTTGTTCACTATTCTGCGATAGATTTGGAATTCTGACGGTTTTAACATTGTCTACAAAATTCTGTACAGTGTATCATTTTTCATGGAAGGAAGGTTTATTAGTGACGATGGGTGGTTTCAAAGGATCGATATGTTTGTTACTTTCATTGGCATTTGCAAGTGAATTAAAACTTGTTCATCGTCATCAGTCTGCATCGAAATTCAAAGTAGTAAAAAGAAATTCTTTCTGATCCTTCTCCACAAAGACGCATTTCAGTATGAAATTTTACTTCACACGACAATCGTTGTCTTTCTTTCCAGCTGCATCAATTCCACTTATTCATTTCTATTGAAAATCTTAGGTAATTTCATAATTTCTCATATTCTCTCCAGTCTTGTAGATTAACAGATTTTACATCAATATCTCCGACGAAGTATCTTTATATGACACAATGTGTTGAGTCGTTGCGAAGTCTTGTACACGATAAAATGCGATGGTTAAAACAAAATAAGTACTTAGCGAACGCTGATTGGATATTCATCGAAACGAATTTCCGAATTGAAAACCCGCATACACCTTCGAATGAAAATACACACGCAGTTATTCATCCTCAGACAACGGCAATTGAATTTAATCGAACTGAATACGAGGATCTATTCGAAGAAGCAAGAATTCGTATTATCAATATTCAAAAAGTGAATACAATGAGTTTCGATTTGGAAAAAGAAAGTCAAATTTTCAATATAGACAAGCTTTTGGAGACAATATCGTGATTATGAAATTTCCACTGAAAGTGTTCGCATTCTTTCGTCATTGAGTGACTTTGCAATGGATAGGAAAGGAGAATACATTAGTGTTGATCAGTTAAAATATTATTACGAGTAAGAGAAGTTAATAAACGATATTTGATATTTTAGTTTTTCGTTAGACCACGAACACTTGACTTTGTATGGAAATATTTGGTAAGAGAAGTGAAGAAAATTAGTTTAGAATATATGAAATCTCTCCAGGGAAGACTAGTGAAGAAAATACACATGCAAATTGATGATGATTGGAGAAAATATCAAAAGATTCCTGAAGATAAATGGCGTTTACTCTGCTTTACTATTGTCAATCATCGACGATTCTTTTGGTTCATCATATGTGTCATACTTCTAAATGTTTGTAGTTCAAAATTAACGGTCATTTCGATAGAAATTTTTTCAGGTTGTATTAGCAATCATTCGTATTGCTTTGAATGTATCCAATGAAGTTCATTTTATTTTAACGATCATTCAAAGTGTTTTTGTTGTTATTTATCTATTCGAATCGATAGTAAAAGTAAGTTCGTTCTATTTTATTGGAGTGTAGATGATTGATTTCCAATAGATGTATACATTTGGTATACGAGCTTACTTTCGTACATGGATTGATTATCGAATTGAATTAATTCTGCTAATATTCGCTGCGGGAGAATGTATTTTCGAATATTATCATTCAGCAAATTCGATTTTCATTTCTCGTCGAACTTGGTCGATTCTTCAAATATTAATTCTGATTCAAATCTTTCGTTTTAGTCGACTATTTCAAGTATGAATTGATTGATTTCATGCGAAAGTTTTTCATCGAGTTCAAAGATAGTCTGTAATCGCTTATTTGAATACTCTTCTCGAACGACTAGCGAATCGTTACGTGACACGTTCGTTGGAATTATGTCGAGCATACATTACCAGTGAAGATGATGTTCTTTCGAAACTACGCCGAATTATCGAAATCGATCAAATCCGAGAACAGTTTCATCAGGAATCCATTCGACGACGCGATGAAATAATCACGGAATTAAGTACATTCTTCTATTTACTTCACACGAATATTTTTTGTATCTAGCTTTCATTCAACGTGAATATCCAAATGTATCTGCAAGCGTTAAGACAAATGCAACGATTCAAAAACTACTGAATTACTCTAAAAACATGGTGATTCTTTCTAGTAACCATTGTCATTTCATTTATTGCTTGTTGGTAGATTCATCACATGACAAGCAAAGGATTACTTGGAGAAAATGAAGCACATCGATTGACTGAAGTTTTTCAATCAATTTGAAATCATTTGCGAGCGTTTCTGTGGAATATTTTAGAATATCAACCAACGATTACATACGAATCTTGTACCGCCAGTTTTATCCTTTCCTATTCCAGTCAGTTCCGTTGATCAATAACAAATTTTTTACTTTGTAGCATTTTCAGTTGAATTTTTTATACGTATTTCCATGGCTTCATGACCCTGATGTACTCGAATACATCTTAAGTCGTCTACATGTTCAGTTATTCTCTTTAAATGAGTACATTTACAAAGTGAATAACGATGCCCAAGCGATATATTTCATCACGGCCGGATATGTCGAAGTATGGTGAAATTTTATATCAGAAAACGATCTTCTTGTCATTCCATAGACGGTTCGAAGTACATCGAAGTCACATAATGTTCTCTCAACTGAAAAGAATGTTTCGTTTCCACAAAAATTTCAAAGTGCGAATGATCAAGTTTTCGAAAGAAAATCATTCGGTAATGAAGATTTATTTCAATGGTCAGACGATGAATCAAATACAAAAGATCGAAGCATTTTTGCTCATCTCAATATTGATGATTCAATACTCAATTTATTTCCAGAAAAAGACTCAACTCTTGTACATCGTATGTTGCATGCGCCAGGTGATATTCTTGGTCAAATCGATCTGCTTAATGGACAAAAATATACAGAAACATGTAAATGTGTCACCAATACTCTTGTAAAAAAATAAAAACAAGCAGAAAATCTTGACAATGCTTGAATATTTATTAGATTTGGTATTTAAAGTCGAATGATCTCTTCGATCTCATCGAACGTTTTCGTCACTTACGAATCTTAGAAAAACTATGGCATTACACCGCCTTACAATTAGCAGAAGCGACTCTTTTCGAATATTTGAATACCATAGTTCGTTCAATTCTATATTTCATACTATTTATGTATGTAAATTCGATTCATCTAGCCATACAATACAACAGAACAAGAATACATTCATATTTATGGCCATTTAAAACGAGCTTTTCTCATACCTGAATCATATTTACTCGAACATGAAATTATCTATTCATCTCATGAACTTATTCTTATTCAGGGTCAACTACAAAACATTGTTTCATCACTGATCTACACAGCACCTTGTTTTATTCAGATCGAATTTGGTCAATGTGGTTTAAAGCCTCTCGTAAGTCTAATCTATTCCACAGAATTTCCAAAGCAAATTCAGTTCGATTAGAATATCTCCGAAGCTAAAATACTCGTTCTTAGAAGTCCTCATCCAGCACAACACGATGAATTTCTTCAAGCAAATGACCTACCAGATCTATTCACACATGTTATCTATGATGATAAATTAAACATTTTTCTTCCACGTATTGATTCCAATTATAAACATGTAGGGCGGATGCATTAACTCGTACAGTTTAGATTTGTTCTTCTAGGTTATTCCGACCTCGAATACAGATGGATCAAGTTCTGAGATGTCGAAGAAAACATTACTTGGCCGATTTTTAGAAAGTTTACCGAAATTTCAACGACGGGCAATGAATTCATAATAAGACGAACAATCATTCGAATGATAATTTAAAAACTAAATTCAAACGTATCTCTAACCTATGTCTCCTCTTCCTTTGGAATCTTCTCCGAATCTAGCGACACCTTAACGAGGGTCTTCTAACGACAATACACCAATCGACTAATCAGATGCATTGCTTCTCTTTCTGTTCCATATTGAAAAAACAAAACAACCACAACATCTCGTGTTTTGTACATTCGTTATCTAGGCCTATATAATATCTAATTCTCTATGAAACTCTTCTTTCAGATGTACACATCGTCATTTAATGAGAATTATTCCGAACAATCATTAGCCACGTTCGATGGTTTGTTAAAACAAACACTATGCTCATTTGTACGCTCTCAGATTCTTTTCGTTGCTCTTCGCTTGGATTTATTTACAAAAATTGATGAATCTCCGACTGGTTCATTGTCTTATGAAGAAATGAAATCACGTCAAATATCATTATCCATGTTATCCTATCTCGTTTATCTTCGTTTATTAAAGCGATGTACAGATTCGAACAGTTATGAATGTACACCAGTGACACGTGCGTATTTAGTTTCATCTCGACCCAATTATGTCGGGTTAGGCATTGGAGTTTGGGATCATCGTCGTCTGTATACATTTGTTCGTCGTATGAACGAAACATTACGATATGGAATACGAACAAACGAGAGAAGTAACGAA